CTCCTGGGCGTCACCTTTGACTCCCAGCTGACATATGCGCAGCACATCCGCACGATCCGCTCCAGAGCACAGCAACGCCTAGGCTTCCTGCGGAAGGCCTCTGCTATCCTAGAGCCCCCTGGCCGACTCCGAGCCTACAATGGGTTTGTCCGACCTGTGCTGGAGTACTGTCCCCTGGTCTGGCTTGGTGCGCCACCCTCACACTTGGCCAAGCTAGACCAGATCCAGCGACGAGCCATCCACATCATTGGATCGGGCTCCTGGCTCCCTAGTCTATCTCTGCGGCGGACAGTGGCCTCGCTTGCATACTTGTACAAGCTATTCTGCCTAGATGCGGACAGCCCGCTAAAGAAGATCCTCCCCCCTGGTGCCCAACGTCGACCTCAGGACATACAGCCCACCCGCGTGTCTGCTCAGCCTACGCACCCACACCAGCTATCTACTAACCTGCCAGCACGCACCCGAAACAGCTGTCTTCGCGCATTTCCTGCCAGCGCTGTGCAGACATGGAATGCTCTGCCCCAAAGCATACTGCTGAGACCCCCACACCTGGAGGGCCTGCAAGCCTTTAAGTGCCGTGTCCACCGTCACCTCCAGCTGCACCACTGGAGCTGGGCGACTGAGAGCCTCTAGCAGACCTCTCACACCCACCTCAGCCGTAGTGCACACACCGCGTCTGAGACAGTGTCTTTATTGAAGTTTTTTCGCTAGCTTATATACTCTCCCTCGCTCTATGTTGCGGCACAGTAGTTCCCTTGTTCATGTAATAGCTGGCCTACTGTAACAATTATGACTTTGCTGGCCAAATAGCTGAGGCTGCAGTCACCTCACCAATCATCTCATATTTTCAATGTTCCTTTTATTTTACTTAAACAATTTCGCAACCTCTCTCTCCCTCCCTCCCTCTCTCTCTCTCTCTCTCTCTCTCTCTCTCTCTCTCTCTCTCTCTCTCTCTCTCTCTCTCTCTCTCTCTCTCTCTCTCTCTCTCTCTCTCTCTCTCTCTCTCTCTCTCTCTCTCTGCTCTCTCTCTTGCTCTCTTATTCTCTCTCTCTCTCTCTCGCTCTCTCGCTCTCTCTCTCTCGCTCTCTCTCTCTCGCTCTCTCTCTCTCTCGCTCTCTCTCTCTCTCGCTCTCTCTCTCTCTCACTCTCTCTCTCTCTCTCTTCTCTCTCTCTCTCTCTCTCCGCTCTCTCTCTCTCTCTCTCTCTCTCTCTCTCTCTCTCTCTCTCTCGCTCTCTCTCTCTCTCTCTCTCTCTCTCTCTCTCTCTCTCTCTCTCTCTCTCTCTCTCTCTCTCTCTCTCTCTCTCTCTCTCCCTCCCCACCCACTCTTGGTGCGTCTAGGTGGCTATGAAGTCGAGACCCTAGGTCGGCGGAGCTCCCTAAACCTCACCACCACTGCCACGATTCAGGTTGTGCGTGCTTCCCCTAGCTGCATCTCATGTTTGGCATTAAGTGGTCTTTGTAAAAAAAACAAAAAAAAAAAAACAGCCATGTAAATATCCAGCGCTTTAGGCTATAGCGAGAGAGTGCAGCGATGGTGCGAAAAAATGTATCAAACTGGGCCAAAGGCTCAAACGCGTCCTGCTCCAGCGATTTCGTTTTTCTTGATAGAGTTTCGATTTCTTTGCGGTGTACTCTTGAAAATATCACAAGTGAAGCCCCTGCAAATTCGAGCAAGTCAGCGTGACGAAAAGTCTCAAAATCTCGATACTCGACTCACACTGCGCTTTTGAAATCGCGAGATCGCGGCTCGACTTACGAACGATTTATCTCAAGAGACACTGCTCGCAGCGCGTCGCAAATAGTTTCAACCGACAGCTGAGAGTTGTCTATTCGACCTGGATATTTGGATCGTTGGATTTGAGCTAGATTTGACTGAGTTACGATCTGTTTAAGTTTTGCATTCTTGCCAGATCGATCGTGCGCTAGGGTCCAGCGGATAATGCTCCGAAAATATTCGTATAATGCTAACCATGATGCTCCAAAAACTGCCCTATAATGCTGATTATAATGCTTCAGCAAGGGATATAATGCTCTTGGTTTGGGACAAAAATGGAAGAAAGTCTGCACATTGTCAAACTTCCAGAAAATTATGCATATCGTCGATCTGCATCTGAAGTTGCCACCTTATCTCTCACGAGCTCCACCACTTCTTGGCACTATAAGATATGTTCGCTTCTCCATTGATTGCTCTCCATTCCAACTTTGATGCAGGGTTGTGGCAGAATAGTCGGTGTATCAAATCTTTCCCGGGATTATCCATGTAGTGAGAGATGAAACCATTACTGCAGGTAGTCATTCATTGTTGGGATGAAGTTTATCTTGGCAAATAGTATTCCTGCCTGCAGACAAGCTGTCACTGCATCCACTCTGTGAATAATGTCTTCATCTGAAACACCAGACGTGAGGCCAGCTCCTGAGATCCGGTCTCAGATGGAGAGCCCTCCCATTTGCCGAAATCCTGAAAACACGTGGTCAGAAGTTATTTTGCCACTCTACATCCTTTGCTTGCGCTCTCATCTTCTCCTTGAGATGGTGGGTAGACGTACATGTATGGCTTGCCACAATACTTTTCCTTTTTGATAGCATTTGACTGTAGGCCTGGCATTACAACCGTCAACAACAAACTGTACGTACTTCATCAGGAAAGTAAGACAGGCGCTGCAGAGCAATCGACTTGGTACTGAGTCCATGGCAAATTCTAGTTCTTTTCGAGCCTCCTGATCTGGACTCGGCAAAGGCAGTTCTTTTGGAACGAGCTCTTTCTGTTTATAGCCGCTCCTTCATCCTGGTCCAAATTTAGCAATGCATCAGTGTCTACTTCAGTATCGCTAGAGATGCTATCGCCAGCCTCTCGCACAACTAGAAAATTCTTCTTCGTCTGTTTGATATTCACTTCGCGTATGTCTCCTCCGTAGCTCTCCATTATTCTAAAAGTAAAAGAAACCTCGTAAATATTTTCTCCGGGTTTGTGTCACTTGAACTGCATCGGCCTCGGTTGGGCATGCTTCACAAATGGCTTGTATGCATTTACCTGACCACATCGCTACAATCATAGCGTTTTATGTAGCAACAGTTATGTAGCGTTAGTGCTAAAGGTGTTACGTGTCTTCACAAGCACAAAGTCATGCGCCGGTACAATGCATAGTGCTCAAACGCCCGGACTGGGCGGAGCGTAGTACGCAAGAGGTACACAAAAGGAGTAAAATTGGGCTGTTTCGTTGTTACTCAGAGTTCCATGGCAAAAACCAATCATCAGACGACATCTCATGATCATGATTGTAGCCGCCGATTGCTACCAAAAACCTGGGATTTCCCGATATTATCCACTATGAAACTCGTTATGCCACTCAAACCTCACATAATGCTCGTTTTGTTCCTTTCTAATGCTCCATAATGCTCTGATGCTCGGATAGTCGTATAATGCCGAATATAATGCCGGCATTATCCGCTGGACCCATCGTGCGCCCTACCAAAATATGCCCAAAAACGTTGCTTGTTTGGAACATTTGGGGGGTTCCCGGGTAGGGTCCAGCGGATAATGCTCCGAAAATGTTCATATAATGCTAATCATAATGCTCCAAAAACTACCTTATAAAAGTTATAATGCTGATTATAATGCTTCAGCAATAGGCAGCAATTCCCAAATCGGCCGGCCGAAAAATTGGCCGAAAACAGTGGTTTTGAAGACATCACCGATCTTTTCGCCGAATACGCAATGTTCACACTGAATTCGCCGAAAATCGATGTTTTAGTGCCTCAACAGCATGCAAATACTATTTCTGTAGCCATTATCTGCGAAAGATGACTGCTACTTTAGGCATTTCCGAAAACGGTCAGCAGGAAAAGACGCTGAAATCAATGGCTGTCAAGAAATCGCCGATAATTGCACCGAATTTATAAATTTCGTGCTGAATTCGCCGAAAATGGATGTTTTAGTGGTATGAAAGTTGTATTTTTCACCTGATCATTTTCACATGAGGTGGGTGAAAAATACAACTTTCATACCCACAAAAGAAACCCTTGATGAGGTGAGAGCAGTACTCAACTCAGGATGGAGACCCCCAATTACAAAAAACGCTGCTGAAAAACAAGAAAAGATATACTGTATGCGGAAATGACCCATTCCTTAGCAAAACTAAAACAGAGAACAGTTGAGTGTGCTGAAAAGATATATGAGGAAATGAGCCATCCCTTAGCAAAACTAAAACAGGAAACAGTTGAGTATGCTGAAAAGATATCACGAGAGCTAGAAGATGGGAAATATATTGTTGATGATGAGATGGAAAATAGGTATGAGTTACCGATTGATGGTGGTGAATCATCCAAAGCTGAACCATCCGAAGTTGGCTCAGGAACCGATCCACATCAGTCCTCGAAGTGAGCCAAGATTGGGTAAGTGAAAAAGCTCAAGTTGGCTCACTTCCGATTTCGGTCTGATTTCTCGGAGGGAGCAAGTTGGCTCACTTTTCTGGAATTGGGTTGAGCCAACATGGGATCAGTGGTTGGAGTGGTAAAATTAGGACTTGGAGTTGTAAAATTAGTACTTGGGGTTGTAACATTAGTACTTGGAGTGTCTATCCTCTAATACAGTAGTATAGGGGGAGGGGGAGGCTTGAGAGGGAGGCCCGAAGGGCCGATCGAGAAAGTCGATTTTGGCTCACCTGGAGGGTGAGCCAGAACCCCCTCCCCCTATACTACTGGCAATGCTGGACCCTAGAACTTGTTGGCCCTTGAGTTGTCTGGCCTTGAATTGTCGGCCCTTGAGTTGTCTGGTCTTGAGTAGATGGCCCTTGAGTTGTGTGGCCTTGAGTTGTCGGCCCTTGACTTTTGTAAACCCATAAATAAAATGTTATGCATTATCGGTTACCGGCTCATCATTGCCAATAGAGGATACTCTTGGGTAACATGCCTTGAGATAGCTTGAGATCTTGCACTTGAGCTGATCTTGAGCTGGAGATGATCTTGAGACGAACTTGCTTGATCTCGAAGCTACAATTGTAGAGAGGACAAACAATGAGAATAGTTTCGGCACCATGTCACCAAGGATTCAAACAGAGAAGAACCGAGTCATCTTGGTGATATAATTCAAGAGAATATTAAAGCCAGACTAACTGGAACGAACCCATCATTCCTCATTTGCAGTCCAAGCTTATGCTCTGTGGCAAATAGAACACACTATTCCGAAGCCTCCCTACTTCTAAGTTTTTTTGTTCTCAAAGAAATGTACAGTACGTGTAGTATCTCTGTGCCTCTCTACTGACTCTAGCTGACCATCACTAGGCATCAGTCTCGAGTTGCGGCCAAGTCATTCCTACACTACAGTACGGTACAGGCGAGCTAGGATGGGGTGTTACTGCCTTGGCGTTGTGGCCCTCGCAGTGGCAACGCTACTGGGTGCTGAGGCTGTATCCATTCCGATGGCCGGTAAGCTGGCATTTCTTTATCTACTACTGTAGTATAGTGAATCTAGCGCGGCATGCCGTTGAAAATGATTTAGAACTCATAGTCATAGAAGACAGAAATGTCTGTGCTAGCTGCACATGTATGTTGTAGTATCTGGTGCAGCGAAGTGCAAATCAAACAGTACAAACAACCCTACTTCGAAGTACACCTTTGTACTACATGTGTGGCCGAATTCCAGTATAATAAAATTAATAATAAATACCCCGGCCGTCGATGGCGCAAACTGTTATACGAGGGCAATGGAAGAACGACATCCTTCCAAATGAGCTCGATACTCAATACTCTGCCTTCGCCCGACAATCTGAGACGATGGAGCAACTCTGTTGTGGACCAGAGTTGCCCTCTTTGTCAGCGTACATCAACATTCAGGCACATTCTCACCGCATGCCCTTCCTCACTCCATCAAGGAAGGTACACGTGGCGCCATGACAACGTCCTCAAACACATCAGGAAATTTCATTACAGAAGTAATATCTACAAAAAAAGTAAAAAGTAAAAAGGACCAAGGAACTACAAGTTACACTAGTATAAAGTAGAATGTCCACTAACACCACCAGTTACTAAACACTCGGCTCATGCGATAACATTGCACGACACTGACCGACGGTACTGATGTTCTACAAGTAACTGGCTAACAGAAGTAATATCAGCAAAGCAAAAGTCGTCATCATCCAGCACTAAGAATACCGAGCAAACTCCTACTAACGTTACATACATTACCTTCTGTAAACCGGGTCAAAACATTCACCCCCCCCCCCCCCCGGGAAGTTGCCTCAGCGGAAAGGTCTGAGCGATGGCTTTTTATCGGGATCACATGATTGGCAGCTTCTATCAGATTTGGACGAGAGGCTAGTATTCCCACACTTTATTGCACCTACCACGTGCCGTCCAGACATAGCTCTCTTCTCGAAGAAATTGAGAAGGGTGCTTTGGCTGGAACTTACGGTATGTAGCGAAGACCGCATCCTCCAGTCCAGGGAGAAGAAACTGTCACGGTATCGCCACCTCAAACAGGAGTGTATGAAGAATGGCTGGGAAGTCGAGCCCTCACAGCGGAGGTGGGGGAGAGAGGAGCTATTTCCAGCAGCCTGGACGGTTTCGCACGAGCATTGGGCTGTTGTAAGGAAAAACATCGCCAGTTAAGAAGAAACTGCAGAAACGCAGCACTAAATTCCAGCTACGTTATCTGGCTGAGGCGACGAGAGAAGGCTTGGCGTGACTGGCCGCTGTTTTAACTGCACGACGCCACAACAACACAACTTCACTACAACAGTCTCGTCCACATCTTCACTACAATAGTCTCGTCCATATTGCACTACACTGAAAGCTGGCCTGCTCCCGCTCTGAAGAGCTTTTTAGCCTTCACCATTTTCGCTCAAACCCAGGCAGTCCACAGGCAGTCCACAGTGGCAGTCGCTTCCTTTTTTTCTTCTTCTTTTCTTTCTCCTTTTACTTTCTCCGTCACTGCATAAAAAACAGTCGGGACGATTTTTTACCCACCAGTTTGTGGTGCGAATTACTTTCCTCCTTTATTTTCTCCGTCACTGCCTAAAAAACAGTCGAGACGGTTTTTTACCCGCCAGTTTTTGGGTGCGAATTACTTTCGGTAACTACAAGTCATAATAATGAAAATGTCTTTGAAAGTAACAGTGTACATGTAGTAGAAACTTACCGTATTTCCTCGATTAATGGACCATGCTCGAATAATAGACCATGCTCAAATAGTAGACCCTGCTAGAGGCCTCACGGAAAAATAGTAGACCATGCCCGACCCGGTCTCTTATTTGAGTTCATCACTTTGCGCATGCGTACTAAGAAAGCACGTGGTGGATCAAAAAGGACGCGATTTTAGGTTGCGCAACTACAATTTTTGTAGTGGCTAGTGCTTTCTTTCATTATTTGAGCACCGTCCACTATATTTTCATCGGCACATCGCTGGAAGTGGTGGATTTTTAAAACGTCATAATATAGAAGTTCTATAATTATTATGACGTGTTAAAAATCCACCATTTCCAGCGATGTGCCGATGAAAATATAGTGGACCGTGCTCAAATAATGGACCGTGCTCAAATAATGGACCATGCCCAAATAAGAGACCGGGGGTCTAACCCTCTTCAAAAAACAAAAGACCGGGTCTATTAAGCGAGGAAATACGGTAGGTCAGTTTCTCCAGTTGCAAGAACTGCATAGCTTCTGATGGTTGTGTGAGAATTGCCTCCCTGACTGACGTGAAGGTTACGTTATAATTATACGTGTATTTGTCTCCTCCAATGAGCACTGAACTTACTTAATAATAATATTATGTAATGCTGTAGCACTTCCTTTGTTGTTCACACTTTTAATTAATTATGCTGTTATAAAATGTTCTATTTTTGTACACAGTACCCTCAGTTCCGATACTATTCACTGATGAGCGGAACACGAAAATCGATTTTGAATAACATAAAAATCCTTAAAAATTCCATGAACTCGTTGTTGTCTGGCCATGTCTGCATCGATTATACTCCTAATTGCACTAATAATAATAATAATAATAATAATAATAATAATAATAATGACTGGTTTTGAGGGAAAGAGACAAACGGGAAAAGTCTGAAGAAAAAATTGACTGTCACCACCAGGACTCGAACCAGGGACCCTCGCTTGTAGCCAGCGATGCTCTAACCGCTGAGCTATGGTGTAGTCGTCATCCAAGCAGAGACCGTTCAACGTTTTCTTCAGACTTCATAATAATAATAATCTTTATTTCAGGATTACCCAAAGGCTGACGCCTATCGGGATGATCTCCTATTTGTGTATATACAATGAACATTGGAGTTGGGAAAAGAGAAAATGTGCAAAATGAGTTCGGAAAAAGAGCGATGCTGTACAAAAGATACAGTGAAAGAACAAGCAGTGTACATGTAAATCAATGATTGCGCATCAAAGGGATACCAGTGCAGTCGAACTGATACTTTGCAATGCAAATACGTAAATGACGCTTGAATTCTGTTAGGGAATCTAAAGTTGTCAATCGGGGTGGGAGACAATTCCAAAGTACACCAGTTTTCTGTAGGAAGAGACATGAGAAAATGGGGCCATTTGAGTTAAAAATGAGCTTTTTGGGCCTACGGGCACTACGTGAGATGGTAATCGCAAAGCGAGAGAGATAGTCTGGGTGGAAATTTATTTATTTATTTATTTATTACAGCATCTCATAGCACAGTGAGAACACCGGCCAATACAAAGAGAGAGGGTGTTAGCCAACAACGGCAAGGAAGGGAGAAGGGGAGGAGAAGAAAAAAAAGGAACCGGCATTGATAAGTAGTGATTGCAACAAAATGAGAAACACAAAATCAAAGTCAAGGGGTGGAAATTGATGTACTTTTAAAAATAAAACAACCAGAGAAATGAAGATACGGCGAAATTGCAGGGATTCCAAGTGACACAATCTATTCAAATTCGATTTTGATTCGAAGTTGTCAAAGTCTATTTTCGCAGACCTCAGGAGTCACCGGCAAACCTTAGCCTGGAGTACATCAAGGGACTCTAACTGAGCGGATGTAAAAAAATTTAAAAAAATGTGATCCTAAGGGACCAGACAGGAATGGCATACTCAATTGCGGGACGTACGTAAGACTTACATGTATACAGGAGAGCAATGTATGATGATGGTAAATGGCGGCCCATGAAGCATAACATTAACACGTTGCTGGAACTTCCTGGAGATGGTGTGGAAGTGGTCGTGGAACTTCAAACCAACACTGAGCTCTACACCGAGATGCTTAGCGGAGCGCCCAGATCCGATTAAAAACGTTGTCCATGGACACAGAGGAGGATTCAGGAATGTTGTAATTGGACAAGATGAAGGTTTTTTTTCAGGAGAGAATTTGCCATGTATTTTCTGTGCCCAATGCTGGCGGCTGGCGAGATCCTGCTGGGCGTGGGATAGGTTCTCATCTAAGGAGAGGGATACATCATGAGCATTTAGAAGAGTGACATCATCAGCAAAAAGGAAGGGTGAGCTATGGTTAACTATGTCAGGAAGGGAATTGATATACAAAAGAAAAAGTGGAGGTGCAAGGTGTGAACCCTGGGGGACACCACAGTTTAGCGTATACTGGGATGAATGAGTTGCATCGAGCTTCACACTTAGACTACGGTCAATATGATCTAAACCAGGCGTGTGCCTCTGGCGCCATGAAGGTATTCCTAATTCATGTGGCTCAGGAGCGTGGGATGATGCACTTTATCAAAAGCTTTCTGGGAGTCTAGAAATGCACAGTCAAATTTCTGCCCTCTATCAGAGAGACGGGCAATGTGATAGGTCAAAAGAATGAATGAGTTGATCCGTAGCTGATCTTTGAGGAACGTAGGCGAATTGACTAGGCGAGATTATGCAGTGCCGATGAAGATAGCTGTTCAGATGATGGGCTATGCGGGATTCGAAGAGGCGGCTGATGGGATGAAGCAGTGAAATTGGTCTATAGTTCGTGGGCAGAGAGGCACTGCCTTTGCCCTTGAAGAGAGGAATGACCGTTGCTGATTTCCATGCAGTGGGAAATTGTGATGTGGATAGACTAGAGTTGAACAAGTAAGACAAGGACTCACATAATAGATCAGCCATGGAACGAAGAATCGGAACAATTTGATTATTTGAAGTGGATTTTCGAGACGAAAGGTGTGTGAGGTCATAGTGGACTTGACCTGGTGAAAATGTAGGCAAATGGAACTGAGTATCGCTAGCGTCTTTATCTATGGAGGAAGGTGAACAAGGGAATTGATTTGCTTCTCGTGGGAACGTACACTGGTTGGCGAAATGCTGTGCAAGGAGGTCCACCTTTTCTAATTGCGTGTTAGTGTGACGATCGCCATCTTGTAAATCTGGTATCAATGGTTTACTGGATGAAATGTTGCAGAAGTCCTTCACTCTCCTCCACCACACATATCCACCTTTCGTGCAGCCATTCGAGATGCTGGTAGCGGTGCTATCTAGAAAGGCAGATCTGGCAGCACGGATTTTCTTGCGATAAATGTTCCTGGATACACAGTACGCTGCCTTTGCTTCAGTTGATTGTGGATTGCGCAGATAAGCACGATAAAGCCTATTCTGTCGCCGTTGAAACTGGCGCAGGTCAGGTGTGTACCAAGTCTGCTTTCGCTGATCATGCTTACGCGTCCAGGTTGATGACCTTTCAACTAAGTTTAACAAATGGGATTCCCATGCTTTCCAAGAAGCATCAACTGTTTCACAACCGTAGAGGCGCTCAAGAAATGGTTCCCTTTCCATCAGGACACGAAGCCAATTGAAATCAACTGTTGGATGCAGTAGTGTTGTCCGCTGTGGTGCTGGTGCACATAGTGTAAGAGAAACGATAACGGGGCAGTGGTCTGACAGGGGTGGGAGAGTGGTGGTTGAGGAGACAATATCTGGAATATTGGTTGCTACGATGTCAAGTAAAGGAGTGCAACCACTGCGCAAATTGGGACGTGTGCCATCATTATTTATAACAGTGAATCCATACTGCACAAACGCCGATTGCAAAGCTCTACCGCTACTGTCAGTGACGTCAGAGTCTTTCCATGCAGAATTCCTTGCGTTGAAGTCACCTAACACTACACAGTTGTGGTCATCAAATACATTAGAAAGCTGATTAAACAAACTCGTAATTGTGGCAATGGGTTGCCGTGGAGGTCTGTACCATACAGACACGAAGAGAGGTCTTCCAGGAAGCTTTATTTCGATCATTTGCATTTCACAGCTGTTATTACCAGGCTGTGGGCGAATACTGCAGCTGAACTCTTCCTTAATAAATAGCGCAACTCCACCTCCACCTAGTTGGGACCATGGCAGAGGTGTGCTGGCTCGGTCACAACAATGCAACCTGAAGCCTGGGATAGCGATAGCAGCATCTGGTGTGCTGGGGTTTAGCCATGTTTCTGTCAAACAGACAATATCAATAGATTCTGACAGGATTAATTGTAGTATTGCAGCTTGCTTGTTTAAAATGCTGCAGCAGTTAATGGTGCACAGGCGTATTGCGGTTAATTTACACGGTGATGGTATGTGACGTTTAGGAGATCCCGCTGATCCCTATGTGGAGTTGTTTGATTTGAGCTTACGCTGGATAGCGTCATTCAAGACCGGTTTTCCGTCAATGAGGATTTCATCAAAAGGTAGAGTGCACTTGATGCCTTTAGTACGAAGCTGCTTAGAATGTGGGCAAGGCTCGACGACGGTTTTCCTGTTGCTACTTGAGAACATTCCACGTGCGCATGCATTTGGAATGTGCATGTTGCCGGCGACGGTCACACGACTCCCAACTGATGCTGGCCAAGTTACCGGTATTTAATCATGATTGTACTCTCTGTTTGGCAGAGTTCCACTGTGGGGAGCAGTACCATGGGATATGCCTGAACAATGGCGTCTGCGCGCTCGATTCCACTGCTCCCAATGAAGTTGGCTGTGTGTGTATGCTTGGGTATTTTTTTTAAAGAGAACACAAACCAACAAATCATGTTGAAAGACAAAAAGTACATTGGACTGGGTAGGCGCTATCCACAATGCCAGTTAATAGCTGTGCTGATGAAATACATGGACTCTGCCGACCATGAGTCTCGGCGTCACAGTGCCATGTGCGCATGTATGAGGGCACCTTCTGCGAGAGAGGTAGGTTCCAAATCCGTATAACGTCTAGTGTTGGCATATGTGTTAGCAATTACACTACATGATAGATCAGGAAATAATAATAACTTCTACAGTATATCCAAGCCTTTGCTAACTCCGCACCAATGGTTAGTGTTTCCAAGAGTACATAACCACACTCTTGGTGTTTCTAACACTTTAACAGGCTTTTGTTTAAACATTCTTCGCCTACAGTGTCTTTTTAAATGAAAGGTGCTTCTGTGAAATTGCCTCTTTTAAAAGCAAGTGCATGGACAATGTGCCTTCTTTTTAATCCACCAAACAGAGCATGATGCCTTCCGACCTACCAGCACCCAACCTGATCCACCGTTGCCTTTCATTCCACCACCGGACCAGCCCCATCAAACGTTTGCGACACTGCCTCCGCTTCCACCAGCGGGCCCACTTGGTCCTACACTGCCTGCTCCGGAACAAGGCACCTCCTCGCCCCGGCCATTGCAAAGGCGACCCCTGTCCGAGGTTGTACAGGAGGTGATCTCAGCTGATCGCAAGAGCGGTGCATCAGCCGAAGACACACTAGAGAAGGTGGTGGCGCTGGTGAAATCAACCGAGTGCAAGACTACTAAGCGTCTGGATGAAGTCATTGATCTGGTTCCAAACACGGTACATGTGTAGGACTGTCTGTCTCTTTGGAGAATACAATCATGTACAGTCAACTTCGCTTATAACGACACTCGGCAGGGCATCAAAAAGGTGTCCTTATTCGCGAAGTGTCGTTATACCTGAAATCTCATTGTATGTATTACAGTTAGACGGGACTTTGCTCTGGGCATGGAAATTCTGTCGTTATTCGCGAATTGTCGTTATATCCGCAGTTGTTATTAGCGAATTGTCGTTATATCCGCAGTCGTTATAAGCGAAGTTGACTGTAGAGTAAAACCTGTGTTTGCCGGACCCTGTACACTGTACAGTGTACAATGCGGAATCCTGTATTGACCGGATAGATGTTCATGCACCTCGGTGCCGTGGATCGTTACGTGCATCCCTGGAATGCTGCTGGGACCTGTTTTACCGTACCACCAACTCATTGCCATTAATTTTGGTGGTGGATCCATACCCGCTGTAGGCTATAGGCTATAGGCTATAGGCTATAGGCTAGCATGGTATACAATACAGTCATGTACATGTACATACATTTCCTCAAACAGTACAGCACGGTCAGTTTATATTCGTAACTCCGAGGTTCGAGAACGTGTCGTCTGATGATGAACCACGATGGTCTTGAGTGCTAGTACGCAATACAGGTCACTGGCATGGTGCTAGGGACCGGCGGATTCTGCTCGAAAAGGTGGCAGATTCTGCTCGAAAAGAAGTGAAATTGGTAGAACCATACAAACCTTATGGCGGGCAATTCCTCGAATTCTGCTCCATTTCTTTATCCACATACCAAACATGCATGAAACTTAAAAGAAAAAGTACCGAATTCTGCCAATATTTCTGCCGGCAGAATCCGCCGGACCCTACATGGTACTGTACACGTATTTTTATTGTTTTAAACAAACGTTTCAAGTGCTGGAAGAGGTTGGCCTGGCAAGGTGTGGGTTTTCCCAACCCTCGACCCCTTCTAAAAAACCTACAATTGTTTTCAGAAAATCCCCCGCAGTTCTTGCTCATAATTATTTCTCCAACAATGAGTTGAATAGCATTCTGAGCACAGCAATTTCCTATTTTTGCATCGCTTGCTGTGCTGGCGTTGTGTGGCGTCGCCGTGTCCAATAGTCGGTGAAAATGGTGGCAATAGTGTGCATCACTGTGCGACACCAGGATTCATGTCTTACAACTACAAGTTAACACTAAAATAATGCTAACATAGGAAACATTGGAAACAGGAGTAAAAATAATAATTATCCCGATCCGATCCCAACTCAACCACTACATGCAATGAGGATCGTGTTGCGCATTCTAGTGCATTACGTAACAGGCACATGTACATGCACGTGCTTATCACCTCCATGATCCACTGGCATGGCTTGTATGCGATCGACTTTACAATCGGGTGTATTCTGCTTTATCCCGTGTGCATGCATACAGGAGACCAGTGATCATGTCTATCCCGTCGCCTCGTGCAGGGAACTCAAGCAGCTGAATTCCACTCTTCCTTCTGGTAACTGACTACTACTCTCTTTCATTCCTTGAGTGATCAACAGGTAGTGCTGAAAACCGGTTTTTTAGTACTCCCTGCTGATCTCTCTCTTTCAATACTTTGCAATTGCGGAAATAAAGAAGCACTTAGACTAGTAAGTTAGAGGAATTATTTGGAGCGCATTCGTCGCAGCAGTTTCCATCAGGGAGTAGCATAACACCGGGACTAATGCCTGGTTTCCATCAATACCTCCCACATTACGATGGAACATTTTTAGCGCAGAAAACTACCTGGTATGTACCGGTAGTTACATGTAGTTCGCTGTCGAATTGGAGAGGATTTATGCCAGCATGGCTGATTATTATTATCATCATCAATACATGTATTGAACGTTGTTGCGTTGGGCAGGGCCACTGGCCGTTGGGCAGGGCCACTGGCCATTGGGCAGAGCCGTTTTCGCTTTCGTCGAACTGTGTCAGAAAGAAGGCTTCAGGTGACAATGCTCGACATATTGCTTCACAGTCATGTACTGATGTAGGTGTGATGCTCGACATAGTGCTTCACAGTCATATACTGATGTAGGTGTAATGCTCGCTCGTTATCCACATCATGACTATTGTGGAGAAAGCCTATACGCTGTACATGTAGGAACCTCACCTCCACTACATGCGCTCGCTCTCTGGCCGACCTCATCACACCGGCAATATGACTCTTTGAGTCTGTTGTTGTTGTTGTTGTTGTTGTTGTTGTTGTTGTTGTTGTTGTTGTTGTTGTTGTTGTTGTTGTTGTTGTTGTTGTTGTTGTTGTTGTTGTTGTTGTTGTTGTTGTTGTTGTTGTTGTTGTTGTTGTTGTTGTTATTATTGTTGTGTTTTTTTTTAATTAGCGATTTAAACGGGCAAGTATGCCCAATTACAGCAATGCGAATATCATAGAGAGAGAGAGGATGACTGAAGCATTACCCGACACCTTTCGAAAACTGGAACGAGTCGCAGTGGGAAGCAGAACGAAGATCAGCGCTCAATGTTACTAACGTTAGAATGTCACTTGTCTTCCTCTTTTCGTGCCCCAGGGTCCTACTGGATTCGACCGCATGAACGGGTAAGTCGTGTTCTCGATTCGTCGTTTTACTTGAAGTATAAGTTTATAACCTTCACCCTTTTACACTGCACATGTACTTCAAGTACACTGTACATGTAGATCAAGTACAGCCAACTGCGTGAACACCAACCCCCGGGCACTCGTATAACAACAAATCGCGAATAATGACGCTACCTTCAGACCCAGTAACCACTTTACTGCATACTCCCTTTATGGACTGAACTCAATGTACATGTATGTGGAGAATTGTGCTCTCAAATTCTTTACCTTGAATTGGACGTAACTTTGGTTTCAATTAACCTGACTAATAACGCCAACTCACAAGTAACAACATCTTTCTCATGCCCGATCGTGTGGGGTCTTTCTTCTCAAGGTTGACTGTAGAACAAAAAAATGGAAAGATCAGGGTGATGGCACTGATGGGCTTTTTCACGGTTCGAGTGAGATGCCAGCAGTCAGACTGAGTATTTACTATTCAGCATTTGTATTTTGTATTGTATTTTATTATTTTACTTGGGCATTCCGAACAGACCCTAAGGTATTCTTACAGGGTGCCCAAGATGAATGAAATTGTTAAGTTCCTGGCGAAATGAATTGGGGATATGATTTGTGCGAAGGGATTCGGGAAGCGCATTAAAGCGGTCAGCACCAAGGAATGAAATAGCATCCGCAGGAACGCAACCAGCCTCAAGCATCGAGACGCAGATACAGCTCCTAAAAGCGGTGGGGGTTGAGTAGATCCGACCCATCACAAATTGGTCAAAGACCGAAAATCCCATCCGCTGCATCCAGGTTTCCCTCGTGCCCAGGCCACGAGTTCCCAAAATTCCTTCCGCTTCCAAGCAGGACTTGAATCTGATAGATCTACCCTCTGTTAATGGTCTTGGACCATCCCACCATGCCCCGCCTGTAGTGTCTAGGGGTGGATCGTGGTCTCAGTGCGTGGGTGTTACTGCTACTGGATAGAAACATCACGTGACAGGTAGTGAGATCTCATAATAATTCTCGTGTTATTCATCGCAGGTGTACTGTGAAATGACAAGGAATGGAGGGGGCTGGACGCGACTGGCCAACATCAACCCACGAGTCCGGGGTTTCTGCCCTGGAAATCTATGGTACCAAGAATCAGGCAATGACAAGACGCTGTGCACCAGACATAATCGGACTCGCGGAGGTGGAGGATGCCAGTCAGCTAGATTCATGGCCACTCATGGACCATATTCGGAAGTGATGGGTTACGCCATGACGTATCGGGTGAGTGCATTACATGTAGACATAATCATTCCGAGGTACAGTTATAGAGGCCATGCCGTTGCTCGAGATGCCTAGTCACAGTGTCATGCCAAGATTGTGCTCTCCAGCTTGTTTACTATTGCAGTATTGGCAACATGTAACCCCGTTGGAGACACAGTAGCAGAGCAGCAGCACTGCGGTGTGACTCGATTCAGTCCATTCTCAGAGAGAAGAAGGTCAGACTGATTGTTTTAAAGTAACCAGTATAGAAGTTGCGCTCCAAAGCCAAACAATGGTGTACTAAGATTTATATCTGAGACAACATTGCAAGCATCCCGTTATCTCACTGCACTGTATTATCTCCTGAGTTGCTGCCACTTATTCGTAAGGTACTGGGGTATCCGAAAATCAATCTGTACATGTTTTCTATGGGTTCTTCCCAGGCTGGTTCATTGGATGCTTTCTGGAATATTGAAGGGCTGAATATCAATGCAGCCTACGCCGATGGCGTCTCCATCACTCAGGGCTCGCCCAGAGAGCACGTTTGGACGTATGCTGCGGGATTTTCGCCCACACACAGCCATACCAATGTAAGGTGCCCGTGCTACGGAGGCGATGCTCCTGCTGCATTCGTGGGAAACCACTACTATTGTGGATCGACAGAGTTGGCGTATCACCAATACCGCAATGCATTCACCGGTTCCGGAGCATGCTCCGACACTGGTGTGTGCTGCCAAGGGGAAACCCCTCTGTGGTTCCATCGCAGCCTCGCCACCAGTTCGGACGCTAGTTTGGAGATTCGACTCTGCTCCGATGAGCAGACAGACAATGAAGACGTGGGATTGGAGCGTGCTGAGTTGTACGTTCGCTGAGCAACGGTAGCTAGCTGTAAAGCAGTCGTGACTCGTGCGGGGCTTTCCATATCCGCCACCCCTCTCATTCCATTAATTTTACTAGTAGATCTACATGTATACAGTAACATGACTGATTGTAGCTTCTTCTCTTGCCACCATTGGAGGAAAGGCTTGGAGGCAGGCGCTTGCGGAGCCGTTTGCCTTCTCACCGCCACAATTGCAAACTCTCTACTTTCCTTTGCCTCTGTTACCGATTCTGTTACCGATTCTGAATTTTTTTAGCAGCAAGAAGTTAATGCTGCCACTTATTCGTTTTTTGTTTTTGGTTTCTTTACTTCTTGCGGCTAGTAATAGTCTTTCATTTCGCCTGCATCCAGCAGCAATGCTTCCTGTTGTACAGGCGAGCACAGTCCTGCTTATACGTCCCGCCGTTCATAGTCGATTTACCCGCGGCGGTGCCAAGTCGAAAGAAAAAGTAGTTTGGAATTGTACATGTATCGTGCTAGCGTTCCACTTTTCAAACACCCTCACATCTGACTGGAAAATCCCCACGACGCCAGCAGCTCACTAGATCAAGGTGTGGGTCATCTGCACTCAGTAGAGGCGATCAAGTCGAGCAACTCCCGGTGCCCAAGTCAAAACCCAGGCGGCTGGCCATGTTTCAGTCACCAATCGTCGCCTATCATAGCTAGGAGGCCAAATCAGACGTATTAATACTATTGTCAAAAGAAGAAGGACAAAATGTTACGAGTTATGACTAACTGTCCACCAACGTAACCAGATCTTATACATAATACAGTCAGCGAGTGCGACAAAATGGCACAAAACTGACAAGGAGTACTGAGACATTCGGCGACTTGACACCTAGCTCCAACACTTCTCCAAGGCGCAAACCAACAACCTTCCAACTTGAAATGAAAGGCTCAGTACTCCTTGTCAGTGTTGTGCCATTTTGTCGCACTCGCTGGCTGTATAAGATGGTGGACAGTTAGTCATAACTCGTAACATTGTGTCCTTCTTCTTTTCACAATAATTTAATTGGCTCACCATCCGAGTTATATTTAAAATACTATTATCATTTTTATTCCATACTTTGCTCAGATGTGGGCAACACCGTTCAAATTATTGAAAAGCTTACGCAATTCAATCAGCTTTTTAGGCCGGTTTGCATAGCCTGCAGTGCAGTACAGCTGCTAGCAGGACTGGTATTCTGAAGTATAATATTATACTGGGTTTTTTTCCAATGTTGCGTTAGGAAGAATGTTGCTGGCAAGAGGAAGAAGACAGCCATGTCGTCAGCAAAATGCATGTGCACAGCCCTGACCACTAAGGTTCATCATCAGAATATTAGCATGCTAGAGACAGGCAATCCATCCCTACTGCTTTAAAGGTTTAACTCAATTACATCGGTATATTATAATGATATACTTGGGTCAACTACAGTTACCTATTTTCAAGTTTAGATTCTTATTAAAAGAGGCATTCAGTGAAACGTTGCTGAAAAAGAGAAGAAGGCGATGTAACGACACAACTGCATGCACTAGCAGGCCCAGCAGCGGTGAAAAGGCGACATAATCACCTAAGAGGATCGAGGTTTCCCCCTATCAGCATTCGAGCATGCACGCCTGTACTCATGGCTGCTTTATTTCGGTATTATTTGTAGTGGTAGAAATGCATTGGTACTGTAGCAAGCATACTTGTACACACAATCACTTGCCGATTGTGCCTGCATTCGAAGAGAGGTTGAAAAGAGGGTAAAGTGAAAGGCGAACGTTTGGCAGAACTCACAGTGACCAAGTTGCATTATATACAGTTCAAGCGTGTAGTTAATAAACATGCCCGGTGTCTACGGTTCTGCGTCCGCTTCACTTTACTTTCTTGTTACGGCGCTGTCTACAGCGGTGGCTCATACACCATCATATCGCTGACACGAGCCACCACATCCTCCGTGGTACGCTCCAGCATGCCGAGCACCTCCTGGACGACACGCTGGTGCACGTGCTCCTCGATCTCGCGTGCACTGCGCGCAGTCGTGCCGCCGATCGAGTGGATCACTTCGTCGGTGTTGCGGTGAACGATGTTCTCCATCACCTCCGGCAGCTGCTGGCGCACCATCTCCTTCAGCGTGTCCTCCATCTGTCGTTGGGCTACCTGATCGTCTTGGTGCATACCCAAGGACTTACGTAGCTGGCTCCTGCGATCACCGAAATGTACACAAAACAACAATTGATCTCAGGTTTCGGGATCATTAGTTCAACGCCAGGCTTGACAGAGGCAATACTGTACCACGTGTGCTTACCGAATGGCAACTAGCTGCTGCTCCTGCTTGGCAAGTTGCTGCTCAACATAACGCTGTCTCCGCTCGCCCTCTCGCTGCTCCGAAAGATCCACCGGTTTTTCCCAGGTAATCAGGTAGACTAAGCGGAAAGAATCACAGCAGGGCACAAAGAACACAGAGCGTGTGGATTTCCGCCCCATTTAGCTGCTCTTGCAGTGGGATAGGATTGCAGATAGGGTTGCTTCATTCTCTTTGCTGCTCGCATAGCAACACCAGTGTACACCTTTTTAAGGCATGGTGTGTTTCAAACTTGGTACATTACTTGAGCTTTGTAAAGGTATTGAAATAATGACAAACATGAGATCTAGACAATTTAAATGATCACTGTACAAGGTTACTGTGGTCTACATAAACATGCAATAAGCCTCTTACCCTCTGGATTCTCTTTAGTCACGAATGCTTCAAAGGAGCGATACCGTCGCTCCTGCAAATGAACAAAAACAGCACACAAAAGACACAACCCACAGTGAGGTGATGTGTGATACATGTACACACCACTGTCAACTGCCTGCTGGACGAGGGCTCAGGCTCTGAGATCCGACATGAGAGAGAGAGAGAGAGAGAGAGAGAGAGAGAGAGAGAGAGAGAGAGAGAGAGAGAGAGAGAGAGAGAGAGAGAGAGAGAGAGAGAGAGAGAGAGAGAGAGAGAGAGAGAGAGAGAGAGAGAGAGAGAGAGAGAGAGAGAGAGAGAGAGAGAGAGAGAGAGAGAGAGAGAGAGAGAGAGAGAGAGAGAGAGAGAGAGATGTAGACAGATAAACAGACAGACAGATAGAGGGAGAGCTCATAATACATCAAGCCACCTGAAAAAACGGACCACTATCATCATTCTGTTGAATACGAAAATGGACGACTGACGACATATTCTCCAGACATTACAACGGACAACGGGAACAAGTTAGTGGGGACGACATTAATTTTATTGTAGACGACGAGACAAGAGACCAAGACGAACAAAACGACTACATTGAAGAGTGAGAAGGAGAAAGAGATCAAGTCTGAACGGCAAGATAAAGGGCCTGGGTAGCTATGGCAACTATGGGCGCGCAAGTAGCTACCCAGGCCAACGGAACAAAAGGAGACAAAAGGTGAGTACGCGAGTGCATGCAGGCCAGCTAGAAAAGGTACGGGAGGAGGTACTTAACATACCTCCCCTGAGTGAAAAAAGAACCGCGACCTCGTGGGAAATAATAAGACGATGAGAAAAATAGAGAGAAACAATGACCGAGGAAGAAGAGAAGAAAAAAAACACACCCACACACACACACACACAACGCACGGGCCTCACAAAAGTGTGTACAAAAAATGCACTACATATCATAACAACGTTCCTGCACTACTTATAGTGTGTACATTGCCAATAACAACGGGCCCAAACGCCCCTTCAAAAAATGGCACAAAAATATCTATTGGAGTGTGACGAGGAACTTGAATTGTAATCTGATTACTAGTATTTTGCACGGCTAATACAGCCTAGTTACACTTTAATATACGACATAAATAAAAGAGTGTGGCTCACCATGATCGGACCCCTAATATTAATGAAGGACACCCGCGCGTACACACACTACAAAAATCACAAAATAAAATGAACCGAAAATAAATTTGACGACGAAGGACGGATGAAAAAGAAAGAGAGAAATAAAGAAAGTAGCTGACCTGCATGACTTGGACGAGACGAGGTTGACATACTTGTAGAAGAGACGAGGTTGACATGGACGATACGAGGTTGACATAGACGAGAAGAGGTTGGAGACGAGACGAGGTTGGAGATGAGACGAGATGGACATGGACGAGACGAGGTTGACATAGACGAGACGAATGGCGGTTGAGGACGACTGGGCATGGGACGATCTCAGGGTCGTGGGTCGATCAATAGTCGGGCGCCAATGTTGAATACGAAAAAGGACGACTGACGACATATTCTCCAGACATTACAACGGACAGCGGGAACAAGTTAGTGGGAACGACATTTATTATAGACGACGAGACAAGAGACCAAGACGAACGAAACGACTACATTGAAGAGTGAGAAGGAGAAAGAGATCAAGTCTGAACGGCAAGATAAAGGGCCTGGGTAGCTATGGCAATTATGGGCGCGCAAGTAGCTGCCAAGGCCAACGGAACAAAAGGAGACAAAAGGTGAGTACGCGAGTGCATGCAGGCCAGCTAGAAAAGGTGCGGCAGGAGGTGCCTAACATTACTAGCTCTGTTCGGAAAGTGGCTTCTGATTTCCACGTGACGACATAATTCTGTTGTGTGTGTGTGCGTGTGTGTTAGCAGCACATACCCCTAAATCTTTGGTTTGCTCCAGGTTTCGCAGGGCACTTGCCCAGTTCTGCTCCAACGTGCGCTGCGCATTCTCCTTGACCTACACGTATACAGAGCAAAGCACAGGGACATAGAACAAGGCCACATGATTGCAACCCTCACACAATTGACTTATCAAGAGTCATATATGCTGGCACCCACGCAACATTACACATGCAAGCAGGCTCACCATGACTACCACTCAGCTGTCATTAGTGGTAGAGATGCAGCTGGATGTACACGGGTACAAGTACAGGAACTGGTCCAGGGTGCCAGTTTTACTCGTACACATTTGGTCAGATGTCAGTGAGCGCAAGTGTATTAAGGCTACAGTCACATATGCCATAAGCCACCTCTGCTATAGGCGACCATCTACCACCAATGACCACTGTTGTTGTTCTTTCACGTACTGACAGCTTCACTTACAAACCGACCTGTCTCTGGGTGGGGACTACCTGCCCTGTGGGACCAGCAAACGTGATTCTGTGGACAGAGGCTGCCGGTGAACCTGCTCTAAATGACTTGGATCTAGGCTTAGCGGGGGTGTGAAATCATGCAATACTGCAGCTCAGCAAATCATCTTCACTGGTGCATGGAATCCCTATGTCGCGTTTTCTCCAACCTATTCGGTTGTGCATGCAGAAAAGAAGCCCAAAACTGCAGTTTATAGAAAGACAAGCATACAATTGTACACTTTACGTACCCTCTGGTATGTGTCGCTCAACTGGGCGATGAGGATGTTGAGGATCACGATCAACAGTGTGAACAGGAAGAACATTTGAATCACCACAGCCAGCCAGCTGCATGAACAGAAAAGCAGATAAACGAATTTGGGGCACTGCAGACTAGAGAGTACACGCCAGGGTGCATCACTTGCTGGAGAAGAGCTGGGTTAAGTGCAGGGACATGCCTGTGTGGTACACTAGCAATCATCGTAGCAGGCTCGTAGCCCACATAGGGCACGGGGGGGGGGGGGTGTTAGAGAACATGCAAGACTCATGTACCTCTCGTCCACCACACAGTTCCAGGACAGACGTCTTCTTTCTCACAACCAACAACCGTACCACTGGGTTACTACTGACTGATTTTCTATCATGAAGCAGAACATTAGTAGGATAATACAATAAGATGATAGGTGAGAACCATAATGCATAGGGCAAGCAGAGATCGGAGATCGTGCAAAATGGTGCAAACAGAACATAGCAAAGCAGGCAAGTCACTTGCCCGAGGTCATCACACAGATGGCAGACAAGGTGCTTCCACCCAACTTAATCTATTGCAATGTTGACATTGCAATGCAACTTCCTTGTGCACAGGCACACTTGGCAGTTTAGATCACGTTCCAACGCCCTAATAATAGACATCACTAAGGCACAATGCAATCATCGCACACGCAGCATGTACCATTGCGGTAGTCTGTAACAAGGCCTGACCTCATGCCTCCACATCAACAAACCACACAAAGCTGTTCCTGCTCTAGCAACTAAGCACACACGAAGCAATGCATATGTCACCAACAGCACGATTATACTTCACCGGGCACGTGCACCCCCTGTCAAAATTTCGACCTAGGTTCAGCATGCACATAATGACCATGAATACCATGCACTTGCCATTCTACACATATGCGGCCGTGCACCCCCTGAAGGGGGACCAGCTATGCCCCTGAATTTGTAGTTATTACCCACACATAATGGCAGGGTGTGTGAGCCATTGAGCCATTCAGAGAGTGCATCATCTAACAGCAGTGCTACAGATGGCAGCAAGATACCTGGTAGGTACTCTGTGGTATCAATTCTACCCCTGCCCGATGAATTGCTACCCCTGCCCGGTATCAATGCTACCCCAGCCTGGCGAATCGCACCAACTTTTAAAGCACTAACTTTAAAACTGAATTTTCAGAATAGAACGAAGACTTTGAGTGGCTTGCAAAGTGTCAAGTCTACAGAATATCGCTCTTTTTCATTTCACTTATCCTACATAGTAGTACCAATACTCTATATTCTCTATTGATCTTTATATCGTAAATGCTAACTGATGTTGTTACTTACTGTAACTTGGTTTGATATTCATCAACAACTGATTCAGCTTGCACCATCATACGTAGGCCCGACAGTAGGATGTGTGAGTAGGATCTGCCACACCAATCAAACAAGCATATAATTATGCTCTCGCAAAACACAAGCAATGCCCCAGGCAAGCCTGGCATAGAACCACTGATGTGTGAGATGCAACTCTCCCACCCATGCATTGTACATGCATTCAGTGCCATCAATGGATGGTGAAGATTAGTTATCTTAACAGACAGACTCAGAAACCATTTTTTCCAGCTCTTTCCTGCTGTGCCCAACCAATAGCAATATGTCACACAAACAGCTGCTGTGCATGTACATGTAACTATTCATCTATGGAGGATGTTGAAAGGGGGAAACAGTCTGAATAAATAATTGACTATCACCACCAGGACTCAAACCCGGGACTTTTGACAATGCATGTGACTTGCTCATAAACCGAGAACTACTGAATACCTCACCTAGTGTGTATCATTATACCTTGGACTACATGTCTATACAAAGCCATATGCTCAAGCATGTGCAGAGATGTCAAAAAGCGGAAGTTTGCACATGCTTTTCAGATTCACTGGAGGAGAGTAAGGCGTCAGCAGGGAGGGCGTTTTGACGTCCTCTTCGCTGTTGTCAATGTACATAAACTCCAATTGCAGGGCTCTACAGGAACAGAGTCTCCGTACACTCACCCGGTATCAGAGATCTTATCCAGATCTGTGCCTGTTACTGTGCCACTCGCATTCTTTGTGCCCACGAGGACTAGGAATGTACTGCCGCTGAACATGATCCAGAAGATGGAGAAGATGATAGCGAACTTGGAGACGTCCTTCTTGACAATCTCGATCAGGATCTGCAGGTAGATACCAACCACCCTGGAAGGAGACAGAACACCAAATAGCGATGATTAGCTAGAGCACAATGGGATATGCAGCTCAGAGTCATCTGTGGATATTCACCACCAGAAGTCGAAGAGCAGCTACAGAGCTCAATCCACATTTTAAACCTCTGCGTCTGCGGCAATCATAAGTTCCAGCACCGACATGCCCACATTTCCTTATCCTGTACTCAGCCAGTACATTGAATATTTCCCAGCTCTTGTGTATCACAGGGATAAGTTAGCAGCTGCTGGTCCGGTTGCGGCTTTTATCAACTAGTAATCAGCGAACCAGCACTGCTTCAATGTTAAAATCGACATGGCAGACAAGAGTGTGAAAACCTCTCAACAGAATACTTATGTACTGTACTGGCTGAACCAATGTCAGTTAGACGGACTGCAGAATGATTTGCTTGCACGTAATCTGGTGCTGGCTATCAGCTGACTGGACCCATTCCCATAATAGTTGGCCGGGCCACTTGTGCAGGGACTCGGAGTGCGGCTGCATCACGGTCAGCAATGCTAGTCAGCATGTGAACAAAGGTGCAAGCCAGCAGTTCATTGAGTATGCTACTCTGCAAGTAGCCTTTTAAGCAAAGTCTTACCTTTATACTCTAGATGTTAGAATGTGTTTAGATTTGTCGGACACAGCTACTAAAGCAAAGCTTTACCTCATCACTTTCATAAACATGCACATGCGTGCACCCGCTCACACACACACACACATATACACACACACACACACACACACACACACACACACACACACATAACCATTGCATACCAATACGCACGTGTACATGTAACTCATACCACAGAGGGAGAGAGAAAGGAGAGAGAGAGAGAGAGAGAGAGAGAGAGAGAGAGAGAGAGAGAGAGAGAGAGAGAGAGAGAGAGAGAGAGAGAGAGCGAGCGAGAGAGAGAGAGAGAGAGCGAGAGAGAGAGAGAGAGAGAGAGAGAGAGAGAGAGTGTGAGAGAGAGAGAGAGGGGATAGAGAAAGAGAGAGCCACCACTTACTTTGTTACTGAAATCAGTTGTAGAGTTCGCAGACATACCACCATGTACGTGCAGGCTGCCACATACCACTGAACATCCGTGTCAGTCCAGCGCAGCGGGATTAGCACTAAGAACAGTGATATGGTTGACAGCTGAACGTAATTGTATTTGTCCGTCCAGTAATCCAGTAGTTCTGACCTGAAGACCATAATCATCACACCAGTACAAATCTAGAGTATAGTTTTCCGGGAGGGAAAGTGCAGATGGAAGGGGGTGGGGGTATAATAATACTATAATTGTCCAGAAAGGAAAGTAAAGTGCTGGGGGGGGGGGGGGGGGGGGGAGGTACAAAACCACCGTCCTCCTAGTATGTAAGAATATTCTGTCCAACATCACACTGATTTGTACTACCACTAACATCGCCCAGTACACAGGAGTATAGCAGATCCTTCTGTTCTAGGTACATATTCACCACATACATAGCTCATCTAGGTGTCACTACATACCTGGTCTTTTGTCTTTCTTTTTCGAATGCAGAACATCACAATGGACAATCTCTCTGTTTGCTTCAGGCCAAGACCCAGAAAATGCATTCCACAAGGTACCATTCAATCGCCGAATATCAGTCGGGCACTCGTGTGTGTGTGTGTGTGTGTGTGCGTGCGTGCGTGCGTGCGTGTGTGTGTGTGTGTGGTTTCATTGACTTTCAACTAACGTTATCATCTCCCGGATCTCCTGGTATAAGTTGTTCAGGGTGCCAATGATAATCAAAACTTCGCAGATTGCACGGAAGTAGGACTCGACGTCTGGATATGTGCGTGGATCTCCCAGCTCGTAATCCAACATCAAGCTCTCATTGTCGGATACGTTCACGACGCGGAAGCCCTCAGCCCGCTGACGACCGGCGGAGATGAAGGCAAAGCTGGTGATGAAGACGAACAAGAAGTAGAACATCACGTTCTTGTAGGTCTTGGTTTCGCCGAAGTGGGTCCACTTGTGGTGGATCAGGGTGCGGACAACGCTGTGATCACGAAGACCCTGCATGAGAGACAGCAAGAGCAAGGGATTCAATTGAGCAAGCTTTCAATTACGGCCCAGAGAATATTCAAAATGTGCTTCGGCTGCACGGTAAAATAGTATCATACTGTTCTCTCTGGCACCTTTCCAAAGCATATCATTCCCCCCAGAACCTTTTCCGGAATGCTTCTCCTTTCATAGCTCAGTCCTGTGCTTGCGAGCTAAAATTCAGAATGCAGTCAGTGACCAGGATCATACAACTCACAATGCATACACATGTAAATAGGAATGGGACACGTGTATACAAGTTTATAAAAAGTAAAAAGGACCAAGGAACTACAAGTTACACTATATTGTCCACTAACACCACCAGTTACTAATCAATCAGCACATGCGATAACATTGCACGACACTGATCGACCGTACTGACGTTCTACAACTATCTGGCTAACCGCTCTAGCACATCTTGGATGCGCACTCCAACAGCCTTCCAACTTGGAAGGTTCTAAGTTATAGAAATAACATAAGGAGGGGAAGGTGAGCGCAACCAAGATAAGCACGAGCTGAAAGTCTCAGCTGTGAAGAACGTTGGCGGATGTTCATGCATGTCGATGACGATACCGGCAAGACCATTGGACAATACGGTCCAACCACGATTCAAGGACGCAAAGCAACATTCCACACAACTTGCGTGGCTCAAAAGCTGCGAAGATCAAGAACCTTAAAACCTTCCAAGTTTGAAGGCTGTTGGAGTGCGCATCCAAGATGTGCTAGAGCTGTTAGCCAGTTCGTTGTAGAACGTCAGTACCGTCGGTTAGTGCCGTGCAATGTTATCGAATGAGCTGATTGTCAAGTAACTGGTGGTGCTAGTGGACATTATAGTGTAACTTGTGGTTCCTTGGTCCTTTATACTTTTTATAAATTAATCCTTGGCTCTCCATCCGAGTCCATTCGTGTATACAAGTGATGAGTAATTGTCCACCATTGTATTCAACTGAGAAAATACTATAGTCAGAAAGTGCAACAACTAGGCACAAAATTGACAGAGTTTCCGTTAGCTAACGTATCCATGTGTCCCTTTCCTTTTTTTACATTTGGCCCAACATCCGAGTTTCAAATTACATACACGGTACATGTACTATGAAAAGGGTGACAGATACATTGCACATGGCGCCCGTGATGTGCCATGGCAAAGAGGTGCTGGTCAAACAAAAGCCAGTGGGAAGGACACGCCAAAGCACTGTAGGTTACTACATGCACTGTTCTGTCAGTGGCAGTTTGCCATCTACCAGTGAATCGAGGAAGGACTCCTTAAAAAGAGGCACCTCGACCATGGAGACTAATTTAGTGATCATGTATAACTAGATGTATGGTACTAGCAGCACAGAATGCTTGGGTAATAGTTAGCAACAGTGGGCTCAGTTTCCAGTCCTATCACTCTGGTTCACGCACCTCGATTTCAAGTAGCCGATGAAAGATGCTCTTGCAGCCCAGCGAGAAGCTGCTCTGGAACGGACTGACTCCCTCGCTGTTGCTCTCCAGTATGGTGAAGTGAAAGTCATACTGATCCGGTACTTGCGTGGGGTCAACCAAGCTGTCCAGCACGGCCTCAGCACTTTTCTACAATGCAAGTAGCAGTAAATCAAGGTCAGATAGAGAAGAAATCATCAAGGTCAGATAGAGAAGAAATCATCAAGGTCAGATAGAGAAGAAATCATCAAGGTCAGATAGAGAAGAAATCATCAAGGTCAGATAGAGAAGAAATCATCAAGGTCAGATAGAGAAGAAAATTAATCATCAAGGTCAGATAGAGAAGAAATCATCAAGAACAGAAATAAGCTTCTGCTTGGGGAAATACCCAGTACTAGGAAGTGCATTCTCTTCAACATAAATAAATAATACAGTGATACTTCCTCCTGAAACAACACCTTAGTGACATTTTTCTACACCGTTACTAGATGTTACTGTGCTCAAGAAATGTGGTTCACAGGAGCAAAACCTGTTCCATGCAGTGATTGGATAGACTTCTTTGAAGCATGTAAACTATCACTGTATCACACAACAGAAATTGGGACCATTTGAGTCTCACTCGCAGTCACAATCCCTCAACTCTTCAGAGCTCAATTCACCAGGACTGACAGGTCAATCGAAGTCACAAAATTTTGTTTCCAGAGGAAGCACAAAGAAAGTGAGCCGAGAACCAAATACCGTGTATCCCCGATTATAAGTCACACCTCCACTTTCAGGCTTGTGCCATATTGCTTCAATCTACTCACATTAGTAGGATGTCACACTCGCTGTTAAGCTGCATCTCCGCGAGGCTTCTTTTGACAGAGAAGTCAAGTGTAAAAAGGTGTAAAAAGGTGTCGGACTGATATTCGAGGAAATACAGTACAGTAATAATTATAATACAGTATCCCGACACACGGTGTTTTTGGCATCACATTCAAAAAGCAAGTCATTCTAAACTTCAGCACAGTAGCAGAGGCGGCGGCTTATCAATAGCGACGCAGGTACAAGTAACTTGAAGACAGTGGTTTCTCAATACCCACACAACTAGAGGGAGGGGGGGGGGGATTATCTTACTGGCATATCGGATGGTTCTGAAATCAAGTTGTAGAAGTTGAACTTCTGCCTCTCCCACTCTCCACCCTCCTGCGGTTGTGGTTCGAAAAGTGTCCGCACTCTATTGAAAGCAGCAGAGAGATACACAAAGTAGCCTACTTTCTGCAATGCACAGATGGATCTCTGTAAACACATCTGGTGGATATACGGCCATGCCAACGCCTCTTAGGCTATTACTGTAACTTGTCACTGCAATATGATCCCATGTCGACTTTCAGATCCAGTGAATATTCTGCATATATATTATAACTTGTACTGCACCACAACAAAACTTCATAGACTTGAACAAGCAGTAGCTCTCTTTCCTTTCACTGTCGTGCTCGGGGGCTAAACTTGTCCTTGGCCCAGAGAAATGGTGTTGCAGGAATCGCCCACCCCAACGCAGTACACCTGCAAAGAACCTCTGTCTCTACAGTAAATTCTTCTTGAAATAGCCATCATATCACCACCATTCCCTATAGATTGACATAGGGCTGATCTGGGACGTGTAGAACAAGGGATGTGATGCTCCCAGTGCATGCCCCGTTACCTTTCATTGCTCATATGCTTCAGGAGCAGTGCAGCGATTTCGTCCTGCCTGGCGTCCAGTGCATACTCCACAGCCAGTCGACCTTCACCATCTGTCAGCTCGGCAGAGGTATCGTTAGTGAGAAGCACCTTGGCGACGTGCACAAAATTCCTGTCGACTGCGACATGCAGCGAAGTTCGCTTAGTGTCATCTGGCGCATTGACATCAACTCCATGGGTTATAAGATGCTGCAGTAGGATGATGGCCTGTAAACATCGGAAGCACAGCGAGAAAGGAAGACCAGCAAATGGCCCATACTTGCGCCAATCAAGAAACACAAACTCATGCCATTGGAGTGATTCTCCTCCAACAGCCAATAGCGAACACGCTGGTAACAGGACCGGAGGAAGTAGTTCATTATTTGTCCGGCCATACCCTATAGCCGTTCATACTTTGTGTATGATATGGAGGGTATACACATGTCCTCTTCAGCAGTAAACACGCGATGGAAGCGGTCTGGTTGGTCCGGCCATGGCCTGACCAACCAGACCGCTTCCGCCGGGCCTGGCATTATAGATAATACCTATACAGGAAACCTTCAGTGTAGCGTGTATAGTGTAACGTGTATATATCTCCACTGAGGGCCCTACTGAAAACCATACCCTATAGAGACCCAGTGACCATTTGACTGCATAATACATTTTCTCATGAACGCAAGAACAACAACACTTATTTCATGCACGACCGAGTGTCGCCATTCGCAAGGTTGACTGTAGTTAGATTTGAACCTTATATAGCCCATAGTATGTTGTATCCAGGGTACTAGTAACTTGTCAGGCTGAAGTTGCGCTGTACCTGTGCTGTGGACGTGTGTACTTGCAGCTTGCTGCTGCTTACCTACGTAGGTCAGTCTGTATTATGCTGTGTTTGTGTGTGTGTGGGGGGGGGGGGGGTTAGAACTTTGAGTTGAATTTTTTTGAAACTTGGGGAAAATATTCATTGTGTTTATTTTGCCTGTAAAAGAGGCTGTATATTGCACCTGTGCACAGGCATGGCCTATGCAAAGGCAATGGCATTGTACATATGCACAGCACACCTTACGAGCTCTGATTATATCAGTGAATGCTTGCATTAGCAGGTTGTCCAGGGCCGGATTGGGATTATGAAATTCAGAGCAGCAGTACCCACCTCTCCCTCCTGCCGACATTTGTCAAGTATGAAGTACATGGCGTGATCTTCCCCGCCGTGAATGTCTACCATACGCTCCACACGAGCCGCTACCAGTGCCTTCTTCTTGTTGAGTCCTTCCATGGTCATTTTCTCCTCCACCTTAACAGAATGGAAGACAGCACATGTACATTATAAATCAAATATATCTACATTGCGCATTATTCAAGTCCACCACTGTTTCGTGAAAGTCAAACTAACTTCGAATGGCCACCATATGGCTCTCAGAGAATACTCATGCCTGTACTGGAGGAAAGTAACCCACATACAGGTAAAAATGTTGCAACTTGACTACCCCTAGGCACCTTATATGATTATTTTGCTAAGGACAAAAATTTGCTAAGGACAAAAAGTCTCTTTTTGCAGTTGAGCTGGCGCTGTGCACCCAGAATTCGTATGAGTGCATCCGCTAAACAGGAGGATGTGCATAGTACTGTATGTACAAGCAGTACATGTACATGTAGTTGTAGTTGCAGTGCAAACCTTATCCTTTGTCACAACCCAAAGGTGCAAATCCTCACATCGGAATAGACACACACACACACACACACACACACACAAACACACACAAGCGCGCACGCACGCACGCACACACACACACACACACACACACACACAAGCACACACACACACACACACACACACACAAACACACACACACGCGCGCGCGCATGCATGTGCACATACACATACGAACAAGAGGCTGGTGCAGGGTTTCAAGGAAACACATCCCATGGTGCAAGTCGGCACATGGATTGCTTCTTGGCTGACTTATTGCTATTATTCCGCGTTGACATCACCAAGCAAGCTTGGCCAGTCTTCACTTAGGCCAAATGGAATGAAGAATGAGGAGCGAGCGAGGTCAAGACTGTAGACTAACATGGTATACGAAGCATCTGCAGTCGAACTGGCAAGTTCAACTGACAAATATCCAACCCAGCTATGAGTACTAGTAGACACAATACACCTGCCAAGTACCTAGTTAGCCACCTCAGGTGGCACACCACCATTCTTCATACATAATTCTTTCCATTTGTACAATACAGATTAACATTGTGTGGATCATGGGATGGTGATGGCTGTGGACGGGTCACCAGTCACTCTACCCTGTACATATGCAGGGTTCTAGCCAGGTAAAAACAGTAGGGACAGGGGGGGGGGGCAGGGGAAACAGTTACCCCGTAACCCATTTTTCCGTTTTCTAAAAGTCTCTTGCCATGTCAAATGCAACGTTCTGGGGCGAACCCCCGACTTCACCCCTCACAAATGTGCCGTTGTGAACCCTCTAGCAGTGACTAGAGACTGCATTTGCGTTGAATGGCATAAAAGACACAAATATCGACAAATGAGTAGGGGGGGGGGGCTTAATCAGAGTAGGAGGGCACTGCCCCCCCCCCCCCCCTTGACTAGAACCGTGATATGCAGATGGTATGATCTTCATGCAGGTCTCTACATTGTACAGTGCTGGCAACTGAAATCCGACCCCCCTAGCGTCTCGTACGAATCGCTAACGCGGCTAGCGCACCACTAGGGGGGGGGGTCAGAATTTCAGTTTCCAGCACTGTAGTTCCTCTACCCCGTACATAGATCCTATGATATTCATAGATTATTAACTAATCATTCTGCCGGTAGTGCCTTGCCACTTGAGATTCTCAGCATTGCCGCACCACACCGGTGGTGGTGTTGTGTGTACTCTGCTGGATGAAAATTAATGGCACTCAAATTGGGTACTACGGGCCATCTACTCCGTGCCACAGAGTATGCGGCCTATACGTAGTCATGCCACCCAGCAGGCCACTTGGACTAAAGAGGTGTCACAGCCGGTGCAGGTGGATGAGGGATGGAGGGGGACCATTCCTCACACACCTATTATGATTACCAGTATTTCGAGCATCACCACTAGGCATTTGCCCAGAAGACGAACTATTGAAAACTTGATATTCCGAGTATTATGTGATGGCCCTACTAGGATTGAGTAAGAATCTGTCACCACTGTGTCACATAGGGTTATAATTATTGTAACAGGGCATGGTGGACAGGGCATGGTGGACAGGGCATGGTGGACAGGGCATGGTGGACAGGGCATGGTGGACAGGGCATGGTGGACAGGGCATGGTGGACAGGGCATGGTGGACAGGGCATGGTGGACAGGGCATGGTGGACAACCTAACTTATGAATGTTTGAATGAGTCCACTTGAAAACTGTTAGCCAGCAGTCATCCTCAGATCAGGTGTCAGGAAAGCATCTTCAGTGCAAGGGTTTTCTTTGAAAAGCACTTCAAAGTCATTGTAACACTTGCATGCCTTGCCTCAACTCAAGTTCAACTGGCCAGCTTCTTGCCATGATAAGATGCCATGCTGATCATGGCATGCAATGACTAAACTGAGTGAAGGTTAGGCCGTAAGGTGAGGACACTACCGCTGGGTGTTCTAGGTCACTCTGTGGGCTCTGCAGAGGCTCTTGTGTGAGAGGTGGTCCTCCTCCGGCCGCCTTACAGCTACACCGTTGCTCTGCTTTCGGTCTTTTACATGCAGGCAGCCAGAAGCCATAGTGCGGTGGGCAAACGTAAAGTTCACACGTCCGTGTTACCACCTGATATACAATTGTGTCTAGAAACACAACCAGATGAAGAGCACTGGGCAGTGTGGCCTAGCCAATGGGCATTGTGTGATTTGTGGGAATTTGTGTTGGCATCGACTGTACCAGAATCCATCGCTTATACTTCAAAGTAAAATAAAAAAAAATACTTGATAAGCATAAGATAATATAAGATTACTTGTATAAGATATGCGCATGAACATGTGGGTCGATAACCCCCCCCCCCCCCCCCCCTCTCCCACCCCCTCCCCAGTGATAGATAGGCACTGGCAGATGGGACACGGCCCACATACCCACGTGCTGTGATACACTGCTGAGGAGGCAATCACCTTCCCTCTGCACTGCTCATGCCCCGATTCAGCTCTCAGCGTGCAGTGTAAATTTCCAGTGAGGTGTCTAACTTTGGAAAGTCGTCTGCCCGCAACACTTTACCTTGTCAATAGCCAATTTACACCTGAATCCCTGCACATGCACCATGAAACATAATTATGCACAAACCTTTCTCCAAACAAACCCCCGATTTCATCCTGGACGACTTTACACCCATATCTCACTTATCCGGGTGTACCCCGGATCGAGTATTGCTCATAACTTTGAACTCTGAATCACATGTGCTTCAATGGGGAAGCCGGAAGGGCTAGATACCTGGCATGACTTCACCTTTCCCCACAACTTGAAATTGGCAAAAAGAGTGGTAACATTTTCAATGAAACTCACACAAAAGGGTGTCCCGTAGATGAGGTGCCCGCAACTACTTCCAGGTCCGTAAAAAGGGAGAGTAATAATCCCTAATGGCACGATAATTGTTTCTCCGTGTGCACACACCAAGTCGATGCCACGGACCGGGAGCATGATATATCTGTAGGAATCGCCCATGTAATGTTTTAAGTGACAACTGGCTGTTATTGTGGATGCGAGCGCTGTTAGATCAACATGGTGGCCTCTCCCATGCTTCCTGTCAGAAATGATGGGTTGTGGTTTTAGCATAGCCAATCTCTGCTGCATCTTCAGAACAAGCCTAGTGCCTACATATAGTCTACATGTGCTAATGCCCAATACCTACTAAGGTTGTATCCTCTCTGATTACTACTGAGCACTCCCTGACTATGATACAGGTGTATGTGTGGAGGGGGGGGGGGGGGTCGTGTGTGTGCAGGAGCGTGCTCGGCCCCCCAACTAGGGGGGTGCACGGGAGCCGAGGGGACCCCCCCCCCCCGGCAATTTTCTGCAATTTGTTTGCAACCTTTCTTGAATTTTAGAGCATATTTGCATACATTACAATTGCAATTACCCAGATTGAAAATTTTTGGGGGGTGCACGTGCCCCCCGTGCCCATCGCCGAGCACGCGCCTGGTGTGTGGGTGTGTGTGTGTGTGTGTGTGTGTGTGTGCGTGTGTGCGTGTGTGTGTGTGTGTGTGTGTGTGTGTGTGTGTGTGTGTGTGTGCGTGTGTGTGTGTGTATGCATTGGCACATTTACGTGCTTCTCTTGCGACGGGCGTATACATGGTGCATGGTGTGTGTGTGTGTGTGTGTGTGTGTGTGTGTGTGTGTGTGTGTGTGTGTGTTTGGGACAGAAGACTGATTTTGGTAACAGACGGCAAAATCAAGTCTTACCATGCGCATGAGGTTCGAGTCCTCCGGACCATCGAACAGCTCCTCGTCACCCCTGTGCCGGCTTCCCATGAAGGCCTTCGGTGTGTGCCTTGCCGAGCTTCCGGCCCCGGATGCCTTACTAGCTCTCCTGCTCATCAAGCCTTGGAGAACTGCAGGCATGCCCAGGGTACGTGATCTTGGCCTTCCCATACTGCCTTCCGAGGCATCTCCACTTGGGCTGGGGTTACGGAAGCGGAAGGCGTCAAGGAGCCGTGACGATGATCGCCGACTGCCCGGCGGCGGTTCGCTTGGTGTTGGAGAGTGAGATGGTAATCTTAGAGAGTCCGCAGGCTCACCTTGACCTGGATTGAGCAACGTAGAGTTGAGCCCTGCTCCGGCGGTGTGCGGCGCCTCCTTGATTTCAGAGTCATCGGCATGTTCTCCAGGACAGGCTGTTGTCTGAAAGGAGGTGGTGTCATGGTGTTGCTCTTGCTGCATGTCTGCAGACTGCGCATGCTGTGTGCTTGGGTATCCTAATCCAGTACCATCACTGGCGGCGTGAGGGTTGGCATGTTGCAGCTCCATCTCGTTAACACCGTATTCCGTCGCTCGTGAAAATGACCGCACGGATGTGTTACGCGACAAGGACCTGGCATGCTGTGGGTGCTTCTGACTCCATTTGCTCAGTGCCGCAGTCAGAGAGTAGTTGACTTCGCTCGCCACCAATGACGAGAGGCTGTTGTGGTTTGCTTGGTAGCTCTGCTCCAATCGAGCGTGACCACCATCTTCCACTGATTGCCCTTGCTGTCGTTCATTGGCAACGTCACCATCATCATAATCTCCATTCAATGTGCAATCCCGCATGGGTGTTGCCAATGCCGAATCGCTGTCAAGGACAGTGTGGTTGGAGTAGGTAAGAGAGGCGACGCTTCGATCCAGAGTACTGGCTGCCGATGGAGACATTGCTGTTCCACATTCAATTCCAGCGCCAGTATCAACAACTACCGCTGTGCCTCTGCCATGTTGGCGTTTCTTGCCGCGAAAGATGCCATGGCCTTTCTTCTTGCTAGCCACTGGCGGAGATGAGCTTGGGTGAGAACACCCTTCACTGTCGCCCGCCAATGGAGACTTTGGTCGCTTTTTGCTCAGCAGTTTCCTGTTCCGTTCCGACAACAGTTCCGTCAGGTCACCACCGCTATTGCTTCTGAAACCTACTGACAACGGAGAAGAATCACTGGACGTGATTTCCATGGCCACCGGAGTCAACAACTCATCCTGGTCCACTGACGCGTGTACCGACTCCATTGCGCTAGTTTGCGGGTGAGGTTGGTGAAACTGCCAGCTCGCTATTCGCAACACCGAAACTCCAAACACACAGTAGAGCCTCAGACTCAGAGACGCTGGTTCATCTACCCTGGAGCTTGCTGCAGGCAATGACGTCCATGTCAAGCTAGAAGACTACAAAATGTAATGTAGTAATACATGAAAGATAGCCAGTTGCAGACGAGTATTTCCACAGCTCCACTACAGCCTTGGCAAAACTGACACGTGCAGCACTTAGGACAATGGGAAAGATCTAGGAGCTAGCTCTCATCCTGAACCACCGGCACTTGTCCTAAGGAGATCTTCTGTGATTTCGGGCTTTCCACAGCTCGTGCCGGCAAGGTCCCGGATCGCTGAGAAGTCGGTCAGGTGTTCCAACTAACGCTACTTTCACACCTAGTACCTCGCTAAAGTGTAGATCGCGCGCACGGCGATTCCGAGCCCTCCCCGGAGCCGGAGAGTCAGATTTCTTCTCCACTTTCTACGCGCCTGCATGCATGCAGACGCTTGTACCCTACTATACTCCTGCCGAGTCCTGGGCTGTTGTTCCAAGAACTCACACAGGATATGAGAGGCTTTTTGGTAGCCGCTACGAACGTACAGTCATACAACTACAAGGAAGTAAAAACGGTTGGTTACTTGTGCTTTGTAGTTGTAGTCTTCTGACCAGGCAGTCCGATGGGTGCGGAAGAGGATGAGGTAGATGGTGGAACAGATCTACAGCAAAGAGTACTGACTACTGCTCACGTCAGTGCACTCTTTTGTAGACTAGATACTATTAGTATTACTACATGTATTACTAAGATAGAACGAACTACTGTAGTGTAGGGTGGTAGATCTACTGGTAGATCTACTGGTAGATCTACCAGCAGAGCTAGGCGGTCAGTGCAGTACGCAGTCAGGCTAGCGCTGACCTGACCCTTCTCCGGCTAGGCCGGCTGCGGCTAGGCCGGTGACCGCGCGTTGTCGGCTTCGAGTGCTACGTGCATGACAGCTGTGCAACTAACACTTTTATTTCCACAGTGACACAGCTCAGCCTTTTGTCAGATCCGAGCACGAGATAGGCGTGGAATGTGTTACTACTACTAGTACTTACATAAAGTGCCGTTGCCGAGGCGTTGGATTTCCTTATGATGGTGTACTACAGCTGTAGTAGATCTACGTCCGCTTTGCTACATGTAGATCTACCAAGTGTTAGTCTCAACGAGACGCTACTCTGAGTAGGTCTACTCGTGAATCTACTCCATCGACGTCCCAAACCGGTACAGGTACATAAGTCATATTATAATAATGTCATTGTCAATGTAGAGTGTAGTGCCAACTACACTGTCTACAGTAGTGGTAAAAAAAAACCTCTTCAGCACCCCTACTGCCTACTGGGCCCTAGCCCTGGGTGGTAGTTATACTCAAAGATCTTGTAGTTGCTTGGCAAAGATCCGCACCTGTTTTCCGGAATCGTAGTAACCTGTGCCATCCTTGCCCTGCTAGGACTAGTAGTAGATCTACTAGTACTACGGGCAGTACGGGCAGTACGGGCAGGAGTCCGAGTAGGAGTCCTGCCCGCCAGTGCATCATCATCAGTGTCAGTGCACTGTAAGTGATGCTCTTCAGTCTTCACTGACTTCATATCAGGCACAGTCAATCTTCCTCAGCCTACTCAAGCTTGCAAGCTCAACTGATGAGGGTGCCCGAACCACTGACAGTGAGTCTGTGAGCAGGGAGTGGTGCGTTCTTGCAGGTTTTGCCGAGTCGAAGGTTCTATGGACTTCTCGTGTGCTCTGGATGGCAGTCGTGAGTCAGTCAAGTGTCAAGTCAAGTCGGCGGGCTCCAGTGTGTGGAGCAAACCCCTTTCCTAATAATCATCGCCGTGTATGCGCAGCATTGGCGCTGAGCCTGGGACCATGCTCCCAAGCTTATCAGTGAGGCGGCAAGTCTCGGGACTGTGCCATGCTTGTGCTACCTGTTCAAGCTGCGCTACATTTCCGGTCCGGCCCAGCTGACAGACAGGCTGCCACCTGCTGCCCCTGAACCTGCCCGCCCAAGAACCCGCCACCAACATCAAGTGAAACACTCCCATGCCTTCCAGTTGTCACCCCCCCCCCCCCCCCTCCCCACATAAAGTCCTGACATCCTACACCGATCGTTCTCGTTCCGCCTACTCACAACATGGAATGCTCTACCCTCTCGGCCTCTGCCATGCTGAACGCCCCCCCCCCCCCCCCTCCCCCCATCCCAGGCAGTGCTGCAGCGCTTCAAGGTAGCGTACACCTGGTACAACTTACTAATTGACCTTTTTGGGTGCAGCCCTGTCACTCGAGTTGAACTCGAGTTGAACCTTGGTGTGAAAGTTGTCGCCTGCTAGCGTGGTGACCAGGTGATTTGGGCACCCAGGAGCACGTGTCCACTTGTTCAACCATGTTCGATTGGGACTAAAGGAGGAACGCTGCATCGCAGCCTTTTCGGACCAAAACCAGTCGACTCAGCGTCCAAAAGACTACAACATATGGGCCAATCGCGGTCATCCGTGCTTTTATAAGAACGAAACGGCGCTTTTAGTGACATTTTGCATACAAATCCCCATCTAGTAGGGCGCAGTCACCTAGTTTCGGTGGAAGTGCGCGAGTTCGATTGGGATTCAAGTAGGAAGGGAGCGTCTCAGCTTTCTCGGACCAAGACCATTCGACTCAGCACCCCGAAGACTACAACTGGTGAAATTTTAATTTTTGCCTTAACTTCCCCTTTAAATACCTCAGGTCGAGATATAGCCAGACTCAGATACATGTTCGCTCCCCACACCGGAGCTCGCGCCGAAGTCGCAACCACTACCGGTATTTCGTACTGTTGTGCCGAGCGCGGGCTTGCGACTAGCTGGTTTGGAGGTGACAGCGTTGTGAATGACCGAGGGTCCTTGACGTCTGTTCTCACCGGTACCGTCCACGAGCGACACTGACTCACGCTGCTATCTGGTGTTCACGAGGTGTTTGCCGCGCTGGAAACGGCGCGTCTCTGTAAGTTTGTATCCCTGGTGATGTTTGTGCCTGGAGAGCACTATGATAAGTGGTGCTCTTCAGGCACAATCTTCCTCAGCCAACGAGCGCTCGTAATCCAGCTCAACTGATGAGGGGTGAATTCCCCGAAACACTGTGTACTAGTATTGAGCAGGGAGTGGTGCTTTCTTGCAGGTTTGCCGAGTCGAAGGTTCGATGGACTTCTCGTGTTCTCTGGATGGCAGTCGAGTCGTGAGTCAGTCAAGTGTCAAGTCAAGTCGGCGGAATAGCGCGAGCTCCGGTGTGGAGAGCAAACCATTTTCTTACAAATCATCGCCGAAGTCGCCACCACTATTATTTTATTATTATTATTATTACTTGCATGTACGCGTTGAAGTCAACCATGCAAGCATGATCCACAACTTCGCTTATGCTGAACATGATAAACAGGACTATGACAGGGGGGGGGGGGGGGGAAACTGAGCAGGGAAGGCCTCTTTTACGGGCAAAGCAAAGCACAATCATCACCATGTATCAGTACAGTGAGACACGAATGAGAAATGTGAAATGGAATAAAAACAATACTTGTAAAAAAATAAAAAATAAAAATTCAATATCGAACACGAATAAAATAAAATAAAAATATGTAAAAAATAAACAATATCGAACACGGAATTAATTCCGGAACTATCTACTCAACCAATTCATAATGCAATACCCGCACACTGTGAACAACTGAAAAACTGAGCTAGAACGATGAATTATCATAATTATACAATGTAGCTCATGGGTATTGAAGATATGTCATTTATGAATATGTCTATAATTATGTTATTGAATATTGCAGCCTGAGTGATAATAATAGTGCTATTTCCTGAGTTTGACTGTTTCAGGATCTGTCGGAATGCTGTCGGAATGTCACCTGGTCACGATGCACAGATCTTCATGCATAGATCTCGCCATGCGGGTCGGTCATGGGCAATGGCTCGCAGGCTAGGCTCTGCAGAGCGTCTACAATGTAGCTAGGTTCCCGAGCAATCCAGCATTGGCTTGGCGCAGATCTCCCACCAATGCCTGCGGCAGGGTCGTCCGCGGTCTACCCCTCCAGCATTGCTGTCGCTGATTGGCGAAGTACGCGAACATAGCCATAACAGCTGGGGATTCATCCGCCATCCGCAGGATGTGGCCAAACAGCCTCCAGCGTGATCTCTTGACCATGACACTCAAGAGTTCAGCTTCGCATCTGGCATAGAGGGCATCATTCGGTATTATTTCAATATTTGTGGCCATTTCACACCGATGAGTGACCTTCACTGACGGCGGTGGAAGGAATCCAGGCGAGACAGAACGCGTTAACGGTCACACTGACCCCCCACGTACCCGAGTTGTACGTCAGTACTGGGATAATAAAGGTGTTGTACAGCCGCAGACGCAACTTCTCGCTGATGTGCTGATGCCTCTTCCAGAGGCTCCATAGGGACTGAAATGCTGCAGTCGCCAGCTGTTTCCGCCGCATAATATCCTCTTCGTCGCCCAGCAGCGAACCCAGCTTGCGCGTTGTCCTCCACTCTTCATCGATCCTGACCGCACTTCTGAAGATGTCCGTATACTCAGGTTTGTCCCGGTTCATGACCAGGGACCACTGTGGTAGCACCGTGCTGGCAGTCGCCTCCACGTCCGCCAGCCAGGACTTTGAGGTGCTGACAAAGTCTGCATCATCCGCATATACGAGTTCGAGCGGCAGACCGTTGTCGCTGAGAGGTCTTGCTGGTACCTCTTACCTTAGTTGTCGGAGCGCAGCCTCCAGGTAAATCGTGAAGAGAACGGGGAAAGGCAATCTCCCCGTGGCGTCCCCTTCGTTGTAGCAAATGATTCCGACTGGCACCTCCCAAGCCGAACACGAAGTCTGGTGTTAGAGATCAAGACCCTGATCAAGCGAACGTCATCGTCACACAGAAACGCCTCCAGAACAGTCAGCAAGGTGTCTCGCTTGATCGTGTCAAAAGCCTTCGACAGATCAATGCCCAGCAGGTGAACGGTGCTGTGGTAGCGCTGGGTCTTTGCCACAAGCCATCGATGCGCCCACACCACATCTGCGGTGGATCGGCCAGGGCGGAAGCCGCTGTGCGTCTGGGCTAGGTACTGGTCAACCTTGGGTCTGACTCGAGCTATTTTTAAGGTGAGGAGTGACAGGGTCTTTCGCAGCGTGTTGAGGAGAACTATCGGACGTAAATTTGATGGTGGTCCCAGCGGCTTGTTGGGTTTCTGAAGTAGGATCAGACTGCCACTGCACTGCCTATATCAACCACTATTTAGTCATAATAATAATAATAATTACCGTACTTCCGCACATACATGTATAAGCGCATGTGCTTACGTCCGGACAGAAGCGCACCCCCAATTATAAGCGCATGCGCTTATAATATGTGAACACTATTGGTGAAACACCCGGGAGCTGAATATACTGCTAAGCATTGTGATAACACTGTTGTTTAGAACACAGACAAACCTTTATTGCACATATAAGCGCATGGGCCCGAACATGTTCACACAGCAAAACATCTTTTTGGTAGCAAATTTTCACTTATAAGCCCATGGGCTTATATGTGGGGAAGTACGGTATTCTTGATGAAACCCAAGCATATACTGTACCATGATATACCGGTACTGTCACGAAAGTGCAGAACTCAAAATAATTACCGTAGAATCCCGCTGATAAGCCCATGGGCTTATCTGTTTCACAAGGACATTTCGGTGGGCTTATACGAGAACATGGGCTTATACGCCGACACCAAGTTGTGCTATTGAAAAGTATCAAGGAAGTGTGAAGTACATTGCTGAAAATTACTGTGCAAACAAAAACAACCGATGATTGTGCTGAAATGTACCAAAAAAACTATAATGTGCATGACTACGTACATGTACATGTACATGGTATGGCCAATAGTCCATAATTTATGGACTCCCGGTATGACCTAGGCCCATGGGCTTGTACGATGAAGCTGTGTGATGTTCGAACAAACCCTGGGCTTATGCGCGGGCATGGGCTTATACGCGGGTGGGCTTATCCACGGGATTCTACGATATGTCATAATGATCTGAGCTTATGCCAAACAAAGTAACTTTTTAGTTGTCACAACTAATACTTGTGCAAAATACAGCTGTGCGGGCAGTACATGACTGACTGTACTTCAGTTCAGATTCAGTAGCAGCAAGATGGGGGGGGGGGGGGGGGGGGGGGTACGTACTCTGTCTGGGGAGCAGCAAGGAGATAAGAGATGTGCATGAGGAATGTGACTGCAGTGCATGGTATGATCATGATGCAATATCTGTTGGGCTCCTCGCCAGTAGCCACTGGCTGGATCGTGAATGTTTGGTCACTTGTGTACACCTAGTAAAAACTTACTTCAAAAGTAAAGTATATAACCCCTCGCCAGTAGCCACTGGCTGGATCGTGAATGTGTTAGTCACTTGTGTACAGTAAAAACTTACTAAAAAGTAAAGAAGTCATAACTTTATAGTCCACACATCCGCACTACAACTGGCAAACACAACTAACTTAGGATAGTACCGATATCACTTTACTAAGTTAGTACATGGACTACCTTCTTGTTTCACATAATAAAAGGGATCCATTGGAATTTTAATTGGGGAAATCAGTCCTTCCTCCTTGGAATCAGGGAGTAGTAAACACATGTGTGAAAGTAAAGTTCGCACATCAGCGTTACCACCGGCTTCCAATTGTGTTGAGAAACACAACCAGCTTAGAGAAGTTTTGCTCGTCCCTGGCCACCACAGTGCCTGAAAGTATGTGGAGCATTAGCCCTTAGGGCCTGGTCAGACTGCGGCAAAATCGAAATAATCCTGTGATTATAATCCGAATCTCCATAGTAACTTGCCGCCAGAGCGGCAAAAGCGGGAGTTGCCGCTCCAAACAGGAGTTTGACGCTGATACGCCATTAACGCTGATATTCACTGATTTTTTCATCTCGGAGCTAATTGGACGCGGACAACAACAAGACTCATAAGGATGGTTGCAAGGATTGCACTGAAGGTGTTGGCGATCCCCAAGCCAAGGTGAAGGAATTTGACGTCGTTCGTGGAGATTACCACTTGACGCTCGAAATGAATCTTCATTCTCCCCACATGTGCAGTGTGATCGCGATTCAAATTCTGGACGCTTTTCTTTTTTCATCAGGCACCGAAAATTTGCCGCAGTCTGACCAGGCCCTTACACGTGGGCAGAGGCCTGCCTTTGTATGCCAGTCTTACTTTATGGTTTCACGCAGTTGGCTTTGTGAAATGTTCACCTGTTGGACCAATATTGTAATGTAACTGTTACGTTCCAGTCAGACTGGCATATACTCGTACAACACCCCGGTTCCAGTGGGGCACCCTCAAACCATTCTGGGTATTCCCCTCAGTGCAGAGCCCCACGCACTGTCCCAGGGATCCGTACTGTAGTTCACAACCCCCTAGTCTGTACAAGTACATGGTCTTAGATAACCTTAATGCGAAACCTCCCTAATCAGTTGAATGATGCAGTGCAAAAGTGCCCATCGGCTCTACGCTGCATGCAGTATCCCCCAGACAGTAAAGGTACATCACACAGACTTCTGAAAAGCCACTTAAAAAAAGTGACTTTGCTACAGTCATTGAAAACCAAGTTGTGCTAAACAACAACAGTAGCCCAGCAAATGCGATGGAAACCAAAAGCAAGAAAATCCAAAAAAAATGTTAGTACTGCCTGCACGGAACGCACAGACACACAAACAGCCAAAAATATAACGACGTAAAATGCAATGCATATGGTTGGCAGCTCGTACAACAAACAGACGACAAGCTATACCCATCAAATTCGGTCGTTGGTCACAGCAAAAGGCTTCAAAATGGAACAATGAGTACTCTGCACGTATAACAAGTACAAACAAGGGAAAAGTGTGTGTGTGTGTGTGGGGGGGGGGGGGGGGAGGGGCAGAAAAAAGAGTAAAATCAAACGCTACCATGCCATACGGACAGCCCCAAATCACGAGTGAAACGTAGAAAAGAGGGTGAAAACAGACAATTTGAGTTATTACAAAAGACATAAAACAGAATGAATAGGAATGGCTGGTGGCTTGTAAAAAGACTAGGGATATGACACAGGCTGTGTATGCCAAGTGTGGCCAGCTGAAACAGCGTTCGCCTTCTAGGTTAGCAGGCACAGGCGCAAGCACGTAATGCCACCCGAGGCAGCAGGTTGCAGAGACACCCGTACATATCTACAATGTAAGGCACGGCGCAACTAGCAATATGTGGAGACGGGTGGACAAGAAAGGTGCAGCACAGACACAAGATGATAGAGTATGTACGCAGCAATGGCAGGCACTAACGGCGCGCGGCTTGGTCTACACAATCATACAGTCTTACAGGTTACTCTTGGAATTGCTGCTGCACAGTCTCAATCGTTGCTTGCACCGCTGCAAGGTCGAAGGGAGAACCAGTCACACGGGCATAGATGTCCATGATGTCGTCGCACACAGTCTCGAAGTGAGTTGTAGCATCATACGACCGGGAGACGAAAACCTGCCAACAGAAACAAACGAAGAACGGGTGACATTCCGGCCAGGAAATTGAAACGAGCATATAGAAACTGAGAGCCACTCCAAGACTCCACCAGCGGTTACAGTACATTTGCATTGATGATTCTGGCTAGCTAAAAATAACATTGACGCTTATATTCCTGTACAGCTCTGGCTCCAGCAAAAACGGTAGACCAAGTTTCTCAAGCTTGCACACAGGCAAGCGGGCTATGCAAAAATGTGGATACTTTAGCGAAGGGAGGTAAAATTCTAGCATGCTGGTGCAATACGCTGCACAGAAATAACAAGGACCAGCATCAGCTACTGGACAAAGATGTTTCGTGCACAAGAAGCTTGCTGATTGTCCAAGTGAGTGTGGTAGGTCTACTCGTACACCATGACTAAATTCAGAAGCCAGCACCAGAAAATACGGAGCTGGGAAGTACGCTACAGTCCCTACTTTTATGGCTCATATGGTCTATTGCCACACAAGGAAAGGTAGCACAGCTTACCTTGTTTTTCGTGCCGTCATCAAGTGGCTCATAAAGATCGGACACAGAGAAGAATCTGTACAGAACGGGGAAAGCACAAGCCATGGAAATATGATGTTAAGTAACACGGACAGGCAGGGAACCATCAAGAAGAGGCTTCAAGCTTGCCGGAAAAAACCTAAATAATGCCCAAGGGAATGCTAACTACAGTATATACGAATGCAAGCGTGGGGCGGAAAACCAACGATGTCGAAAACTTTGTCTGGACTAGTTTTCAGTTACATCTCATTGTTTGCATGATATAATTATGAGATTGGAGGTGCAATCCTGTTCTACCTTCAAGTGTCTCTTGTTCCTTAAACAAATCTTGTTTATAGTAAAGAAAAGGACCAAGGAACTACACGTTGCGTTATAATGTCCACTAACACCACCAGTTACTTACGTTCATATGTTTTCATATAACTTAGAACCTTCCAAGTTGGAAGGCTGTTGGAGTGCTCATCCAAAACGTGCTAGAGCTGATAGCTAGTTAGTTGTAGAACGTCAGTACTGGCGGTCAGTTTTCTGCAATGTTATCGCATGAGCTGATTGTCAAGTAAATGTGGTGTAAATGTGGACATTATAGCGTAACTTGTAGTTCCTTGGTCCTTTTCTTTACTATAAATTAATATTTGGCTCTCCATCCGAGTCTATTCTTGCACATCTTGTTTAATCAATTGATATCATCCATAATGTAGCTGGTTTGGTAATGAGGGGACACAGCCAGCCATGGTTTGGTGGCATGCAAGCTGCTTTGGTAATTTTTGTTGTAATAAATTCTCGCACCACCAAAAGCACGACTGTTACCTACTACTGCCGGAGGTCAGTTGACACACAGTCCGGTTCTTCTACAAACGTTGCCTACTTCCCTACAGGAGTGCTACCCTACTCCACCTTTGCTCGCCAAGCATGCCCAGAATACTGCATACGCACAACACAAACATTGCACCAGATGATGCAAGTTTTCACCCACAGTTGTGTGCTGGGCATACAGCGAGTCCAATGCAAGTTGGACATTTTCAAGTTGAATACAACACATATCAGAGTAGTGTCAGTTAAAATAAACAAGCAACAAGACATACACACACACACAAAAGCTTCATCTTACTTGTCCTCGACTGGTCCAAGTAGATCAAGACCGGGCTTGAGTTCATCGTGAGGCGAGGCAGTCTCCACCGTTGTGCTGACCATGGCAATGAAATGACCCTTGCTAGCGACGCTATGGGAATAGGACACCATGCACACGTAGATGTCGGATTTGCGGCCAACCTGGTTCTGTGGAATGATGATCTGGCTCGACACGGAATCCTTCGTGTTGGGAATAGGGTGATTGAGGATGCAGATGCAGCGCACCACCTGGCCGATCTTCTTTACCTTGTCGTTGAAGTAAGATGGGTCGCCAATGACACACTTTGTCTTGGCGGTCTGCACACACCATAAGCAAGAAAACGGTAAAGTCACACCATGTTCTGGGGAATGATCAGGATCCAGCATTACATTTTGAACTATTTTGAAACGATTAGCTAGAGTATGTACCCCCAAGAGTGTGCAACTCCCGCATACCCTGCTGTCCCGACAGAATGTCAAGTTGACGTCATTTTTATGATGCAATGCTCCTAGCACGGGTGATTTACGACGATGTTAGCACAGGGTGTACACGCATCATACGTGTTTCCTTGAACCAGTTTGTACTGGATCAAATGGGGATTTGTCCGCCATGGGTCCAGGATATGTAATTCTGTTGGGACAGCACCCATGGTGGAGGCAAACACTCTTGCTTTTAGACAGTTGTATTAGGCACGAGTGCCTCCGGTCGATCAAAGCATGTGCTATCTGTAGATGTAAGTGACACATACACAACGATCTACGAGGTACTAGCACTGAACTTCACACCATAGCCGTCAATGAAAAATAAAAGATAAAACCATTCCACCCGTCCCAACTTCTCAGGGAAACCTGACGATGAACATGGCCCTACACTGAACAACTGAGTACTGTTGAGTATGTTTCACACTGCTTTTCAAAAGAGATTGTACTGTCATTCATGTGCTACGCAGCTAACTTCCACATATGCAAGATACTGGAGACTATACGCCACAATTTCGCACATGATGAACACCAGTGTACAGAAAGAACTAAAGGGCGTACGCAACGGCACCAAAAACGAAGTATCGCATCCCATCCCTTGAAGAGGTACTACCGTCAGGATCAACATCAACACTTCCAACAAGCTGCTTCACTACGAAAATAGCAACGCCACAGTGCATAGCATATAACGTACCTCTCCCTCCGACTTGACTCCAGTCACGACACCGTCAGTCATAACAATCTCTTCAATGGGCTTGTCCAGCATGTATGTGCCACCATAGATGGCACTCAATCTAACAGAAAAGGAGCAACAGAAAAGGGCTTCTTTATCTGACAGGTTCAATCTCGTTTCATGGTTTCGTACTGATGCATCCACACAAGACAAAGCAGCAACGTCTGCTAATTGAGGAGGTTGGCTCCTAAACATCCAGTGCATCCACAGATTTTCTCTTATAGCAACGATAGCGAACAAGATCTGAATGAGACAGATCAAGACTTGCGCCAGATAACTGTCTAATCCACACAACACACACACGTGACCACACCGACATCCACACACGTGACCACACGTATTATACAAGCTTGTTGCAAATGTTGCTCTACCGCACTCTAAGCATTCACAGCAGGGAAACCAGGCGAGGCACTGCTGTACATACCGAGCGAAACCCTGCGGCAGCTCTCCAAGACCATAGAGAGGGTAGAGATAGGGCGTCTTTCCATAACGAGCCAGCGAATCGGAATAAAGACGCACTCTCTTCAATGAGGCCAGGCATGGCTCAGACTTGTAAGTATCATCACGGTGGAGAGCGAGAGCATGACCAGTGAAGTCGGCAGTATTTGAATCCAGACCAAATTTCGTGTATACATCCTGCATAGTGGATTCGGTGGGGCTGATACCTAGAAAAAAAAACAAGAAGAAGGCAAGTACGTAAGCACACTGGACGTCAAGAGGCGCGCATGGGACCAACACTGGACTTGATTACTAGTACCATGACATTGTATAATTTCCGTGTGCCACAAGTATCCTGTAGCTTGTTCAGGACACTGATTGTCACGCAGGGATGAAACGGAAAGAGAGAAATGTGACTCAAGCAGGTGGCAATGGCAGGCAGGATGCTAGAACAAACTCGCGACCTGCAAGAACACAATGCTTCCAGTACATGCCATGCACCCACATTGTACCACTGGTCTGATTACGACAATAGCATCACCTACCCTTCCACGTTTTCGGGTCCTTCTCATCAAACTCCTGCGCATATACAAGGAAGTTTCGGAACCGGCGCTTCTCAAACATGCCCATCAGACCTATGGCAGAAGAGAAGGAAAGGAACATTTAGCCAACACTTCGAATTCTAAGCAATGAAGATGAAAACAAACGCTCACCCCAACCAACAAACACGCACACAGATTAGGAGCAGCAGGAAAGGAAATGCATACCACTACTTCAACATAATGCATTGTAAAACGACTGAGGGTGAACAATCTGGCCATGTGCCCACCTCATTCTGACCTCTACCCACTGCAAACCATTTTTGTTGGTAAACGTTACGTGGATCTTTGATGTTCAATTGGTCGAATCCAGATCCACCGGATTTGGATCCGACCAGAGCTGCCCTGGGGAGCAGGGAGTCGAATCCAACGATATTCTTTCGTTAAAACAAGACGTCTGTGCGTGTTTGGCGGGTAACGATCATTGTTGCACGCATGTAGCATACAGCCATACAGACACATGGACATGAGTTGCACCATACCGTTGAATGATGATGGTACTTCTCGATCAACATTTTTTCTACGTCAAGAAGGTAACGGCAGCGGTAGCCGTTATTGTTCGAGCCCTTCTTCCTACATACCGTATGTCAGCGCTTTTAAAGCCATGGCCTTATATTCGAAACACCGCTGCTTTCCTAGTTAGTTTAGATTCAAAATGACTCACCCATTACGCCATGCCATAAAAATCAAAGTCCGCACAGAAATTTCAATCTAAATCCATTTCTTCACCCTTCCTGCTGGGCTGTGAATTTGTTATTATAATACTTATTCAGATGGAGAGCCAAGGTTCAATTTATACAAAAGAGAAAGACCAAGGAACTACAAGTTACGCTATACTGTCCACTGTTGTTTAGTAACTGGTGGTGTTAGTGGACAGTATAGCGTAACTTGTAGTTCCTTGGTCTTTCTCTTTTGTATAAATAATACTTATTCCTTCATTTTTACAAAACATTCTTCAAATGTCATTTCATTTAGGAAGCCCATGGCTTTATAACTAAGACTGGCCTTATATTCGAATATACCTCCATGGCTTTAAAGGGGGACATACGGTATTTCGTTCTCTCCAAATGACTGAGAATTGATCAAGATACGATACTTGAAATTTTAAAATATAGAATTTATGGATGATCCGTGATTGATAAAAGTATGTACCATCCGTAAAGGGTTTATAAAGTAATGCAATTATTAAATGGCAGTGGTAGTTAACTTACTGCTGGCCAGAGCTTCCTTCTCATCAGCAGGCACCTTGAAAATCTTGCCACCCTTGAAGACGTAGCTACCCTCAACAGACTTGAACTCCAAATAACGTGTTACGCCAGTGTGCAGCAACAACTTGACAAGGTTGCCTGTTGAAACAAAACATTGTGTGGTGCACAAACATTCAATCTTCTTCATCATGGTAATCCTGTATTGTTAGGGGTTGAACCCTCACTCACAAGAAAACTCCTAAATGTGCAATTCAGTTCTCAACTCAATTGCTACATCATGCTAAGTATGAACCAATACTATGACAAGCATTAACCCGTTACCACTGTAGGGTAGTGCTACCAGTCCACTGAAAGACTAGTAAAAAAACAGGCCCTTTTCTGAAAGCATGCCACCTCAAAAAGCTCGTAACTCTGGCATTCATTATCCAAATTTAATGATTCTGGGCTTCTTTGAAAGCTGCTGCTAGACGAGGGAAACAATGAGCTAAATCACAAGTCGTCACAAGGTCGGAAACCAGCTTTAGACCTAAGTAAATCTGTCCCAAAATCTTAGCCCAGTCGTGCAAGTCAAAGAAACTGAGATTTCAGCCGTTATCCCACCTCCTTGCTAATACGCTCATATTTCTCCGGGCAACCGAGAAGGCCTTGGTCACACTACGTCAAGTTCGAAGCTAGATGCAGCGTCAAACCCAAGCACTTGATGCTGACGTGGAGTCACACTGCATTTGTTGCTATTCGCTTTTGCCGTCGGGGCCTGATGCACTTGACAAAAACACTCTGTGGCAAACCAAATCGCAACGATAGAGTATGGTACGCTATTATTCAAATGACACCGTTTTCGTGATGCAAGTGCTTGCAGCAGCAGCGTCAACGCAGCTGCATCTGACGTTCAAATTTCCCGCATTTTCGTCAGTTGCCCCCGGAAAAACTAATGATTCAGACGCAGCATTTTTGACGTACTGTGACCGGGGCCTTACAGACACTTCGGTCACCGGCACCCTTTCGGCAAGTTTTAGTGGAAACACAGAACGCATCAGTTATAGCGCGGGCGTTTGAAAAACGACTTTTGGTTCTTATTTCCGATATTTCTTACCCACAATAAATCACGTGTGACGTTTCATATGCATATGCGCAGAGGCAGGAAGATCAACGTACATAAAGTGCAGAAAAATAGAAAACCAAGTGTCCACGCAATGAAAAAGTCTTTGCGCGCATGTCCGTCGAGAGCCATAACTCAACGATCGTTAATCCTATTACTTCAGCGATTGTTGAAATAGCAAGTTGAGTTTTCTCTTCGAAACACGTACCGGTATCCGATTGTGAGAATCGAGTAAGAACCGGCGAAATTACGATCGTTTGAACACGAGTGCCTCCACTAAAATTTCACCCGTACACGCTGTACACTCAGGACATCAGTATTACAGTCAGACCTCGCATAACCGCACACATCCGTTTTCCACAAAATATCCGGATAGGCGAGGGAACCGGATAATCGAACACACATACTGTATGTATGTAGGACTCAGTATAGAGTCCATGCACTATATGATGTCCAGCACCCTATATAGAGTCCATTGGTCCAAAATCCACTATACAGAGTCCAGGAGTCCACTCAGTTTTGATCAGCTTCATCCTGCCGCGCAATCCCCTATAAGGAGTACACTTTTTCTACAAGTCCCCTATTCACGGTCCAGGAGTCCAGTTTATCCAGTCACGCCGTCCTGTGTGCATGTGTTGTGCCCGAAAGAGAACAAACACCTTTTCAGTTTTGCTTGCCTCGTGGCAGCGCATTCCTTTCTTCACTTCAGCCATGGCTGCCAGTTCTGCCGTGCAGTTGCTGACAGTAATCTTTCTCGAGGTAACCAAGGAGGATAAGGAGACGTTCAAAATCAAATCTGGAAAACGTCTTGTGGTTCTCTGAAGACGTTTCATCAGTGCGCGGGATGAAAGCAGAAATTGCAGAACGAGAAAAGTTCAGCACAGTTCAAATCTGACGAGTCAGGTACACTGACACTCTCTTTCGTTCGACGCCACAAGGATCCCCTGTTTGGCTGGCCATTGCTGCCAGTAAGGCGTTTGAACGGTTTCATCAGAGCGAGGGATGAAAGCAGAAAGCGGAGAACGAGAAAAGTTCAGCACAGTTCCAATCTGACGAGTCAGATACACTGACACTCTCTTTCGTTCGACGCCACAAGGATACCCTGTTTGACTGGACAAGAGCTGCCTGTACCACCGTGTCAAAAGGCTGTCCAACTACATGGCAGGACGATGACTGAGGTAAGGAAGCTTTTACTCGTTTCGATTGGTCTGCTGTTCTGTCGTTATGCTTGAATTTTTTTCCATTTTCAAGGATCGTATCGCATTTGTTTGATGTTGCTTGAATGAATGCCCTAAAAGTAATCAACCACTTCATAATAGTCCTCAAGGACTGCAAGGACTTTGCATCAATCGTATACGATCGTCTAGCTATCATCAATCATTATTTTATTTCATGAGAAATGTATTTTTATCCCTGTGATAATTATGTGAACTCCACGACACTCTTCCTCTACTAGGCTCTAGTATGATGTCAAATACATTTTGGATCCACAAACGCAGTGCCAGTGTACTAGTAGTAGTAGTAGGAGGATTTCTTGTATGCCGATGACAAGAAAAAGCTTCTCAAGCTAATACATGTACTCGTATTCCATGAAGTAACCGTTTTGATGTCACAAAAATGACATTGTGTCAGTGAAACTGCCTCGTGACAACAAATCATTGCATTTCCATCTTGGGGAAGACTGACCGTCACCTGTTCACAGGTCTTTGAGTGGATGGATTTGCATTGAGCATCACATTCGTTGAGAACTTGGTAGTTGTGTGCCCCCATGCATCCGGCATTACGGTAATAAGCGTATCCTTGTGCTATTTATTTGTTGCAGGTGTACTGATCTTCAGAAGCTTGCGGAACTGAGTGCTGCTGAACATTTGCATGGCCATGAGCAATGGTGAAGCTTGCTATTGCACTCTCAGCATGTGCTAGTATTATGCTGACTACTGCACTATGTTACTTTCTTACACTACTACATGTATGTAAACGTGCGTGCATCCGCCCACGTATGCATTCGTTTCGTATAATTATTTGTTATCCCTCTTGACTTTACGTGTAAATGGGTGGACGTTTGCATGGCTATTGGAGGTGCGTGTGTATTGTGTCTCTACTCTTTTCTTGGTGTTTTCTTGGCGTTATATAAGTTTGTGTGTGTGTGTGCACGCGCACAATAATTTGAAAACAAATAATTTATCCTTGGCTCTCCATTTATAATATTCTCTTTCGATTCCTGGTTTTTTTCTAGGTATTTTCTTGGTTTTGTGTGGGTGTGTGCATGTGTGTGTGTGCGTGCACAATAATTTGGCAACACTACATGATTGAGGTATTGTAATTTGCAGCGTCTGCGAAGAGACCACTTGATTTGAGGATGGTGTTTGTAGGGTTTTTCATGATTGTAATGAAGTGGCTGCATTGGCGCCTCAATACTTATTTTTTATCTTGAGAAGTGAATGATGTAAAGGATTAAAGGGAGAGGCCGTTTTCTGGTTAATATTCACTGCTTACAGCAGATCCTATGTCTAATTTCGAACTCTGGATAGGGGATACCTAATTGGCTGGACTTTATACAGGGAGTTTTGTCCACATAAAGACTCTTTATAGTTGATTTCAAAGTTTGGACTCCATACAGTTGATTTTGGACCAATGGACTCTATATAGGGGTGAAGCCAATTGGCTGGACTCTATACAGGGAGTGATGTCCATCTAAACTTTCAGCTCACAGTTGATTCCAAGTTTGGACTCTGTACAGTGGATTTTAGACCAATGGACTCTATATAGGGGTTGGACATCATATAGGGGCTGGACGCTCTACTGAGTCCAACATGTATGCATGGCATATGCTGTAAATCGGTAACCAACGATTTTCTTCCGGATGGCGAGGGATCCGGATAAAAGAGGACCGGATAAGCGAGGTCTGACTGTATACGTCTTCAGTTAGTGACCAGGCGTCATTCCCAAGGACGTAAATATACGTCATTCTTAAAAGGACGTAGATATACATGATGTATGTCCTTAGCAACGAAAAACAATTAGCAGTTAAACACTACTGGCAGTTTAAGTTGGCAAAGAGGATATTTTTGGATAAGCCGTTGGTAAAAGAGTAAGCCGTGCATGCTATGGTGATGTTCCTTTTCCCTTGATGCACTGGCAGGGGCGTGGGACATGGTACGGTCACTACGGTATTGACCGTACCACTTTTTGGCCCAGTTACCCCGTGAATAAATAAAAATATTAGTACAGTCAGACTTCGCATACCGTAAAGTCGTGGATAAAAGCCGGTTTTGCATACAAGCACATCGCGGATAGAAGCCTGAAAATCAAACGGGTCAAATGCATATAAGCGTGTCGCGCGTTGAAGCCTGGCTTCTATGCAAGCGCGGATCGGGTAGGTCAAGAGTGCATGCGCTATGTGCGGTGCATAGTAAAACTGCCACCATACCGGTAGTCAGTGGTAGATCAACGCGTGTAGCGTGTGGAAGCCTGGCTTCTATGCAAGCCGATGTGCATACAAGCCCGGCAAAAATATCAGTGGTGCATATAAGCATGGTTTGCATAAAAGCCTGATGCAGAAAGCGACTTATATGCTTATAAGCCCGGCTTTTATCCGCGACTTTACGGTAACCGCACACATTCGTTTTCCACAAAAAAATATCCGGATAGGCGACGGAACCGGATAATCGAACACACATACTGTATGCAGGGATGATTTTTTTGTCATCTTTTTGCATAGCGGTTTCTGCTATACAAAATCACAATTGTGTAGCAGTCTTTGATTTTGATGAGCATTTTTCTTTGAAGGTTGGGTGTTTACCACATTGTCCTTCTTGAGAGTGATGCCTGAAAGCCCATTTGCAAAAAACGACTGAATCATACATGTGCACCAGGCGCGTGCACCGGGTAAACAAAAAGGTGGTTTCCAAACATTTTTCGACCGCCGTTTTGCAATAAGCTACCTGCAGATTCAGCAGTATTACACGCATTACACACTGAAAGAAAGCTTTAAACGTTATGGCTGCCAGTCCCACCGAGCCATCAAAACAAATGTGGTAGAAAGGCATTTTCCTGACACAGGATAAATGAATAGGCTAGCCGATGTTATACAAATAGTTCGAAGTAGTGAAGGAAGATTCAGACACTCTTGCTAGTAAGTGAGTCAAAGAAGCAGGTCAATCCATGTCACTGTCTGAGTCTGCAGTGGCACTATAGCCCTGGGAAGACACGCCCAACCGGAAATTGAGACAAATAACTAAGATCCATGGTATTTTTGTAGTATTCATCGTAGAGCGCTCCTTTCTTTTGTAGCTGCTCGTTATAGACCTGTGCCTGACGTCACACAGGTCTATGCATGCCTGGACTGAGGAAAATGTTTATGACAAAATAATATGATTGCCACCCGGTACCAAGTGCGGAAGTGAAAATTTGCAATGGGACGTAAAATACCTGTCGAGTGCCGTAACTCCACTATTTGAACTTGGACCGACTTCGGATGTGTTGGAGCCGACAGCTGAGAACTTTCTAATGCGAATAGACCTTTCGATTACTCAATTTCGTTCAGGGAAAGCCGAATTACGAAATATTATTTGAGTGCAGAATGCACTTCATAGCGGATGCAAAAAAGGTGGTTTCCGGGCTCCAAGAAAACCACGCGGTGCACGTGCCTGTGCACGCAGATTGAGAGTGCCTGCACCACATACACTGCACTGTATGCATGCTGCTAGACAGCGCAGGCTAGGCATGGATAGTCTGTATGTATCGCAGTTTTCTGCGAATCACGGTGACTTTTGAGTAGCAGTAGATCGATTTTGCATCGCAAACTGCGAGGCGATACAGGATAAATTCATCCCTGGTATGTATGCATGGCATATGCTGTAAATTGGTAACCAACGATTTTCTTCCGGATGGCGAGGGATCCGGATAAAAGAGGACCGGATAAGCGAGGTCTGACTGTACACTGTTTTGGGCAATCAAATTCCTAAATTTCCGGCTCGGCCACACCTCCCCCACGAGTAAATTGGTGGCTGACCGTACCACACTAAAATACCGTCCGGCGCCCCTGACTGGGGCCTAATATCATGTCCTGGATAATAATTATGTTGATACAATGCAATATCACCAGTGCAGGTGGCGGATAATCGGGAATTGATCCACAGGAATGAAAGCAACTGGAAACACCTGCGCAAAATCGACTGCTACATTCACTCTACCTATCCAAAAACAATCAATCAACCGGGAAAGAAAGCCACAATTCGATTTGAAAAAGTGATCACCACGAACCGGTCTTTGAAGCTGTCTAATTTGGAATACACAATACAAAAATTGAATAAAATTGGGAATGCTCAGATTCATATCTGATGAAAACTTGACATACCATTAGCCATGATGAATTTCGGGATGAGATCCACATTCCAATCGCGGCCTCGTCCGAATTTTTCATCTGGCTTGGCCTCCTCCCCACGAAAGTGTGAATACAGCTTCAAACAACAAAACACCCAGGCCACGAACAACAATCATCTACTAGTATGCTTCAAAATACAACGCAAAGACCAGGGGTAACTAAGATTGTCCAACAACATGGAAAGTCGGACACACCATAAGCAGCAGCTCTCAAACACACCTGCTCTAATGGGGTAAGAGAAGCACTGTCTCCTCCATAGTACTTGTTGCGATCCATGTGCAACACCTTCTTCCCAGACACAGATAGGAGACCGCTGAGAAGGCATTCCTACAGCCAAATCGGTTACAAAACACTTGTCATACTTCGACGAAAGCCACCTCCGAGATCCACGCACAAGGACAGCACGAACCTTCAGGCCTGTGCCAAGGACAATCACATCATACTCCTCATCCATGGTGATTGGTTGCGGAAAGGAAATTCAAGAAGAAAATGGGATGCGAACTCAACCTCTCAGGAAAAAACGACGACAAGCTTCTCCCAACAGCTCCGTACACTTGTGCCTCGTCAAAGCCAAAAGCTGCTCGAGCTTGGACTTGGCATGTAGATTCTACACAGACTACACTACAGTACACACGCAGTCCAGTCAGCAGGGAGTTGGTTTGATCCACATGATTCAGGCCTGTTTCATGTTTTTTTTGGACTTTCTGGATCTTGCCAATCTTGGGTTGACCATGCATGCGTGATTCTGGTGACTGAGGCATCGCGTTCGGATGAGGACGTCGCGACGCTCGCTAGCGCAAGTACCTGGATCGGATCGCGGAGCGCCGCGAGCGTCATAAAGCAGCGAAATGAGCGCTTGACATTAGATTTTTGCACCAAATGGGCATGCGCAGTATTCATAGCTATGGCGACAGAAAATGGCGACTGTCAAATGACGGATTTTGCGAGATTTGACCGGTCGCCGACGATCAAAATGTCGAAGTCAGCTAGCGTTTACGAGGCTGGGTCGTGACATGGCATGAGCTGAGCGACGTGCATGCAGCGTGCATGGCCATATGGCTTTGGCGTGCACAAAAACTTCTTTTGTGTCAAGAAACAGTGTATTGCTGTGCTTTTTGAAATGACCATTCCTTTTCGAGTGTGCCAAATGCAATGGTCGTAGTGGTGGTATTCCAAAAATAATAGATAACAAGAAAGAAGCTCATCACTGTGCCATTTTTCATCGTGCTGAGATGGCGGAGTCTTTATTCTAGACTCAATTTTCGAAAGAACGCTTTGTTGCTATGTGGATTTCACTGAGAACGATTCTTCTATTTTGGACTCAAGCTGGTATCAGATAGCTGCCACTCGACAGTTTTGTTGACGTCGTCTGTAGCAGATGGCACCATGGATTTAGTGACATTGCTCAACGTCGATAGTGCTGACCCTCGTAAGGTAAAGGAAACATAATGGATGTTAGTATTGAAAATTCACACTGCCTTTATTTTGCTGAGTTCAATACTTTTGTCTTTTGTTTTTGTGTAATACAGGCTGAGGCCTGCGCGGAGCAATTGAAATCCTCCGAAGATGGCTGGAAAATTTGTGGTGACACTTTTGCCAGAGGTTTATGCAGGTACATTTATTGTCTTACGTATGCCTTTGTGTGCCAATTGGCCCAATTTAATTCCTTACATTCATCATGAAAATAATTGTCTTGTTTGGGAGAACCGCAGAGTACAGAAGGAGCGTCTCGCCGCCACCACCCGTTCGTGATCAAGTTTTGGAAGTGGGGTCCGGCCGGTCATACAACACGTACCTTTTTACACATTAGCATTATGCAGTTAGTCCATACTTGGTTTACCTTTGAGCAAATGCAAACTCCACACAAATAAAATTAAATTCGACGGGGTTCGCGTACCGGGCAGGTCAAGGACAAGGAGTCGTACAACTCCCTGGTCAAGAACCACCTTTCCGCTTCCGTGGGACGCCACCACCCCATGATCAGGCGTCAGATGCGGCTCCTAAACGGTGGGGGAGGATAGATCAGATCCACCAACCAGACACAAGAACATGTTAATTTTGACCTTACAGTCCGTTCTTTTGAAACTGATTTGCTACGCTGCTGAGACCATACTCAACGCCGCTTTTAAGAAGTTACGACAGGAAAAAAACGAGCACCATTTTCAAAAACAGGATCAGAATGATACATGTATCAAGAATTTCGAAAAAGGAGAAGGACCGAAAAGGCGAACCCACTGAAAACTAGCAATTAGCCAGTTTCAGTGCAATAATAAGACTGACCCGAACAGGTTGCATATTGCATGCCCGCATAAAACAAATCATCCGGGGGGCGGGGAGGATCATGCATTTGTCAATGCAGTGCAAACCTGGCTAAAAAATGAACTTTCTTATAAATGGGAAATTTCGTCAGAAAAGTGAAACGGTAAGTATCATCAAGAGTACCCCCCCCCAGGAGAGTGTGCAACACCTGATCCAGCTCTGCATAGGGTCTTAGTTAGGGGTGAAACAGTTCCATGTTTTTCGTGTTCGGGTACCCGAATGCCAGCATAGCTTTCCACGGTTCGGGTATCGGTTCCATGCATTCTTTTCTCCAGACCGACAAAATGCGTTCGTGGCAATTATTTTTTAGAAAACATTTTTACGAGCAAGAACGAGACATCGGAGAGTCCATGTACGTGCGAAGAAGATGACCAGGAGAACCCTTTGGAAGAGCGGTGATTGTAAGGTAATAAAATATAAGACATTTAAACCTTGACAAGGCTTGAGTAGACTGGACGTGTACATGTATTTGTACGAGAACGAGATTTTTCGAGTTTCGGTTCGAAATTTGACGGAACAGGTACCCGATTATTTTCAGCTGGCGGTTCCAAAACCGGTTCCTTACCCGAACCGTTTCACCCCTAGTCTTAGTCGAGCGTAATCGGATCTTCTGATGTCATGCATATACTCCAAGGCCAGTCTCGAGGCAAGGCGCTGTTGTTTTTGATCCTAAAGTACCCGTGACTCCCTGAGTTCCCCTCAGATGTGTACGGTATTATGACGCAAAGATCCGATTACCCTCGACCAGGACCCTATGCTGAGCTGGATCAGGCGTTGCACACTCTGAGGAGTTATGTACTCTTGGTATCGTCTATAATCAAAATTTCACCAGTTGTAGTCTTCGGGGTGCTAAGTCGAATGGTCTTAGTCCTAGGAAGCTGAGATGCTCCATTCCTCCTTTATTCCCAATCGAACTCGTGCACTTCCACCGAAATTGGGTGAGTGCACCCTGCTAGATGGGAATTTATGTGGAAAATGTTCACTGAAAGCCTCACTTCGTTCTTATAGAAGCACAAATGAACATGAAACTCCCAGAACCTGTGGTATTATGAACTCTGAATTGAATGGTCTTTGGTCCGAGGAGGCTGCGATATGGCATCCGGCCCTTATTCCCAATCGAAAGCGAACGAATATCATGTGTGCGGCACGTGCGCATTGGTTTGTTCTTATTGTTCTTTATTCTGACGATTGCGACTAGCACCAAGAAGAGGTGTTGTTGTTTGTTGTTGTTTGTTGTTGTTGCTGTTGCTGTTGTTGTTGCTGTTGCTGTTGTTGTTGCTGTTGTTGTTGCTGTTGTTGTTGCTGTTGTTGCTGTTGTTGTTGCTGTTGTTGTTGTTGCTGTTGTTGTTGTTGCTGTTGTTGTTGCTGTTGTTGTTGCTGTTGCTGTTGTTGTTGTTGTTGTTGTTGCTGTTGTAGTTGTTGTTACTGTTGTTGCTGTTGTAGTTGTTGTTGTAGTTGTTGTTGTTGTTGTTGTTGTTGTTGTTATTATTGTTGTTGTTGTTGTCGTCAAGTTTCACTGTACTCCTGCTTCGTCTATCATACTGATCACTGTTTGGGTTTTCTTCTTCTTTTTCTTTCACCTCCTGTAATAAGGACTGAACTGGCGAAATTCCTCTGCCTGCATGTACTGGAGAATTTCATAGTAACGCGGTAAGTGTATTGGCTTAGCCTGTTACATGTATAATTAACTGAATAGAGGCAACCAAAAGTGGACAGTCAGTCACACCCGGTTCTGCAACAGTTAGGGCAGCCAACTAAAATTTGACCAGATGAATAAAACAGATGTTTCTAGTTGTGCACACCATGTGTACCATGCAGCAAATACATATACAAAAAGAAATGTGGATACGGGGATCAACAGCATGTAGGCCACGAGTACATAACCCTCCAAGAGTGTGCAACTCGAGTATGGGTGCTGTCCGGACAGAATTTCAAGTTGACGTCATCTTTTACTCAAAGAGGTGTATAAGTGACATCCGACATACACAAAGGCAGGGAAGTACATAAATGGTCTCTGCGTTAGCCAGGGCATCTGAGTGTGTGCGCCTGGGCGCGCGCTCGTGCATTTCTTGCTTGGTTAGTTTATGGGGAAACATTCTCTCTCTCTCTCTCTCTCTCTCTCTCTCTCTCTCTCTCTCTCTCTCTCTCTCTCTCTCTCTCTCTCTCTCTCTCTCTCTCTCTCTCACTCACTCTCTCTCTCTCATTCACTCACTCTCTCTCTCTCTCTCGCTTTCTCTCTCTCTCTCTCTCTCTCTCTCTCTCTCTCTCTCTCTCTCTCTCTCTCTCTCTCTCTCTCTTTCTTTCTTTCTTTCTTTATCGCTCTCCCATCTTTTGCAGGTACAATACATCGACTGATTCTGACCACCAATATCTACGGCAGCTTCTGCTAAACTGGCTGCAGCAACGGGTAATTGTTTTTTTCTTTCTACTCCACGTAAACTTAGCCTTCTGCCTTTTCTGATGTACTTTAGAGCATAGGTAGGGTTGAAACACTGGCCTGATTTGCCGGCTGTTCAGTCTGTATAACCTGCAGATCCTTGGTTGTTCAAGCAGTAGTTGCCGTGGTATTTCAAGCAGCTGCTCCTCTGTTTTCGAGATTACAGTTAGGTGGATGGATAATCAGAATATAGTTGGCGTGCTTGGTTCGTAAGTTATGTCACACCGATTACGAACTGCTTGATTTTGAATGGCATTTGCTTGCTGGTGTAGTGGTGAGAAGAGCTATCATCAGTCGCGATTGCAAGCCACTGGAGACTGGATAGCTGAGTGCAAACGATGTTGAACCCGTGTGTGTCTCTGCGCGCGCACGCACGTGCGTGCATGCCTGGGCTTATGTGTCCGTGCTTGTTCATGTGTATGTATGTGCTTGGTTGTCGTGTTTCATCTTTTCAGGCAAATGGAGCTGGATCTAGTGATGAGTCGTTTGTCCTGAACAAAGTAGCTCACGTGTTTGCTTTGTCTCTGGTTGCCGCATATCCCGCCCAGGTATGTCAGCAGATAGGAATAAAGAGGTCCACACAAGGACTCCTCGTTTTCCCTCGTGTAGTGCCGGTACATATTTTAAGCGGAACAAATTTCATGCGTGATCGCTTGTGCCCATCGTCAGCCACTTGTTTTGCATGCCCTCGGGAATATATCGACTTCTGTCTTCACACCTTGTAACATGTGACAGTGTGAGCATTGCTGGGTTGCTGTAAATGTTGGCTGTGATTTAGAGCCTTGCTCTTCCTACTGTCTTGTGTGTTTAGTGGCCCACCTTCTTTGAGGATCTGTTGTCATCTCTGAAACTGGAGCATCATGTCATTGACATGTACCTCAGGATATTGTCAGCCATTGACAAGGAGGTTGTAGATCGGGAGATGAACCGCAACGATGCTGTAAGTCCTTCGCAGTTTTGTGTGCGATCAAGGTGTTTTCACAGTAAGGCATGTTCACAAGTTTTGTTGCTTCCTTCTCTTCCTTTCTTCTTTTCTTTTTAGCTTTGGTTATCCATGGTGATTACTAGTATTGGAGTGTGCAGTAAAAGAACAGACGTAGAATAACGGCCCCTGCTACTTGTACTTGATGTGAGCGTGCTAGCCTGGCCCTGCGAAATGGGTGGAACCTTATGTATATCTCCAAAGTAAAGTTCCATTGCGGATCACATAGTCGGGTTGTTTCCTAGCCAGTTTTGCTGACTTGTTTACAGGCTCATCTGGCTTGCTTACAAGACTACATAAAACCAAGAGTACATAACCCCCCAGAGTGTGCAACTCCACTATGGGTGCTGTCCCGACAGAATTTCAAGTTGACGTCATTTTGATGATGCAATGCGCACTGTACACGGATTATCAGACGAATCCGGAACCTGTGGTTGACCGAAGCCGATCGATCCTGTACAATTTATTGCAAAGAAAAACGTGTGATGCGTTGACACCCGTACACATGTTGTAAATCACTGCTGCAAGGAGCATTGCGTCATAAATAATGACGTCAACTTGAAATTCTGTCGGGACAACAGGGTATGCGGGAGTTGCACACTCTGGGGGGTTATGTACTCTTGATAAAACCAAGAGGGATGAGACCATCGGGGTGCAGGGGTGGTGTAAGCTCGTGTCCGTATTTCCAAAACTAGCATCCGTATGCCCAAAACTTGCATCCAGCAACGCACAGAATGTACGATAGGGAAACGCTGGATAGTAGCAGATAAGCATGGTGTGCTCCTCAGAAAATAAGTAGCCACAGGTGGCGTTAGTTTTGACTTCTCGGCCTCCAGCTCTACTGTACGTGATGGGTTGTAGGAGTGTGGGATAGTCAAGTACAGTCGTCCCTCTCTAATCCGGCACCTTTTGCTACGGCGTTTTCTGCTGGATTAACGAGGGTGCTGGATTAAGAAATCCTGCCCTCTGACCCGGCCCTACCCAATTGCATGCATGTATCATATGTCAAAACGCAGGGTTTTTCCGTGTCGACCCAAGTATTTGGTGCACGGGTTTCTATTCTCAACTGTTCTCCAGGAATATACACAGTGATAAAGTAAAACAGAGAACATGGTCACATGTACTCTTGCACACACACGCACACACACCTGAAAATTGGCAGGACACTACTCCTTGCTAAAATAAGAAAGTATGGTTGACTGCCGTTGTCTCCTGAACAAACCTTGCCTGGCCTGGCAAGGAGTGCACCTGTACGGTACGCGATTTACGACTGCCGGATTATGAAATCAAACTACGTGCAGTTTGAGCGATTGGTTTCAAAAAGTCACTGCCGGAGGCGGAATTCAAGTGCCGGATTAAGATGTAGGAATTGAACGAAAAAATCGGTTTCGTCAGAAAGTGCGCCGGTTGGCAAGGGTTCCGGATAAACAAGTGCCGGATTAGAGAGGGACGACTGTAGCTGAATGCTCTCTTTTGTGTATTGAAAATAGATGTTGGAGCGCAATACATTGATCAAGGATCACATGCGAACTGATGCTGTGCCACGCCTGGTCGACTCCTGGTATGAAATCCTGGTAAGGCTCATATTCTACGATGCCATTCACAATTACCATAGCGAAGCTGTTACATTGGTGCACCATTTTAGAATACTCTTTGTACATGAATGACGAACTGTGCTATGTTGGACTTCTATTTACGCAGAAGTCAATCTCCTTATATGACTGTCACCATTAGTTGTTAGTCAAGTTTGGCACCAACATATTGTTGAATGACAATAAATCTCTGGATCAACCAATGACAGTCAGTTTGATAAAGTGCCAATTTATGGCGAAGATATGCAAAGTCTTGCCCATTGGTCGTATAGAATGTGCCCTATAGTCAGCTTCAGTGTTTCTCCTTTTGCAGGCGCGTACGCAGAGGGGGTTTCCCGTTGCCCGGAAACCCCCCAAATGTTCCAAACGAGCAACGTTTTTGGGCATTTTTGGTAGGGCGCACGATCGATCTGGCAGGAATGCAAAACTTCAACAGATCGCAGCTCAGTCAAATCTCGCTCAAATCCAATGATCCAAATATCCAGGTCGAATAGAAAACTCTCAGCTGTCGGTTGAAACAATTTTTGACGCGCTGCGAGCAATGTCTCTTGAGATAAACCATTCGTAAGTTGAGCCGCGATCTCGCAATTTCAAAAGCGCGCAGTGCGACTGGAGTATCCAGAATTTGAGACTTTTCGTCGCATTGACTTGCTCAATTTTGCAGGGGCTTCACTAGTGATATTTTCAAGAGAACACAGCCAAAAAAATCGAAACTCTGGGATCAAGAAAAACGAAATCGCTGGAGCAGGACGCGGTTGGGCCTTTGGGGCATTTTTTCGCACCGTCGCTGCACTCTACCGCTATAAATAGCCATAGCGCTGGATATGTACATGACTGTACTGTGTCCTGGCTATCATGGTCAACCTCATTCTCTCCCTGGTACCTTTCCACTTCCAGGAAGCCCAAGATAATGAAGATTGAGTGAGTAGAACTGAAGTTATGATCCAAAGAACACGAAAAAATGCATAATTTTGAAAAATTCCTAGGGCTCTTTAGAAAGGGTTAAAACGAGTCATTGTTTGCGATTCGGTTGGAAACCCCCCAGAGGTGACCCTGCGTACGCGCCTGTTTTGTTCGACCGCCATGAAAAAGGGAACAAGGAGAGTGACAAATCCACCGCGTACATGTGCAGTCAACATCGTTAATAACAACCTCAGGCATAACAACAACTTGCGAGTAAAATCACTATCTTCAGACCTAGTAACCTTTAGATACATTTGCATGCAGCCTAGTGACTAACAACCTCAGGAATAGCAACTCGCGAATAACAGCGCTATCTTCAGACCTAGTAACCGTTTGACTGCCTATATTGATAATTATAATGTATTTTCGCATTATACCTTGCTATCTTTGCAGAATGTTCACATATTTTTCGCACCTGTACCCAACGATTGCAATATTTTGTAAACTATTTGCTATAATTTGGACGTGTTCTCTTTTCACTCCAAGTGTACAAGTCCTACTATTTTTCTCTGTTTCCTCCAGTCACAAGTTTCCATTGATATTAAATTGTGTTACAAGATGTCCTGGAACTCAACATTGTTTGCTGTTGAGTGCGCCCGTTATGTTATTCACTGCTATGTTATTATTCCACGTTGCCGGTTCTAAGTAATCTTCCTGTGTGTGTTTTTTCTGTGTGTGGATTAACAGACTGCATCAGAAGCCGATGACCATCAGCTAGCATGTACCTGTCTGGACGTAGTGGGCATGTATGTAGAGTGGATTGACATTGGCCTCATTGCCAACTCTCGCTACACCGAGTAAGAAGCGTGTGCCACCAATGTTCTTTTCTGCGATATAGTTACTGGTTGTGAATTTGTCTTGGCGAATTATCTCTCACCCCAGACCTCGTTTTTATTGCTGTAGTGCAGTTAGAAGGAAAGCTGATGATTTCATCATTGCTGCACATCGAGTTCTGCGGCTGCCTTGTACTGCCGCAAGCCATCGTGACTGACAACCGTTCTGGTCTTGTTGGCGTGTTCTCGTTCCTTTTTGTGTAGGCTACTGCTGCGGTTCATGACAGTAGAAACGTTGCGTGAGAACGCTTGCCTCTGCTTCCACGAAATCCTCAACAAAGGTTAGTCACTGCAGATCACTCTACACTGGGAACAGATTACCCGGGGTGCCATTTGACACTGCGTTCAAGGATGTATGCGAATGTAGGGCTTGCTTCCGTCCAGCAGCTTCCTGTTTTTTGCATGGCCGTACTCTAGAATGCAATGCCTGCACAGTCCACTGTACCACTTAAGATGTTCTTTATTGCTGTCTGAATCTCACCTCCGCTGGAATGTGCCAACTGGTATTCTGCTGTGTTCAGGAATGGATCCGGATGTGAAAGTTAGCCTCACCGAGTCGTTGGCCAAAGTGTTGGAAGCCAGTGGAATTCTCCCTGCGAAGGAGGTATGTTGAGGTGCCATGCTTGAGTAGAACTTGGGTTAGAATTACTTGCCAGTGACCATGCCCACTTACATATACACACGTGTTCTTTGGCTACTCAACCGGTGGCCGTTGTTGTAGCTATGCTTCAACTTGTAGGGATTTCAGGCGGTTTTTTCTGAGCAGCGCTTTGCTCCAACTAACAAGTTTTGTGAAGCATCTATGTGTAAGGACTGTCCACAGAAAATTTGAACGGAATCCAAGCAGTATTTCCAAAGTTATGAGCATTCAAACATAGCGCACTAGCCTTGATGAACACACATACAAATTCGATCTGCAGGATGGCACAAAATGGAATTCCCATACTCCCTAGCAACACCATAGCAACAAATAAACTTCATCCGATCGTGGCCAAACTTGGATCAAGGATGGCCCTGGCTGTGACGGAACGGAAGATAAAAGTTTTTTTCAAAATTCCAAATGACCGCAACAATGGCGTCCTTAGCAACGGCCCTAGCAACAGTATATTTCACGCATAATTCAACATGGTAATAGGTGGAATATGACAGAAATACGGCAAACACAACATTTAAGTTATATAGTATGCATGTGGGAAACTAGAGGAGTAGACAGCAAGCTCTGATGTCACACAGGGCCCGTTTTCGGCTGCAACGAGTCAGAGACGCACATTAGCCACACAACGATCATACTAGAGGCTATTGAGTATTGTACACAGAAGCCAGCCAGCGGTGAGTATTTATAAGAGATAAGTTCAGTAAAAAAACCCAGCCTGGAACAACCACGCACCTGTATGACACATGGAAGATCAATTCTGGTGCCACACACAGGGTGAAGACCTGCTATGCCGGGTGCGGGCTCCAAAGCGCCATCATTTGCTGCGCCGGCATCAAAATCAACTGTTGCTTCAGCACTGACATCAACGGCTGGTCCAGCATGGACATGAACTGTTGCAAATGTCCACACCTCGGCACGTACGACTGCTCAGGTGTGGAAATTTGATAACACTTATATAATTTTCCAAACTTATACAATTCATGCAATTTGCAATCCCTGCAGCCCACAATTGTCCTTGCAGTTCAATGTTTCTTTCTTGGACAAGAATCAGACACAAGATACGATTTTCGTTCAGTGTGTGGTTGTCTGCTTTACAATTTGATTGAGAGGCAGTTCAAAAGGATGACTTAGTAATTCACTGAGGTCGTCACTTGCCTTGTTCTTCAGCAAAAATTTCTCCACTCTCTGATACGCCCGATTTTGTTCCTGGCAATTTTCACATCGTCTCGAAATCCTTTCCATCCACGGCTGCAACTAGCAAAATCAAATTATGCTAACTTTCTTGGTATAAGTTTTGCTTCTCGCCCTCAACGAGAGTTCAACTACTACTAGGCCATTCCTCAACTGCCTGGGACAACACCATGAACACAGAGGAAGACGGAAGTCAATTGTCTTTCTTCTCCACCTCCATACTGTGTCATGGCGTTCAACTTCAAAACAATTTCCGCTACCGATCGCGACCCTTCATGCCGTCTGAAGAAACCTACCTAGACTAAATCGATGCCGTAGAATCTGATTCTGACTGCCGCTTGAGCGTGGAACCAAGGCAAACACCTCAAAAGCGACTTTGAAATCTACAAGAATCTATCGAGATGCGTAATATCGGCACGAATTCGCCGTGTGAGGCACCAAACGAAAGCTTGAAACCTACTCTTCAACGGCGCGCCAATAAAAATGGCGATAAACTCACTCTCCCTACCTAAAATCTACGCCGAAGACCCCGCGCTGAGCTGTGCCATGCCTGGCATTCAAAAAAGCATGCATGCGTGTCAAGGTACTTTTGCCCCCGCAGATCACGTGACTGAAATCCCTACTTCAAGAGTAGCGTGCCTTTGAGAGTGCACTCCTAGTCCGATTGTCCGTTTACCTTCACTATCCGAACGCGAAAGTCCGTGCGTTTTGTGCACCGTAGTGTACGTCATGTTGATGTCCCGTCAATTTGCAGATTTTGTGGATTTCAAATGTTTTTCGTTTTGTTTAGTGCCGTGTTTACTGCATGACTGTGTATGTATGTACTTGAAGTGGACATGCACATACTTGCCCTACTGCCAGTTTTTGTATGCATACCGTACACATTGAGCCGATTCAATGCTTTCGTCTCGGCCAGTGACTCTGAGCTCTGCTGGTGTGACCGAACAAGGCCGAAACAGCTAGCTGTTTGCTTATTGAGTACATGTTGACATACCGGCAATGTTTTGATGACCTTTTGATAATCAGAAATGATGCGGATTATCAGAAAACACTTTTCAAGCAGCTTGCCCCGTGCTTGAGTATCGGGGGTAGGACGATACCTGGTTGTTTTCACAGTGCTTGACCTGGTGTGAGTGCCAGTGGTTGCCTTGTGCCTCTGGCATTCTGTCGTGCTAATGCCCGCGTTGTTTCGCCTTTTTTGTTGTGCGCGGTGTGTGCAGGACGAGGACCCTGACTTCTTGGCTGCCCTTGCCAAGCTTGTTGGTGCCATGGGAGTACAGCTGGTCAGCAGTTATAACAAGTAGGTCATTGCACGCTGGCTCGGAATTGTAGTGGATCGAGTTCCTCGATACTATTGTTGGCTAATAACTGCGCTGCATATAGCGCTGCAACAAATGTATTATACTGCAAAATCATTACCTCATCTTTACAACACAATGAAAGGATCTTATTCGAGCCCTGTTTTTTGCTTTTGTCGCTTCTTGCCATGGGTCGCCGTGTCCACAGAGTATTTCGAAGATGCAAGAATACCTAGTATCACCAGCTCCTTTTCGTCTTGCTCCATTTCTGCCAAATTGAGCTGCTTGACTTCTATTTCCTCAGCGTCAAATTTATCGAGACATTTGTTGTTGCACCCACAGTCAAGCGTCGTCACCTTGGCATCTGCCGCTGGTTCAGCTGCTTGGGGTGGCTCTTCGCCGACGTATGATGCTGTAATTGTGCCAACGTCGAGTTCCTCATCCGAGAAGTGCTCATCACGACCGTCATCGCGATCATCGTCAGAGGAAGAAACTTTTGATCTGACAGCTGCGACGACGAATCACTGTCAGAGTCGCCACCAGAAGCGGTGACCTCCACCTCAGCGCCAAGAAACTCTCTATCCAGCTCAACCAAGGCATCCCTGAGATTTGGATTAGCAGTGAACGTTGGGATCGACATGTTGGTGATCTTGGAAGATGAGAACTAGCAGCTACTTGGAAAGACAAACTGAAAAAAAGAAGAACACCATGTCTTTTCACCTCGCCGATATTTTGAAAAAAGGGAATGCATCCACGCGATCTCAAACTCGATCTCTAGAACGAGTGGGCCGATTTCTATGATCGAGATATCTACGGAAAGACCAGGCCAGCAGCTGCCTACTCGTTCTTACCGCTTCAAAATACAGAGAACCATTCTGAAGTTATTCTAAATCGAAGCGAATGTTGTCGAAAACACGCCGGTTTTGGTGTACTCACTTTTCAAGTGCGTGTTTCTCAACTGTCAGCTCGCAGCCATTTGGTCCCTTTTCTCATCACTATGATTTTCCAGACTATGAAACCTCACTGCTTCACCAGACCGCAGAATTACAGTACCTGGGCAGGAGACATGAGAGCATGTGAGGTGTGACATATCTTGGTATGCCGTATGTCATTCTCCTGATATTATATATGACTTGATGTTGCACCCTCTGCTTGCTTATGTTTCAATATTGCCGTTGTCTTACAGGCTTTCGAAAGCAGGTGCAGCGGCACCAGCTGCAGCGGTGCGAGAGGCCATTGATGCTAAGCTCACGCACATGTTCAAGTGAGTAATTTGGTTGGCTTGTTGGTGATACACTCCGCGTATATTTTGCAGTGATGCAAGAACTTGCCAGTACTTATCAGCTCTGAAGTACCTGCCTAAGTTCCTTCAGGTTATAAGCATCTATCAAGCAGTTCACTCCATCACTCGCAGTCCACATGTGTACTGCCTTTAATGAATGTGGCTTCTTAGTTCTGTGCACCGGTTTATGGCTGATGCTTCTTTGTATCCGTTAGTTCTGTGCACCGGTTTATGGCTGATGCTTCTTTGTATCCGTTAGTTCTGTACATCGGTTTATGGCTTATGCTTCTTTGTATCCGTTAGTTCTGTACATCGGTTTATGGCTGATGCTTCTTTGTATCCGTTAGTTCTGTACATCGATTTATGGCTGATGCTTCTTTGTATCCGTTAGTTCTGTACATCGGTTTATGGCTGATGCTTCTTTGTATCCGTTAGTTCTGTGCACCGGTTTATGGCCTAATGCTTCTTTGTATCCGTTAGTTCTGTACATCGGTTTATGGCTGATGCTTCTTTGTATCCGTTTGTTCTGTACATCGGTTTATGGCTGATGCTTCTTTGTATCCGTTAGTTCTGTACATCGGTTTATGGCTGATGCTTCTTTGTATCCGTTAGTTCTGTACATCGGGTTATGGCTGATGCTTCTTTGTATCCGTTAGTTCTGTACATCGGTCTATGGCTGATGCTTCTTTGTATCCGTTAGTTCTGTACATCGGTTTATGGCTTATGCTTCTTTGTATCCGTTAGTTCTGTACATCGGTTTATGGCTGATGCTTCTTTGTATCCGTTAGTTCTGTACATCGGTTTATGGCTGATGCTTCTTTGTATCCGTTAGTTCTGTACATCGGTTTATGGATGATGCTTCTTTGTATCCGTTAGTTCTGTACATCGGTTTATGGCTGATGCTTCTTTGTATCCGTTAGTTCTGTACATCGGTTTATGGCTTATGCTTCTTTGTATCCGTTAATTCTGTACATCGGTTTATGGCTGATGCTTCTTTGTATCCGTTAGTTCTGTACATCGGTTTATGGCTGATGCTTCTTTGTATCCGTTAGTTCTGTACATCGGTTTATGGCTGATGCTTCTTTGTATCCGTTAGTTCTGTGCACCGGTTTATGGCCTGATGCTTCTTTGTATCCGTTAGTTCTGTACATCGGTTTATGGCTGATGCTTCTTTGTATCCGTTAGTTCTGTACATCGGTTTATGGCTGATGCTTCTTTGTATCCGTTAGTTCCAGGCGCGTCGGAACGACTTTGGAAGTGGGGCGGCCATGGAAGGGGGGTCCGGGGGTCCTCCCCTGGGAAAAAAATTCAAAAATTAAAGCCAATTGCAAGCATTTCCGGGCATTTGGTGCCATTTCAGTGTACGGTAACTACAATGAAAGACTTTTTTGATTCTGCAAAAAACCAAGAAGATGCTACGATCGGGGACAAACATTACCCTCCCCCGGGAAAAAAATTCAAAAATTGAAGCCAATTGCAAGCATTCCCAGGCATTTGGTGCCATTTCAGTGTACATGGACTTTTGATTCTGCAACAAACCACGATCGGGGACAAGGATTTGCCACGTTTGCGCTGAGATCATCGCGCTTTGTTGCAGTGTGCTAAAAAAAAACGGCCGAAAAGTGGGGCGGCCATGGCCGCCCCGGCCGGTGCGGTTCCGACGCCCTTGAGTTCTGTACATCGGTTTATGGCTGATGCTTCTTTGTATCCGTTAGTTCTGTACATCGGTTTATGGCTGATGCTTCTTTGTATCCGTTAGTTCTGTACATCGGGTTATGGCTGATGCTTCTTTGTATCCGTTAGTTCTGTACATCGGTTTATGGCTTATGCTTCTTTGTATCCGTTAGTTCTGTACATCGGTTTATGGCTGATGCTTCTTTGTATCCGTTAGTTCTGTACATCGGTTTATGGCTGATGCTTCTTTGTATCCGTTAGTTCTGTACATCGGTTTATGGCTGATGCTTCTTTGTATCCGTTAGTTCCAGGCGCGTCGGAACGACTTTGGAAGTTGGGCGGCCATGGAAGGGGGGTCCGGGGGTCCTCCCCTGGGAAAAAATTTCAAAAATTAAAGCCAATTGCAAGCATTTCCGGGCATTTGGTGCCATTTCAGTGTACGGTAACTACAATGAAAGACTTTTTGATTCTGCAAAAAACCAAGAAGATGCTACGATCGGGGACAAACATTACCCTCCCCCGGAAAAAAATTCAAAAATTGAAGCCAATTGCAAGCATTCCCAGGCATTTGGTGCCATTTCAGTGTACATGGACTTTTGATTCTGCAACAAACCACGATCGGGGACAAGGATTTGCCACGTTTGCGCTGAGATCATCGCGCTTTGTTGCAGTGTGCTAAAAAAAAACGGCCGAAAAGTGGGGCGGCCATGGCCGCCCCGGCCGGTGCGGTTCCGACGCCCTTGAGTTCTGTACATCGGTTTATGGCTGATGCTTCTTTGTATCCGTTAGTTCTGTACATCGGTTTATGGCTGATGCTTCTTTGTATCCGTTAGTTCTGTACATCGGGTTATGGCTGATGCTTCTTTGTATCCGTTAGTTCTGTACATCGGTTTATGGCTGATGCTTCTTTGTATCCGTTAGTTCTGTACATCGGTTTATGGCTTATGCTTCTTTGTATCCGTTAGTTCTGTACATCGGTTTATGGCTGATGCTTCTTTGTATCCGTTAGTTCTGTACATCGTTTTATGGCTGATGCTTCTTTGTGTCCGTTAGTTCTGTACATCGGTTTATGGCTGATGCTTCTTTGTATCCGTTAGTTCCAGGCGCGTCGGAACGACTTTGGAAGTGGGGTGGCCATGGAAGGGGGGTCCGGGGGTCCTCCCCTGGGAAAAGATTTCAAAAATTAAAGCCAATTGCAAGCATTTCCGGGCATTTGGTGCCATTTCAGTGTACGGTAACTACAATGAAAGACTTTTTGATTCTGCAAAAAACCAAGAAGATGCTACGATCGGGGACAAACATTACCCTCCCCCGGAAAAAAATTCAAAAATTGAAGCCAATTGCAAGCATTCCCAGGCATTTGGTGCCATTTCAGTGTACATGGACTTTTGATTCTGCAACAAACCACGATCGGGGACAAGGATTTGCCACGTTTGCGCTGAGATCATCGCGCTTTGTTGCAGTGTGCTAAAAAAAAAACGGCCGAAAAGTGGGGCGGCCATGGCCGCCCCGGCCGGTGCGGTTCCGACGCCCTTGAGTTCTGTACATCGGTTTATGGCTGATGCTTCTTTGTATCCGTTAGTTCTGTACATCGGTTTATGGCTGATGCTTCTTTGTATCCGTTAGTTCTGTACATCGGGTTATGGCTGATGCTTCTTTGTATCCGTTAGTTCTGTACATCGGTTTATGGCTTATGCTTCTTTGTATCCGTTAGTTCTGTACATCGGTTTATGGCTTATGCTTCTTTGTATCCGTTAGTTCTGTACATCGGTTTATGGCTGATGCTTCTTTGTATCCGTTAGTTCTGTACATCGGTTTATGGCTGATGCTTCTTTGTATCCGTTAGTTCTGTACATCGGTTTATGGCTGATGCTTCTTTGTATCCGTTAGTTCTGTACATCGGTTTATGGCTTATGCTTCTTTGTATCCGTTAGTTCTGTACATCGGTTTATGGCTGATGCTTCTTTGTATCCGTTAGTTCTGTGCACCGGTTTATGGCCTGATGCTTCTTTGTATCCGTTAGTTCTGTACATCGGTTTATGGCCTGATGCTTCTTTGTATCCGTTAGTTCAGTACATCGGTTTATGGCTGATGCTTCTTTGTATCCGTTAGTCTGGCATCTGCTATAAGGGAAAATGTGCTGTTGTTGCCATTGTGTGCTGCTAGGTTTTTGAGTGACGAGGGTGATGATATCTCTCAGCATGTGATTCCGTTCTTCATCTCCTACTTGACTGTACTGAAGGTATGTGTTGCTTGGGTGTAGGGAAAGAGGGTCTATCGGATTTCTCTTTAGGTTTTCAATTGTCTGATCTTCAGTTTTGTACTGCACTTTACCATGTTCTTACTCCATGCCTCCATACTGCTCATCACATCAGTCTTGATTGTCCGCCTTCTTCTGTATTCATATAATTGTGCTGTCCTGGCATTAACCTAAGTATGACTTCACACAGTCACCTTGAGTTGAAGCTCGGCAAACTGTTGTAATGGCATTCAAGTGCGCGCAGACCTTTGCTTGTGTTGCTGGGGATGTTCGAGGTGAGCAGTTGAATCGGGAGTGTTTAGGTGAAGGCGTTGATGCAGTGTTGTACTCGAGCAGTTTGAAGTCGTGTGAGAAATGGACTATGTTTGAGTGCCGTCTGCATGTTTGCAGGGCCCGTAGGTATAGGAATATTGTTGAAACGCTGCTTTGTTCCATCTGGCTTGTTTAGGCGGAAACAGAGAATCCGAGATCCAATGCGAAGGAATCAGTGCAAGCTTTGCTGTACATCGTTATCATGAAGATGAAATACGACGAGTCGTACTGTTTCGACGACAGTGTAAGCCTTTTTTTTTAGTGTGTACTGGTGGGTTAAAAAACTTAAAATGTTCACAAGTGAAATGGCATTGTATTTTCTGCCTCCTTTCTTGTGTGTGTGTTGTGCCGCGGCTTTCATCCGTGCGTGCCTGCATTGTATATGCGTTTTGTGATGACCTTTGTGCAAATTTCCCTTGGCCTTAGCTATTTCCCCTTGCATGGATCATTTCATTTCTCTTTACTTAACGGAGAACCTTGGTCAGCAATACACTGTACTAGTGCTAGCGGCAGGTGAAACCCGATTTCAGCAACCACCTGTGGACTGGCTTGTCTTGGTCTTTGAGCGCAGGTGGTCTCTCAAACCAGGTTGACCCCTACCCATTCAACACATTTGGTGCAAACACAAAACGAAAAATAGAAGTTGCCGTGTGGACTATGTGCCTGGTTTCACTTGTATCTGTTTAATAGGTAGTGTGTGCAATTGAAGACCTTTCCTATTATCCATGCGTTTCCATTTTCTCTATCTGTGCTTCACAGGGTGAGGATGAAGCCATGTTCCTTGAGTATCGTCACAACTTGAAGGTTGTCTTCGACAATATTGCACAGCTGGTATGTCATGCATGGCTGCTTTCATCATGTCATACTGTGTTGTCAGTGTCAGTATTGCACGTAGTGTGTGCTGTATGCCCAGAGTGCATGCATCTACTGTACAGTCAACCATGGTACTGTATGCTCGAGGGGTAGCGTTGATTCCGCTGTAGGTACTGTGTGAATGTAGTTCTTTGAGGTTCGTTGCGAATTTCACTGTGCCTGTGACTTTTTATTCATGTGCCCATGTGTGTGTGCCCGTGTGTGTGTGTGTGTGTGTGTGCCCGTGTGTGTGTGTGTGTGTGTGTGTGTGTGTGTGTGTGCATGGTTTCTGCAGAACCCTCACCTATTGCTGGAGACAATCTATAGTATTGCTGTACAAGCACTACAGTGAGTTCTGTTATTACTTGTTTGCAGTGGAACCCACCCACTAGTAACGTGAAACCTGACTTTTTCGCCTGTCTTGGATGGTGTGGATGGTGTAGAACATGTATGTATTATTATACATTTCTCATTATACACAGACTCCATTGTAGCCATCCTCGGAAGGCACTGGCAGGACATTTGCACACTATAGACATAGGCCCCGAAAGTGAAAACACAGCTTTTCAAGCTTCAACTGAGCAGCTGCACTGCGGGGCATTCTTGTAGTGGCTGGGAGGCATGAGTGAGCTTCAGTGTGTAGCTAGCTGAAAAGTTTCAGCACTACGCACGGTGGAATCATGGCAAAAACTAAACTGCTCTGTTGCCTCTATTGAACCATCAAGCCTTGAGCAGTTCCTTTTTCATGATACCGTATAAAGCACCTGTAGAACTCCGTACCACCACCGCCCACTATTCGTGTTTTGGAGGTGGGGACCTGTCTGTAGGTCATACGACACATTGCACGCTATGCAGTCCATCCGTACGAGCAGGTGCGAGCTCCACGCACGAACATGCTAAGTATGACCTTAGTACACTATGGTTCTCACACCGTAAAAAAAACTTAGTTGCATTCTGCCGTACTTCCTTTCCGGACCTGTAAAATGCAGGTGGGTCGCTCTCGCGGTACTTGACAGTAGTAGTACTGGCACTACTGGATATATGCATCCGGTGTGTGGCTGCCTTGATGTGATTGGATTTGTTGTCTCTTGGTTGGTAACCTTGCCTGTTACTTGACTCGGCATTGGCAGTACTCGCCCGATCGCTTATAGGGTGCCATATTTGATGAATATAGCTAGCTATTCTTCCGTGTAACCGGAGATGCCGGTGTTGATCTGTTTGCCTGCGTTAGCTGACACAAGTGTTCTGTGTGATTTCCATGTCCGGATTTGTAATCTCGTTTTCCTTCTTGTCTGTTGCTGCTACTGCCATGGCTGCTGCTGGTGTTGCCTTTGCTATCGTGTGTGTGTGTGTGTGTGCGCGCGCGCGCGCGCGCGCGCGTGTGTGTGTGTGTTTGTGCATACTGTAGGCAATGGCAGACATTGCCGTTCAATGAAGTTGAAGTAGCTATCCGTTCTATTTATCTAATTGGTGAAGTAGTCCCTGGCAGTCACTTTTCTGCTGACAAGCCATCTCTCTTGAAGAACATGATGGAGGCGGTGAGTACACCTACTTAGCCAGAGACACTTCTGTTCTTGTATTTTCTGTTTACAAATTGTGGTGTTTGTGCTGCAGGTTCTCAATTTGCATGCCAGTTCTGATGATGTGTGTGGTGTTCCATCACTGGAGGTTTCTACTCATACCATTTGGCCATCCGCTGAGACTAGTTTGTTAGCTGCTGGACTACCTTTACACACATACCTTACTCTTTTATTGTTGTGCCTTGTCTGTCCAGATCGTCACGAGTCGCGTTTCCTTTCACAGTCACCCAGAGGTGGCCAAGCAGGTATGGCGCCGCACTGATCATCTCATTGCTCCGTGTTTTGTTGCAGTAGGACGGCCTAAAGCTACATCAGGTCGTCAACTAATGTGCAGTTGGGGCCATAGTGCCCGATCCCATTCAGGGTGAACCGTGTCGCGTCCAGGCCCGTGTACAGTATCACCTTGCATGCATGCCTATATAAAGGAGGGCTGAAACGAATGCCGAATGGAAGCGAATAGGATTTTCTAAGCAAGTATTATACCAAACAAAGAGTATCCCGAATATTGGATCACCGAGCATTGTATTCATGGTTTGTACAATGGCAGCAATGTCATCATCCTTGTCCTGGAGAGATTCAGCTACGTTGTAGTTCCATTTCCATGTGTGAATGCACACGTACTAAGAAAAGGCCCAGATAAAGTCCTTGTACAGTACTGTACAGGTCCCTGATATGCATATGAGTTGCGGTACATGATCGACTTAACTGTCACCTGGTCTCTTCTTCTACTACTTTGAAGTACTAAATACACACCCTGTCCTAAAGGATGGGCTGCCTGTTTTGATGCTCTACGTTCTGGTTGTATGATTGCTACACCGCACTGCTGTACCATTATCTCATTGTATGTGATGGGAAACGATATTCTACTTGCTTTTATTGCTTTTCATCACTGTGAGTTTTTCTTCCTGTATTTGCTTGTAGTTCTTTGAGACGGTGGTACGATATGAGAAGTTTTTCCAGCAGAACTCAAGCCACATCGCCGATGCATTGGTGAGACTTTTATTGGTTTTTGTCTCTTCAATAGTCCTGGCTGGCTGGTGCACCCGCAGCAGCTTGGTGCGGGTGGGGTGCTGAGGGTGGGAGTTGGCTTACTGCCAGTGCTAGCATCCCTAACAGTTAGGCTGATGTTGTACATGTAGTTGGTTGTTGAATCAGTCCCTGTATATCTGAAATGGGTGTAACTTGTTTGTTTGTTTGTGTTGGTGTTCTTGTTGTATGTATGTGCAGTCTGCTTTCCTTGACCGGCGTGGTCTTCTCCATGATAACGCTGGTCTTCGTAGCCGTGTATGTTACCTGCTGTCTCGCTTTGTCAAGTCTGTACGGTAAGCCAATACCTACGAGAACTGTCAACGCACATGCACTCCACCAGAGCTTTCGATCACTATCCTCTTCCGTGTGTTGTTCCTGGTACCGGTTTTCTATGGCATGGTTGCACTGTAGCTCACATGTATGTCATTACTGTGCTTGTGGCTGGTGTGCAGCCTTCACAGTCTGTACTGGTATTTGACATGCCTTTCCTGTTCTCTGTGCTTTTCATTGTTCAGGACAAATCTTCAGAACATTGCTGGCGATGTTCTGAAGCAGTTACAGTCAATAATGGCACATCACGCACAGTCTGAACTATTCTCTTACCATGATCAAGTGAGTAGTAACTGCTTGCTGGTGTTTCGTGTTGGATAATTTCCCTTGCCTTTTTCTTCCATCAGGCACCCGCATGTGAGCCTCACTGCTGGCTATACCACCATGTCATGCACTTGATACCAGGCTCACAGCTGCACTGAATACAATCATTTGCCATTTTTTCTCCCCGCCGAGGCATCATTAGGGTTAGGGCGTCATTTAGACTGTGGTTTGGTGCTAGCATTCGTGCCTTTCTCAATAACATTATCTAGGCTGCCACATACTCTTCCAACGTAATACTGTCCGCCTTACAATCTTTCTTTCATTGTTTCTCTGATGAGAATTTGACGAAAATCATGGTTTGGATAAAGCAATTCTTGTCCGATTTGTATGGGAAGTGTAGTAATGTTGTTCTTTTGTTTTGGTATGTGTGTTTGCAGTTGTTTTTATACGAGACTGCTGGCATTCTCATCATCGGGTGCGGGACATCTGCGGAGGTACGTTGCATCTGTGTTCTTATATTTCTTTTGATTTTCAGTGCGTCACCCACACTGCAGTGAGAGTGCAGTCTATGATTTATTGCCCCAAGTGGATGACTATGATGTTCACCTACACTTCTTGATATCTCTTAGAATGGTTACCACGAATGAGTTTGCTCCCACACTGGAGCTCGCGCTATTCCGCCGACTTCAAGTCGAAGTCAAGTCGGCGGAATAGCGCGAGCTCCAGTGTGGGAGCAAACTCATTCCTACAAAAAATCATCGCCGAAGTCGCAACCACTATTTCGTAATGGTTACCATGATCAATTCTCTCATGTACTCCGTAGTATTGTGGAGAGCTGGCTGCTTGTGGTGTTTGCTCTCTTTACAGGCCACTTCAAGTTTGATGAAGGAGTTCCTGGCTCCTCTCGTGTCCTCTTTCCGCACGCTACTTAGTCAGGTAGGTAGAACTTGCCATTGTGTCTGTGTCTTGTGTTTGCGTCGTTATTTGTATTTGCGTCCAGTGGTTAATGCCTTCCACAGGTCTGGTGAAAAGGTTCCTCTTGTTTCCACGTGTGTGTGTGTGTGCGTGTGTGTGTGTGTATGTGTATGTGTGTGTGTTTAGCTTTGTTCCACCAAGGATGATATGGAACGGGTACGGCTGGCCGACGGCATCTCACACGTCATAGCCTTCACCGGGTACGTTAACTCTCAGTCTCAACCCGTTGCCTGTTGCATGGTGTCACGCATATACGTGTACATGCCTGCTGATGCAGCCTGTTGTGTTCTTTTGTCTGGCAGTTCACTTCCCTGACTCTGTACAGTGAATTTGGAGTTTTCCCATTCCCACACAAGGTGGCTACTGGATGGGTTTAATTTTCATTCCGTAAATAACCAGGCGCCCAGGAAAACTGCGAAATGGGGTATATCAATATTACCCCATTCGTGGCAGGGTCATGTGCCGACCACGAAACCGTCCTGATGCATACTTCTTACAAGTACTGTAATTTCACAAATTTTCGGTGTACTTTTATTTTCGGTACTTCCGGTGCATCTGTTTCATACCTAAAATTTCAATAAACCGGACAAACACTAACACACATAATCCAATAGGGAACTGATTCTCTGTACCTAAAATTTCTGTTCGCCTGACCTGGCCCTTTGCCCTCATACCGGAAATATTGAGCGCCTAAAATTTCTGAAATTAGAGTTCTTGTGCACCATCCAGGCTGGTGTCTTGTGAGTACTACTTGAAGCAAGTCGCCAACTTTGATTAGTTTGTTTTATGGAGTGCTATCAACTGCTCGTGGGGTAGTGCAAAACATATAACTGTGTACTAATCAGACGTTTCTGCTTTTGTTGTGCAGGCGTGTGAGCAAGACGTTCAGCTCGCAGCAAACCATGAAGCAGTGTGGATGTGTGGAAGCTTTCTGTGAGGTAAGTGGTTGACTCGTTTCAACACCAGCCCATTGGACATCCTACCTAGCGTTTAGGGGGCTGAAGCCCTTCTCATTTGAGTGTTTGAGAACTAGAATATTTGTGTATAGGTTCTCATTGACATTGGGTTTATTGCCGCCTGTTTACTGTGATCAAATGTTCATTTTACCAACCTGCTCGGCAGCCAAGTTTTCATGGCGATGATGAATGGATGTGCTGTGTGGATGAGTGACACGCTTTGTGTTTGTTGTGCATGCCTGTGTTCATACGTGTATGTATTCGTTGTCTGCACACTGCACTCTTACCACTTTAGACTATTCCCGTCTTCTTGGAGGCGCTTGATGTTCCATTCTTGAGAGATGTTTTGCATGCTGGTAAGTGTCTCCTCTTAGCAGACTAGTTACGTAATGATGCAGCCGTGGAAACTTAGTGATACGAGTTCATGCTACTTAAGGATGTTTTGGCCTTGGGAATACTTCAATGCCCTGCACCAGTGCACGGCTCAGCCCGGTACCCACAGGTTTGACGTTCATGTCTCCGGACACTTGACACTTACTGGCAATGCCAGAGTTCAGTTATTCAGTTATTGAGCAGCACGGCAATTTCAAATGTAGCCCACAGGCGTACCCTTCGTCGGTTTATAAATGGGTTACGTTGACAATTGCCTTGGCAAAGAACTTAGACCAGCAAATGACTTGTATGTTGAATGCTCTTGCTGCTTATCCCAGCACCATGCTTTGAGAGTTCTCTTCTTATCCCAGTTACTAGGGACTTCAACATGCTGGTTATAGATTTATTTCTGGTGTTGTAACTGTTGTTATCATTGTGGGCATGTGTAGCATCCCGATCTCTATTTTGAAAGCATCTCTTCTTGTCTCTTTGTTTGCGTTGGGTTTTGAAAGCCTCTCTTCTTGGCTCTTTGTTTGCGTTGGTGCAGCTGTTCGTCAATATCTTCATCGCATGATAGTTTGTCTAGAAAGTTCTGTTCTGCCATTCATTCCGGCAGCAATTTCTCAGTTCCTCAAAGACGCACAGGTAAGGGATTGGTCATCCTGCTGCGCAGGTGGCTGCTTAGTTATCCCTGCTACAGTCGTTTAGTAGCAGTAGCTGTAGTGGATGCTTGATCAAGTTGATATTTTCTATTTCAGAAGTCTGTTCTTGTAGCACATGCAGTTGTTGGTCGTAGACTGACTTTAGTTTCGCAGTGAAGTCAGTCACGGTATGTCCTGCTTTGCTCCACTGCTTCGCCCAGGCATCCTTGTCATGTTCTGTTCATCTTGTGCTGCTTCTCGTCTGGTTGTGCAGATCCGAGATACTCAAGAATTCATCCCGCTTATCAATCAGTTAGTTTTAAAGTTTAAGGTGAGCATCGGCTGGAGTAATGAAGTGCTGTGTTTCAACGTGACGCTTCCAGTGCTGTCTTTCGAGTCGGTGTTGTGTTGTAGAGCACACTTCATCTTTGATTATGATACGTAAGTGTGTTGTTCATGATGTTGGCAGGGGTGGCCAGTTTACCAACATTAAGAGAAGTGAGTCTCTTTCTTCCATCGATAGAAATAATGTGAACGGATTTGTACCACGACACCGGAGGAGCACTATGTACGAATTTTAACACCGTGTGCCTATCATATAGTAGGTTTCTTTTCTCCTCGTCGCCTTTCTAAATATACTTTCTTCCATGTTCTGTTGTTTTCTACCCTTGCTCCCGCCTCTTTCCAGACCCAGCTCCATCAGTTGTATGTGGAGGTATTTGTTCCACTCGTGAAACAAGTCTTTGGTTTCCTCAACGCGCCGGTAGAGCAGGGCGATCAACAGGTGAGTTAAGGGCTGATTTAACTGTTAACGTGCAACTCCAGCCGGCCCTGGCCCACCTGTGTCCAGGTGTTTACCAACCAAGCCCAGGAACACACGTGTACTGAATTCTTTGCACTACGTCCCTGTCACGTAGATCCTAGCGTCTCTGTACCGGTAATGATGAAAAACCCCGATGATGGTCAGTTTATCAGTCCCTATCTGTAACCAGGGTCTAACAGAGGGATAGAGTGCCGAAACTACAGGCATACCGTAAAAACTGCCTATTGTTTGCGACGTATTGATGCTCGCTAATTTTGCGAGAAGAGCGTAACGCAAATATTAACCATTGTGAAAGCAAACTTCAACAGTGGGTGTATATTATATGTGTGGCCACAGTGCTCCGCGAACATTTGCCATCGTAAACTTGCTGGTTCTGAGAGATTGCAAGAATTAGTGACGCAAACATTGGGCGGTTTACAGTACTACTACCTGTACTCGTTCTTTGTGCGCATGCTGATGACTGTAGCGTTGAATTTTGATCTGTTGCTTAAACTTGGGTTTTTTCCATTTCTCCTGGGCTGCTCAGGCACAGCTGGAGAAAGTTGGCCTACATAAGGCGTATTTCACATTCCTGGCCGTTCTGATCAACAATGGCCTGGCATCAGTCATTGCTCAACAAGGTAAGCGTAAGCAGGCACTATTTCTAGCTGAGAAAGTTACTTGCGTATCACATCCACTAGTGGCGATAATGTATACAAGGTATTTAGCGATGTTAGGCCCATTGGTACTGCGGTGGCTTGAATATCAGCATTATTCATGCCATTGTTTGCTGACTTGTGTGTGCTAAACTTGATGTGGTCTTGCAGAGGCGTCCGTAGTACACGATGTTATTTTGAGTATTGTGCAAGCGACTACGGAGACATCGGATTTACAGGTAGGGTTTGTCTGCTTTTGTCTTTTGTTGGTGTAACCAGGGGGGGGGGGGGGGGGGGGGTTGTAGCATCTACGGAGAGGACATGGGACCATGTATTGAAACTATCAGAACGGGACTCACGAATGCTTCCATATTGTTGTCATATTTTGTGTTACCTAATGGCAGCTAGTCTATTGAAGCCATCATACCCAGAATATCAATATTCAAATCAGTCTGGTTCTATCTCCGTGTTGTTTAGAACCTACTCATTAATTTGCTTCTCCTAGGCAGTTGTGATGCATCCAATGACTGCATTTTGCGTGTATTGGGAGTCTGCTTCATGATAGTTCTGTTTTTGTGTTTGCTTTGGTGTTCGCTGTGCGTAGACTCATAAGACCTGTTTCATTCTGCTACGGAAACTCTGTGAGGCGTGGAGTAAGTGATGTCTGTCTACTTCATCTCTGTGTCACTGTTGCAAGACCGGCATATGGACGGGGCAGGGGGGGGGGGGGGGGTATTGAAGCGTCAGTTCATACAATAGCAGTGTACACATGGTTATATTTTTCTCAGCAGACCTCCGTCTCCATTGCTGGTTGTGATGCCAGCTAATAGCACCTGCAATGAAGAATCCAGCCAATCTCACCATTAGTAATGTTACATAAGTATATACCTCCCAAGAGTGCGCAACTCGAGATAGGTAGCTGTCACGACTCTTTTGGGATTTTCGTCATGTTTCATGAAATAGGCAGCACTGTGCTTGCATTCGAGTTGTAAAATTGACTGAGCACCATTCAGTTCTGTGTATAGTCACATCATGGAAAATGGAGTACATGTAATTCTGAAAACAAGTTGTGACAAGAGGTTTATGTGAAGTCCTGCACTCAGGGGAGCTACACAATCTTGGCCTCATCTCATTGGGGCCATAAACAAAAAATTAAAAAAAGTAAATTATCGTGTCCGTTCCCGAAGGGAACTCACGACGGCCGCTAACACCCGATAAACCCTAGCAGCAGATGCAGCGCCTAACGGTGGGGGTGAGTGGATAAGTCTCACAACCACTGGCACAAGTGCCGAAACGATTGGGGCCATAGCTTTGAGATTTAATGAATTACGAAATGGTTCCAAGCTGTGTTTTCTTGTTGTTGCTGATGTGTTGGAATGTTTTCACTTTCTCTCTGTAGGTCAAGGCGAGGTGATTATGGACGATTTTGACACGTTCGTCTATGAGCACGTCATTCCGGCTTGCTTCCTCTCACCATTGCAGCCAGGTCTGTCTCTACAGGATGCACATGTGTTCATGGTAAGAGCTGCTCAGTCCTTATTCTGGTCCTGTTATAGAGGAGATGGCCGGTGTAGTGAAGATACTTTTTATTCTTTATGAAAGCCGCAGGTTATGCATGTGTGTCTCTGTGTGCATGTGTGTCTCTGTGTGCATGTGTGTCTCTGTGTGCATGTGTGTCTCTGTGTGCATGTGTGTCTCTGTGTGCATGTGTGTCTCTGTGTGCATGTGTCTCTGTGTGCATGTGTGTGTGTGGGGGGGGGGGGGGGGGGGCATTTCGACTTTGCCTGATCGCTGCTTGCATTTGTTTTGTTTCTGCATGTGCTTATTAGGCATTGAGTGAGAACGGCACCTTGATGAAAATCATCTTAGCGAAGGAGGTTAGTGGGCAAGCTACTCGTGGTGTATTATTCATGCACATTTTTATACTGGCCGTCTAGTGTTGCTTTTGAAATCTGTCACCTGTAATGCAGCAGTCTGTATATGAGCCAGAGCACGCTAAAATATGACCACAGACCAAAAATTCGATTTTCAGTTTTTTGTTTAAAAATGATCTAACACACCTAATGTTCACTGTCTGAAAGTTTTGGATTGATCGGACATGTGTAAGTGTTGCTACAATGGTATTATATGCAGCACTGTTGAAATGGTGAAATTCTATGTACAGCAATGGGATTGTCATTTTTGCACACAATTGATATGCCCCTTGGTTCATCCTTTCCGGGTCAATTCCTCTGTCCAGGGTCTTATAGCATGAGCTGACAGGTACTCAGCCACATCCAAATTGTCTATAGGCAGCTGAGCTGCTTGTCCGAAATGCCTCCTGTTTGGAGCACCACTGGAGAACCGCCAGCGAAAACACGGTCAACATCTGTAGCTGGCCGAAGAAGTTGGCACTCCATGTCCTCTCCATCACACTCCACCCGTACTTTCAGATATACAGTATACACTGCTGCACACAGTCTTCCTCAACATACTAGACGTCGCACTCATATTCCCCACACCAAAGCCCATCTGCACACGGTTTCTCCGCTCGCCAGAGAGTACTGCTTTCGCTGCATACTGCTCATGCTAGCGATGTTCCGCATAAGGGTACTCAAATTATCGACTTGAGCAAGTTGAGGGAGCAGCAGAGTCCATTGATTGTTTTTGCACTTGCAACCAGTACTGGCATTGTCCCGGATATGTGCAGCGATGTCCATTCTGGCCAAATCATCGGCCGACTCACCTCCCAAGTCAGTGTCGATGCCAAATCGCTTGCCAGGTTGTCATCAGAGTAGAATTCCTCGTCACTGCAGATCGTGGGACTACCAGCATCAATTCTTTTTACGCTCGATGAAAGTGTCGCCCTCAAATGACTCGTCGCTGTAGCCATCATCGTCTTCCTTCTGTTTCCGACCCGAATCCTCAAAATATTTTATCCTGCGCATGGAGTGCGATGATGTCGTCTTCTTCCGCTCCGCAGTACATTACTACTACTAGGCTCTTCTGTCGATACATCGATGACGATCAGTTTTAGGCGACTCAGCGCAACATGGAATACAAACTCAAACAAATAAACTTACTTGCAACAAAGAATTGCATCCGGAACAGTCCAGTCGACCGAGGAGAACAACAACAGCGACTCGCGTTGCACTGCACTTCGTATTTTTTTAGCCGCGGAATTCAAATCGCGATTATCTCGACTTTTTCAAAAAAAAGCTGTGGTCATGTTTTAGCGCGCTCGGGCTCATATATAATTATATACACTGACTTGTCAGTTTGAGCACTCTGGCAAGGTACGTTCGGGCCTGATTTAAATCTGGCTTTGGAAATTTTATTTTTCATTGCTATCAGGTTCGGCCTCATTTTCTCTGTGCTGCGCTGAGGAACTCACAAAGAACGAAACAGCATGCTATCCGCAAATTGAGTATATTAAGGACGTTTAGCAATGCGAAAATTCGAACTTTTGGTGGTGGTGATATTTCGCGAAAATCTATTTCGAAAAAGAAAACTTGTGAGGTTTAGCAATGCGAAATGACTTTTCTCGAAGGTATTTGAATCTTATAGTACCGTACCGTATATGCAGGTCAGTCTCAAGCAGGGGGCTGTAAAATTACTACTCCCTGTAGTCAAATGCGTACCGAGAAAAGAGAAAGTTACTTTCGCAAATCACTGCAACTTCGCGTCCAAGTTTTCGAAGTTTCGAGCTTTTTTCCTGTACTCATTCCCAGACTCGAATTTTCTTTCGAACTTTCGCATTGCTAAACGTCCTTATTGTCTTGTAATTATAGATTCCCATTCGAACTTTTTTCATTTCTTGCACCTGACCGTTTTTTTGCTTGGTTGTTTGCTTACAGGGCAGCAAGCTGCTACACTTCCTGCAGGCCAAGTACTTGCCGTCTCTGAACTTGCCTCCAGAGCTAGCACAGGTAAGGATACTGAGGATCAGTGCCAGTAGATACATGTACAGAGTGGTGTGGTTGGTAAAGAGGTGCAGTTTTTAGATCAGTGCTCTGGCCTGTTCTAAATAAGTACTACTTTGGTTGATGCGATTTCTTAAATTGTTTTTCCTCGATAAACACAAACTCATCTCTCTAACACCTTCAATGTGTGGATGATTTTTTAAACGTCGTTTTCGAGCAGTGAAATGTTCCGGAGTATGGAAATTATGTTTTTGCCATCATTGCCAAGGTTACGATCGCAAACACGTCATATTCCCCGCGCTGTGCCTTTTTATTTTGAAAAGTTGTACCGAAATCAAAACTTCCCGCGGAAAATCGATGTTTCTCGTACCAAATTTGTACGTGAAAAATCTTTCTGCACTCAATGACGCAAAATCTCCATACGAAACATGGTTCGTATGAAAGCCAGTCCACACGGATTCTCCGTGAAGCAAAATGGTATGAAGCACGCCTCGAAAAAATCCGTAGCGCCCATGCGGATTTTGGCACGGAAAATCGTACCCCGGAACCTCTCTATTTTTTTCTTATCGTCGGTTTGTGGTATGTTTAATTATTGTTGTGTTGTGTCACAGGAGTACTGCGAAGCACTGCAGCAGGATATCAAGGTCATGCGGACATACTTGAAGGTTAGTTGGAGCTGGTCTTCTTTCCTGGCATGGCATGGTCTACATGAGCAATGCACCCTGCATGGGTTGCAGCTTGCAATACACTGACTAGATGTTAGCTGGCATGGTGAATGCGCTTGTGAGCTTTTGCTGGGTCTTTGAATTAGCAAATCATGTTTCAGTCTTCTTGATTGGGTCGTTCTAACAGTCACTTGTACTTGGTCCGGCTCATCGCAATTGTCGCTTATCTCTAGGGGTGAAACAATTATACCAAGTACTCGAGTACTCGCTCGGTTTTTTCAAAAATAATCGTACTCGGAATAAATCAGAGTACTCGTTCACACATGGTACATGCATTCAACATAGAAATCTGCATTTTCAGAGCAGCAGTCGGCAGATATTGATGTGCAGACTGTGTGGTAAACATTTGTTCACGAGTAGAGAGAGCGCAAATGACCCATCAACCAATATACCCGAAAAAATGACTGCTACTCGGTTCACTCAGGGTTGTATCATGTGATTTTAAGGGCCTTTGTGTGCAATTTTTAGGAGATAAAGAATACTCGAATACTCGAATGTTCGATCGGAGAAAATCAGAGTACTCGTACTCGGGATCTCAGTGCCAACTTTCACCCCTACTTATCTCCCACGCACTTTTTGACAGGTAAAACCCAGTCCAATCACGATATCTAACTTACTTTTGCTTGGGAGGTTGTGATGGCAAGATCAAATGAGGCACCAAAGAAAAAATTAGCGCGACTAGCGCTTTGAATCGCGATGTGTTCGACTTTTTTGGGAAGTGGAAATCTGGCCATATATAATATTAGTACACTGTCTGTGTTGCCAAAAGCCAAACGCATGCCGCGCAGCGACCCGAAGACCGGAACTGTAGCACTCTGGAGAGCGTGACATGCACGCGTGCATGGCAGAGGAGTATGACTATGAGCGTCATGCTGAAGAAGAAAGGTGTTTTTGATGCGATGCGCGCATGCAAGGGAGTTTTGGTTGTTCCTTTTGTTCCTTCGTGGACCTGGCAGCAGCATTACAAGAGTCGTCATCAGCGTATCCATTGGAGCGTATGACAGCTGTCTGGAGAGGCCTGCATGCCTCATTCGAAGGCTCTGTTGAAACACACTGTGGTGACACACAGGTCACACTGCCCACGGTTCCTTCAAGCACCGAAGTGACAGACACAACTGTTCCTTTCCCATTGCTGCCATACGACAGGCTGACGAAGCAAGAGATACTCTACCAGTCGCTAGCAGCTACAAAAAAAAAATGTAGACACCAGCAATTTAATGTCAGCTCATGTAACAGCGGCAGCTCGAGTGATGGAGAGTTGAATGAACTCTGGACCTGTAAGAGTGTGAATGCAAGAACGCGCTCCTTCGCTGATTTATTTCGTGCATTTTGCTTACCTTGCTTCCCTTCTATGACTCGCTTCACCTGATTCCATGGCTGAATTTTTTTCTTGTGACGGAGAGTATTCATGTATCATGCTTCCTCACTATGCCTATTGAAAATTTCACAGAGCAGCCACAAAACTCCTGTTCTTAGTGGCGATAGATAAGCGACAATTGCGATGAGCCGGACCAAGTAGTTCCTTCAAAATAGCTCTATAGAGGATAAATTCTGCCGCTGTCACCACACATCCACGAAGTCCTAAAGGTTTCCAAAATCGATTTTCATGTCACATTTATCAGTAGATTTTAGAGTTTCTCCACCTGATATTCCAGTAGTAGTAAGTCAATCAGTTGTAGTGTGCAGAGAGTGCTAAAGCGGAGTGGTTAGAACAAACAGCCTGCTCGGTGCCTGATCAACATTGTAGAGTTTCTCCACCTGACATTCCAGCAATAGTAGGTCAACCAGTTGTAGTGCACAGAGAGTTCTAGAGCGGTGTCAAGAGTACAGTGGATATCGGTTATAAAGTCATCGGACATAGTGATAAACCGGCTATATTGATACAAAATGAAGATATCAAAAGCAAAACCAGAAAAAGCCAGTCAAATTATCATTATAACCAATATACCGTATATAGCGATAAATCGGCTATAAGGATACAGAATCACCATTCAAAACACCTCTTTGTGCAGAAAAATTATCGTCTATAGTGATAGCAACACATGAGTGAGAGGCATTGTTGTCTCGACTTGGAGCCACATGTGTGTTGTCATAGGGTATTCTGGTCTGGTGCTTCCTGGATGATGCCTTTGGGGCAAGAAGTTCTTCACTCTAGACTGGAGAAGGTGCAGTAGCATCCATCACGTATCAGTACGCTACATTAGCGCGATTGAGTACCCACACGTGTATAATGTGTATGTATGACGCGCGCAGTTGAAAATCGCCTGTAGTGATATACCGGTTATAGTGATAAAATGTGAAAAATCAGAAGGGCACGTTATAACCAATATCTACTGTACATGAAAACCAGAGTGTGCAGCTTGGGGCCTTTTCTACTATGGGTGTCTGTCACGGCGGAATTCCGTGATTACATCATGTTTGGCGCAGATCTGAGGCGGGAAATGGCGTAGTGCGTACAACTGAGCTGCATTTGTGCAGAAAGAGACCTGCTTGAATCCTGCTTGTACACACTACATCACTAAAATGATGTAATCACGGAATTCCGCCGTGACAGCAACCCATCCGAGCTGCACACTCTGGTTTTCATGTACTCTTGGCGGTGTGGTTAGAACAAACACGCTAACATACTCGATTCCTAATCAACGTTGTTAGCGGAGTTTCTCTTAGGTGCCTAACATCAGCCTGCCCTAGGATGAAGAGGATATGATGAAGTTGACCTGTGCTGCATATCTTTCTTGAAGCCTTTTTTGGTTGTTGATATACGTAAAGCTCAGCTATTCTGGTTTGCCGAACCCATGATGGACTGCCGTGTTCCTTGTGTGTGTGTGTGCTTCTTGCCATAGGCGTTCTTCTCTCGACTGCAGCAGATGGTACGGCATGAGCACACTTGACCCACGTAGCGCTGTGAGTGCATGCTCCTGTGAACAGACATGCCGCATAGTGCCCTCACCCCCGCCGCTCAGCTCGACAGCAAAGGCAAGTGCAGCCAGCGCCTCCACGAATCGCCTGCACAGCCAGTGAAAACACGGAGTCCGTCAATTTTCACGTGGGACTCAATCCACCGGCCTCTTCTTTTTTTATCCCGGCAGCGACAGCGCAGCACGCAATGCTGAACCATTGGCAGGTGGTATGTGGCATGGTGCAGGGTGGTATTCGTGCCTTGGCCGACCCCACATTGGTTCATCCAAGCTCAGCACCTCGTGCCATGCTAGAATTTTTTATCAGATGAGCTTTTACTTGGGAAAGTGTGCGGTTCATCTTATTTCTACGGAGTTTACTAGGGATTCGGTGACGGTATTGAGCTGTGAATTCCTGCCTCCAACCCTTTTGTTGAGCAGGCGCCTGTTTCTTTCGAATCTGTCTTTCCATTCTGCCTTCACTGCTATGCTGGCCAGTGTTCTTTGCCTCTCTCTCTGTCTGTCTGTCTCTCTCTCTCTCTCTCTCTCTCTCTCTCTCTCTCTCTCTCTCTCTCTCTCTCTCTCTCTCTCTCTCTCTCTCTCTCTCTCTCTCTCTCTCTCTCTCTCTCTCTCTCTCTCTCTCTCTCTCTCTTGTGCACAGTCGTGTGTGGAGTTCAACTTCAATGTTGACGTCTGTGCCACTGGCCCTTGACTTCATCCTTGGCATAAGCATCGTTCTTCTCTTCCCTACCTTCAGCATTCTTTACCCAAGTATAAGGACAGGCAAGCGGTGTGCTCCTGCTTGGTGCTGGTTTTCTTTACCTCAACCGCTGGTTTCATCCATACTATTTTTGAAGTGGGTTTTGTACTCTGCGGTTTGAAACAAAGGCTCAACTAGAACATTCTTGTGCTGTAGCTGTGAGGGTGGAATAGCTGGTGAAGTGGCATTGCGACCAATGTGTGTGTGTGTGTGTGTGTGTGTGTGTGTGTGTGTGTGTGTGTGTGTGTGTGTGTGTGTGTGTGTGTGTGTGTGTGTCCCATATGGTGCAGTGGTATGTGCAGCGATTTCCAATCGATAGGTTGCGGGTTCGATTCCCGACGATTATGGTCACACACGTCTTTCTTCTCTTTCTCAGACTCCTCCTGACTTTTCTTTCATTCTCCTGGGTGGTTACCAACAGCCAGTGCATGCCGGAGTATGTGGTGTGATGTGTGTGTGAAAAAAATGAAAAAGACCAAAAAGTAGGGATTCACTGGCCAGAAAAAGCCACTTCATAGCTGTGTGGTGTAGACCAGGCTGAATAGTGGCGGTCAATTCTTCAGCCTTGCAAGCTGTTGAATGGTGCAATCCCAGCACAAGCTGCTATGGCTTCTGCTGTAGCATCGCCATCATCGCCTCCGGCGATGGGCGTCCAATGGTCCAATGGTGTGTGTGTGTGTGTGTGTGTGTGTGTGTGTGTGTGTGTGTGTGTGTGTGTGTGTGTGTGTGTCTTTGAGTGGCTGTACGCACAATGCATGTGTGCATGCTTGTGTGTACTTGTATATTGCCGTCATGTCCACACTACACTTTGTAGTGGACGAGTACAAGTCAACCATAATGATTGGCTAGATTGAGCGAATCAGGGTCCTCTGACACAGGTCCCCAAGTAATGGTCGTAATGATTGTGCACTCGGTCATCATGTACAATCATATCAAGTACACCTGGACCACCAGTGTGGACCATGGTGGACACAATCGACGCATGCTCCCGATCCGAACCCTAAAGCCCGCTGGTACGGACGCGACTCACTGTGCTAAACTAGCATTGTGATAATAAAACTGTGCTGCGCTGATGAGTCCACGAAGGACGAAACAGTTCTGTCCGCAGATTGAGTAATAATAAAACCAAGAATACAATGAAACCCATGGCCCATTTCATGTAGTCTACTCTTTTGCTCAACATGTACGTGCAGTAAAACGTTTTCAGTGCCCTCCAAGTGAGCCCTCGGGCTCACTGTGACTTGTCGGGCACTGAAAATCCATTATTGCTCTCCCAACCATCATGACCATGTCAAAAAACTACAAAAAGTAAAAAGTAGTTAGCTCCATGCCCATGGCCATGACGATAGTATCCAAGGGTACAGGGGTAGGGATCGAAGGGAAGGCGTTGGGTTCAAGCAGCCAGCTTACAAAGTAGCTCCCTCTCATACTATTGACTAGTATTGTACGATGTAGTGGGCCTAGCGCAGTGCTAGTGCCCTTGCCTGGTGACGGACCGGTTCTTCTAATGAATCTTCAGTTCAGTTCAGTTTTGGCTTTCTGCCTTTTGCTTTCTCCCGACTGATCTTAGATCACTTAGTTTGAATTTTGGAGTGTTTGTGGAAAGTAGTTACCGGTAACTATTACCAGATTACTTTTATCGTTCGGAGAAGTAGTTCGCGTAGCTGAACGCTACATGCTGTGACTTCTCTGGCAGACACGATCGTCGACGTCCACCATCGTCCACCGCTAGGGCTCGAACTGGTCAAGTTATCACCTAGTATTTCTACAGACAATCACTTTGAATCAGTGAAGTTTTGAATTGCCACCACAAAATTCTAAGTCCGCTATTTTGTCTTTTCGGTGTATCTCATAATCTGTCGACGGATGATCTCGAGCTAAGTAACTTAGTTCATAATACCATAGAAATATCGATCCTCATGCAACGGCTACATTGGCTGCGGAGGTGATCTATTCTGCACGGGCTGCAGTTCAGTCTTGCGCTGCCCAGTGCCGGCCCGGTGGATTACTTTAGTCTGCGACTAGCCACTCTGATCTGCCACCGCGTACCGACGATCTTACAGCTGCATTGGCAAACATGGAGAAGTCTTCTGCCAGTGTGGATATCACTGATGGTCTGGCATCACTGCAGTTTGGCAGCGGTAACGACAGCGAGCTGTTGGGCCTGCTGCCGCTGAAAAGAAGATTTCGCCAGCACACGTGTGGCAGCTGCGCGGCTGCTGCGTTCTTCGTTGCCAGCTTGAACGGGGCGCTGAAGCTAGCCTTGAGCACCTCCAGAAATCCAATCAGCACCGTCTCTGCACGGCGTGGCGCCGCGTTCTGGAAGCAGCGAAAGCGCCACGGTGCTGCCGCTGATGATGTTCGGCTGCGAGTGGGGTTCATTGGCTGCGGGCGGCTGGCCAGGCAACTGCTGTCCGTACTGGTTGCCTTCAGCTCCGTGAAGCCGTGTGATGTAGTTATCAGCACACCACGACTGGGTGAAGTGGAAGATCTGCAGGCACTGGGTATCTCGTGCATTTTTGATAACCTGCAAGTTGTGCAGCAAGCTGACATCGTCTTTCTCTGCTGTCTGTCTTTCGCGCTGAAAGAGGTCGCGTCGGACATCTTTGGCCAAATTCCTCCACGGTGCATCATTTACAGTGTAGTTGCCTCTAACCCAGCCACGCGCCTGCGCAATATCCTCCGGCACGACCAGGTCGTGACGTTGCCACATGCTGAAAGAGGCGATACAGGTGGTGAACGAAAAGCCAATGAATTCTCTGGTCATGGTTCAAGCGTTGCTTCGAAATCCACGGTACACTCTAGCGGATTGGCTGCAGGAAGCAGCGTGCATGCATCAACCAGTCAAAGCCTTCTCTCCGTCGATTATGCTCCCATGAGGGAGACTGCTGCTCAGTCAGACCAGTTCACAGCACCGTCGCTAAGAGACGAGGGCCTGGAAATGCTAACGCAAAGTCTCCCGTGCATCAGCACAGTCGGTGACGACAGTGAGAGGCATGTCGCGGCGCAGCACATCTTCACGCTGCTGCGCTCCCGCCAATTCTGCACCGACATTTTCCCACTGGCACGACTGCTTACATCTGATCACGGAGCTCTTGCTGACGATGACGGCGGTATTGTCACAGTTGATGATGGTATAAACTGGGCAGCGCAGTTAACCGTCGCTGTTTGGAATATGATTCTATCACTGTTTAGTTGCTCTCATTCAGAAGCGGTATCGATCATCAACTGGGTCCTGTTTGACAGGAAGTCGTCGCCGGAATCACACCTATCCCAGCAGACACATGTGCTTAGCTCTTGTTTTCTATGCCCGGACGACTTGCAGCTCAGTATAGCCAGCGGACCAGGTTGTCATGGCACAGTACGGAACGATGGTGCAGCCCTACAAGCGAATGCCCTTGGTTTAGACGATTTCGCTCCACAGTACTCCTTGTGCGACGTCCAAGTGGCCTTCCCTTGTCTTTGGGCTCGTTTCACGGATGACCTGGATTTGGCCGGAGCCATTCAAAAGAAGTTCTTGGCGCTGTTCGGAATGTCATCGGCTCTGCACGGGAAATCAGCGACAAAAATCAGCACCCGTTCTTGGTCCACGAAGCCGCAGAGAGCAGCATGAGACCGCCCTGAACTAAGCTGTCACTTCAAGACATGCTACTGAGTGGTACACACAGCATATGGTACGGTGTATACACTGCAGATACCGGTCAGTCGCCTAGGGTACTATATCTTGAGTATATAGTCTTTCACTGTAGACCAAAAATGCTCTTTGAGATCATGTGACTTGAAGCAGAGACTTACAGATTTGCACACCGGTTCTGGTTTTAGTAACAAATCTCCTCCAGTCCACATCACTGTCATCGGTACTGCATGTACCACTACATACACTGTAGTAACAGTCTGCGCCTTCAGGGATATACAGTGTTTTAGTTGCAGCCACAGGACATTTCCGCACGAGCTATAACTATAAGTCATCATCATGGAGGACTTGCCCTATTCAGCTTGTCCCCAGGTCCTGTGAACAGTACTTGGAGACGGTTGAATTACAGAGAATTATCTACAACGTATCTAATTATATTCTATTTATTACGATAGAAAACTCGTCCACATCAGTATTCCTATTATACAATTTAGCTTGGGTATAACGACACTCCACACTCCCTCAGGAGCCACCGTGTGCTGCACTGGGCAGCACAGCGGGCTCTTTCGTCGTTGTTGATGATCTGTTTTTACACGGCTGGGATGTTGTTATTGGACCAATGCTGTAAAACATGTAATTTTCGGTGTATTATTAAACTTTAATTTCGGTGATTTCGGTAGAGACCAGGCACCTAAATTTAAATTACACCTAAAAGGCACTAGAGTATGCACTGTATGTGAAGCCGGGAACGCTGGTCACCTAATTCTAAATTACACCTGAAACCTGGCAGGTTTCTAGCACCGAAATTTTAATGCACCTAAAATTACATGTTTTACAGTACTCAGTTCACCCAGTCATGGACACACACACACACACACACACACACACGCACACACACACACACATACACACCGTGACACACACACACACACACACTGGCTCACATACCACACCTCTTTTGACGCCCATCGCCAGAGGCGATGATAGCAATGCTACAGCAGAAGCCAAAGCAGCTTGGGCTGGAATTGCACCATTCAACAGCTTGCAAGTTGCAAGGCTGAAGAATTGACCGCCACTATTCAGCCTGGTCTACACCATACAGCTATGAAGTGGATTTTCTGGCCAATGAATCCCTAATATTTGGTCTTTTCATTTTCTTCCTGCACACACATCACACCACATACTCCGGCATGCACTGGCTGTTGGTAACCACCCAGGCGAATGAAAGAAAGTCCGGAGAAGTCTGAGAAAGAGAAGAAAGATGCGTGTGACCATAATCGTCGGGAATCGAACCCACAACTCCTCAATTGGAAATCGACTGCACATACATGTACCACTGCACCATAATGGGACACACACACCACACACTCATACACACACACACACACACACACACACACACACACACACACACACACACACACACACACACTCATACACACACACACACACTTTCAAAAAGTTCAATTGTGGTTTCCACTCACATTACGGTGGCAAGGATTTTTCCCGCGGCATGATGTCAGTATGGCAAGTTTGGTTTAATTTTTTTTAAATACATCAAGAGTTTCTAAAAAGTACTGAGTATCAGCCGATGCAGTACAGTCAACTTTTGTCTTTGCGTGTAACGACACTCGGCCGGGCATAAGAAAAGTGTCCTTATTCGCGAAGTGTCCTTATACCCGAAGTCTCAGTATGTACACATGTACAGGTATAATGGACTTTCTGTCCCTGCGGGAATTTGCGGAAAAAACTCTCGAAAACCTGCGCAAGAAATTGCGGCAGAAAGTAACAAAAAATGCGACGAAAAGTGCCGAATGATGCAGAACTTGCCAGGAATTCGCGGAATTATTTGCAGAAAATTGCGGATTTGGGCCAAATCACGAAATTTGCTGCATCGCACGCGTATATCTACTCGGGAGCCGTACTGTGCAAATAACCCACAGGATCATGGAAAGAACTGCGTGAAAGTGCATAAAAATGTGAGATATACAATGTAGTGCAGAAAACAACAAAAACGCGGGAAATCGCGGATTTTGCTGAAAATCGCGGGTTTGGGCCAAAATCGCGAAATTCGTTGCATCCGTGGAATCGCGATTTCCTGGAGGGACAGGACTTAAAGTCTTTGCTCTGGGCATGGAAATTCTGTCGTTATTCGCGAATTGTCGTTACCCGGCTATACCTGCAGTCGTTATTAGCGATGTTGACTGTACTGACTCGGATCATGGTAGATCCACCTGGCTTGCCGCCGGGTTGCATCAAGAAGGCCCCAGTCAGTCTGTCAAGACTCAAGACAAGACTGCATAATTATGAGTCAGGGAGTCTCCCTGATATGAGCCGCTGAGTAGGCATTGGCGGATGATGCTCGAATTGAAGGTGGCAGATTCTGCTCGAAAAGCAGTGAAATTGGCAGAACCATACAAACCGGTCTTCTCACGACGAGGTAAAACTGATAACTGATAAGTTCCCGAACACAATTACCAACAAGCATCTGTACGACATCTGCGGCTCAGCACCAATTTCGCTCGAGATTGACCAACGGCGTTGGGAATTCCTTGGTCACGTACTGAGAATGCAGAAGAGCTCTCCCCCACAGCGCGTGTTAGAGTTTTCAGCCACCGCGAGCCTGCGCGGTCGACTGGGCCGACCCAGGACAACTCTCCTCTCAGCTCTTTCTCAGGACTGCCTAGCCCGACTCGGCATTCGCCTGGGCACGCTTAGAGGCCTTAATCAGCTGCGGCAGTTGGCAGGGGATAAGTCACGGTGGAATGGCACCCCGCGGCACTCATCTTCCTCTGCCGAGCCGCGTCCTTGACTTATCCCCTGCAGGGTGAACATCGTGCACGAACAGTCTACCGTCTTTCTGACATTGCCACTCGAACTTGACAATAGAAGCTGCTTTTCGTATGTGCAGTTACATTGATGGTGTTTTTGTCTTATGTTTGTGAATCCTTCCCGGAAGCAAATGCTGGTTTTTATGCATTCGTGTAATTACTCAGCGTTATTTGCAATAATAATAATAATAATAATACAAACCTTATGGCGGGCAATTCCTCGCCGAACTCTGCTCCATTTCTTTATCCACATACCAAACATGCATGAAACTTACCAGAAAAAGTACCGAATTCTGCCAATTTTTCTGCCGGCATTATCCGCAAAGACCTATCGCTGAGCCATGCCCACGGTACGGGGCTCCCAGAAACTCAGACCCAGAAGTAGTCTACGTGTATGTTGATACAGTATAATACTGTAGCTCAGAGAAGATTGAGTGTTCATCCAGATGTCACGTCTACACACCAGAGGAAGCCCCTCCCACAGCTTGCTTTGGTCCATCAATCAAAATTTGCTCAGCCTGTGGAACGAATCAGCAATGCAATTTTTACGTTTTGGCTTCTCAAATCGCCGACGAACGAAACATTTTCTAAAACCTGTCTATAATAAAAATTAATCAAAATAATAAAACGAGTTACGTGGTCAGCGTGTTGTTTTCATGGCAACACCGTGCTTTCCCGCGCGTGATTCAAAACGCGTCATGCACGCTTGTTTCGAACTGGAAGACCAAAGCCAGAAAATACATCTCACCTGCAAGGATTTGATGTTTGTGTTCTTCACTGCAACTACCCTGGGTCGCCGTGAATGAAATCCTCGGAGAATGGATGATGCACAGCAACCCGAGGATGCTGGCACCCGAGATAAGGAAACGCGGCTGATGATAAGCCGTGTGGTCAATGAAAATTTCAAATCTTATGCTGGAAAGCAAGAACTGGGACCTTTTCACAAGGTGAGGGGCTTCACCATATTTTGCTTTTGCAGAGATGTTCTCAGGAATGGTTAGGGCTGTTCTGTTTACCATCGGCATACTAGCTGCTTTCCGGTAGGCCACAGAATCATTCTAAAAGTTGTCAGGAACTTTCAGTGGAATACTCTCCAGACCTCCTCGGTTATCTTAGCCCAATCTGTGGGGAAATGCTTCAGCTGATCGTCAACCTAATACTGACGGACGATCAAGCCGTTGGTGTTATTTTATGGGTCTTTGTTGAGTAACATTCCAGCCTGGTCATGTTGTATACAACATGTGCATGTATCAACGCGCAACAAAGTGGCAGGTCAGGGTGGTTATGCAGAACATACGACAATGTTACACTCATCGTTCTCAGGATTAAACATATTAGTGCTAGCTCAAGTCAACGAAGCAACTATTAGTACCTTACAACTACCTTACATATAAAATGTAGCACCCGTACTTGCTCACCCATGCAAACAGGGAGGTGATGAGCTTTGTTTGGAAAACGTGGCACCTGGAGAAACACTCCATTTCTGGTTACTAGTATATATTATAATTTTTGTTTCTCAGACTGTATTTGCACTTTCCTGGGCTTCTCACACCTCGTCTTCTTTCTCTTTATCTATGCTGTCCGTTGAAATTTCACTTGCGTTTCCCACAAAAGCTCCGACGCCATTGGCAGATACGTTTATTGAATTGAATTAAAAAAATATCTGGCCAAACTGCAATGTGGATCTGGTGTAATCATCTAGCATACAATTGCTCTTCTGGGCCCATGCCATGGTCAAACTCCTCTCTCTGCTAAATGGTATGTTGTTGTACCATAAAGCTCGTGGCTGCATCTCACTGTGTTGCATTACAACTGGTGGCAAGTACACTCTTTTATACATGGGATGATTCAAGTATGTTTTCGTTCCAGGGTTTGAGCGCTGTGGACATTCTACTTTTGTTGCGCGTGTTTGCAGCGTTTTTCCTCCATCGTTGGCCCCAATGGCAGCGGCAAGTCAAACGTCATCGACGCGCTGCTGTTCGTATTCGGCTTTCGCGCATCTAAGATCCGCAGCCAGAAGGTGTCGTCGCTGATCCACAACTCTGACCAGCACCGCAATGTGCCCAGCTGCACGGTCAGCGTTCACTTCCAGAAGATCGTAGACTATGTGAGTGTGTTGCATCAACTTGTGTATACTAGTAGTTGCGTGCTAAAGTGTGTTTTAATAGTGTGTTTAATGCTACAGCCCCGGAACCAGTTTTATTCATGAGGTCGCGTTCCATTTGCTACTGCTGTACGCAGATGAGAGTCCTCCGACTCGGTGGAGTGCTCAATATTCATTCATTGTAATAGAGCTACCATACACTGCTGTATATTTACTTTAAAGTAGTTTTGTTGCTGGGGATCAGTAACAGTGTTCCCTACAAATATTTCACAGCCACTATCAAACATAATGTAAGCCCACTCTCTTACTTTGCCTATCTCCTGGCTGCTGTCTGCCCTGAATTTCGTATTACATGTAATGTTATCTTTGTGTCTTCTCAAGTTGACCAGCATTCACAGTGGCTGCCTGCCCAGCAATACACGCTGCTTCAGTACAGTATCTGTCAGCACGGTTGTAGGCAGTGAGCTGCTTGCTCTACTGTAGTTAGTTCATGCACTGACGTACCTGGTTTATCTCTCTCTCGCATATCATGAAGCTTCATGATATGCTGTAACTGTGTCCGTTTCCTCTAAACTATCTCTTGTGCCTGTGCTCCTGTTTGCTCAGCCGGGCGAGGAGTATGACGTGGTGCCAAACAGCCAGTTTGTCGTGTCTCGCACTGCTTACCGCGACAATAGCTCCAGCTATCACGTCAACGGAAAGAAGGTCACCTTCAAGGAGGTGACAGCGCTGCTACGCAAGAGTGGCATCGATCTCGACCACAACCGTTTTCTAATCTTGCAGGTAAGATTGCTGTTTTGTAACTCATGTCACTTCTTTTTATGACTGCTAGTGTTTTCCTTTTTGCAAGAGCCTTCGCTTGGATAGGAAATGCATTACGCTTACACTTCGGCCAGTTTTTTTCTTATATTAACAAATATTATTTCTTTTCGTTTGAGACTTGAGTGCATTTCAGAAACATTGGCGCATGAATTTGCACAAGAGTTCCCTACGGAGTTTTACCAGCATACACTCAAACCAGGATTTGAATGTGTGAACTCCCCCGAATCCCAAACTCCAGTAGCACAGCATGTGTGTACCCTCTGCAGACCACTGGCATCTAAATCTCCAAAAGCCATGGTTCAGCAGGTCAAAGTCACAAAAACCTTGCAGATCCCCGAAACCTGGCTGAAATCTAAAACTCGTTTCTGCATTCCTTTGTATTCCTGCTGTTGCTGATAGGGTGAAGTAGAACAAATCGCCATGATGAAGCCCAAAGCTCCCAATGAGCATGAAGACGGCATGTTGGAGTACTTGGAGGACATCGTTGGCTCCAGCCGCTTCAAGGAGCCAATTGAAGAGCTCTCGAAGCAAGTTGACGAGCTGAATGAGCAGCGCGGTGAGAAGGTAAGGGAGCATCTCATAAGTTCGCACTTTTTTTGTAAACGTAACGCATTTCGAATAGACTTTACCCCCCCTACCTCCCCCCACTATTTGAAAGTCTTATCGCACATTTTCAGTGTAGATCTACTGTACATGTCCATGCCATGCCCATGGTATGCACAATCATGTACAATGTTCATGTACATGGACATGGACGCTAGTGTTGAAGTGAATGACATTCAGTAGTACCACATCTACTGAGTACAAGTAAGTTAGTTTTAGTTACAGTCTTAGTTCAATCAATATGACATGTACACACACACAAACAGAGTTCCTCCACAACGACTGTACTGTCAAAGCTGGCCAGGTGGCAGGTACACGGTTTGATCAGGCTGGTGTGACATTTGACACCTCTGAGTAGCCTGCATGCGTAGTACAAGGGTTAGATCTACACCTAAAACACACCGGTACCCTGCTGTCTGAAGCGGTCTAGCACAAGCACTAGCACTGTATTGTACACATCCAGAAAATGTGCGAACTGTCATTTTTCTATCCGAAATGGGCGCTACCCCCCTACCCCCGTTTCGAAATGCGTTACGTTTAGAAACAAAATGCGAACTTATGAGATGCTCCCTAATGGGACTGTTTCGTAGCACGTTTTTTTCAGGTCAATTGTACTGCAGCTTGTAAGTTCAAATGAACACGGGTTTAGGATTTTTCAGCCTCTTGATTTCAAGTTGATCTTTCTGCTCCCTCCCCCCCCCCCCCCCATCAATTGCTTGTCCGAGTACAGTACATTGTAGGTTGCTACACGATGGTTGTGCACACGGGGTGTAACATTGCCCCGTGATACATATAGCTTCTCTCACCGTGTCGTTTCTGCGTGTTTGTGTTGTTGATAGCTGAATCGGGTGAAGGCCGTTGAGAAGGAGAAAGACAGCCTGGAGGGTCCGAAAGATGAAGCTGTGCAGTTCTTGGTGGACGAGAATGAAAAGAGTTACTTGTCGCATCGCCTCTTCCAGCATAAGCTGTAAGTGAAGTTACACTCACCCCAGCTGAGTATCTCTGGGTCAGCGTGTTGTGCTTGGCTGCCTCCTGTAGCTGCTGCACGGCTACTTTAATAATATCATCTTTGACCAGTGCTGCTGTTTTGAGTGTTATGTGTGTGTGTCTGTGTGCCTGTGTGCGTGTTGTGTGCTGTGTAATTGAGAGTTAATGCATGTCGGGTGAACAGTGGGAAAGCGCAGTGTGGCCATAGCTACTAAATTGCATGGTGGTACTTGCATGGCACGGCATGACAATATCCTCGTTGTGTGACAGACTGCTATTGCAGTGAGGGTTTTTCTCGTTCTCATTGGTTGATCTGCATTGTTCCTGCTGCAGCTTTAAGTGCAAAGCCAAGGAAGCCACATCTAGGGAGCAGGCATCCGCGGGAAAAGAATCGCTTGCTGCAGTGGACAAGGAGCTCTCCGAGCATTCAGGTGATTTTCAAATGATCTCTATAGTCCTGCTATAGCCATGTTTGAAATCCTTCTGAACTTACCAATAATTGTCATGTTCTATCCTTCCTTGGCGTGTGTGTGTGCGTGTGCGTGTGGCACTTTTGTTCTGGTCCTGTTCTGCTTGAGATTCTCACTGAACTGCATACAATATGTGCTGTAGTCACAAACTGGATTTCCCCGACCATACAACTATCGGACAATTTCCGTTTTCCCCTTCAGATTTGTATGTGATTGCTTTACGTTGTGCCACTGGGTGTATCTGATGGTCAGCCTGTTTCTTGTCTTTGTGTGTTCATGTGTGTGTGCGTGTATGTGTGTGTGTGTGTGTGTGTGTGTGTGTGTGTGTGTGTGTGTGTGTGTGTGTGTGTGTGTGTGCGTGTGTGTGTGTAGATACGATGAAAGTCAAGACAAAGGCGCTGAAGAAGGAAGAGCAGTGAGTTGATGTAGTAGTGGAGCAGCTAGCATGGCTGTAGTGCTGCCCACATCATGTGCAGTGTGCAGTGTATGAGTAGCTGTACGAATGACTAAATGACTACCCATGTGGCCGTGCCTTAGCACAGTCAGTGGTTCATAAAGCCCCCCCCCCCCCCCGGTGCCTGTGGCCTGTTACTGGTCTTGTTCACTATTGAGCCGCCATGCCATGACCCATGTTCTTGCTGTACTGCTTCTCTGCAGGCGCTTGGGTAAGTGTCAAGCCGCTGCCGAAGCGGCGCAGAACGCCTTTGCAGAGTTTGAACGCCAGGACGTCCGTCTTCAGGAGGTGAGCCGTGGCAGCACCGGAGCTCCCTGTGCGTTGCATAAGCGAAGCGCTGAAACTCCAGACCTGCATATCTGCGTGCCACGCGCTTTGACACATCAGAAGAAATGGTCTCAATGCCTTGTTGCTACTGGTTGGCATGCATCATGGGTCTTTTTGAAGTGAAAGAAACTATTCATTGTTCCTGCCAAGCGGCCCAATGCGTACACAGATCGAGATGTGGTTTGTACTTGTCCATGACTAGAAACGGGGGATATCAAGAAAGTGACAGTGAGTGCAGTGTGAACAATGCAAGAAATCTCCCTGTGATAGAAATGGTTTGTTCAAAATATTCTAACAATTCAAACTCGAGTAATTGCGGAAATGCCAAATGCGCTGTTGATTAAACAGAGAGCAAAATGCACAACCATTATTTTGACTGACACCAGCCCTACCACTGCCGATTATGTGTTTGCGACAGGATTTGAAACATGCACGGGAGAAGCCAGGAAAACTCCAGAAGCAGCTTCAAAAGGAGCGCAAGAAGGTACGTCAACACCGCATCTCGTCTGTGTGATGTTGTTAGTGGGGCTATGTACGGGTATTCGGGTACCTGTGCTGCACCTATATCCGATGGCAATGGTACATAAACAAGGGTGTGCAACTCGACGATCCCCCAGCCCACGGCGGAATTTTTGTTTTATGACATCAGTCTTTGGTGGCGGTTTGGCTCACTGACGCCATCATGCGTAGCCAGAGATCAAAAGTACAACTAATTTGTACATTACAGCTACGGTAGTCGAAGCAGAACAACGGACGATAGATCGATGTGTCTTAAACCTGATGGACTCTCACCGTATCTACAAAATAAGCGCGGGACAGCATACGCACTTCATCATACTTCTGCCAAAGAATGACGCAATTAAAAAATTCCGCCGTGGGGTGAACCCATCGCAACTCAAGATAGGAGTTGCATACTCTTCGTTATGTACTCTTGCCGATAGGTAGTTGGGCAAGATAGTCAATACAATGATCGATAGAGTACAATGCATGGCCAGGGACATTTGTATCATTGTGTTCGACTTCCGCCAACCAAATATTAGGTTCTGTCGGGTGAATTTTGATGGTCTTTGGGTTTATTGTAAAGCTGTTGGAGAGAGGATTATGCGGAGCTCAAGCTTTTCAAAGTGTACAGTCCGTATGTACCATAACAGGATGGAATGGAACATAGTGCTTCCATAGTAACACTATCCGATGGGGCACTTATCTCACACAAAATCACCCGAACCCAATACCCTGAAAAGAATGTATCCCAATACTGCCCTAGCTGTAAGATCACTTTCTTCATTGTTGTGCTTCACTTGTCTAGGTAGCAGAGCTGACAGCTGTCCCCGAGAAGAATACCAAGGAACTGGAAATCCTTGCCGACCAGAAGAAGCAACTGGAGGTAAACGGTTGCCCTCTGCTGATATTGCTCCGGCGTTGGATGCGAAACTTGAGCACTTGTATTATTCACACTATTATAGTGCCTTTGCTGTTTGCGTTATGCAAAGCTCACTGACTTGTCAGTTTGAGCACTTTGCGCACTCTGGCAAGGTACGTTCGAGCCTGGTTTAAATCTGGCTTTGGAAAATTTATTTTTTATTGCTATCGGGTTCGGCTTCATTTTCTCTGTGCTGCACTGATGAGTCCACAAAGGGCGAAACAGTTCTGTCCGCAGATTGAGTATTACCGTAAAGTACCGTTGATCCGCCCCCACGCCATGTCGCTTCCCAGCTGGGTTTTCGGCAGGGGGGCGGGAATTAGATCAAGGCTGTCAAGTGCAGTACGATGTACAACAACGTAGAGGATCAGACTCAATGTGCTGGATTGTGCACATTTTGATCCTGGATTGGCAAGTATTGTGTACAGCAGTGCATGCATCGGTTCAACATCGTATTTCGTTGTATACGCCGAAGTCGCTTCACAAGGAGAAAATCGACAGGGGGCGGGAATTAGAGAGGGGGCGGATCAACGGTACTTTATGGTATTCACATTTAGAAGTTTTTAGAATGTATTAAACGTGAAACTTGCATTCAGTGATTACTGCAGGGTGTGCTTGGCCGAGGAGAATTCTTTTCGATGCGGCATGGAATTGCGTGAGCTCCCATAGCTCAGTCGGTTAGAGCGTCGTGCTAATAACGCGAATGTCGCAGGTTCGAGCCCTGCTGGGAGCAGACTGCTTTTTTTCTCTGCTCTTGACTAACGTTCGAGTAGCACATCATCATCATGTTGCTTTTCTTTTGACTGAATGTGCAGGCCAAGAAGAAAAAGGAAGAAGAGAAGATGACTGAAGTTATGGCAGGTTAGTTCTGACTGCTGACTGTTAAGTTTTCATTTGCCCTGGCCTGGGTGTCTGCTGCAAGGCACATTTTTATGATTAACCGTGGATTTATTGACTTTCCAAACTGCACATCATGTCGGTATGCATGGCCATGTCATTGTTTCGTTCTCTTTAGGTCTCAGGTCGGCAACAGAGGGTCTACAGTCGGAGAAGGAGGAGAAGGAAAAGAGTTTGGTGGTGGTGATGAAAACTGTGAATGAAGCCAAGTCAAAGGTTAGACACGTACTGTCGTGGACATGGAAATCCAGTCGAATGACCGGGGCCGGCGCCCTCAGTGCCTACAGAACGTTCCATGCAGTGCACATGTTGATCCGATACGACCAGCGCGCTGCAGCGCATACATGAATATGTGTACCGACTCCGTACGCGTACTGAAGGCTGCATGGCCAGCGCCCTGGGGCCGCTAGACGTGCGACCGGATTTCCATGTCCATGATAGTATATTACTGGTCGGTGTTTGCGAAAGCTACATAGTGCTACTGCTGCGTTGCTTTGGCAACTACGTATAATAGTAGCACGGAAACGATCGCAGAAATCTTGTATACTGATTACTTGGCAGAGTTCCACTTAAAACTGCATCCTGATGATGGCAGTTTGCCGAAACGTCGATAATGATACAATGAACGGAGTTGTGAATTTGCAGTGCCCAGGGAAAGCGCATATGTGCTCACCATTTATTATAATCTTGAACTATACTAGTATGATGAAGAAAGGAAAAGGACAAAATGTTACGAGTCATGACAAACTGTCCACCAACGTAACCAAATCTTATACAGTCAGCGAGTGCGACAAAACTATATTGGCTTATAACTCATAACTATATTGGCTCACCATCCGAGTCCAAATTTATACTTGTATGGGAAATATATATATTTTTAATATTTCCCATTACATCGTCACTCGCTGAGGAATCAGCCGGGGCATAGCGCCATTATTGATTTGCTACGGTTTCCAGCTGCCAAGTACATGGGAACGTACAGCATGAACGCTGCACCACGTGATGTGAGTTTTGGCGTCCGTGAATCCCATAGCAAACCCATGCAGAGCTGCGCACTTTTGATGGCTATATACTCTTGATCGTATGCTGGTGTTTGCTTACACGGTGACTACCTTGAGCATCTCTCTCTCTCTTTCTCTCCCTCACTCTCCCTCTCTCTCTCTCTCCCTCACTCTCTCTCTGCCTCTCTCTCACTCTGTCTCTCTCTCTCTCTCTCTCTCTCTCTCTCTCTCTCTCTCTCTCTCTCTCTCTCTCTCTTTCTCGCTTTCTCGCTTTCTCGCTTTCTATCTCTGTGTGTGCGTGAACAGCTGGTACTATTCTCATCTGTTTGCAAAATAGGGTGTTGATTCCTTAGGCGTGTGCCTGCTACTAAGCTCGGTGTTGCCCTGTGATGTATTATGTTTGACCCGCTTGCAGATGGATATTGCCAAGACAGAGCTTGAGTTATATCAGGAAAGGATTGACCGGCACGGCAAGCTGCTGCAAAAAGCGCAAACCTCTCTACAAGAGGCCAAGGATACGGCTGCAGCTAAGGAGACGTAAGTCGCTCTCAATGTCTCCCGGGCCCTGTTACACTGTAGATGTCCTTTCCTTACAGAGCCTTGCCATTGTGTGTGTACTCTTCAATGAGAACTGTTCGGCGTATGATTTCTCTCTCTCTCTCTCTCTCTCTCTCTCTCTCTCTCTCTCTCTCTCTCTCTCTCTCTCTCTCTCTCTCTTTTGATTGTCTTTGTAATTACGTAACTTTGCATTCCTCTTCCACCCTAGACTTATCTACAAGCCATTTTTCTGTAACATTTCTGCATATCTTGTGATTGTTACCCTTAGCGAAATTGCGGATCTGAAGAAAAGTCTTCCCAAAGCCGAAAAAAGCCTGGGCACATGTCAAGAGGAGGTGAAAGCGGTCATAGTACAGGAACGTGAAGTCATGGAGAAGGTACTACGACTTTTTGTGTGCAGTGCAAATTGATGTAACTCTTCGACCATGACGACATTTACATGCAATATACTAGGTCGTGGAAAGGTTTCATGTGGAAATGGATGTAATACGCTTGTGTGATTCTGTATGCCATGCATAATGTGATAATAATATCTCTGTACTGAGCCTCCACACACGGCACATGCTCCCAATGTGCCAGCTAACGTTACATGTATGCAGATAAGGGCTTGAAAATGCTGCCTCGCCCCAGACTTTGAAGCCTAGAAGTTACATCATGGCGCATGGGTCCATTTGGACCATACGATTGAGGGCGGACGTAATCATGTAGCGTGCTCCACTGCTCGAAGAGTGCTCCATACCCATATAGAGAAGAGCCTTCCAATTGTGAGTGGATACGAGTTTCAGGTGGTTTCCCACTACAGCCCAGGGTAACTTTATAGCCAATACTGACTGGACAGTACTGACTACTGTACTGTACTGTACTGTACTGTACTGTACTGTACTGTACTGTACTGTACTGTACTGTACTGTACTGTACTGTACTGTACTGTACTGTACTGTACTGTACTGTACTGTACTGTACTGTACTGTACTGTACTGTACTGTACTGTACTGTACTGTACTGTACTGTACTTAATTGCATGTCACGTGAGGGTTGCCTGTACTACAGCCAATGAGCGCTCTTGCTCAGCGGTCTGTATTTCTCGGTATTGCCCGGCAAGTTATTGCCCGCTCAGTTACATGTACGCGCATGCGGACTGTCATTCTTGTACTTTGTGGTTCGTGATCAGGTCAAGTGTCTACTGTTCGGAGTTTCAAATTTGAAACACAAAACAGCAACTTGATCTGACTACAAACTACAAAGCACGAGAATGACAGACCACACACGCGCGCATGTAACTGAGCGGACAATAACTTACTTGTTCCAGCCACCTGAACCAGCCGCCTCAGAAGGTGAATGCAACCTTGACATCGATATCGATGCGTTGATGAGCAGCCGACGAACTAGACGAACTGAATGCGTTCGAGACGAAGTTGTGGAGCCCATCCCACTTTCAGTTCCTGTTCCTACACGCAGTGCTCAATCACGAACAACAACACCATCGATATCGTAAAGAAATAGAGAATTTCAAAACCACAAACGACGTTTACCACTGAACAAGTGTGTCGGGACTCGGGAGACTGAGAAAGTCGGAAAGGTTTCTCTCCATTTTGTGGAATGTTTGGGTCAAGCATGCAATAAATGATTTACTGCGCCTCGTACGCACTCGTACACGGGCAATACCGGCTTGATACATGACCTCACGGCTGGGGCCGTTCGGTCATGTATCAGCCGGTATTGCCCTTGTACTCGTGCAGTAAATCATACGCACTGACTGCTCTGTACTGGCTGGGCTGGGCTGACTGCTCTGTACTGACTGCTCTGTACTGACTGGACTATACTGTACTGGACTGTACTGACTGCTCTGTACTGACTGGACTATACTGACTGGACTGTACTGTACTGTACTCACTGGACAGTACTGACCAGGGAGTAGTAAAATACAGGGAGGTGACACGAGCATGTACGGCCAGTTTGACGATTGCCTCAGCACCGTTTTCACCCGGCGGGTGAGATTGGAGTACTATGGGTACCGAAGTGTGTAGACACGCGCGCGGATCAGGATTCTCTCGATCAGGGAGTAGTAAAATACCTACCGCCAAAGAGACTCCTACTGCAGCCCGTAGAAATTCAGCGCTGAGAATTTCCAACAATTGTCTGCCTTCACAAAGTTTTTTAGTCGACCAAACTACCACTATGTCAGGAAAGAAGTCCAGCAAGAGTGGTATCACTTTGGGAGATATCCCTGCGTGCCGTAGATTTTTCCTGTGTCGATACAAGCTGTTTACGACGACGTAGCCCGCATTTCAATCCTTGACAAACTTAGGAACATTTCATTCCGAAAAGTGAACTCCCGAATCTCTAGCATACCATAATATGAAATGCTCATCATCACAAAGAAGGTAGAGAAGTACTGGTTGATCACAACTGAGGAGAAATTAGTGCCGATCGTGTGGTGTCCTAGAGATTTTTTCGACTTCGAAATCGGTGCACTCGCTTTTCATCTCCAATCGTACACGTATTGTTCGCAAGGAAATCACCTTCGTTCTATTGGTCCATGCCGTCGATCGGGACGAATTTCGCAAGGGTGGTACCTTTCCATATGACGATGACACAGATGTACCACAAGAGCAAAACAAATGCTGTTCCATGAGAAGGATAGACCTTTTCACGGAATTAGTTCTTCGACAAATACTCAAGATTGATTCAGCAGATCATCATTTTTTGCGAAAGAAAAAAAACCAAGCGCGAGGCACCCATCAAAAATCACGATTAGTGGCGTGTCACCTCCCTGTATTTTACTACTCCCTGGTACTGACTGGACTGACTGTGCTGACTGGACTATACTAGAACTGAGTGAACTGGGCTGCATACGTGAGAACGCCTTTACTTGCACAGAAACCATTACACAAATACGTGCCACAAGGAGCCGTGTGCGATGAGAAATGCATGAGAAACGATGCATTTGCTGCGCCTCCAAGACTCCTCGAACGAACGTTTTGAAAGTCTTGCCTTCACCCACATTTTCTCTTTTTCCCAACTCCAATGCTCATTGTATATACACAAATAGGAGATCCCCCCGATAGGCGTCAGCCTTTCGGTGATCCTGAAATAAAGATTATTATTGTTATTATTACCCATTCCAATCTAATGAAATGCTGCTTCCAGTGGACTTTTCAGCCAAAGAGCGCATCTGGCAGGGTGAAAGTATTAAAATACAGCATCACTCTCATCACTTTCAATTTGATGAGTGAGGCCGCTGGACAGAGCACCGTGGCTGCTGACGAGCATTGCACACACACACACATACGATCTGTGCGGGCTGTGCTCACCTGATTGCGCTATCATCTTGTGGCTCCCCCTGTATTGCAGCTGCGTATCTGCCAGGTCAATGTGCAAGGTACACGGCAAGGCATGGAGGCAAACCGTTGTCGGTAAGCTAAGCTAAGCTGTAGTAATTTCGCCCTTGGCTCAACGTGTTCTCTTCTAATCTACAGTCTGTCCGGAAACCGACGGGGAGTTTCTTTCTTTTTGCAACCCCACATATTATGGGTGACCCATTTTGTGATCACAAAGCCCGTTCTTTGAAAGGTGAAGCTGTCAGATGTCTCGGCACCTGGAAGAACACGCCATAGGCAAAGGAAGGGATATGCATGCAGCGTGAAGCATGAACACGCTTCAGCAAGCTTGGGTTCTCGGAACTCAGTTGTCAGAGTGACAGTGGCACGTTGTAGCTGGCGTTGTCTGACATTCTGTTTGTGTGATTGGACCTTTCGGTCGTGCGATGGCGTCTTTGTTGTAGCCAAGCTGTGCCAGTTTGAACTCAGTGTGAAGTATGCCCTGCATCACTGTACAGATGCAGTCAAACTTCAGTTTCCCCGGTTTAGTGTCCCCGCGAATACAGTTTCATTTACTTCAAAATATACAGTAAACATGCAGTCGAGTATCTCCGAGATCTGAGATCAGGTGACCGGAATAACATACTATTATGCAGGGTCCGAGGCTGAGCATATGTGTGCTGTATGTGGTAGCTGTTGTACAGTGGATACTTTCTGTGCTGAGGGCTTACTGAGTAGCTGTACTACGGGCCATAGCTGATTTTCATAGGCCAGCTTGTTTGACAATGCCAGTGCAGTGTGCATTTGACAGCGCAGTTTAGGCCTGCACACCTGTCATGATGTCACTGTCCGCAAAGGAACGTGCCATAGGCAAAGGAAGGGATAAGCACGCAGCGTGAAGCATGAACACGCTTCAGCAAGCTTGCGTTCTCGGAACTCAGTTGTCAGAGTGACAGTGGCACGTTGTAGCTGGCGTTGTCTGACATTCTGTTTGTGTGATTGGACCTTTCGGTCGTGCGATGGCGTCTTTGTTGTAGCCAAGCTGTGCCAGTTTGAACTCAGTGTGAAGTATGCCCTGCATCACTGTACAGATGCATTCAAACTTCAGTGTCCCCGGTTTAGTGTCCCTGCGAGTACAGTTTCATTTACTTCAAAATATACAGTAAACATGCAGTCGAGTATCTCCGAGATCTGAGATCAGGTGACCGGAATAACATACTATTATGCAGGGTCCGAGGCTGAGCATATGTGTGCTGTATGTGGTAGCTGTTGTACAGTGGATACTTTCTGTGCTAGGGCTTACTGAGTAGCTGTACTACGGGCCATAGCTGATTTTCATAGGCCAGCTTGTTTGACAATGCCAGTGCAGTGTGCATTTGACAGCGCAGTTTAGGCCTGCACACTTGTCATGATGTCACTGTCCGCAAAGGAACGTGCCATAGGCAAAGGAAGGGATAAGCACGCAGCGTGAAGCATGAACACGCTTAAGCAAGCTTGGGTTCTCGGAACTCAGTTGTCAGAGTGACAGTGGTATGTTGTAGCTGTTGTACAGTGGATACTTTCTGTGCTGAGGGCTTACTGAGTAGCTGTACTACGGGCCATAGCTGATTTTCATAGACCAGCTTGTTTGACACTGGCAGTGCAGTGTGCATTTGACAGCGCTGTTTAGGCCTGCACACCTGTCAAGATGTCACTGTCCGCAAAGGAACGTGCCATAGGCAAAGGAAGGGATATGCATGCAGCGTGAAGAATGAACACGCTTCAGCAAGCTTGGGTTCTCGGAACTCAGTTGTCAGAGTGACAGTGGTATGTTGTAGCTGTTTACAGTGGATACTTTCTGTGCTGAGGGCTTACTGAGTAGCTGTACTACGGTATCTGATTTTCATAGGCCAGCTTGTTTGACGATGCCAGTGCAGTGTGCATTTGAAAGCGCTGTCAGCACACCTGTCAAGATGTTGCACGTTCTGCATGGCGAGTTCTGAGAATCTGGAACAACAGCCCGTTCTCCGAAGGGTGTGTTATGTTGGCTAGTGCCAGCTGCGTCTGCATGTGCGTGTCAAGTGCACTGGACTTGCAGTATAAAAGGCACTCTTTCAGGCGGCCTAGAGCAGAGATGGATAAATTTATCGAAGTGATAGCGAAAGTGATATATGAGAAAGCGAAAGTGATATATGAGCCCCCTGCGGGCATTCCCCGTTCAATTAGACACACTACAATCAGTAGAAATTCTTTGGAACTTGTGTCCGATGAAAATAGCGTTTTAGGTTCAGTAACCTTAAATGTTGTGGCAGAAAGCACTACAATTACTGACTATGCTACGCAGGATGGCTCTACGGATTCAACAAAAATAACGAAATGATGAATGAAAAATTTTCCTTGTTTACATAAAAAAAATTAAGTTAGGCTCTCCCAAAAAAAAATATAAAACCAAAAAAACCAAAAAAACCAAAAAAGGCCACGGGAGAGGGCCACCTTTGTCCACCAATGGTCTATTCCTGAATACCATTGCTGTGTGAAGGTGGCAGGTGTCAACGTATGCTGGAAAGACTATTGATAGGAGAGATGTGTCTCTCCTAGTCACCGGTGCTGTGTAAAAATGGTACTGCTAATTGGCTCGGAGGCATGTGCAGGTCTGTGTCAAGGTGATTGTATTTGGTATCAAACTATCTACTTGGATGTGTCCAGAACTGCTTGTACAGTGCTGCTCAATGAAATCCAGTCGCATCACTCAAGTCTGCGCCTTGCACCATTTCGCAGCCCAGTGTTCGCAGGTCTAGGGCTGCGCAACGCCCGGTGTGCACTTTAGTGACACAACTGGATTTCAGTGAGCAGCACTAGCACTGTAGCTGAAGTATTAGAGAGGTTCTGCAAAACGAAAATGTGTACGGACTTTCGCTCTACGTCACGAAGTGAGAAACTTTGGACGCGAAACTTGCAGGGAACGCGAAATGAACTTTCGTAGGAAGTTTCGTGAGATCGGATCATGGCGTACGTGCACTTGGCGCATGCAAACTACGAAAATGTGCAGAACACAAAGTTCGTGCAAAAATTCGTACACATTTTCGCAAGGCCTGTCGCGAATCTTCGTTCGAATTTTCGTTGTGCAGAACCTCTCTATTCATTACATTTTTTTTGAGATTTAGGGGGTGATTATATGTGCAGCGCCAGCCCGGGCTGGTCGACAGGCGGGCCAGCCCGCCTGCAACGGGATCTCGGGGTTGTACACAAATCCACACAAACCTGTGGTGCGTTTACATGGCAAGCGGGCTGGCCCGGCGAGGCGGGATCCCGCCTCGAGGCACCCGGGATCCCGGCTAGGCGGGCCAGAAAAAGCACATATAAACAGACCAGCCCGGGCCAGAGTTGTATTATTATGGTGTCGACACTGCGTTCATACTACAAAATAGGTACTTTTACCGTTTGAGGGAAGTTATAAAGAGGATTCCCAATATTGTCTTGAAAATCTATGAAGCTTTTTGTACAGTAACAAGAAGGACGTGCAGTGAGCACTGTTTATTGGTCGACATGCATAATTTACATTAAAATGGAAGGGGAACTACTTGCAGAATACTTTGATATGGACAGCTAAAAATGTGAAAAACAGGAAAAAGAAACGAGGTGATACAACACACCAAACATGTGCCACAGCGCGAAAAGAAATCAGCAGAAGAATACATTGTGTGAGAAAAAAAGTTTTTAGGTTTAGGCCACACCAAGTTTTTTCATTGTTTCTCGTCACCGCGCGCGTACCTTTCTTGAGGATTGGACCAAAAAAAATCTCGCGTCCCGGTAAACACGCATAAAAAGGCGTTGTAAAAGTACGCGCGGCGTCAAATCTGGAGTGCAGTGCTAGTGCACGAACCGAAGGACGACTTTTGCACCGTATTCATTGTCTGGACTTGTCATGTCATGCCATGCCTTATCCCATAAGGTTTCTGTTTTAAATTTTAGCACAAGCGCGCACTTGGCTGTTCTTTTATGTACCCCTTGTATAATAACTTTGGTTTGCTTTCTTTCCTATTTAAATAACATGCAACACTGGACTTCCTCACCAGAGGCCGGTGCAGGAGCCTGGTTTTCTGGCTGTATGTTGCAATTGACTGTCACGCGTGGTGTATAGTCTGATTTTAGGTCATAAATTGGGCCTTTGTAGTGTAAATAGCAGTTTTTGTTTTTCAAACCCTATTTTGTTTTTTTTCCGCCCGCCCGCGTTCCTTTTGAGATTTTCAGGTGACGAGAAACAATGAAATAACTTGGTGTGGCCTTATAACCCGAGTATGGCTTGCAGCCCTGCGTTTCAGCCCGGGGCAGCACACTACAGTCGTAGTGTGTTTGTTGCATACTCACAACGGGCTGGCGTGTGCTCAGTGCATATAAACGCACTGCGGGCTGGCGACCAGCCCGGCCTTGCACATGTAAACACCCTTGGCGGGCTGGCCCGCTCGCTCCAGCCCGGGCTGGAGTCGCACATATAATAGGCCCCTTACTGTTCTCTCATATTACAACTGTTTATTGTGTGCACCATGTCTTTGCTAGTGGTAAACTTCTAGATCACCTCATGAACGAGAAGAAGAGCGGTCGGATTCCAGGCATCTATGGGCGATTGGTACGGCTCTCGTCGACTCTCTGTCTCTCTGCTCTCTCTCTCTCTTCTCTCTCTCTCTCTCTCTCTCTCTCTCTCTCTCTCTCTCTCTCTCTCTCTCTCTCTCTCTCTCTCTCTCTCTCTCTCTCTCTCTCTCTCTCTCTCTCTCTCTCTCTCTCTCTCTCTCAAATCCACCATTCCCAGTTTGCAGGGGTTGTGAGCAGGCTTTCATTTCAAGTTTTCTTATTATTTCTGCTTTTCATCTCATTACAAAAAAATTCTGCGCATTTATCTCCATCTGCGCATAAAATCTAGACTGACATCCTGCTTGTTAAATCATTCACCTGCTTTCAGGCGTAAAAACCCTGTTGTAGAGGTCTAGGTCCTCATTTGTTAGACTTACCTGTCTTTATAAATGTAACTGACTTACTTGACTTGTTATTAGGCTAGGGCCTGTTTTGGACTTCCCACTCTAAATAAAGAATACAAACAAACAAACAAACAACTTACTCGCTCTCTTGCTCACTCTGGTCTATTCTCTCTTCATCACACAAATTCGCAACAGCATGCACCCACAGCTTTGTACAGCTTTGTACAACTTTGCACTCGGGTGTGGTTTCCAGATTTCCCCCATGTTCCCTGTGTAGAATGATCCTTTTAAACTTTTCTTACGTGGCACACCTGTGCCTCTTGTGGGAGAACTGGTTCTCTCCACTGTCATTCACTTTTGCACAGCATAGCCAGCCTCCCAGGTGCATACAACATTAGTTGAAATTTGAGTTCGGTAAAGAATGAGAAGGTAGCGTACAGCAGCTCTATTGCAGCAGAAAAGCCATGATGACATGTGATTCAGAGAGAATCAGGTACAGCAGCTCAAAGTAAAGATATACATGTACATCACTGTACTTTATACTTGAAGTACTCAATCTGTGGACAGAACTATTTCATCCTTTGTGGACTCATCAGCGCAGCACAGAGAAAATGAGGCCGAACCTGGTAGCAATGAAAAAAATTCCAAAGCAAGATTTAACTTGAACCAGGCCCGAACGTACCTTGCCAGAATGGTCAAACTGAACTTACTTGAAGTATGTAAAAAAATTACGTGCATTACAGTTAGGGGTGAAACGATTAGTTCGAATATTCGAGTGACCGTTCGAAAATTTCAAACAAGCGAGTATTCAAAATTTTGCGCTCGAGTATTTTATGACTTGGACGATGCGATCATCATGGCAAGTAACGTTAGTTAGTTTTGAGATATGAAAGTACTGATGAAAATCGTTACTTTACGCTCTGTACAAGACGCTGGCGACTTTTGCTCTATGTTCACGGATAATAATTTTCTGAATTGATCGAGAACTCACAAATCTAGCACTTTTGAATTTTGATAAAATACTCTAAATATTTGAATACTCGGTCGAATATTATGAATGAGTGATCAATTGGTCAAAATAGATACTCGTTTCACCCCTAATTACAGTGCATCAAATATGTGCATTACTGTGCACCAAGGCAGTGCATCACAGTATAACAAAATTCTTTCGACAGATGAAGCTCCAAGATGAGTCGAGATTACTTCTGACTGGACAAAATCTTCAATAAAAACAAGGTGAAAATGACCAACAAGCTACAGCCATATGGGAAATGTAACAAATGTTAAAGGGAAACTGAACGCCAAAAATAAGTATGGCTTATCCGAAGGAGAATTGGGCACTGATTCCGATGAGCTATGTCTCGAGCTGATCAGAGAAGAGGAACTGTGTCAAATTTCATAAATAACACCTCCCATATTTGGAAATTGGCCTTGATGACGTGCGTACTGCTTAGCTGTCACCATGCTGTGCATGTTCAGAATGGAAGAAAACAATTACTTTGGTGTTTTGCAGCTCTGTTTCGTTCCCTGACGGTAACCAAATCTAGATGTAGGAATCTGTTGAGCAGGAGAGTGACACATGTCTTCCCGAAGGCTGTCCAGGCTGCAGTGGTGATGAAGAAGACACGATCATCACCCCGAGATCGATTGTAGCGAATTGGAAAACTCATGGTGAATTAATTTGCTTCCACTCCAAGGCAATGTCGAGGTATGAAGGGTGCTTGTACTGCCTTCCAAAGTGAAGAGGAGATGAACATGGCTTTGCATAGCTGTTGTTCTATGCCAACTTACCTACTCTTGCTGGTACCGTAGTGGCATATTGCAAATTTCGTGGACGAACAACTCTAGTCACTAGTGGCTAGTGAGCAACACTAACAGGTGAGATTTTTCAATTCGACAAAAATTGTTTTTGTTTGAGAACTGACAGTGGCAGTCATTAGACTCAGTAGGTGTCTTTGCTGCTTCTTTCCCTTCATTGGTAGGGTTGTGCTTGAATAGTACAAGTGCTTGAAGTAAAATAAAATAAAATTTATTAATCATAGTAGAACATGTGGAACATAAATCTAATCAAGCATCAGTACATGTATTGCGAAGTTCAACTTCAAAGCACATGAAATCACAATGATCACAAAGTTTATGTAATCAGGAGTACACCCTGTGTTCAACGAACACATACACACATACTGTATTGCGCACACACATGTACACATGTGTGTGCACCCCCACCCCATCCCACAGACACACGCATGCAGCGCGCACATCCATACACATGTGCGTGTACCCCCCCCCCCCCCCCCCACACACACACACTCCTACCCATACACATGTACGTGCCCCCCCCCCCCACACACACGTGTGCACATACAGATACACAAACACACACGCACGAACACACACACACAAGATACGTGTAAGTGTACATGGTCTTCCTGGTGCAGATGCTGAGCCAGCACAATGGAAAATACCTCCATCAAGATGCTTGATCAAGTGTTGTGATAATGGCACTGTTTGTTTGTTTTTACAAAGAAGTGTGGGAAAGATTACAATGCATTATAATTCATAATTGTTCTTTGCCTTGTACTGTGCAGACCAGAATGCTTCGCTATCAACTCCTGGCTTTCCATCGGCATGGTGTTCAGCTGCCGCGGCATCTGGTCCGGGGAGTTCAAGTTGCTGGATGGCTGCACTGACACAGGATGGGTTTGCGTTGGCAATGCGATACGGCAGTCATCCCACATCACGAGCTACATGTTTATGTAATTTATATTGTCGCTCGTCCAGCAACGTCAAGGCTCTGCATGTAAACAAGGGAGAACACCATAATACTACTCAGGGGATAATAATTTTGGATATCAATTTCGTGACATAAATTTTATGAGTTCCTGTCTAAACCATGCCGTAATATTGATTGCTATCTGCTCACAAAGTACCTTGTATTGTAACAATACTCTGCCTAATCACTACCCTCCGCCAATTATTAGATTCACACAATATTCACAACGTATGCAACACGCTGCTGTCTATTGACACTACTTCAAACTGAAGTGCTCACTACTCCTCTCCCGTTTTCATCTCCATCTACCTTATGAATACTCTGCATTACTGGTTTCGTTTCTACCCTTTCCATTGCTGCCAGCTCCCAGTCTTTTCCAATGCACAGCACCACCTTGACAGTCATTTTTGTGATTTGATGTACACATACTTTGAAGTTCAAATTCGAATTACATGATCAGATTTTTGTTCCACATTTTCTATTTATTTTTACTTCAAGCACAACCCTACCGATGAAGGGAAAGAAGCAGCAGAGAGACACCTACTGAGTCTAATGACTGCCACTGTCAGTTCTCAAACAAAAACAATTTTTGTCGAATTGAAAAATCTCACCTGTTAGTGTTGCTCACTAGCCACTAGTGACTAGAGTTGTTCGTCCACGAAATTTGCAATATGCCACTACGGTACCAGCAAGAGTAGGTAAGTTGGCATAGAACAACAGCTATGCAAAGCCATGTTCATCTCCTCTTCACTTTGGAAGGCAGTACACGCACCCTTCATACCTCGACATTGCCTTGGAGTGGAAGCAAATTAATTCACCATGAGTTTTCCAATTCGCTACAATCGATCTCGGGGTGATGATCGTGTCTTCTTCATCACCACTGCAGCCTGGACAGCCTTCGGGAAGACATGTGTCACTCTCCTGCTCAACAGACTCCTACATCTAGATTTGGTTACCGTCAGGGAACGAAACAGAGCTGCAAAACACCAAAGTAATTGTTTTCTTCCATTCAATTACACTGCTGAACATGCACAGCATGGTGACAGCTAAGCAGTACGCACGTCATCAAGGCCAATTTCCAAATATGGGAGGTGTTATTTATGAAATTTGACACGGTTCCTCTTCTCTGATCGGCTCGAGACATAGCTCATCGGAATCAGTGCCCAATTCTCTTTCGGATAAGCCATATTTATTTTTGGCGTTCAGTTTCCCTTTAATCGTCAAAGGCCACAAATCCAGGAAGCTATGGCACACCTACCGCAGACTGTAAGTGCAGAGCAGGTTTGGTCTCCTTTATATCCAGGATCATCTGACTGGAAATTGGAAATAACATCACTTGATCCTGGTTTCAGTGTTCTTCTTGGACAGGTGGTCTTCTAGGACAGGTGGTCTTCTAGGACAGGTGGTCTTCTAGGACAGGTGGTCTTCTAGGACAGGTGGTCTTCTAGGACAGGTGGTCTTCTAGGCCAGGTGGTCTTCTAGGACAGGTGGTCTTCTAGGACAGGTGGTCGCCTTTACAGGTTTTACTGTACATGTCGTCGTCGCATACATCCTGCCTGCTCACTGTCACCGTGTGTGTGTGTTGTTGTTGTTGTTGTTGTTGCAGGGCGATCTGGGTGCTATTGATGACTGCTACGATGTGGCGATCAGCACCGCGTGTGGCCCGCTGGACAACATTGTCGTCGACACCATGGAGACCGCACAGCAGTGTGTAGCTTTCCTGAAGAGCAACAACCTGGGCCTGGCAACATTCATCGGCATGGACAAGGTACGGCACTACACTATAATCCTGCCATGATCGCATTGCTCAGAATGCTTTATAACATTATCGAATTGACAGTGGGATGCCTTTGATCTCATGAGGACCCTATCATGTATAAGCCCATTGCGCATTGCCAAATATGGAAGGTATGAGTAATGCATGTGAGTCCGCTGGGATCAGCAATGCACTGTTCAACGCCCCACACAACCATGCCAGGATCATGCCAGGATCATGCCAGGATCATGGCTGTGTGGGGTGTTGGCGGTGTGGTGTGGGGTGTTGGCGGTACAAATTATGTCATTGGGCGATGGGCTTATAGTTATTGACGGTCTGTGTGTGAAAAGTGCCCCGTTCCTGCCAGCCTTGTGCTGATCAAGATCTCCATTTATGACATGCAGCTGTATTGTACTACTCGGTTCCCCTTTTGACTCTGTGTAGCATGTCTGGTGTGTGTGTGTGTGTGTGTGTGTGTGTGTGTGTGTGTGTGTGTGTGTGTGTGTGTGTGTGTGTGTTCATGTGGTACTTGTGTAATGCGTAGACGTGCTATTTGTATGTAAGTTACTCTGCTGAGTGCATGCTGTATGTAAGTGCCATGGGCCTGGCATCCGCGTTCTCGTGTTCCCATCGTTCACTGTGCGTGTGTGTTTGTATACATGCTGATTGCTCCTGTGTGTTTGTATACATGCTGATTGCTCCTGTGTGTTTGTGTACATGCTGATTGCTCCTGTGTGTTTGTGTACATGCTGATTGCTCGTGTGTGTGTTTGTTGCTCCTGCTTGTCTCGCAGATGGAGAGGCTGCGGAAGGCTGCTGAATCGAAGATATCGACGTACGTCTTGTTTAATGTTTCTGTTTCTAGTGTGTGCACTAAATTCTCTCCTCCCTGTTTGCATCCCCCGCTCTCTGGCGGTGTGTGCGCGTGTGTGAGCGTGCTTGACAGCTTGTTGTGTTTGGAATACCTCTTGATCCAGGCCGGAGAACACACCGCGCTTGTTTGATCTCGTCAAGGTGAAAGATGCCAGGTTCTCAACTGTATTCTACTATGCATTGCAAGACACCTTGGTTGCTGACAATATGGAGAAAGCATCTCGGCTTGCCTTCAAGGTAAAGTTATAACTTGCACGTGGTATTCACTCACTATTCGGCACTCATATTTTTTCGCAGCACGGCTTCTCTCAGTAGCAGATGGCAGTGTAGCAGTAGGGGGGAGACATACTTATCTTGTCATGCTTGTGCAATGTTGTCTGCGCTGTGTAGGGCACCAGGCGCTGGCGTGTGGTCACTCTGGATGGCAAGCTTATCGAGCAATCTGGTTAGTGCATTAGTGCATGCACTGCCTGCCATTATCAGGAAGTCCTCAATGTACTGGGGGACACGCCACTGTGTTGGTCGCTCCATCTTCTTTCCTCGACAACACAGCTGGTCAAACTGTTTCCTGGATATTGCTCTTGGGAGACAAGGAAAGAAGCTGTGATGTGGAAGCTGAGCCAATGTATTTCTCTGGTTGTGATGTTGAGCCAATGTATTTCTCTGTATTTCTTTGGTCGTCATGTCGAAGCTGAGCCGATGTATTTCTCTGGCCACGATGTTTAGGCTGAGTCAATGTATTTCTCTATATGATCTATCAGACTTACGTAGAGCATACACGTGGGTCAGGACTCTATAGCTTAGAAGGTACTGTATTGTTCCGGAGTATAAGCCGCACTTTGAACACTCAAAATTCACCCAAAAAAGGGGGTTGAGGTTTATACTCCGATGATCAAATTAACGTTGATAAATAGGGTACTGTAAAAGCCATAACGAAGTGCTAACTCTAACGAGTTAACGAGGAGAAATCTGTCGTTAAAATAGAAATCGTTATCCAGAAATCGATACATATACTGTCCTATTGAGCGTTGAGAATAAGTGAGAATCGTTACATTTGGTACACGTAAACCAGTCAATTTTGGGAAATCGTTATATATGCGCCTCGTTAGAATAATGGCTTTTACAGTAGATGTCTGTATTTCGTGACAAAAAATGGGGCGGCGCAGCTTATACTCCTGAAAATACGGTAATTATTGTTATCTCTACTTGTGTACGCTACCCTGGCTTTCCTTGTGCAGGTGCCATGTCTGGCGGCGGCAGTCGGGTGTCTAAAGGCCGCATGAAGAGCTCAATTCCGAGTGACGTATCGCCTGCTGAGCTGAAGGCCATGGAGACGGAACTGGCGCAGCTGGAGAAGAAAGCTCCGGTAGGGTTCGTTGCGCCCTGTTATGCCTGAACGCCATGCCCGACTGATGGTTTTAGATTTGTGTTTCTCTCTGACTTTTCTCGCTTCTCGCTTCTCGCTTCTTGCTGGATGAAAAGTTATGTGCGTCCGTACTGGTAATTCACATTTATGACTTACATGATGTACGCCTCACTAGCTGCGATTTTGTTAAAGGGCTTTTGTAAAATTGTGTATTGTAGGCGCTGACTGCTTGCCACCACGAGTTGGTGGAGAAAATCAAGGTCCTGACCAAGGAAGTCAAGGACATGTCACTGCAAATGCAGGTCGCCGAGCAAGATATTAAGGTAATGTCTGATGGTTGGGTGCATGTGTTCTGTTCAGCTGCCTCTGTATGGCTGCACTGTGCGCTCTACTGGTATCCCTTTTTTTCTTGATTGTTGCCTATGAGCATCATGGGGCCAAAGGCTGGCTCGAAAACCAAGGGGGATCTGTGTCACTGCACACATTTCCATTCTAGATCAGTGAGTGGGCAGTCAGGCATCTGCAGACTGTAGATGCCTGACCGCCCACTCTGTAACAGTTGTGCTCGGTGAAGTCTGACCTGACATGAATATTTGGCGCCCTCAACTTGCACGGCCCTTGGTGCCCAGCCCCCCCCCCCCCCCCCCCCTGGAAGTAGTAGGAATGCGGCTGGACGTACGTACACATGTACATTCAAGTGCAGTAAAACCTGTCAAGGCGACCACTCGGAGAAGGCGACCACCTGTCCTAGAAGACCACTGAAACCAGCACCAAGGGATGCTATTTCCAGTCAAATGACCCTGGATAAGGAGACCACCTGGTAACTGAGACCACGTTTTGAAGGTCCCTTGAGCGGCGGTCGTCTTACACAGATTTCACTGTACAATGATGTGACCGGAACTGGTCCAGGGCGCCAGCTGTGCACTTTGGGTCGGATTTCACCCAGCGCACCTGTAGTTGCTCTCCTTTGGTGTGGAGATGCCTTGATAGAACGTGTAGAACGTGTCTGTGATGCATGTTGCTTGAACTTGTCCTATGCACACCTTGGTAGTGTGTAGTTGTCTGTAACCAGACGGCCACATAGATGTATGCGTATGATGGTGTTTAACTGCAGGCCAAGGCCAGACTGCAGACTGAGCTACAGAAGCAGATAGGCAAGTTGCAGAAGGAGGCGGCGGAGATGAAGCCCAGCGATGATGACACCCAACACGTCAAGGAGCTGCAGGCTGCCTTCAATGTGGCCGAGAAAGGTACCTAGCAATCGTCCAGTGTGTGGGATCCGGTACCGGGAATATTAATTTTGTGTACCGCTGATTGTGTGTGTGGGGGGGGGGGGGGGGGCACGGCTGTTCAACTGCGGCCATCTATCAAAATGGCGGCGAATTGACACGTAAATCGCACATTTACACTTTACACATTTGATTTATCAACTTGGTGTGGTTTCAAGTGGATCCTTTCAAATCAGGTAGGTAACCTTAGGTAAATGAAGGTTTTCGAGTACGAGGCCCGACCAAACACGGAGATCAAGTGGCCGTGGAACACTGGAAGCTAAAATAAATAAAATACTGCACAGAGGTCTAGCCAGGATTTTATGCCAGCCGGCTAACGTTCTAGTGAAAATGCATCGTTCTGGGGGCTGCGCCCCCAGACCCCGCCATCAGTCACATATCCACACAGACACACACAGACACACACACACCACTACAAATCTTTCATTGCAGCTTGCATCTCCTTTCGCTTCGTCCAATTATGGACATTTATCAGGCAGTTGTGACAATGACATTGTGATTATAGGTAAATTAACAAAAATAAATATGAAAAAGGAAACAAACAGCTACATCAGCATGGATCATGTGTTCACTAAAGCAACGTGGAGGAACTTGAAGTGCCACAACTAAAGCAACGCAGAGCCTGAGTGGTCCGCCAAAACAACTGGAGTAGTCCGCCAAAACAACTGGAGTAGTGTACAATGCCGATGGTCATGTGTGTTCCGAAATGCAGCATGCACAAGACCCAGCCTAGCCACGAATGGCCCACGATATGACAGTCCAGAGTCTGTAGCTGTCAGTGTCTGTACCCACCGGAAGCAGCGAACCATGACCCGACCTAGCACCTGTTACATTTTACTGGCACTCTGCGCACCAACTTTACGTACATGTACTCAAGTGCATACTCAAGTGCATTTCAGGGTGAGTGAAGAGCTAGCACTGAGCCTGAGTAGCCACTGCTACGTAGATCTACTGACTCAAGTGCTAGTGCAGTGCACTTACGGGATCTACGCAAGTACAGTGCACTGTAGTCTACGCAAGTTGCTATGACTCCGTGATTTTCTGTTGGTTGCTTTTCTGCTGTGCGAATAAATGCAGTGTCGACTGTAGTGCAGTGCCAGTACAGTGGAAGTAGTTTTCGCTGCTGCCACTGTGCCGGTCGTTCTGAGACATTGTAGTGGCAGAAACTGGACCTATTTTCGACAGCTGACAGTGGTCGACTCTTACCTTGGCGGAGGATAGTGGGCTTGGTGACATGGTTGAAAGAAAATGATCCCCAAACACAGCATGCTACAAATACTTGTACTTGTAGAAACTGAAAATTTCTCTGAATCTCAATTGTTTGCCAGCCGGCCAAAATAACCCTTGGAGCTGTCTCAGCCGGCAGGTCGCCCTCCCAGCCGGCATTCTGCCGGCTGAGCCGGCTTTGGCTAGGCCTCTGCTGCAACACAACAATGAGATCGCCAGAACGAAGAAGAACTGATCTGACTTGAACGGAGCTGGAGAGTCACTAATTATTTACATGATCATGGAGCCAGTGAGCTACGAATTAGCTGCGGCGACGGAGTGGCCTGGACCTGGGCAGCGTTCTTGTGAAGTGCTGCGTGGCGATTGCCTTGAGCCGTTTCACGGGCGCAGGAATCTGCCAGAACCGCCTCTCTAGGGAGTTGAACTCGGCGTGTATGCTCTCTGAGCCTTGCTCAGCTAGCAAGACAAGGCCAACACGGAGTCGCGTCATTGCTGGCACTACGTGCAGCTCTAACAGGTGCAGCTTGGGTGTGACGTGCCCCTTCTGCCTGCTCACAATCTCATCTCGTACGAGCTTCTTAAAGTGCTCGATGTTGCTGCTGAGCTCTGCTATCTCCTCACATCATTTTCCTGCAGAACACCATGGAATTGAATAAACAGTGTTAGTCTGAATTTCTGTGAGACAGATTCGGCAACAATCTGCCATCTGAAATCATCAGTGTCGCCAGCATGCCAGATCTCAGACAGTATAGTAATAAGTATGCGAGCACATCCATTCGCACTTCAATATTCCAGGACAAGCAGGCAATGCGTATCAGTATCTGTGCTAGAGGCTGTATGCATGCATTGCTAAACTGAGGAGTGAACTGTGTTTGTGCACAATAAGTACACATGTAAGCGGAACTCACCATGCGGCAATGGCCAAATGCAGCTGAGCACTTGCTGTAGCCGTGGAACAGGTTGTAGAACCGTGTTCCCAGATCCTGTGCATCTGCCAGCAAATCTGGACATCTGGCTTCAACAATGGCTACAGGTGCAGACGTAATGGTTTTCGAAGTTGGCTCCTTCAGACCTTGATGGACGTGATTGCCAATAAACGCGCCGCCGTGATATGCCGGACGTGTCATGTTGGCTGCCTGCAGAGCTGCTTCAACGCTGCGCTCGCATGGGCCAGCAACAGACTTCCGCCAGACTCTTTCTCGAACTGCTGCTGAATGCTCTTCAGCTGCTGCGCAGCGTCAGTCTGTGCACGCAAAGCTGCCTGCCAGTCCTGCTGAATTTGGTCACATACCGCCTCAGTTGTGGCCAGTGACGCCTTGCTCATGGCCGTGCAGAGCCTCATAGCTGAGCTGGCCTTCTGTACGGCTGCTTCTGCTTCGACTGTGCACTGCTGCAGCTTGGCATGCAGCGCGGCCAATGCTGTGAACTGCGTGCTGTCGGTGGTTGAAGCTGGCGTTTTGCTGATCAAGCCCTTATCAAGCTGGCGCACCTCTGCCAGCATTGCCTCGTAGATCCAGGAATAGATCCCCAGGTCTAGATGGAACACTGGCAGAACGGCATGGCTGATCTCTACGGGCAGAATTGGTGCCCGGATAACGTTGTTATACGTGTTGGCGAGCGACAGCCGCGAGCCAGCAGCAACGAAAGCGCTAAGGTCGTCCTTGAGGGTCTGCAAGGCACGTGGCTGTTTGTCCTCGTCTGACACTTCAGCAGGCGGTACATCCATCATCTTCTTCGGACAGTGGCAGTGCAAGCAGGGCCGCACTCCACTTGAGCCCGACAGTCCGTAGTTAGTGGTTTCAAATTCATAGTCCCCGAACAAAAAGATGACGAATGTCTTGCCCTTCCACTGAGCACTCTCCGCGATACTCTCAATTTGTTCTCGGTAGATATCTTTACTGTGCCTTGGGCATAGCTGCAAGATTTCCTGCAGCCTGGGCCTTTCTGCCAGGTGCGCTGACACAAATGGTCTCACCTGCATACGCACACACAGTTGGAAGGCATTATGGAGTTGGTGTGCGCTCTCTAATAGTAACGCCTGTTGCTGCATAGCGACTAGTAATACTGTGCATGATTTCATGGTTGAACTTGATACCGTGCACGACGGTCTTGGCAAAAAATGAATGCCGGTATGTGAACTACTAGTACCGATAATACTGTGCATGATTTCATGGTTGATACCGTGCACGACGGTATTGGCAAAATATGTGCACATGTACTTACTTATGGCATGCAATTCAGATGCCCTCCTTCGTTTCGTGCGGTCGCTTTCATTCGACGAAGATACCTCTCCCACCGGTATTTTTCTGTATACATGTGGCCTCCCATGGGCAGTAGCGCGAACTTCAAGCGACCCATGATGCTCTCTAGCCTTCACTAGGTGCCCAGCCAATCTGTCTGCAACATCCCCTTGTAGCTTGGATGGTGAGGCACCAAGGATTTGGGCAACGGTTGCGCCCAGCGTGAGGGACTGGGTGAGCGGTGGTGTTTTTGGTTGTAGGACGGTGGTTGTTGCTGAATGCTGTGCAGTTGTGGTTGTGGTAGTGGTGGCAGTAGCAGCAGCAGTGGTGATGGTGATAGTAGGTGTTGCACTTTGTGTATTCGGTGTCATGGCAATAGAACTCGTTGGCGAAGGTTTCTTACTCTTAATGAAGACGCCACTGCATTCACACCCAGGCTTCCGCTTAGGGGGCCTGCCACCCATGGATCTTTTCCCGTATTTAATGCATATGGCACACTGCATATCCGTGTGAGGCGTCCAGGCAACGCTCTTCCCACAACCTCCACCACTTGCTACATTGCATGCAGCTGTCATACATGCTCTACATATATGCACTGGGTGCACCTCTGGCAAGTCCTCAGAAATGTCAACACACATGCCCTTCAGGCCACTTTTATGCTCAGAAGCAACGTATTTTGTGCTGCGTGGCAAATCAGCAAATTTCAGGCCACCGACCCGACATACTGATGCCAGGATTTCCTGATGACCATCCATTGACACCTGAAAATCACACAAAGTGCATAAACATCTCGACGAACTTCCAAAAAATGTACGAACTTCCGCTCACAAATTTATGTTTATCGGATGGTCGAAGCCTTGGGCCAACCAGGAAAACTCACCGAACGCAGGAGAAAACTCCAGGGACGCTTCTGTTGGAGCAGGAACAACGGCTACACTAAAATATACAACAATAGTTACAACGATAATTTTTTTACATTTCTCTTCAAAGATCGGGACCAAAACGACGCTCGTCGTCGAGTGAGGTGTCAAGCGACTGCTCTTTCCTTCCTCTTCTGGAAAAACGTGAGTTACTGGTCCACAGCCTCAAAGGAAGCCCAAGATATCACCGATTGTTACGATAAGTTTAGGAAAATGCATATCTCGGGCAGAATTTTCGAATGACTCATGCTCAGAGCCGACGCCATCTTAGATGTCCGCTGACGTGATCATATGAACAGCTCATACTGGCCAACCCTCCCGGTTTTCCCGGGAAAATCCCGGGAAATCAACACTACTCCCGCGGTCCCGGGGATTTCAAGCAAACTCCCGGAAAAGTCACAGTTTTGTCTGATACAGGATTTTCCTGAAAACTCCATGGATTCGCCCCGAATGTCCCGGTTTTTGTAAAAATATGTACGGTGCCTGATATGAATCTAAAGACTGGTTATAGGTTCTGAATTATTATTGCTACTTCCTAGAATATGAATGACAAGAGTAGAGACGAAACTAAATGTGGAGACTCAAGCTCAAGAACAACAAGAAGACTGAGAACAGCTCAAATCACAGCTGGTGGGCATGCATGCATCCAATCAGTATTATAGCGTACGCATGACATCACAACATGTGTGCGCGAGCATGCAGCACAAAGACAGGAGCGCGAGCGTAGTATGCATATACATCACACGCCCCTTCGAGATTATACTGGATAACGAGAACAGTATGATCTAACAAGAGAAATCAAATAAAGAAATATGTGACTGCAAGAACACGGAAAGCAGTAGAAATACGACAGAAATCAAACATATGACTGTCCTTTTGTGGAAGAAATGTCCAAACGGTCAGTAGCACGGCGGTTGCGAGTGCTGCGACGTGGAGCTACAGGAGCAGGTTGATCAGCGGGTGGATTGGCAGGCACAGTACCATCAGGGGTAGCAGGCACAAGGGGAATGAACGGGCGGAGAAAACGCCGGTTACGCCAGTACACTCTTCCACTAGTTAACTTCACGTAGTAATCACGGTGACGACCAACACCAACGATAACACCACGCTTACACCACAGCTTCGACCGGGGGTCCTGCACGTCCACGTGGGTGCCGATACGGAGCTCGGACAACGGGCGAGCAGAGACATCGAATTGAGCCGGAGCAGACGGAGGAGCTGCATCTGTGTCGTCGGCGAGGGTCTGCCATTCGGACGAGAAGCTACGGTGATGCGCAAGCACAAATGACGACAGAGGTCGGCCATACAGCTTTTGTGCGGGGCTGATGCCATCAGACCTCGGAGTGTTACGCCATTCTAACAGCCCGCGTTGGAATGCGTCCACATCAAGGCGGCCATTGGTGGTCGTCTTGTGAACAAGTGTCTTCATCGCCTTTACACCAGCCTCTGCGTGACCATTGCTCTGAGGGAAGTGCGGTGTAGACATAACATGGGAAATCTGCCAGCGGCGACAGAACTCGGCAAATTGGTGGGACGCAAACTGGGGGCCACCATCAGTGCACAGAACAGACGGCACACCAACATCTGGGAACCAACGGCGCAAATGGACGATCACATCGTGTGAGGACGTCGTGGTACCGGTCGGTGCGAGGCATGGCCATCCGGATAAGCGATCTACATAGACGAGAAATTCACGGCCTTGGCAAGTGAATAGATCTGCGCTGGTGTGCTCAAATGGCAGAGTCGGGTGACGATCGTTGAGCAGCGGTTCCCTCGGGAGCGATGCTTGGCGTTCCCGACACGTAGGGCATGCGCGGATCAGTGTCTCCAGATCTTGGCTCAACTTGGGCCAATACACCACCTGACGTGCTCTAGCCTTGGTACGTACAATACCCTGGTGGGAGGCGTGGAGATCTTGGAGAACATGTTGACGGAGGGACACGGGCACAACGATCCGTTGACCTTTCAAGACAATACCGTTGGCCACTGATAGGTGCTCTCGTCCGTTCCAGAATGAACGCAGAGCATCAGGCAAATCACGCTGATCATTGGGGAATCCATCTTGCACGTGCTGGAGCAGTAGCTGATAGTCAGAGTCAGCGGCAGCAGCATCATGGACGGCTTGGAACCGGAGGTCAGTGATCAGCCCATCTTCATCACGACGGAGACAGGCACGGATGCCGAGGTTAGCCAATGCGGGGGCTTCACCATACTGGTCCGTCGGGGAAGGGAGGTCAACTGGGTTCCGAGACAATGCATCGGCAAAGGCGTTGTCAGCACCTTTCCGCCACTCAGCACAGAGTTGGAACGACTGGAGCTTGAGCATCATTCTGAGCAAACGTGGGTTCTCAATTTACATCACAGTGCCCATTCGCACTTCGAACTGTGCTGTACGCAGATCTGCAGAGTCGAACGTTTTTTTGGCGGGAAAAGCTCTTTTTCACTTGTTTTTCGTGCCATCCAGGGATTTTGAGAGAAATCCAAGGATTCTTCATGTCTTGTCAAGGGATTGAGGTTTCGGTGCTTGGTCAGTATGACAGCTGGGGGGGGAATGTATGGTGCTCATGCATAGTGCTTAGGGGGGGGGGGGGGGGCTATGGTGCTCATGCATAGTGCTTAGGGAGGGGGGGGTATGGAGCTCATGCATGGTGCTTTTTTGGGGGGGGGGAGTATGGTGCTCATGCATGGTGCTTTGGGGGGGGGGGGGGGGGTATGGTGCTCATGCATGGTGCTTTTCTCGGGGGGGGGGGGGGTGGGGGGGGGGGGTATGGTGCTCATGCATGGTGCTTTGGGGGGGGGGGGGGGGGGCATGCATGGTGCATATTTGGGGGGGGGGGGGGTATGGGCCAGTGCTCACCGGCCGTTACCACCACAACATATCTATTGTGTTTGTGTTTTACACTCCACTACTGGTATGTATGAAGAAAGTTGTGGCTGGTGATATTGGTGTGTTTTGCATGTAGGCTGGAAGAAGGAAGCTGATGCAGCCAAGTCCATTGAAATGGAGGTGCAAAAGTAAGATTTCCATTCGCCTCTCTCCACCTGCACAGTGTGTATTCTCTGTGGTGACTTGTGTGCTTGGTGCACCCATTCACGGTTTCCTCTCTGATTGTGCCATGGCTGCTTGTCCAACTCCACCGGCACGCTAAGTGAACTGCATATGTGATGTGGCGGATTCAGGTCTGATGATTCGGAACCTTATCCAATGTGTCAATGTTTCCATCTACTCATTTGCGTAGGATTCATCAGAAGATCGTCGCCATCAGTGGTGGTCGCATGAAGGAGCAGCAAGACAAACTGGACAAGTCCAGTAAAGAGCTGGATGCTTGCAGCAGCAGCATTACTAAGGCTAAGGTTGGAATCAAAACAGCAGAGCGGTAAGTAATGCTTGTGTTGAGCTAGATTTAGTATTGTACAGTGCTTGAAGAGAAGAGGTGTCTTTCTTGCCAGATACATTCAGAATTCGTTTAACCACTGACTAGCACTAAGTGCTTGAAGTACAATAATTCCGTTGTTCACACTGCTATCTTTTCAACTCACTACTTAGCATATGTACAACATGCATGGGTGGTAGCAAACGCAGGAACTAAAACCAAACGATCACGGCTTCCACACAAGTGAGCTACTTGGTATTCGCTTTCTGTTGCACCTGCTTTGCATGGAGTTACATGTTACTGTGCTGTCTGAACACTATGAACGAAATCTCGAAAAGTTTGCGATTTGCTTGTGTTTGTGTGTGTATGTACTGTAAACCGTGAAATTATTGCCATGGTCTAATTTCTGCGAAATTCGCGACCGCGTGGAAATCGCGAAATTTAGACAGCGCGAAAAGGAGATCCATGAAAGGTTTAGCAAGAATGCCACAGGTTTAGCAAGAATGCCATTCTGCAATCGCAAAATTAAAGCCTCGCAAACCTGTCCGGATTCTGAAAACGCGAACTAAAAACGCCGCGGAAATTTCACGCTTTACAGTATGTCTGCGTCTGTCTGTCTGTCTGTCTGCCGCTGTGTGTCTGTCTGCCGCTCTGTGTGTGTCTGTATGTGTCTGTCTGTCTGTATGTTTGTGTCTGTGTGCATGTGTATGCTTGTAGAAACTTGACTGCCGCAAAGAAAAAGGTCACAAACATGGAGACTGAACTTGCAGACAATGACAATGAGATCAAGCGAATTGAGGTTTGTGGAAAATTCTTCCTTTGCTCTCAGTTTGGACTCTCTTTCTAATGGATGGGATGTTGTCTGGGGAAGGGAAAGTTCTTGCAGACTCAACCACCATATTGCCGAGTGGTTTAGTAGAGTGAACTGAACTTGTTTCAGGGCAGTTTACATGAAGGGTACAGCAGCATCAGCAAGTTCCAACAACAATGACAACGACGACGACAGCAACATTATTTACAGCCCTGCCATGCCATGTGACACGTAGGGCTTTGCTGTGGCATGGTACTTTTAAAAAATAACTATCATTATGCTCAGATGGTGAGCCAAGGAAACAATTGTGTGTCTCAGTACTCCTTGTCAGTGTTGTGCTAGATAGTGCACGTCTGACTGTTCAAATCTGGTTTAGTTGGCGGACTCAATCGCATAACTTGTGCCCACATTTTTCCATGTTACACTATAATTGTGGTGCTTGAGGAATTGCGTGTTGCCCCTTACGTGGGAGCTCACGCTTTTCCTGCCGATTTGAATTCAACAAAATTTCTCAAGTATCGCTGAACTCGCTACCTCTTCTTGGCACTATATGCTGCGTGTACCGTCATATTACTCGCTCTTTTCATCTCCTTGTACTTGTATGCGCGTGGTGTCAACATATTTTCAGGAAGAGATTGGAAAGCTGGAAGAAGATGCTCAGGGTGTGATGGATGACCAGGAGCAAGCTAAGGTATGCCTGTGCTGCTGAGTAATACTAGTATTTATTATTTATTTATTTATTGCATGTACGCGTTGGAGTCAACCATGCAAGCATGATTCACAACTTCGCTTATGCTGAACATGTACTAGTACTATACCAGAAGTAAATCAGCTGCAGCTGACAACTACACCCTGCATGCGGGTAGTGTATGCATCAAAATATCTAAACAGTTGATGCATGGCGTCTGCACAGCATTCTAACCTGCTCTTTGGAAGCACAGTGAAACCTGTCAAGGCAGCGACCACTCGGATTAGCCGACCACCTGTTCTAGAAGACCACTGAAACCAGGATCAAGAGATGCTATTTCCACTCAAATGACCCTTGATAGGGAGACTACCTGGTAATAGAGACCACATTTTGAAGGTCCCTTGAGCGGTCGTCTTAGGCAGGTTTCCCTATACAATCGTCCCTCTTCAGTCCCGCACTTTAGAAATCAATATCATTTTCAGCACCCAAAATAATATCCTATTCATGCCTGCTGCGCGAGTAAATCAGGTAATGTTAGTCCACCACCCTTCCTAATCCAGCAGAATGTCTGTAGAACAAACGGTGCGCTGGATTTTAAAGAAAGCACTGTACGTTCACACCCTCCTCACATGTGTACAGGGGGCATCATGTGTAAAGTGCATTGTCCGTGCTAATCCTCGCGTTTGAAGCCACAGATGGACCTGTTGTTGACCTGGAACACCTGTTGAAATGGCACACTCGCGTATTTTACTTTGTAGATACTTCGTCACCATAGGATTCCATCTCCTTTGGCGAACTTTAAATTGCAATCTTTGTTCTTCTTTCCTTCGACTGTGCAGAGTGCGGCTGCAACGCAAGTAACAGTGGTGAAGGAGCTGGCGGCGGAGCTGGCCAAGTACGATGAGACTTTAGTTGGTCTTCGGAGTCGTCAGCTGGACCTGAAACATGAGCACGAGCGAGTGGATGCCGTGTGGAAAGAGAACTTGCAGAAAGTCAAACACTGGCAGAAAGAGGTAAGAATCCCATTGAAGCCGTGTCCGTTTTCTGCACTGCTTTACTAGCGCAGTGCCGGGTGCATTTTTTGTATTGATTTTGCTCACACCATCTTCTTTGTGCTGTTTCTTACCCATTTGATCCTGTTGTAGCTCAAGAAACTTCAACTCCACGATCTAGCCGGCTTGTTGCCAAAGGAGTCTGACCGATCATCGACCACTTCCCAATCATCTCAGCATCCTGATGGCAGTACGGTGGTGGCTATGGATGTGGAACAGGCAGACGGGGCTCAGTCCGGCAGTGAAGAGGCGACGGCTGGCGACAGTGCTCCTCCGGAGACGGCGAAGCAATTCTACGACGTCGCCGAGGACGAGGATCAGAACACAGACTGGGAGAAGATCCAGGTTTGTCAACTACTAGCCTATGCATGCTAGTGCTCACGTGTATGCCAGTTCAAACCAGTTCTTTTTGCGGACTGCCGTGTACTAGTACTCATGACTCATTGCTCTCCAGGGTCTGATAGATGTGAGTGGCTGTGCTCATTGTGTTCTTTAGAACCAGATCATCATTATCGAGGAGCGTTTGGCGCAGCAGAAGCCCAGCATGAGTGCCATTGAGCGCTTCCAGGAGAAGGTAAGCCTCTGCCTGGTCAAGCTGATGTCATTGTGTGCTTACTCTCTGTAGTGGTGCTGCTGCTGCTGTCTCTGATTTCGGGGCATGCATTCCTTGCAGGTGTGCGTTGTTTCCAGCGTGTGTCGACCTGTCTTCTTCTGCCATGTAGTGTGGTGTGCTGTACATCTGTCCACCGAGTTACTTTTGCCTGCTGGATACTGTGCCCCATCTCCTTTACTCTGCTCCGCTTCATTAGCTTGCAATGAATTTGTTCCACCTCCGCCACATGCGCTCTCTGACCGACCCCGAACAAATTCATTGAAGAACAGGCCTAAAGCTGCTGCTCGCCCTCGTGTTATCACTGGCTTGCAGTGCGCTCTATACGCGCAGGTGGCATGTTTTCGGCCGTGAGTGCACCTATAAAGCTGGCTGAGAGGTCTGGACAGACCCGTATTAAAATTGTGTTGTTTCTAGTACCCTATTCTAGTACCCTATGGCCGTTCTGTTCCGTGAAGTTTTTCACATGCATATATGGATTTTTTCTGACATTGATTGTATTTTTTGGTGTTGTTTCAGGAACGCCTCTATATGGAACGTGTCAAGGAGCTGGATGCAATCACTGCTGACCGTGATGGCAAGCGTAACGAGTTTGAGGCACTGCGCAAGGAGCGCCTCGACACTTTCATGAGTGGCTTCACCATCATCACGACCAAACTCAAGGAAATGTACCAGGTATGGCGACGGTATATTGACAGAATTGTGGAGGTTTTTTTTGATTATTTTGTATTTCCGCTGTTCCATCCAGAATGTGGCAGTTGAAATACATGTCAACAGGTGCATGTGCATGCGCTTTTGACATACTAGTACTGCACCGATTCAGCTCCTGCACAACATCTCCTGGTTGCACTCAACTGTATACAGCATTCTGAAGTTGTACTTGCTACCATACAATGTACATGTACTTGAAATACTGTAAACAGTGTAAAGCCATGTACCGTATTTTTCCGGTTGAAAGTCGACCTTTTACGACTAAAAATAGAAGGAGAAAGGGTGGGGGTCGACTTACAACCGGGTTTCGACTTATAACTGGGAACTATCAGCATCTCACAAAAATGGCCTGCACTGCATGCATGAGGGCACCATGTGTACACGTTTTTTGCAAGTTTATTGGCCTTTTTCAAGGATTGGGACTTTTAATATACCCTCCAATAAGGAATGTTTACATGACTTGTTGATGTGTCAGTAGCAGGGAGTAGTTAGTACATGTAGTGCTTCGTTGGGTGATAACTTTAAAAAGCAGAATTGAGACCTCCGGATACGGGGTCGGCCTATAACCGGGGTCGACTTACAACCGGTAAAATACGGTAATATATACTTCCTCCGCGTCATCGAAATTGTCGCAGTTTGACTAGTGACTTGTCACTTGTTACTGACAACTCCATAAGCTAAGCCATTCAAAACTTATTACACAGTATGATAGTCTGAAGACTAGAGTAACGTTCCAGGACAGTTGGACTGAGAGTTTTCATGCAGAGATGAAGTCCTCGTCGTCGCTGATGTCAATGGACGCAAAAATTTCGTTCCGAAATATTTCAAGGAAGGTTGAAAGTTGGTCGCGCCTCATCTCAAACGCTTTGACTTTCTCCACAGGACAAGAGCTGCTATGCTTGTCGTCTGCTAGCTCTGGATGATTTCTACTTCACCACCAACGAAGCCTAGTAAGAATACACGATCGTTGCGAGGTCGGTTGATTACCGTCGGCGGAATCACCTCGATCTTGAAATGAACTTTTTTAGCCGTGGCATGCCCATTTATTTTAGCTGTGTGGTCACAGCTCACGCGCAGGTAAGTGTACTATCACGTCCAGCGCGCCCTCTTTTTCAGCATCACTGCCCGGCCCTGATTCACTGGTATACCATGGTACGGCACCTGCGCGTGCATCACTAGCACTACGTGTAGAGTCTACACGGCTCTTGCCGGTACAATCATGTACTGAGTGTCTCGGCCAGAGCGACAAATTTTATTGCTGTTGCAGGCATTTAGTTTGCTGACCCCTCGATGTTTCTCCAAGCGCTGCCACTTGTTCCACGAAGTCATTCTCACCCCAGCTAAGGTAAAACAGTGATGAGGCTTGAGTGAATGGCCATAAGCACGAGAAATGTGCAGGCTGCAACGCCTGACTGATCTCACCGAGTCGAAATTACCATCGCAGCGACATCAGCGAAGAAATTGCGTCTAGTTCAAAAATTCCAGCTTCCAATAACAGAAAATAGAACTTTGCCGTCACCCTATACTGATGACCATCGCCTATGTCCAATTCCTTGCCTCTGGTACGAGTGCTGGTGAGTAAATACCCCGTTTTATATCAAAAGTCAAACTGCGACAATTTCGATGACGCGGAGGAAGTATAACGAAGTGCTAATTCTAACGAGGTAACGAGGAGAAATCTGTCGTTAAAATAGAAACCGTTATACAGAAATCGATACATATACTGTTCTATTGAGCGTTGAGAATGAATGAGAATCGTTACCTTTTGTTCACGTAAACCAGTCAATTTGGAGAGATCGTTAGAATAATGGCTTTTTACAGTACCTGCTGTGTGCGTCTGTCCCCACTGTGTTACTACTCAGATGATCACACTGGGTGGTGATGCCGAGCTGGAGCTTGTTGACAGCCTGGACCCGTTCTCCGAGGGCATTGTCTTCAGCGTGCGCCCGCCGAAGAAGAGCTGGAAGAACATCTCCAACCTGTCCGGCGGGGAGAAGACGCTCAGCTCTCTGGCGCTGGTAAGCAGCGCTCTCTGCCCTGACGTAGCTAGCGTGACACGCTGCCGTGTTATGTGTGTGTGTATGTGTGTGTGTTTGTGTGTGTGTCTGTGTGTGTGTGTGTGTGTGTCTGTGTGTGTGTCTGTGTGTGTGTCTGTATGTGTGTCTGTGTGTGGTAGCAGTCATTTATCGTCTTACTGCTGCATCTTTAGTATTCTTTACCTCTGGTGGCATGCTGCAGGTGTTTGCCCTGCATCACTTCAAGCCAACGCCGCTATACGTCATGGATGAGATCGATGCTGCGCTCGACTTCAAGAATGTCTCTATTGTGGCAAATTACATCAAGGTCAGTCGAAGCGTACTCACTCGAGAGATTCCTGCTTCCCATGAAAAGTAGAGCAGTTGCATGCATCTGGGACTGAGGTGCGGCTTCGAATGTTTCAGGATGTCCGTGTTGAGGTGACGATCTTTGCATTTGTAGCACATGCAAAGAATATGCGTATGGACCTGTGTATCTCTCTCTCTCTCTCTCTCTCCCTCCCTCCCTCCCTCTCTCTCTCTCTCTCTCTCTCTCTCTCTCTCTCTCTCTCTCTCTCTCTCTCTCTCTCTCTCTCTCTCTCTCTCTCTCACGCGCATGCTTGCTCGAGCGTTGAACCCGGGTTCTTAATCCACCATTCCCAGTTCGCAAGGCTGGGTGGGGTTGTGAGCAGGCTTTCATTTCATCTTTTCTTATTATTTCTGCTTTCATCTCATTACAAAAATTCTGCGCTTTTCTCTCCATCTGCGCGTAAAATCTAGACTGACAACCTGCTTGTTAAATCATGCACCTGCTTTCAGGCGTAAAAACCCTGTTGTAGAGGTCTCAGTCCTCATTTGTTAGACTTACCTGTCTTTATAAATGTAACTTACTCTCTCTCTCTCTCTGTCTCACACATACATACATACACACTCTCTCTCTCTCTCTCTCACTCACTCACTTTCTCTCACTCTCTCTGACACTCTCTCTCCTCCTCTCTCACTCACTCTCTCTCTCACTCACTCACTCTCTCTCTCTCTCTCACTCTCTCTCTCTCTCTTTCTGTTCAGGAGCGTACCAAGAACGCCCAGTTTATCATCATCAGCTTGCGGAACAACATGTTTGAGCTGGCTGATCGTTTGGTCGGCATCTACAAGACCAGCAACTGTACCAAGAGTGTGGCACTGGATCCCCATCGCCTCTGTGACCCATCCACAGCCTGATTCATATTGTGCATTGCCAGCGCAGCTCATGCTCTATTCTATTCAACTCCATCTACCGTCGCCTAACACTAACCGCTACCTCGCATCCAACATCATAGTCCACAAGAAAGAAAACCGGATTTGATCTTCATGAAACAACACTGCTTCGATTGATAGTATCATACTTTGTGAGCGCACCGCTCATCTTTGCTATTTCTCTGCTTTGCTATGCCGTGCTGCTTGCCGCTTCACTTGTCCTACTACATATGTGCTCAATATCACACACAGCAGAGACGGAGAGTAGCTTGGCTAAGGAATAGTGTGAGCAGGTGAAATTTCGCCTCCTGAACAGAAGCACGGGGCTTCGTTCACTGCACAGTCCAGTGTCGCTATTGCTGGCATCTGTGATGGCCGGAGTTCTATTCACGAGGCTGCGCCGTTCCATTTGCCACCACTGCACGTGTACAATCATGCACTCAGTGCAGTCTCTTTGTATCATGTATCATGTTATGTTCGCCAAGGACCATCATGCTGGAGAAGGTATTCGATGCTCGTGTTATGTCAATCCACTTCTATTTTCACATTTTTTCTTGTGTTGATCACAAGAATTCAATCATTCCCACTCATGCTATGCTGTACACAATGCAATTATAAAGTAACGTTAGTTGTTGGAGACAACTGCCTTACATAATATACTCATGATCATGTAGCCGCCTGGCTTGCACATTGTCAGGCTAGAAAACAGGGAGTAAACTCTCTGTGGCTGAGTACATGTAGTCCTCGTGTGATAGAACCGCTATAATAATAATTATTATATTATTAATAGCAATGAAAAGTATGAATGCCGCAGACATCACCACGCAACATGACAATTTGTTCAAGGTTTGGTTTTGTGTGTTTCCAAAATCGATTTTCACGTCGCGATCATCAGTGGAAATACGCAACTAAAGAGATCAAGGGAAAAACAAACCGTCATGTGTCACACTTCTTTGGATTTTTAACCTTTGTTTTTCCCTTGATCTCTTTAGTTGCGTATTTCCACTGATGATCGCGACGTGAAAATCGATTTTGGAAACACACAAAACCAAACCTTGAACAAATTGTCATGTTGCGTGGTGATGTCTGCGGCATTCATACTTTTCATTGCTATTATTAAACTTTTATCTCCACGTAGATTATTTGTATATTATATTATTATTATTTTGCTTGTTCGCGTTGGCATCAACCTGCATAAAGCAGGTATATAGCCTTCGCTTAGCTGCCATAAAAAAAGAAAGCTTATCCTAAGCGAGAGGGCTAGAGGAAAAGATAACGATAACGAGATACAGAATACAAAGAAATCCAATGAGTTAAACATACAGTTCCAAACATGAAAAAAAGAAAAGCAGAGCCGAAGTTACAAATCGGAGTTACGAATGGGTTGGTACCGATTGATCCATCAATCGACAAAGGGGACTAATCCGTTAATATTGCAAAGTAGAAACTGATTGTAGTTGCAGATCTCCAGGCCAGGGCCAACATATTGCCGATTCTGGATAGGTCTCTGCAGCATTTGATGTGGTAATTAACTAATTATCATAATTGTTGATAAAATTGTTCGAGTATCTAGTGTGTTAGAGTATCTAGTGTAATTATTGTAGTTATATAACCTATAAATACTAGTTCAAAACTAGTATTAGAGAAACCTTGCTAACAATTATTATTGTAGTTCTACATATACAAGTCACTGTAGTTTTTGTAAGTACCCAAGCCAAGGTGGCAGGAGTACTAGGGGTGTGCGGATAATGCTCGAAAAGGTGGCAGATTCTGCTCGAAAAGCAGTGAAATTGGCAGAACCATACAAACCTTATGGCTGGCAATTCCTCGAATTCTGCTCCATTTCTTTATCCACATACCAAACATGCATGAAACTTACCAGAAAAAGTACCGAATTCTGCCAATTTTTCTGCCGGCATTATCCGCATATGCCCTGCATTGCCAAAGAGTACAACATAACCCCAGGACAAAACTTCAGCCTCCAACTCGGTGATACCGCCGTCGTAGGGGTTTCCGCTTGTCGCAATTTTTGCTTCTGATCTGCGACCTTCCCCCTTCGCCTTCTTCAACTGATCGTTCTCCTTCTGTAGCCACTCTCTCTTGAGTCTTGTAGATCTCTCTCTCTCGTTTGTTCAACCAGGGAGTAGTACTACTCCCTGGTTCAACTCGGGGCATGTACTTTGACCTTTGCAAATTCCCGTACATTTTTCATGCGTGGTTTGGGTGCCGCATATCGGCGAGTTCGTACGCATGCGTTACATATGCGAGATACACCCAAAAATGGACGAGGGAGCGTGCACGATCGCGATCGTATGTATGCAATGCATGCACAGCGAGTGCGGACAGACCGCGCGACCAACAAACACAAAACAAAAGCGGATGCATCACGATATCGATTGCGTACGTGCACGCTTGCTCTGACTTCGCGGAGTTCCGCTGCAGCGCTGATATCCAAGCAACTAATAAACTACTGTACTTGACTGAAGCACATGCACAATGCGGTTTTCTGAAGGCTTGGAACAATTTGTCTTGAAGTATTTCCTTTTGAGAGTCTTTTCAATGTTGCCGACACTCCTGATCTGAGAGCTAGCTCGAGCATTTGAAGTTGTCGGAGTAGAATTTCGCGGAAGTAGTGGCAGTAGTTTTACTGAGTCCGAGGAGCTTCGGGGAAACATGACATTTTTCTTCGAGGAGACGTCTTTTGACCGTGTGGTAACACTTGCAAGATGGTTTATTACCCCCAGCTACCCTGGCGCTGTTTTAGTTCCATCAAGTGAGGGACCAAGAGTAACATCCGCTTGGGTACAGACCCTTGTGGACCACATAAGTCATTTGAAACTACAGCTGAAGGACAAGCCGGGACAGCCCAGGCGCGTAGGTGATGTGTTCATCAAATGCTCGTTTGCGAAGTGTGAGAGCGTGAAGACAGCGTTCGCCAATGTACAGAAGGTCTACAAGAAGGACTGCTGCCCCTTCCTGATGGACATTTCCCATGTTCCTACAAATCCTGATGAGGATGGCCAGGGATTTGTGTTTCTGCTCCACAATCACCACACAATTGAGCCTATTGCGAAGACAGATCCCACTCCTGCTATCGCTCCAGCTGATGCCAGTGGAGCATCTCAAACCAGTGCTGAGAAATCGAAGGAGGGCGCCAAGGACGAAGCAGAGTCTGCGGCCAAGCAGGAGGAAGCGAAATCGCAGCCTGCAAAGGAGGCTAGCTAGCTTCTCAAGCCTGGCGGAAACAGGTTAGGGTTGTTCCGTCCATGCACAAAATGATTCACAAAATGAGCCAGATACACTGCACCATAGTTTTTGTGAACATTATTGTGTTTACACACCCATGAACAACGTCCAGTTGCACCCTTGTGTATCGTGGGGTTCCCTGAGACACTTGTATTTTGTTGCAAATATGGTGCGTGCCAATGAAGAAACGGTTGAATATATCTTGCGCCCTCCGCGGGGATTGACGGGTATCCCACCGTTAGAAGAAACATACTAATTCTGATGAAGGTCTGCTTCATGTATTTTATGAGTCTCGTGAGTTCATCTCTATTAGGAATAATACATGACATTTGTAATCTTTGAGATGCTATTAGAGAAATTATATACTTTTATCACAATATTGCATTAGAATATTGTGGTAGAACTTGCATCATGGACTTCATGAGAACACACACTGATAGTAACTATTTCTGTTCATTTTTACTGCAGAGCATTTATCTCTATAAATCAACATTGTATCTAATTCTATCTATTATGATGATAATACTCAGTGAAATCAAGCATAGGAAGAAAACTTTCCAAACAAACACCAACAATGTTCGCTGTTACCAACAGACGCTTTCAAACAAAAAGAGTGCTTGCCTCGCTTCACCATTCACTGACTAAATGGGTGGTTAGGTCAACAACGACTGGTGGCCCATCTGTGTGTAGTGTCAGCTTTTGTTGGATACGAGCTGTCACATGAAATCACCACACCCAGCTAACCAATGTAGAGCTAGTCTATTCTTGTTTGTAGTTGGCAGGACACTCAGTTGTCCTCCTTCGTGTTTGTGAAGCAAATGAAGAACTGAAAATGCGTAACCGGCTTAGCACCAAATTTGAGAAAACCAGATTTTCAGCTCAGTGTATTCAAAAGGTCCAGGGGCACCATCAGGCAAAATTGCACATTCAAAATCCGACTAGAACCATTTCAAAACTGGAACCCAAATACGGATTTTGATACAAACCGCACATTTTTTTAGTGAATACTTTTTTGGTCATTTATATCCGCAAAGCGATGAAATGGATTTGGCGGGTTGAGCATTCCAGCTCTTCAAATGGAAATTGTTTGAGCTGCTTCTAATCTACTTTGGCAATGGGGCAGATGTAAGTTTGGTGTGTACTGAATGGTCACGTAGTACTGTTAGTATACTTCAACCACGTACAGTGGTTGTGTGTGTGTTCGTGCGTACATGTGTGTGTGTGTCACTGTGTGTGTGTGTGTGTGTGTGTGTCACTGTGTGTGTGTCACTGTGTGTGTGTCACTGTGTGTGTGTGTGTGTGTGTGTGTGTGTGTGTGTGTGTCACTGTGTGTGTGTGTCACTGTGTGTGTGTGTGTGTGTCACTGTGTGTGTGTTCGTGTGTGCATGTTGGTGTGTGTGTGTGTGTCACTGTGTGTGTGTGTGTGTGTGTTCGTGTGTGCATGTTGGTGTGTGTGTGCGCGTGTGTGGCGGGCTATATGTATGCCGAACCTATGGAGAATGCGCCTCAGCCTGGTCCAGTGGTATGTACGGATTGCAATCGGTCATTCTCGCAATCCTGGAGATCGTGCTCGCCACAAATGTGTGGTTAAGCAGGCCAAGCCGAGTGCTGAGGAGCGAGGGGCTTGTCACTGTGGGGATTGTGGGCGTTGGTTTCGTAGCAAGGATGGTCTAGCTGTTCACCGCTGTTCCGCTCCTCAGCCCCCCGAGCCCCGTCAAGTCTGTGCACAGGATGCCTGCTGTGCCTCGCACTGTGCTGTGTGTGCCCGCTGCTTTCGGACTGCGCAAGGCCGCGGTCGTCACTGATGGTCGAGGACTGGTCCCCGCCCGACTGCCCAGCAGCGTAATTTGTTCGCTCATGTGTGCGTGTGTTCTCGCCGGTTCCGTTTGTTCCACCATCTCCGGCATCATCAGGCTGCGTGCTCCATCTTCCTCTCTGATGCTCCTCCGGGGGCCCACATGACCCCTGTGGCAGTGGCTCTACAGGACAGGTGTGTGTGTGTGGGTGTGTGTGTGTGTGTGGTGCACACGCATGCAGATGTGTGTGTGGTTTGGATTGTGTGTGTGGGTGGGTGCATTGCGCGCGTGTGGATGGTGTGGTTTGACTGAGAAAAGTCGACTGAGGTCACACTTGTTATTACACTGTGCACGTGTGCAGACGTACATGGATGTCATTGTAAACAAATATCATAATGCACACTGACATCTGGCTGATTGACAGGGGCTAGCAACCCAAGTATTGTATACACCATTGTACTTGTACAGACAATTCGTACTAGTACTACGAACACCTACATAGCAAATAAATGCTCCAAATATACATGACCTGTACATGTAATACCAAGAGTACATAACCCCCCAGAGTGTGCAACGCCTGATCCAGCTCTGCGTAGGGTTTTGGTCGAGCGTAATCGGATCTTTGCGTCATAATACCGTACACATCTGAGGGGAACCCGGGGAGTCGCGGGTACACTCGGATCAAAAACAACGGTGCCCTGCCTCGAGACCGGGCTTGCGGTGGTGTGGAGTGTACGCATGACATCAGAAGATCCGATTCCGCTCGACCAAAACCCTATGCAGAGCTGGATCGGCGTTGCACACTCTGGGGGGGGGGGGGGTTATATACTCTTGGTACTGGTAATAGCTATGTACATGACTAGGCAAAAGGAAGCATATTGTGAGCTTGCCTATCACTGGAGTTCTGCAGTTTGACTGTACTCGTTGCTCATATCCGTCATGCAAAAGGTGAGCACTGTTCACAGACCCTGACTTGATCTTTCATGTGTAGCACTGTTCACAGACCCTGACTTGATCTTTCATGTGTAGCACTCTTACTAAGTTACACGTGTACAACCATGGCGACGCAGATACATACGGCTGCACAGCCAGTGTCAGACACTCAGGGCATGTTCGATTGGTAAGGATCGGGATCGGGATCCAGATCTCAGATCCGTCGGATCCTTCAGAGTCAACTGGACACTTTTTTGAGCCTTGACTGTTGCCATGTGGACGAAGTAATAAAAAGTCGTACTCACAGCGCCAGTTGTACAAAAAGTCAGCAAGCTCTATCTCGATACACGTGTGCGTACCACAATGTGTACAAAAACGAGTTTTACCCGCCATATACGCACAAAGGTCACATTTGGATCCGTTGGATCCGGTCAACCCTGCTCCCCGAGGTGGGTTGACCGGATCCAAATCCGAAGGATCCGGATCCGGATTCGACCAATCGAAAGGCTGCGAATCCAGTGGATCTGGTGGATCGGGATCCCGATCCTACCAAACGAACATGCCCTCAGCTGCATTATATCACTTGTACTTCCACAAGTTTTGAAACACAGGCTGCCGAACTGTAGTTCAGGGCAGGGAGTAGTACTGTACTACTCCCTGGTTCAGGGCCAGTTCGCAGATTGGACACAGGCCCATGAGAGATATTGGTACAAGTATCATTATTTATATTAGGGGTGAATGAATAATAGGATGAGAGATATTGTAAGAGATATAAAAATTAATATTTGTACAAGTATCATCATTTATACTAGGGGTGAATTAACACTAAGATACAGGTCATACATGCATATCGAATTACATTCTGTCATTTCAATAGAATTTTGCATTAATTGGTCGCTTTCAAAGTCAAATCCGTGCATACTGACACTAGTAAGGCAGAGTGCATACTGACACTAGTAAGGCAGAGTGCATACTGACACTAGTAAGGCAGAGTGCATACTGACACTAGTAAGGCAGAGTGTGCGAGTGTTAACAGTGCAGAAGACGCACACCGATGTAGCGCATAGACATCGCATAAAATTAGAACTCTCTTTCTCCCTTTCTTTTTCTCGGGCCCATATTTCTGCTTACATTTGGCTGTCTGATGCACCTTTACCCTGCACCAGCCTGACGTGCGTTTACCCGGCGCCAGGTTGGCTTTCCTCCACCCGCTGTGCAAGGGTCTTTCTCTGAAAGAAATGGCACTGTGAGTTGAAGAAACACACCAACAGCACAGGCATGGTGAAGTAAAATAACAACAACAACAACAACAACAACAACAACAGCAACAACAACAACAAGTGAGAATAAAGATTTAAAACAACACGGGAACTGCAGGAATCATGTTACTTTGGCAGCGGGCAGAAAGAACGAATTCCACCACACATGAAGAGAGAAGCCACCAGCGTTCCAACTAGTGCTGCCAATCTGATCTGGCGATGGGTGTCATTACGTAGGGTGTGTGCATTGGAAAGTAATGCAATCCCGTTCGGTCGCATTCATCACAGAAACTCAGATGCAAAGATGTTGCAACTGAGCTCACATAGTTATAGATCGGCAACATTCAACCAGGGTGCACACTTCATGCACAGCGTGACCAGCACTTAGCAACGTCTGTCATGCGACAGTGGCATTCACTCACCTTTCTGAGGAGTAAGACCATCACTGCGATGAGGAGACCGCCTGCCAGGAATCCGATCAGCCATACCCACCACGGCAGCTTGCTCAACTGCTGTTTCTGCTCGGCTACTAGTTGTGTCGTCGCCTGCATACATATCAGACAGTGCAGATTGTGTACTAGTATCAGAGTGCAGATTGTGTACTAGTATCAGAGTGCAGATTGTGTACTAGTATCAGAGTGCAGATTGTGTACTACAGTCAGACCTCGCTTATCCGGTCCTCTTTTATCCGGATCCCTCGCCGTCCGGAAGAAAATCGTTGATTACTGATTTACAGCATATGGCATACATACATACAGTGTGTGTGTTCGATTATCCGGTTCCCTCGCCTATCCGGATACTTTGGTGGAAAACGGATGTGTGCGGTTATGCGAGGTCTGACTGTAGTATCAGAGTGCAGATTGTGTACTAGTATCAGAGTGCAGATTGAGTACTAGTGTCAGAGTGCAGATTGAGTACTAGTATCAGAGTGCAGATTGTGTACTACAGGTCGTCCCCCGTTAATACGAGTCCGGTTAGTACATAAACCCCGTCAGTACATAAGAAATCTCAAGTCCCGGACGAAACGTGGTCACTTCCATACAAATTTTGTCGGTTAGTACATAATTCGTTAGTACATAAACCCCGTTAGTACATAACATTTCTCCGTACCCGCATGCCACCTACCTCAATAATACATCATTTGTTGGTCTTTCGGCCTTCCAGTGGAGGCACATTGTGTTCTAGTTTCTACTTGTGGACGCAATTAGCTCAGAAATCAGAGCGCACATCACAAGCCGAGAAAGCTCTGTTTTTTCCGAGTGACTGTACAGCCTCGGCTGGGCATGCTATCATGTAAACTGTAGAATCTTCGCTGACTGTGACCGTTATAACATAGTTTTTTATGTTATATTGAGGGAATCAAGAATATCTTGCTCCCTGGTCATGGTAGCAAGAAACACTCAGAAAAGTTGAAAAAAGTGAAAAATTCTTGTACACAAGCAAGTTATGTACACTTTCGTTTAGTACATAAACCCCGTTAATACATAACATTTGTCAAGTCCCAGAGATTATGTATTAATGAGGGACGACCTGTAGTATCAGAGTGCAGATTGTGTACTAGTATCAGAGAGTGAAAGAACAACTCAGAAACCCTACATCACCACCAAAGTAAGTTGTCTCTTTGCTGCACTGAAATTCAATAATCCCAGCCAAATTTTCGGCCAGGAGCCTGTTGACCATAGAAGAACAAGCCCTGCATGTCGTGAAGTGATGCATACACTGTAGGTATCACACGCTGTCTACTTCCTTTACTAATGAACAGGAGATGACTCAGAAACTCAACACGAGAAGAAAGCAGGTACCTTGCAGTTAAGAAAACCAAATATGAAGAATTTGTACACTTTCATTTTTATCTCAGGCAACATAAATACTCAGTCGTTCTTAATTCTGCATTAGAAGATCTGCCCCACTCCCTTATGCCATTCATGATGAATACAAATTATCTTGGGTGACATGCAACCAGGCGGGTTTACCGTTGCAACGAAAGTCGAGTCAGCAGAAAGCGTGAATGTCTCCTGATCCGCAACTCTTAGTATTCGAATGTTGGACGTGATGTTGATGGGTGCGGACGCCTGCGGGGACTGTCGGACGTGGCTCATCCACACACGCCAGGTCAGTTCTATGCTGGAGGATGTGTTAGCCTCTCTTTGAGGTATGCTGCACATGATGGATGCCCAGCAGTACTGATCATCACAGCTCTGCATGCCACGGTACATACATGTGCACATACACCATGCATACACCCATGCATACACAAAGACACAGGGCACAGGGCACAAACACCCATACATACACACATACACACACGGCACATACAACCATACACGCATGCATACACACAAACACACACACACACACACACACACACATACACACACACACACACACACACACACACACACACACACACACACACACACATACATAATCAGTTACAAAAGTTGGACGCACAGAACGTGAATTTGAAGGCAAACTGCAGGGTTTCCCCAAACATCGCCAACAGTATCATGGTTTTCGATGCTGACCACCCTATCACCCTATCACCCTATCACCCTATCACCCTATCACCCTATCACCCTATCACCCTATCACCCTATCACCCTATCACCCTACGCATATCTTTAGATGCTGACCACCCTACGCATATCTTTAGATGCTGATCACCCTACGCATATCTTTAGATGCTGATCACCCTACGCATATCTTTAGATGCTGATCACCCTACGCATATCTTTAGATGCTGATCACCCTACGCATATCTTTAGATGCTGATCACCCTACGCATATCAAGTGGTGGGTCCACTAGATAATAGGGAGTACATGCACTAGTATACCTTTAAAAAAATAATGTACGAAAGCTACATGTACGCATGAAAGTGCCTGCTTGCTTTGAGAGATTACACATGAGAGGTCTATGTGGATTTGGGTTTTCATTGAGGGATACCGGTACCCCACCAACAATGCATGGAAAGAGAGTGTGAGCAGCAAACCCTTCCCTAGGTACATGTATTATTTTGGTATTTTCGTTCACAAATCTTGCAGCCATGCTCGTGTTGGCAGCATTTCTAGGCAGCCACGTGTTCATCCACATTTGCATGCCATGCCGTTGTACTACAGTATTCCCAACACGTCAGGGACGCATCGTCTTGCTGGTAGCTAGGGAGTGCGTGTGTGTGTGGGGGGGGGGGGGGTATGTGTGATTGTGTGTGTGTGTGTGTGTGTGTGTGTGTGTGTGTGTGTGTGTGTGTGTGTGTGGAGGGGGGGGGTCTTAGTACTCTACGCATGTATGAACACTGGTCACAGTTCCTACCTTTGGGATTTGCTCAGCCGTCTTTGATTCCACCCGGATGACGGTGTCCTTCGCAGCTGATGAGAAGTCTCGTACCCGGTGTAGGGATGAGGACAGGTTGCCGCGATTTCCAAGAGTGTCATCCTGTAGCAACCGTCCAATGCACACAAACAATTCTACACTGTGTGATGGTGATCATAATGCAACGGTACGACGCACACCCATGTACAGAATGCCCGAGGTATCACGCACACCCATATCAGCGGATCCTGTATAGCAGTCACAAAGTTCTGGTATGGATATGTTACCGTAAAGTCGTGTATAAAATCCGCGGCTTACGACTTTCTGGGGGGAATTTTGCAGGCTTCAACGCATAGCAAGTCGCCGTTGATACCGTGCGTATCAACGGCGACTTGCTATGCGCCTTGCCTCCAGGTGGGACAAGTCCTACAGCAACGTCATGTCCTGGGTGCGAATCCACCATCAGTTTGCTGTTTTCCGGGCTGTCGACCTTCGTCTCCGGGGTTCACGTCGTCGTCTCGGTGGGCTGGCAATTTGCGATGGTGTCGGCCTTGGCGTTGGCCGTTAACATTCATGCGTATGGCACTTGTTGTTGTTGTTGTGTGTGTGTGTGTGTATGTGTGTGTGTGTGTGTGTGTGTGTGTGTGTGTTTGTTTTCTTTCCTTTTCTTTTCAGCTGTCATTTGCCCTGATCATGCCTCATGCGTGTTTCACAGCATAGTACGTTTCCGCTCATTTTTTTCTTCAACACACGCTAGCTGTATTACTTTGTTCTTGCCCGTACAAGAGGCTTTTCCACATCTAAAAAGTGTTGTACTGTGCACCCCGGGTCAAGTGTTGTACTGTACACACAGGGTCAAGTGTTGTACTGTACACCCAGGGTCAAGTGTTGTCACTGTACACATAGGGTCAAGTGTTGTACTGTACACCTCAAACTGAAGATGAAATGCACTAGGTGGCTCCAGTGCAAAGGGGTTTCTTCATCAAGCCACTGGATCCACAAAGACGCACACAGTGTAAGTTCACCTCCTTTAACCCTTTAAGAGCCGCTCCATACTTGAATGCGTCGTAAACGACGCATTCAAGTGCAAAACTTCAAAAGATCGTAAGTCAGTCCAATCTCGCTCAAATCCATCGATCGAAATATCCAGGGTGAAGAGAAAACTCTCACCTGTCGGGAGAAACAATCCGCGAAGCGTTGCGAGCAACGGTTCCTGAGATAAATCACTCGTAAGTTGAGCCGCGATCGCGGCAATTTCAAAAGCGCGCAGTGCAACTTTAGTATGGAGAATTTTGAGACTTTTCGTCTCGCTGGTTTACTCGAATTTACACGGGTTTCACTGTTGATATTGTCAAGAGTACACAGCAAAAAAATTGGAACTCCACGATCAAGTAAAATGAAATATCTGGAGCGGGACGCAATTGGACGCATTTGGGGCATTTTTCGTACTGTCGCTGCAATCTAGCGCTGGATAGACAGTGTGCTGGCTATCATGATCGACCTTATTCTCTTCCTCTCGCGGAGACCTTTCCAGGAAGCCGAAATTTCCTGTGGCTCTTAAAGGGTTAAAAAGCCATATCTTTTACTGCCACTGATTCAAATAATAGCAAATCCAATTTTACTTTGGTATCTCCCACACTGAGACCGGCGGTCTTCTCCCAGATACATGTAAATACTGTGACAAGCATTCCTGCGGCACTGAGTGCACTGAGTGCACTGAGTGTCACTTACTCCAAGATAGAGAGGGTTGATGAGTCCAGTGTGGTTGCATACAAGACGCAATGAGCTGCCCTGTGCCGGTACAAGTCACAACACCAGCATGCACAAGACACAATGTTGTAATTTCAACAATAGCATGTGACGGGTGGCATTTCAAAGCCTACGTGTTGCGAAGACGTCCATGTCCATTGGCCACTGACTTGCTTGCCGAGCGGACTGCATGCCTTCAATGCTATCAGCATGCCCGGCCCATGCAGTAGTCATGGCACCGGGTTGAAGGGTTCCAGAAACGGTAGCTACACCGGGAATGTCAGTAAAAGTGTCATGATGGTCTGAACCGCTCATGTCATAACTTCGTAACTTACCTCCACCCTAGTCAAGTACATCAGGTAGCTGCCTTCAGTGGTTTTCATCGGGAAGTTGATGCTGAATACGACGGGCGGGGATTGACTTGGGCCCTGATTCAGAATCTGCCAGCGAAGAAAAAGCAGACCAAAACTTTTGGCAAGGCAATATCACTGTCAACCAGAGATTGATGCTCAAAGAGTATTTCACTAAATGCCACTTTCGAGCAAAAAGTACACCAGATCTGGTTGGATCACATACACTCATTGCCGTGACAGTTACAGTGACGCCTATTGAGGTCAGCATCAGTGAGCAGTGCCGGTGAGCGCATGTACAGTGATACATCACTGTACATTAGCGATATGCACATTTTCTGCCGTGCCACCATTGCTATACAGCCATATGATGAGGCATTGCACGCTGGGCGTGCACTACAGCCCCCCCCCCCCCCCGTCTCTGCCTTGACTTTAGTGATATGTATGCTGCAGTACGGAGCACATGCACCCACACCGTGGGATTTAGTCCTACGGGCGAAGCAGCCGCTACGGCCACCAGTGTTGCCTGCCGAAAGAGGCAAGCATAAGAGAACGCAGTGCATTGATAGAGTTTATACATTGAGAAGCAATCCTCCGCTTACACTGTACACGTGAGTGACCATTGGTCCAATCGCGGAGTAGATCTTCGGCTCGGGGTTTCCACTAGTCAGGCGCATTCTTCTCGGTCTGCTAACACTGTATACGGAAAGAAATGGAGCAAGAGAAAAGAAAAGAAGAAATGGAACAAGAGGAAAGAAAAGAAAAGAATTGCTGCTCACAACCTCAGTGATGCTTCATGTTCACCGCAAAACAAAAAACGAGAACAAACATTCTTCAACATACAGGTAAACGTTTCCTAAGAACTCTCCAACTTTACTGCAGCGTTTTCTTTCGACTTGCAAATACGTCCATTCCCGAACAGGCTCTCAGCTGCAAAAAGAAGGAAGAAGAGCTACTGCCAATATTTCACCCGTTTGGCATCATCAAGGCAATGGTGAGTATAAATGTGAAATACAGGAAAACATTGTCTGCAGTGTTGGTCGTGGCAGCAGTAAGACTGTATCATTGTCATCGCCAATAGCACTGCACTGCACTGCACTGTACTGTACTGCACTGCACTGCACTGCACTGCACTGCACTGTGCTGCACTGTGCTGTGCTGCACTGTACTGCACTGCACTGTGCTGTGCAAGTGTAGTACATGTACATGAAAGACCACGGCACCGGTGGCTGTTTTCTGTTATTCACGTACCCTGAAGCAATCAGCGTTGCCATGGCATAAACGGAGATCGTAGCAGTGGCCTTATTGTCTGCCAACGTTCCGTTCTCTGCATTGAAACTGAGCAGTCGGCACAGAAAGGAGCACATGTCAGCAGTGTGCTTAGCACAGTGGTAAAACAATCATTAGCAGTGCATGTCACATGATGTTATCTTGAGGTATCAGTAATGGGTGGGTCGCCACGAACCACGCAACTCAGATTCCCTCAGTACCAGTATTCTGGGCATCAAGTGGAGAAAACAGAAAAGTGACATTCATAACATTTCTGCTGTTGTGATTTGCCATTTTCAATGGAGGTTATGCAATTATGCCTTCATTGGAGATGTTGTGTGTGTGACCACATCGTCAGTTGAGATCATGCGGCTCGGTATGAAGTGGCACCACAAGCGCCGCATAAAGCATTGCGTGTGATGTCATCTGCATGACCTCTATCACTGGTCACACCTAGACACCGTGCCCCTATCTACACCACACTGCACACAAGAAACGGAGTGTTGATACAAGTATACACGGCGAGAACGACCATAACGTTACAGTGTTGGGTCCTATTGTAACATCAATGTGTGTATATAATACTCGAACCACTTCCCGCAACACTATGGTTATCTTACCTCTTCACACTGATACTGACTGTAATGCTGGACTGCTCTGGGGGGATTCCCCCAATACCCAGTGATACCTTCACCTTGTCCTGCGGGGGCAAAGGATAGCAACAGAAAAGGAGACTCTCACGTACCGAATGGGCATGACACCAAAATTAGTGGTGATGCTACGCAGGAAAGAGGTCACATGCCTCTGAATGCATACGCACGGTTTGAGTCCGTTGACAAGTCCACCCCCCCCCCCCCCCCCCCAACACCAATCCCCCTAGCATCCTGCCCAAATATGCAATAGGCTCTGTGTAATGCCATTTTCTTTGCAAATTGTTATGTCCCCTAAACCCCATACCTGCTCTCACAATGATATCTGAATATAAAGCCCTGATAGCCTGTTTCTCAGTGTTGCCACCCTTGCGTGAAACAACAACCAATCAAAACCGACCATGCGCAATGCATAGCAAGGTGTGAAGTAGAAATATAACAACTTTCGTACACAATGCTCCGCTCCGTGAGTTCAGTAAAGGTACAACTGGTACGCAGCAGCAGCAAAGACTGTTCCTCAATCTGCCATGTCTCCCGGCCTCTCAACTGTGTGTCTTACCATTGTGGATTGTGCCATCAAAGCCGGTAGGTTGCACTGTGCTTCTGTCGCATCGTTGTTAGATGGAACACAGACAGTGGGTGACTGAGGCTACAGGCACAGACAGGCACACATCAGTACATGCATGCCATTGACAACATGTACCGGTACTGTAACACCAGAGGACAACGCTAAGAACGAGGAAAGGAACACATATCGCACAGGTATATTGCAGTACTAGCAGAACTGAGAGCACATGCACAGACTATCTGTGATGGGAACCATGGGAACCAGGATGGAACGTACACATACCAGTACATACATACAGGCAACTTTGCGTATAACGACACTCGGCGGGGCATCGGAAAAAGTGTCCTTATTCGCGAAGTGTCCTTATACCCGCAGTCCCATTATATGACGGTATTACAGTTGGATGGAACTTTGCTGTGGGCATGGACATTCTGTCGTTATTCGCGAGTTGTCCTTATGTCCGCAGTCGTTATTAGCGAAGTTGACTATATATAGTATGCATGTACTATACCGGTATACAAGGGTGTAACATGTGCACAGCTATTCTTGGAGATGTGTTGCCCTGCATCCGTTGCCTACTGTCCTATGTCGACGTCACCCTCCGCCCCTCCCTATTTCCTCTGCAGGGATGTGGACAAGGGAGTCTCCAGATGAAAAGGCAAAGTCTCAAGGAGCCATTACCTCGTATGAGGGTTTCTTGTGATTCATAACGATACTATGTGTAGGCAAACACACACACACACACGCACGCACGCACGCACGCACGCACGCACACACACATGCTGACTCACCACAATGATCTGCTGCTGAAAGGTGACACCAGGTGGTAGACTGATCTTGGCCATGCTGCTACATGCCGTGGCCGTACCGTGGCTGCTCACGACGAACTCCAGGAAGACTTTCTGGTTGCGACCGTGCACCACACGCGTGGCTACTGCATCGCTACCTCTGCACATTACACATGTAAGCAACCAGGACACATCTTTAACTTAGCAGTAGTCTACAAGAGCTTACACGATTCTGTATGCGGAGTAACAATTGCACACGCAGTAGCATAATGGGTGTATGTATGATGACACAGACTTTCCACTGTCTGGTAAACTTACTCTACTGTGAATTTGGGATCCACTAGACCAATGTCAGGGCTACAACGCGGGCAGTTACGAATAAGCAACACCTGTACATAAACACAAGCCAGACAACACACACACATGCACATGCACGCACACACACACACACACACACATACACACTCAGATATATACACACATACACACACATGCACACATGCACAAACGCAAATGCACAACACACACACACGTACACACACGTACACACACACACACACACACACACACACACGCACACACACGCGCGCGCACACACACACACGCATACATGTACACGGAAATATGAGTACTGTGACATGCATGAACACACCCATGCACACCGGGAAGTGAAAGTACAACAGAGGAGGCTGCATGGTATTCAGCATCCACAAACTGCTAGAACATCACATAGGAACACTTGACGAACGTGTGCATCTATCAAACGTCATACACGTGCACTATACCTGTTTCTCGATTGACTTGCTTGCCCCCAGACGCTTCCTGTTCAGCACTGGACTGAGAGCCTGGGCCTTGCTTGCTCGGTCCTTCAGTGTGTATTGCACAAGGCGAACCGAAGCCGGAAGACATGGGTTAAATGTCTCACTCTGTGTGGATAGGCACAACGACACATACAGTACAATGACAACAATTTACTAAAAGGAAGTTTGCCGATTCTATGTGTATAGTGTGGCAACAGCTCACAAACAACTGCATACTACTAACTTATCATGACTGGCTTGCCTGAAGCAGCTATTACCAAAATGAAGAAAGGATACAAGTCAATAAGTCCTCTGATAGAGGAAGTTTGAGGTGACAGGAAGGTGACAGAACAGCTTCACTGAAGATGTGACAACACTTGGAGAGGCACAGAAGAACTTGTGACAATCTACACTTGGTGTCGCACCGCGTACATCAGGTGCAGGAACTCTGAAGGCTTGAAATCGGCGATGAACCGAAGGCAAACGTCAACAATGCCAGAATAGTAGCACCCGAGTAGATAACGTTGCATTGCTAGCGGGCGCTGAGCTAAACAGCAGTACTTTACGACATGAAGCAGGCCAGGAGCAAGGTGTGAATGCGCCGCCAATGATTCCTCACACGTCGCCGCGGTCGCATCTCACTTGCCTTCATGCGAACTTAGCTGCGCATCTCTGCCAATTTCGATTTCATTGAGCACAGCTGTGGCTGCAGAATATTTTAAAGAATTTCTGTTGAAGAATTTTTCATTTTTCATTGATATGACTGCCAGGTCTCCTGGCAAGGACAACCTGCTGCAACTTGCACTGATGGTGGGCCACGGAAATCAACCAACGCACCCCGAGACATGCCCCCAAGGACAGTACGAGTTGAAGCCGATTGGGGAGGAAGCCAGCTGTTTGGCATCCCCCACTGAGCCGTCGTGTGTCACAACTCCAGAAGAATCACTAGAACAGGCTAGCGTCAAGTATCTCGAGGACGATGTGCCTCCTCAGCACCATAGCAACCAAGACAACCCTGGCAGCGTGGAAGAAGCAAAGGAAATCCCATGCCAGCCTGCACCTACTACCCGTCGTAAGAGCAGTTTGAAAAGAGTGGGATCGCGGCAAAAGTCCACGGCAACGGTGAGATTCAAGTCTGTAGAGGACAATGATGAAGGCTGTGCTGGGAATGCGTACCAATGCCTTTCTTCCAACACTAGCACTGACACAGATAGAGAACTTCATGCCACAGAGAGTGTCAACAGCATCACCAGGACTTCCTCATTAACAACGTGCGAGCACCCACAGGGAGCTATTCAGGCTTTGCGGACTGGATTGGCTGAAGAGTCCAGTGCTGCGACGGAGTGCATGTCCACTGCTGGTGAGCGGGTTGAGATTCAGGCTAGTCGCTGTGTCACTGCAAAGATGTCAGCTGCGCACCATGGCGAATACCAGCATTTGTCTGCTACCTCGAGCGCAGTTTCTCTCTCTAGCAAAGCACCCATACTGCAGGATGTGCACGGCTCTATGTTGACACAGAGTGAGCATAGCACTACGCAAAACAGACAACGCATAGGTACCATGCTTGAAGAGGGGAGCATCACAGATGACGCATCACCTCAGCTTTCTAGTCATTGCCACCAGCAGCATGATTTAAACAACAACTCTGCACAGACTGTGGAGAGTGAGGCATGTTCAACTTCCGATGAACCAAACCACGTGGAGACCCTCTGGAACAAAACGACTTCATCAGAAGTACCAGTGCCGAAGACGGTGGATGCGGAACAGGCCGTTGCGGGCCTAGCTGAGAGGCGCCGGCGCTTTGTCAGTCAATCCCTCCATCCAGTGCAATCCGAGGATGCAACAGCCACCGCTGAATCAGCCAGCCCCAGTACAGCACGCAGTCAAGGGGAAATGAAGTTCGTGCAGCACTCGCCTGGGTCAGATCCACTGTCTTCATTTGCCGAATGCGACTCCAGTGACGAGGAACCATCCTGCAACCATCCAAATTCTCGGAACACGGAGGTCGCAAGAAAACAGGGAACAGAAGGACAAGGTACACACTTGGCTGCAGAACGGCAAAAGCAAAGAGACAGCCAGTGCACCTCTGACCGAGTACAGAGCTTTAGGGCGCGGATGGCTAAATTCTTCAACTCTATCTCCAGCGTCGCCAGCAGTACAGACGATCTTTCAGTGGAATGTTCGGGGAAATGTCAACAACCGTCTTGGCTGCAGTCAGGTGGAAGAAGCAATGACTCACGCGGACTGGGCGACATTCAGCTGCAGCCTCTAGGACAAGGCGTGGACAGCCCTATCTGCATCGCTAGGGCTTTGCCAATACGCAGTGGCACTATTGAGGACTGCCCAACTCATCCAGCAGCAGACGGTGATATCACACCAACATCGTCCAAACCACCAACAGCAGCTCTAGCCGAAGGAGCTGGCGAACAGCTTAGGATCACTCCAGCAGCAGAACAACCTAATCGAAAAACTACTGAAACTACTCAGAGTTTAAATGCCAGTCTTGCAACTAAGGTCCATGACAGCAACGAGACACCATTTACAGGCACTGGTGGTGCGGCCAGGAAGCAAGCAGGTAAACTGGCCCGCAGCCCACTAACAAGTAGAGCATGGACCCGGACAGAGACTTTTCTATCAACGGACAGCGATTCTGCACGTGCGGGTGCTGCCGGAACACCCTGGTTGACGGAGAGCAGCGGCAAAGGCACTGGCCTCAGGTCACCTGCGCATCGGCAGCTTGTCCGCACACCAGTCTTACCAGCTCAAAACATCGAGGTGATACTTACGAAACCAGTCGACAGCCGATCATCCTCGTCACAGACTTCAGCATCCGGAACTCTAAGCGATGACCGAGGGGATATGGCTAGCGCACCAGCACTCACGTCAAAAGTGATAAGCAGCGGCAGCACACGGTCCTTGAGATCCTTGCAGCTCAGACGGACTCTGTTTGCCCAGACACTGGCCTCGCCAGCTGAGCGTGATGGTCGCCCCCGCTGGGAATTCTGTTCGGCTGACAGCCAGAGATCCAGGCTAGCCGGGATATCGCTAGCGCTGTCCTCCGTGGGGGTCTCGTCGGGAATGTCATCGCCAACGCTGCCGCCGTCTCGGTCTTGGTCCACGACACCGCGCTCATCACAGTCCGGTGGTGGTGGTGGTGGTGGCGGGGGTGGTGGTGGTGGTGGTCGGGGAATGCCGCCGTACCAGCGAATGGAAACTACACACCGCGGCCTGTCGCAGCAGCACAACCAGGTGTTTGCGGAGGATCAGTTCGTCGGCCAGTTTGCCACTGAAGAGGACAGCAAGATAACGCTTGCTCACATCTTGAAGCACACAAACGGCCAAGGCATGATCCACTACCTGCACTGCGATGATCCACGGCTGCCCCAGGTTGGACCCCGGGGACAGCAGACGGAAGGTTTGAGCGGCTTGCTACCCGGAAAGGTATTTTCTCTTACTGGAGGCGAGATTCTGTTCTTCGAGGGCGATCAGATTCCCGAGCCCCCGATTTCAGCTCTTGACATGTGGATCAAACAGCAAATCCTGAAGTATCTAGAAGACACATACGACATCGAAGTCCAAGATCGTATTCAGCAAGCGGTGACGTTTTCTATCGGAGAAAATCCCTGCTCCATATCTCATTTTCTGAATGGCGAAGACGGAGTGCCCGGAACGGATGGCTGCGTGCAACTGCTCGTGGAAAGGGGTTGTCCCTATGATACTTCAAAGCTGACAGGAATACACATGAGCTGCGGCTACCTCGCCATTGTCGTCACCTGCTGCGGCCAGATCATACCCAGCGTGGAAGAGCTGCTGCTTCCCGAGGGACACAAACTGCCGTTTGTCACCATGCCTACCCTGCAGCAGCCGAGGCCGGGCGGCAGGGGCAAGCCATACTATGACATCGTCATTACCATGGTTGCGGGTTACAGCCTGGCCGGCGCACCCATCCTTAGACCGGGATGCGTCGTTTTCCAAGTTCACAAGTGGGAGTACGATATGCAATCGTATGAAAAGAGACAGCACGCTGGAAGTCCTGAGTTCCCCTGTTCAGCCAGGGAAGCAGAGGAGAGCGACTACAAGAAATGTCCCGGGCTCATCGTGCGTGTGACCATGCCGCAGGGAGATGTCCCGCACACCTGTCGAGGAGCAGCCAGTCTGGCCAGGTCATCGACAGACTTCCGAGATGCAGCAAGTGGCTACAAGTTTGTCTACTGCTCAAATGTGCTGTGATGCTGGTCCGGGGTCATTGCGAAGCATTGTTTCAACGTGCGCTTGTGTTTCGAGTTGCACATCCAGACTCTCACTTGCAAACAGAGCATGCACAGTTTAGATATTTCTTTCATGACACAAGTTTCAAATTATAATATTTTTAATAGGACATTGAATGTTGAATGGCGTAGACCCAATATTGACCGCCGGAAATGAAGCAATAATGGACAATAACTGAAATCCAACAGAAAACACGTGTTGTGCCATTTATTCTGTTAATCTACATGTACAATGTTTTTTATCCAAATAAGAGTATTGAGTTTGTCTTTTTTACCTATTAAAGGCCTGCATACATCTGGGCTATGTGCAGTTGATTCACCAGACGGCAGCTAGGTGCGAGACTTGTTGCACATTAGAGAAAATCGCATTGATAATTCACACATCGGTGGTCACTGCCGCTCGTTCTAGGTCATGTGTTGTTTAAGCATACCTTGACGGTGACTACATGCTCCCTGCAGTCTCTGGTCTTCTCCGGCTTCAGTTGGAGTATGCCGATGAGATTCTGCTGGTCCAGTTCATCAAACTTCAGCATTGTGTCCACTTCCAGTTCATACTCGATCTCTGCAGCACATGGACAATTTTATGTGCACATGCATAACAAATATCCACACCCACACAACCACAAGCATGCACAAACACACACATACACACCGGCACACACCTCCGACCTCACACACACACACACACACACACACACACACACACACACACACACACACACACAAACATGCGCGTGCACACACACACACACACAAACAAACACACATGGACAGGATCATACACACATCCCATCACCTGTAGTAGGTCACAATGACTGGTACACATATACACTCGTGTAGCGCTGGCAAGTGAAATTGGCCCTCGTGAATATTGCATCCCCGGTGATGTGCACCCATGACACTTGCGTCGGACGTTATTTTCTACTCGCCCAGCTTGACCCAAAAGGAGTAGTAGAGGGGTTTGGGAACCTTCTGCAAGGAATTAAATTAGGTGAAAAATCAAGCCAAGTAGTGTCTTTTGAGAGCATTTGCCAGCCTTGCACGACATAATTTAATAATGCTGAACGTGGCCCAGTAAATTTCAATATGTGGGTTACTGAGCAAAGAAAGAGTATACTGTAAAAGCAGAAATTTTCGGTAAACCTGTTTTCCAGCTAAGTGTACTAGTACAGCACCAACATTTTGGTGCGTTTTATTTTCGGTGAAAATTTCGGCACCGAAGTTACCGAAAATAAAACACCACCGAAAAATTCTGCTTTTACAGTAATGGCTCAAGCCAGGCCAGTCGAGCTGCTTCCAACAGAGGACCAACACCCATGTGCGTATGGTGACATGGTTCTACTTTGTTCATGAGGACACCAGTCCAGTATGTTTCTCATTTTTTTTAAGGGGCAGGAGTACTCTGGGTTCAGGGTTCTGGGTTCAGAGTTCAGGGTTCAGGGTTCAGGAGTCCAGGGGAGGCCATGCATGGCAGTGGCTTGGCACGTGCATGCTAGGCCCAGACAGATTCTGCTCCGCTCGCCTCGATATTTTGCCGCAAAATGTTGCTGCGAAATCTTCGATATTTTGCCGAGCCTGGCACAAGAAACTCGATATTTTGCTCCATTTTGCTCCGGAAAAACGTGTATTTTATCCAATTCCCGTACAATCCCGTACAACGTTTCATAAAATCGCAGGGTCGGTTTCTCAACACGGATTTCCACGGACGTGTCCCTGAGTTCTTCCAAAATCATGTGGATCCACAGTGAATCCCAGTGATATTTCGGTGACACGATCTCGTCCTGGGCAGTGTATCCTGCTGAACCAAGGAAATCCAAGTACATGTATCAGGCATCGATTTTACCCAACATCTCGATATTTTGCTCCGATTTTGCCGGCAATTTCCGCTCTTTCAATTCTTCGATATTTTGCCGAAAGAATTGCCGGCAGGATCTGTCTGGGCCTAGCGCATGTCCGAAGCTGGTTGTGACTCTTTAAACTCAATCGCAACGGGCAACACAGATGTGCGAACTTTAATTTTACTTCTGGTTTGTGCTGTTTGTCACTACACTACATGTAGAGTGATGCAGTGCAGTTTGACACGGTACGCACAGTGTAGGCAGCCGGTATCATTTCCCAGAATCAAGAACCCAGCCAGAGATGCCATTGCTGGATGCTATGTCTAGACTGAGGTCGCCACTGATCTCTACTATTCGGGTCACTTTGGACTCATTAGAGCAGTAACACTAGTGAGCTATATCTGTGCCTTGCTGGATCCTTGACGTTGGTGGAGTTCCTACGGATGCGGAGAGCTCATTCTGAACCTGCCTGACACACTGTTAGCACGTACTGCATGCGTGCTGACTCACCTACAGACGAATGGATCTCAGTTCCGTTGAACTTTCCGCAGACCGATACCTTGAAGCTGTTTGCATACAATTCAAGGGCAGGCAACACAAGTCGAAAGAACAGAAACAAAACAAAAAACATTGTCAAAATCCGCCACACATGTTGTTTAACTTTTAACAGATCCAACAAAGGTGCACAATACAACAATACGTTATCATTGCAAAGCACAGTTACCTGTGAAGCAGAGTATGTCGAGAACGGAAGCACTTCATCTACTAAGGAGAGATTCCATATCGCAAATCAAGAATCTTTTGAAAGAATTTAATTTGCGTAGACTTCATATAAGAGAAGATGTAATGTTTCCCAAAATGTTCTGCTTTCTAGAACCCTGTGCAGCACTACCATGCAGTCATTGGCCAGCCATCCTGGCTTCTTTTTTATATCAGGTTTGCTGCTCACAAAGTTTACCAAGGTTGTTAGCTTACGAAAATGAGTTGATTCATAGTACAAGAAACGCAACAGTGGCATACAATTATAGTACCAATGCAGGAGCTTAAAGTACTCGTACGGGATGCTTACCATGTGATATGACGACCGCTGGCATGTAAACATGATGGGCGCACCATATCAATCTGGTCCTGTACGATCATCTCCACATCGATGTCTACAATCGGCCGAGCCCTGGCAAACAACACAGATGAGTACATGGCAGTGTCGTCCTGATGTGGCAATGGCAACTCATTTCAACAAAGTGACATGCACTGAGACAATTCGGATTTGCAATATTACTCATATTGGAAATTGGGAACATTAGAAAAGCTTATTAAACGTGTATTTGACCTGCGCGACTGTATCATAAAGAAAGTGCCGGGATAAGTTGGGTGATGGTTTGAGCAGGGGCTACAGCTTCCACGGTCTTGGTATAGGGCACAGGCTATGAACGGCTGACGCTGCAACTGTATGTTGCTCTAGCATACCTCATCATCACAACTTGATTTGAGTCCACAGCTGAAACTAGCAAATCTGTTACAGTTGACCAAGATCAGATAATAAGCAAGGAAAAAACAAACAAACAAACAAACACACTATTGTCAGCTGCATACAGAGAAAAAGGAGGGAAAGAAAAAGAACAAAAGTAACAACAAAAGCAACAACAACAACAACAACAACAACAACAACAACAACAACAACAACAACAACAGCAGCAGCAGCAGCAGCAGCAGCAGCAGCAGCAGCAGCTTCTCTTGTTGGCTACGGGCAATCATGAGAAAAAAAGATGTCAAGCAGCAGCAGCAACAGCCAGAAGAATGACAATATCCACAGTAAGCTGCACATGTTCCATGCCCTCCCCCCAAACCCGTGACCATCGGACTGTCTCAACACACCGTAGTTATGTGAGGACTGTTTCACGGCCTTACCTGGATAAGAGTTGCGGTCAATGTCCCAGCTCTTAGCAATGACCGAGCCGAACGAGATCGTGTTCTTCATGTTAAGGCCCAGCGGTGAAATCCTCTGCATTGCTATGGACTCTAGTCCAGTTGATGAACCAGAAAAGATGTAGACAGCACCGCGTGGCACGCCCTCCTCCATCTCGTACGGAGCACCAACAGCAATGTCTGTGAGACACCAATGGAGAGTACGCAAGAACCAAAGCATTTGATTTTAAATTTATGCTCCAGTTTGGCTCAGACACGGCATACAGACTCGGACTGTCAAGCGGAAATGTCCAAGGGAATAACTTTACACGGTCATCTCATGTGATGGAGAGAGTGGAGGAGAGAATCAAGTACATGTGCACGGACATTGTTTGGCAAATTTTCAGCATAGCTTATGGTTTTTAATTTGCCGTATTCCCTCGCCAAGACATACAGTATCGCAGGTGTTGAGATAATGTTTCAGGATCTTGGAATACTACTGCAGGCCTTTATGACTAGAATGCCTGCCCTTGCTCTGTAACTCCTAGCAAGGACACCAGTACACACACTGTGCAAGCATTGCTAGCAGCATTGCAGCACTGCACACACTGTGCAAGCATTGCTAGCAGCATCGCAACACTGCATGCACACACTGTGCAAGCATTGCTAGCAGTATCGCAACACTGCACACACTCATACTGACCAGTGAAGCCGTCGTTGTCAACATCTCCAGCATCGGCAATGGCCGCTCCGAAGTGGCCGCCGGGCTGTTGGCCCTCGATGACCTTGTCGGGCACCTTGAGGCGCGCAGTGGAGAAGTTTTTGGCAGCATGCTGAGCTGTTAGTTCCTGCACAATATGGATCACCAAGAGCAAGCTCACATCACAGTTCACGGACATAGGGAATGCCGATGTAGCATGCTGTCAATGTCATTAGATCGTAAAATAATACTGATACATACTGTACACAGACACAGACGAATATACACCTTGGATACTCTTAGCAAACAGGTCCAACATTGGTTAAACATGGCTCAGCGCTAAGGTGATATACCTCTTGGATAGATGATAGTCTGCAACAACGTAGCATCGAGCACTCAGCACAGATGTGACCATAGCTTGAGAACTGTTCTGGGACTACATGACCACACCGTATTGATAGCAGCAGTCAATGGTGTCAGCTGGGAGTTTGCCAATCTGCTGACAGTGGACAGTATGTGGAGTGGCATACATGGTGTGCTCTTACCGTCTGTAGTGACGCTCCGTAGATGACCACACGGCCATAGTCGTAGTCCATGGAGGCTAGGCCAGACTCAGGGATGTAGTTTGGCGAGCCAATGATCAACTCTGCTTTCCTACAGTGTAACAGTTGTGGTCACAACCGCAGTCAAAGTTACAGTCACAGCCATTGGGACAGTCACAGGCACAATCAAAGTTACAGGCAGGGTGGGTCAGTCTAAGACCATGGTTGAGAAACGAGATGTACAAGGATCCTGCTTGGGAGCAGTATGGGGTCTTTTCAACCATGCAGCCAATTGGAAACTTGTGGCCTGACCCAAGGGTAACATTGATGAAGCAAATGGGATTTCAGCCTTTTGCCTGCACTTGGTGGATCGCAAGCAAAATGAACTCAAAGTTACAGGCAGGGTGGGTCAGTCTAAGACCATGGTTGAGAAACGAGATGTACAAGGATCCTGCTTGGGAGCAGAATGGGGTCTTTTCAACCATGCAGCCAATTGGAAACTTGTGGCCTGACCCAAGGGTAACATTGATGAAGCAAATGGGATTTCAGCCTTTTGCCTGCACTTGGTGGATCGCAAGCAAAATGAACTCAAAGTTACAGGCAGGGTGGGTCAGTCTAAGACCATGGTTGAGAAACGAGATGTACAAGGATCCTGCTTGGGAGCAAAATGGGGTCTTTTCAACCATGCAGCCAATTGGAAACTTCAAGCCTGACCCAAGGGTAACATTGATGAAGCAAATAGGATTTCAGCCTTTGGCCTGCACTTGGTGGATCGCATTGCCCCATGACACATCTGGTTGGCAAGCGAAAGGAACCCAATGCCAAGCAGTGGCAGGACAAACAACGCCGTTACCTCGATGCAGTCTTTGTGCCCCCACCTAGTGGTCTTCAATTCCATTTACTTACCCGTCAGCGTCTGTGTCCACTGCTGCCAGCGAATGACCAAAGTATTCACCCACCTGGCACAAGAGACACAGAATACACGGAACACACAGGGCAAGAAGGGATCTCAAACACACAAATCCAGGACACCACTTTGAGATTACCGTATCATCATACTCATTCTTCTTCAATACGACTTGTATCCGCTATCAGGCAAAACGTTTCTACTCAAAAGCATTATCCATCCAACGTCATGTATATGTATTATATGGTTCATAGTGGGAAGAATCAACTAATTTACGTACCCATCAAACCCCACTGGACATGTCATGAAAATTCAGTGCTCATGCCCCCCCCCCCCCAGTGGACACACCATGGCAATGCAGTAATCATGTAGGCAATCAGCTCCTCACCTGATTGCCTTCTAACAGTACAAATATCTTGGAGACAATGTTGACCTGTGTCTGGCCTTCGCTCTCAGTTACCCAGACCTGCAGGAATAGCACGGCACAGGAATAGCACGGCACAGGAACAATATCAACAATCATACCTACGCTAGTATTGTATACGGTGCATATTCAAACCCAATCAGCAACGGCACCAGCATATTGTACTGCATATTACGATACATGTGAATACTTGATGCCACCCATTCCCTTTGCGGATCTTCCCTATTCTACCAGGCACAGCATAACCTCAAGGGCATTGCAGATGTCCATCTACTTGTGGAACGCCCGCCAGGAGAGAGTACACTACTGTGGAATGCATACTGCATGGGACAGAGAACACGACATGCAAGCTCTTACCTGGCCTTTGAAGTCAGTGCGTGCACGGGGCCGTGACATGACGACCTCTACAAACACCAACAATGCAACAGAATAGAAAAAATCAGCCCATGGATCTGTTGTCATCACGTGGCAGTGTATCCGCAAAGCATCCACAGCTTTTTTGCAAGCACTGCACGATAATTTCCCAGCAGAAAGGAGTTGAGTTGCTAACAAAATGTTGTTCCTGGTCAGTTGTCAGTTTAGTATTGAAGTGAACTAGCAGATAGAGAACTCCGGCTTGTATCATTTTAGCCTCGGTTGCAAATCTACTTGCAACGACTTCAGTTTGGCACATCCAGAAGTACCCCATTGACTTGTCATTTTCACCCCTTGCGATATTGTTTGAGCATATCTACCCTTTACCACATGTTTCAATGTCACCACAACACCTTTAAGGCAAGAAATGGATATCGGTAGCTACTTTGCAAATGATCTCGACGCTCAAATGTTTCAGCAGGTATCTACTCACCGACTTGCCCATTGCCGTCAAAATCAGCCTGGGTAACAGCATATCCGCCGTATCCGTTCTGAGCATCTCCCAGTCGCGTATCCTGGCTGAGGCCGACCTGACGAACATCTGTGACTCCCTTGCCACTTTGGTTGTGCGTTGCTACCCACACCATGCCTGTGAAGAGCAAGGGAATTAAAGTGTCACCCAGCTAGATAAAGTTACAAAGTGGCCACCAGGGCAAATACATTACTAAACATATGTCTGCAATCATGAGTTAATAGAATTTCCATCATGATTAGTTACTAGTACGTACAAAGTGTAGAACACTGAAAATCAATTCGACGGAAATAGTGGAAAAAAGGGTCACAGAGCAGCGGAATAGTGTTCTTACAAAGGCAAGAATCCAATATCAAAAATTAACTTTATCTCCCGAGTGTCTTAACTTACCGCGTTTATAGAATGCTCCTGGCGAAGAGACGGCCACCTTAGCATTGCCGTCCGGATACTGATGTGAAAAAAAGAACGTGCAAAAAACAAGTTATGAAGGCACGCCATGGTAAGTTAGAGCACTGGTGCTTGCCACACACAGCTTAACAAGTAGTATTGCATACTTTCCTGACGTTATACAATTTGCATTATTTGATAATGCAGGAAACCCTTTTGATAGAAGCAAGAGCGGGATTGTTCGCAGTGATCGGAATTCTTCCTTTGATGATTGATGATTGAGTCCTTTCCCACTCTATGCATGGTGAATGTGCAATGATTCACAATAGACTCACACAGCTCTTAGTCACTCAAGACAAGCGTTCCTCTTATCAGTGTCCTGCTATGATCATTACAAAACAAGAGGCTGATTGTGTGAATAGCTGCCACTAACCTCTTCGATGTCCATGCTGGTTCCTGTCATGCAATAGCCCAGTCTGTGCCAACCTTGATGACCTGAAGCAGCAGTACATCCACACAGCAATGGTATTGAGATCATCAGCACAAGTACTATTGACACCTTTTCAAGTCTGCAAGTTTCCCTTATACAAACAAAACTCGACACCTTGTTTCAAGGTGCATCTGGATGTTGAGAGCTTTCTAAAAAGTCCAAGATCCAATGACGTTCCACACAGGGATACTGACAGACGGGCAACATGCCTGCCAGTGAGTCCAGATTGATCAAATCTAGTGGCTGGATAAGGTTTAGAGGTTGGTGTGACTTCGGCGATACTTGGAGAGGGTAAGGTTTAATTCATGAAAAATCATGTGCAGAGATGGTGGGATTGATTGTGCTCATTGCACCAAAATAACAGTCAACACCAGTAACAAGAGTACGGTTTGCCACACTGCACCGTTATTAGAGAGCGCACCATCACCAGTGTGGTAATACCTGGCGATTGCTTATCTCGCCATGTCGACGAGTTCGGTCCTGAAGCTACATGCCATACTGGCTACCACAGTTGGCATAAAGCAACCGGTATAGTCATGTTCACTTGTGCGTGCTAAGAGGGAAACGTACCTGGATCATCGCAGGGCTGAAACACAGACAGGGGCACAGTGAGTCGGTCAACATCCGGTGCCAGGATGGAGCAGCGTCCGACTGGATCATAAAACTCTTGCATCTCGCCGCCTGGCACCATCTGCTTGTACCAAATCGTGGAGTACTTTGCCGCGCAGACCACCACGCCCTTGTCGGGTCCCAAACTGCCAACGCTGGAACCCAGTCGCATTCTCGACTTCTCTGAGTGCAGCGAGTTGTTCGCGTACCTCTGGTTTACTGTGTGTATACAAAGACACAGGCAAAGAAAAGTACATGAAGTAGGGATGTAGCACCGGGATTTCGGGTGGTCCGGCCAAGTGGGATGCTTCACCGAAAATATACAGTATTATTCCAGGCTGCGACAGAGCTCCCGGCCATTGAAGAAAATGTTTAGTCACCTCCACCATTACATTTACGAAAAAAACAGTTTTGCACGAATTGGGTAGGTCAATTTTTTTGGAAATATGATCCGCCCATAGCCTGATGGGCCAGACTGGGTGCTACGGCCCTGTGCAGGCAGCATCAACACTGGGTGCATGGCAAAGAATGATGCGTAGCTAAAGAAGGAGGAAAGGAGACGGGAATGCAGTGACAATTTATGGCGTCAACCATGCATCTTTCTGTAGGGCCACAAACCAATGACTGCGATCATGGCACATATACCCCAGATACCAATATCTGTGGCCTGCCGGAGCGTTCCCAGGCCAAGAAAACGAGGAAGAAGCTGATAGATTGGATAGCAAAATTCTCATGGCGCTCTTGCTTGCACCTGCAGTTGAGTCTATTACTGGTTGTATAAGAACCGACTTTGCAGACAGATGAACACTCAATACACTCTCCGGGTTTCGGACGTATATTTTTGGAAACACAAACACGTCAATGCACCATGCCAATTACCTGTTATATCCACCTCCAATTCCAGGCAGGCGTCATTGCTCCCAGTCACAGCTGAGCATGCAAAAACTACACCGGTACGGTCCACTCCCTGTGCCCTGAAACGAGCATCTTCGTAGGTGGCGTTTGGTGCTCCGATGATGAGCCTGTCGTGCAAAGACATATTCCATAGACTCAAAATCAGTACATAGGGCATGTATTGTGTGGATTGAACTCTTCGCAGTGACCATGCATACCTTGCTCCCCAGGGGAAACCATTGTGTAAATCTGCAGTGCATGTTGCCTAAATGTATCTCCTGACCAGGCAAACAGAGGTAGGCGGCATGTGCGGGTGTTTTCTTTTAGGGTATTTCGGAGTTACTCTGATAATGGGCAATGCCCTGACAATTTGGTGTAACAGAAATTGATTTGAATCGAAGTGAAGAGGCCGTTATTGGAGTGGAGGAGTGAAGTTTCATAAAGATGTGCGTAAGGGCATGGTTGCGTTGGAGTTTTCGGACAATAAGAAAAGTATAGACTCGGATGGAGAGCCAAGGTTTAGTTTATAGTAAAGAAAAGGACCAAGGAACTGGAGTGCGCATCCAAGATGTGCTAGAGCTGAGGGCCAGTTAGTTGTAGAACTTCAGTACCATCGGTCAGTTTCGTGCAATGTTATCGCACGAGCTGATTGTCAAGTAACTGGTGGTGTCAGTGGACATTGTAGCGTAACTTGTAGTTCCCTGGTCCTTTTCTTTACTATAAGTAAGAAAAGTATCTCGGAGCTCTCACTACATTGAGACACCGTAGAACCCTGATAAAACATACCCCATGTACAGCAGGGAAGTGTCCCAAGTACTTATTATTCCAACATACTAGTACTTCAGCATGGATCAATACACCTGTGCTCCCACTTATGCCCGGGTTAAGCAAGAGCATGTCTTATCAGCATTCATATCAAGTGAGTTCCACTGCATTCCATCCATTTGCTTTCTTTGCGTTCTAACAACATAGAAACGACCTTTTGAGGCGGCAATATCTTATTGTTATCGGCAGCATCAATATCAGTATGGTTGCAGTTTTACCAAGAAGAGAATGAAACATTCTCTGAGACAGCGGGGAACCTCAGGCTAGGATGTCGTATTTAAACACGAATTCTTCCTGCAGCCGGTTGTGTAAATTGGTCTCCACAGAAAAAAATGGGATTTTAGATCAAATTAATATGAAATATGGTGTGATCTTCATTGTCAATATGCAATGGTGTAGCACACGGGGAAATCCCGCAGGTCGTGTTTTCCACCAGCAGGACGTATGCCTTTATACCATAGTCATGTACATAATTTTCATTAGAAGAGTGCAAGAGGACATCATGGAACTACATTACAAGATCTCATTTCTTCTCCACTTACATAGGCCTGAGCTCATGGCTATGGAATGCGATGGAATAGCCGAACTCGCTGTTCGCCCTGCCCGAGTAGATCACAGGATACGTCGTGTCCACATTGTAGGCCAGGACCACGTCCTGCACGGCACACCAGCTTATCAGCACGCTCACTAGCTGCAGCACCCTGAACTCCACCTTCTGGCTCATAGCTCAGTTCGACAACCTTCGGCCACTGCTCCTCCGTCCTCACCGCCAAGCACAGACTGCTCGGATCTTGGCTTCAGTAGAACCAGCGCCAGATCAGACGCTTTCACACCACACCACCAGCTATGTATGTGGACAAAACACTAATGCTAATACAGCTCCCTCCCTGTCGTTGGCAGACACCTTGGAACGGAAAGATACTGAGGATCGAAGCGTGCCATGCACCACTGGTCCTAAGTGCCAGTTGAAGCAATAATTACACTGTATTATGTTTTCAAAACGGAAGAAAAGAACATTCAAGGTCACACTGTTACCAGAGTCCCTACACAGCCCTACTCCCCTCCAGCGAACCAGGCGTGGTGGGCAGAGTGACAGCTCAATCGTCTTCCTCAAGCATTCGACTCCACCAACATCCCAAATCAGTCCACGGACACGGGTACGTACTTAGCCTGGTCCTTGCGCTCGCTCGAGGTTCACACACAGCAACGGCACGCTATCTTGCGCTGTCGAGTGGTTGAAAGGTTAGGTCCGCAGTGTTGGGCACAGGCACTAGGTGTACATCACTGAGCGGGTGCAATGAACCGGAGCGAAAGTGATCGAAACGCCGCTGGGCAGCTGCACAGGCAGCGCTATGTGCATGATGTTGGCACTCGATTTCTTCGTCAGTTCCTGCTAGTGCTAGTGTGATCGTAATGACTAGTAGTATTGTGGTCTCTCTTGGGACTGTGCAAGAAGATAGATAGCTAGGCCAAGGTGAAGGCCGGTGCCCGGCCCAGAGTGAAAGCGGTTTGGGAGAACTAACTTCCACAGCATGGCCCACGTCAGTGAGGAGCTGTTCGCCTTCACACAAGCACTTGTCATCATGGTCATTGCCGTCACGAAGAGAAGCAGTTACATTGTCACTGGACGATTACAATGTACATCTACAGTTCGCACCATGGCGAGATCACAAGCTTTTCCGTGCCCCGGCGGCGAGACGGCAGAGGGTATACGGAGATCTAATCCGCCTTCGTCGGCGGCACGGGAAATGGGCTTGCAAGGAAATGTTGACGGTCGGTGGTGTGTCACTTTTAAAAAGCGCTGGCGGATGGCGAAAGGTAGAGCGGTGTCATAGGAGTGGCGATGTAGTGCTTGTGCTGTGGCAGGTTTATTGCCTAATATTGGGCTCTTGCAACGCACTGAGAAATACCGACGTGGATTCTCGTAGCCGAGCGGAAATATTAGATTATTAGCATGTACTTCGATCGTGAGAGCTTCTCACCTACCATCGCTTGTATTATGTACTTCGATCATGAGGGCTTCTCACCTCAGCTCCACCACTAATATTAATAAGTAATAGCCGTTTAGGAGCTGCATCTGCACCTAGGGGCTTGATTCTTGTGGGTGGTGAGTCCTGGTCTCAGTCTAACTCAGAGTCTCATGCTATGCTCACGGGAATCGTGAATTTTGCACGTCATGATAACCGGAGGATGCAGCCACCCAGTCACCAGTGTACTGACAAGTCACAGCGCTCAACACCACGGAGACAGGGTGTAAAACACGGAACAACAACACGTCCTGATGAACACCGGTATTCCGGTAACCCTGTGATACGTTGTCATCACAATGCCTGCTTATCATGTCCAATCCGCTTACTGGTGCGCTCTTATCTGAACTGATCACGGCACCGTTTTGTAGACTACTGGAGGCAGTGCGCACCCTTCCATAATCTGTTGTGGGCATCTTTGCCTTTGGCAGCTAGCTGTGACCTTCACTGCAAAAGTTCAAGTCAGCAAACTGGCCTCCATCAGAAATACATGTACATGTACATTGTACATGTAGCAGAAAGGCATGCAGAAGAGAACTTGGCAGAGACCAGGAGACAACCGGCTAGATCATTGTTGTAACGCTGCGTTTCATGCACATAGAAAGGCTGAGGAAATCCTCAGACAACTGATTATCTGTTCATCCACTGGCTACATAAGTCATTGATTTACTCTCTAACCCAGCCTCAGGACAACGAGTACATGTATACCATGGTATACTACATTATTTTCTTTTGTGCTGCTGACCAAACGACCAGTGGAACGGGCACCATGACCAACAAGACCCAGACTCTCACAAGCTTGCACTTCCATCCCCCCCCCCCCCCTCCCGTCCTCCCCGGATCCCACACGGCCACATCAATGCCCACCGCGGTCCTTCCCACATGGCACAATCCAAGAAATCAAAGAAGGAACTAGCAATTTCCTGTCCACCCAGGAGTAGCCCTCAGCCACAAACGCCTTCTTGTTTTTAAAGGGGAAGTTAAGGCAAAAATTAAAATTTCACCAGTTGTAGTCTTCGGGGCGCGGAGTCGAATGGTCTTGGTCCGAGAAAGCTGAGACACTCCCTTCCTACTTGAATCCCAATCGAACTCGCGCACTTCCACCGAAACTGGGTGACTGCGCCCTACTAGATGGGGATTTGTATGCAAAATGTCACTAAAAGCGCCATTTCGTTCTTATAAAAGCACGGATGACCGCGATTGGCCCATATGTTGTAGTCTTTTGGACGCTGAGTCGACTGGTTTTGGTCCGAAAAGGCTGCGATGCAGCGTTCCTCCTTTATTCCCAATCGAACATGGTTGAAGAAGCGGTCACGTGCTCCTGCGTACGCCAGTCACCTGGTCACCGTGCCTGCAGGGTACAACTTACTAGCCTGTTTGACCTTTTTTGGGTGCAGTCCTGTCACTCGAGTTGAACCTTGGTGTGAAAGTTGTCGCCTGCTGGCGTGGTGACCAGGTGATTTGGGCAACCAGGAGCACGTGACCGCTTGTTCAACCATGTTCGATTGGGAATAAAGGAGGAACGCTGCATCGCAGCCTTTTCGGACCAAAACCAGTCGACTCAGCGTCCAAAAGACTACAACATATGGGCCAATCGCGGTCATCCGTGCTTTTATAAGAACGAAATGGCGCTTTTAGTGACATTTTGCATACAAATCCCCATCTAGTAGGGCGCAGTCACCCAGTTTCGGTGGAAGTGCGCGAGTTCGATTGGGATTCAAGTAGGAAGGGAGCGTCTCAGCTTTCTCGGACCAAGACCATTCGACTCAGCACCCCGAAGACTACAACTGGTGAAATTTTAATTTTTGCCTTAACTTCCCCTTTAAAAACAACGCCCACCTCATGATTCACTGCATGGCCCCATTCACTGTTGTCACTTCTCCTAGACCTAGTCTACGTGTAGTAAGGATTCAGTCCCCGGGACGTGTAAATGCTCCAGTGCTTATGCCGTTATGAATTTATCACTCTCAACTCGTTATCCAAAACGGCTTTTAAAACCAGCATCACTTCCCCTACTCAGTCTCTCTCTCCCCCCCCCCCCCTCCCCCTCCCTCTTTCCACAGCCTCATCCCTCCGGTACGAAAACCGTCTTGCAGGGAGTGATTATAGTGGCACCGTGGTCCGTGGATGGGTCTTGCTCCAGGCTCTCACACGTCTTTGGATTTGTTTTTGGTGCGTGCACATGATTGTACATGATACAATCCAACACTGGTAAACCAGTATTAGATAAACCTTGTTGTAGTTCACGCAATTGTTAGATTGACAGCATGAAACAAGGTGGAGGACACTGTGTTCGAAAACACTGACCTTACTACAACCTTCCGCGGTTGGCAGAGCCCCGGTTCCTGCGGACCATTTGAACCATAATGAGTATCGCACCCGGTTCTGACCCTCATTATGCTAGGGGGTTAGGAGACTACTCCTGATGTCGTCTTGTTGTCTTCGCTCTTTTTTAACTTGTATAAAAACTTCTTTTTCTTTTTCTTTCCAACTTCTGCCCATGGCGTCCTTCTCTCAGCTCGTCAGCTGTCAAAAGTTTTTTGTCATCACCATGACACTGTCGCGAGAAGGTGCTCTCTGTAGACGAGGTTGGTGATGTCCCGACGTGGCCATGGGTAGGCCTTCACCACGGGATATCACCAACCCCGTCTACCATGGTCTACAGAGAGCACCTTCTCGCGACAGTGTCATGGTGATGACAAAAAACTGTTGACAGCTGGCGAGCTGAGAGAAGGACGCCATGGGCAGAAGTTGGAAGAAAAAAGAAAAAGAAGTTTTTATACAAGTTAAAAAGAGCGAAGACAACAAGACGACATCAGTGGTAGTCTCCTAACCCCCTAGCATAATGAGGGTCAGAACCGGGTGCGATACTCATTATGGTTCAAATGGTCCGCAGGGACCGGGGCTCTGCCAACCGCGGAAGGTTGTAGTAAGCTCATTGTTTTCGAACACAGTGTCCTCCACCTTGTTTCATGCTGTCAATCTAACAAATGATTGTACATGTATTGGATTTTCCAGTTTCCATGTGCATACTACAGGAAATGCGCAAGGAAATACACCATACTGTATCATGTCCGCTATAAAGAAAGAGCTACATGTAGATGTAGATGTAGATGTACATGCAAGACACATCGGTGTCACATTATAGCCCTTTCCCAAAGGTGCTCTTTTAATTCGTACTTAGTGCTTTTCGCGTCCCTCAAAATATGCTGAAAAAGTGCTCTTTTTTCAGCGAAAACAGGCAAAAAGTGCTCTTTTTCAGTGAAGCATAGCCATGAAAGGCCCATGATACAGATATGAACCCAAGGCCAAGCTGAGAAATGAATACGCACTCTTCGAAAGGCAAAACAGGAAGTAAAGCTAAAAAAAACACTTTTTTGGCGTGCCAAGGCCCATCGAGCACTCGGAAACTGTGATCGCATGCATGATCTGAGCAAACAGATTTTAGCACTTTTTCAGCTAAAAAAGCTCAAAAAGGGCGATATTCACCAAAAACCGCAATAAGGGGCGAAAGAAACGGGCTTTTCCAAAAAGGGCGAAAAAAGGGTGAGCACCTTTGGGAAAGGGCTATCACATTATCATCAACACCCCCGCACTGAGACCCATTCCCTGCCACACGTCCACCCTTACACAGCCACTGCCATGGACTACAAAATAATAGTATAATGCGCTACTGAGAAGACTTCCCTACAACTGTAATGCATAACTGGTAGAACAGTCGTGCTGTTGTACATGCATAGGTGTATCTACGTGCCGGCGATAGGTAGTTAGATGCACATACTCACTTCATTAGCATAGTTAAGCGCAAATACTCAAAATGCCCTCTCTTTGATACATACGTCATCAACTTTTCACCAACTTTTCGGGCATGGCCCATCCTCAGCGTGAAAACAGAAGAACTTGGAAAAGTTTGTACTTATTTCATAATTCTTTTAAAAATGAAGGTCAGATTCAAAGCCAAACTTCAAGTGCAAATTCATTAGTTTGAGAAAGGTGAACAGGTGAATGGCAAGTCAAAGACATAAAATAGGCAGGGACATCTGCTCTAGCGTACAGAGAAAGTATGCGACATTTTTTCATGTACCTACCACCAACGAAGCACAACATTTATTCACTTGCTATATGTTGCATTGTTTAGATCTGCTATTGGAATAATTGGATGAATGCATGTACCACCACGACTATAGAGCAATAATAAGACGGAATGAGAAATTCATGCATGCCTGCATTTCAAAGAATTTTAATTCTAAAACGTTTTTTTAAAAGTATGCATTCATTGCGTGTTCAAATAATTTCATGGCACAGTGACTGATAGCGCCTTCTGAAAAGAGATATTATGATTCATATCACGGTACTATGGTACAGTTATATCAGTGTTACACACCTGACAGTGACCTCCAGAGGAGCTACAATGTAGATGATGAGCCTTACCCGCTGTAGGCCGGACACCCATCGCTCACTCTCTCAAGGACCAGCTCACCCAGGCTTCCAACAACTCGCCTGCCTGGTACATAAAACTGTGTTTTTTCACTCCGCAAATCCTCAATGGCGTGAACGGGCTCTGGGCTGGCGTAATCGGGCTTTTTAACAAGAAACTTCCGAGCTTTGTTGATGCCGGCATCATAGGGGAGCAGCTGAACAGTGACTTTGCTCTTCCACTGTCCTGACGTAGAGTCACAGAGTTCAGTATGGGTCGGACCGACAAACCAGTCTGGAGAGGGGGAAATCCCAGCCGCACCAGACACCACAGAGTGACGGTGGTCGATGGACAAAGGCACGCAGAAATCACCGGGTCCCAGCTCCGAGGCCGTGATGTTCTTCAGAATAGATTCCTTCCTTGGGAGAAGATCCTTTGCCAGCAGCCCGGAATCACCGGTGCGAACAAATTCTATAAAGCCTCTTGATGCCCGCTGACCTGCCGTCCAGAGAGTGTAGTCATACTCATGGGCGAATAGGAGTAGATCTCTTAAACGACCCGATGCAGGATAGCGGCGGAAGTTGGCAGAGGTGAAGCTAGATCGGAAGCACGCGGCATACAGCTGCTCTCCGCATTCCCACGGGCACAGGCGCTTGCACGTAGTGTGGCAGCACTCTCCAGGACGCCGCACACTCTCCTGCCCAGTCGGACACTGCAAGTCCGGACAATTCGCCGGCACTGCGGAACACTGGACAGAGCAGTTGGAGCAGCGACACTGCGTGCACGAATCCCTGCTCCAGCTATCTCCTTCTGCGTAGGTGCCAGTCTCATCTTCACAGCATTTGGGGCAAGTGTATTGATCACAGCAACCAACTTTGCCAGTTGCCAGGGGCAACTGTCCACCTGGGCATGGTGGAGGAGGGGGACATTGGATGGGATTACATTCGGATACACCTTTGTCAGAGCATGTACACGACGAACACGGCTCACGCCACACCGATCCAACTCGGCGTGCAACGCCACTGTAGTCCTTGCACACTGCCGTCTTGCAGCCACTGTACTGAGGACAGCAGGCCGTGGCTGGTTGGGCAATCTCCGCCGGAACTTGCCCGGCTGGGCAAAATGGCGGCGGGGGGCAGGCTTGCACAATGCAGACCGGAACGCCTTGCCTGCACTGGCAGATTTGACAGCCATCACGCCACACTCTGCCATGACTCTGCACCCCACTGTTGCTCTCGCAGGAGCTCCACGGCAACGTCGGCGGTACGCTGGGACATTGGAATGTCTGCGGGCAGCAGGGGTCGTTGGATTGCGTGATTATCGGGTCCACACCGCCTGGACAGTTTGGTGCGCTCGGACAAACGCTACGCAGTTGACAAGCTTTCAATCCATTACCATCTCCCCCGTCCGCACATGTACACCTTTGGCAGGTTTCATCCCAAAATGTACCCACTCCTACATATCTGCCAGTCGCTGTGTTGGAGCAAACTGCTGGACACACTGGACAGCACTGCCCTGCAGGAGTCACTGGTGAGAAGCCTCCTTTGCACCTTGGCCTTGGCCCACAGCTTTCCCGATAACACTGCATTTGAGGTAGTCCCGACACGATCTCACACCGGCATGTTGTACAGCCACGGCCTTGCCACGTTGTACCCACGTTGTGCTGACGGCCAGTTGCCGGGTCCGTGCACTGCGATGAGCAGGCTACGCTTTTGCGCTGCACGCTGATCGTCACTAGTCGGCGTGGTCCAGGTCCGGCAACGATCAGCCGGTAAGTTCCGAGCCTATCGAAGCTAGCTATGTCGGTGCTCCGCGGGCCTGCGCCGGAGATGGTCACTTCACCCACCGGCTGGCGAGCGATAGTTTGCACGCTGATACTGTAGTCTCGACGAGCACCATTCTCAAACACCAGCGTTGAACACTGGGTTATGCGCTTACTGGTCGGTCGTCGACAACTACTGCTCGCACCTTCACACCACTCCAGGCTCACCCGTCCACATTGGCAGTCAGCTGCAAGTTGAGCTCGAACGGTAGCAACGATGGACAGAGAAAACACAAGCACCACGAGCCTAGAACGAGACAAGCAACGCGCAGATTTCCTTCGGTCCTCCATTGCTTCGTTCTGGATGGGAGCTCAGCGTCTTCTGAGCCAAACGAAAACCATCCGAACTCTAATAAACCGTTTCTGTCGGTGACAACGCTATGAGTATTCCGAGTATTCCCTGGTACCCGGCCAGGCGTAGACTACTACTACTAGTAGTATCTCGACCAGGATCTAGCCTCTACTGCCTCTAGTCTAGGGCGACATCCAGCACAACTAACGAGGTGCTGCCGTGACCGTAAATCTCCTTTCATTGTAAATAATCCTAACAATAAACAATGCCTCTACTCTAGCGTCTCCAGAGTTCTGGTAACAGCACAGACATCCTGCCGGGTCTTTCAGCTGTCATTCATGGGTCATGGTATTGACAAGATCAATCCAGCTGCTGACCATGCATGCTGACAGATTTCAGTCAGTGACAACCGGTTCACTCTCTCAAACTTCACCATACATGGAGGGTTCGTGGTATTTTCGGCCCCACTCACCATGCTCACAGGCATGAGTCAGTGTATGCCTTCCTTTGGCAGTAATTATTATGCCAGTATGCGTCACTATGGGAGGATCCAGGAGTAAGAGAGCTACAGTGTACATGTAGATACCGAATGACTTTGGTGCTCTATGCTGTGGTAAGGTACCGGTATATTTATACCCACGATAATGTTATCAACTGGTTTGAGGGAAATGATATCGTTATGCAGATTCAGCATTTTTTTAATACAATCATGGCTGACATACATGTACATCATTGTTCTTACCGGTAGTATTTTACTTAGAATTTTAGCGGCTCAGGTTCAGGCTAAAACATGTACATGTACATGTATGTGCACCTGTAGATCTGCATGATTGTAGTAAAATCAGGGAGTCGCACGCACCCTGATGAAAATCTATGCTGTAGATCAGGGCCTAGGAAGTCGTAAAGCACTTTGATGACTCCCTGATGTAGGTTTTGTAGTCCTACAAGTACACGCAACAGTGCACACCCCCCCCCCCCCCCCCCACACACACACTACTCTTGGTACAAAGCTGGCAATACACATAGTAGATCAGCTTTGGAATTGAGTTTATTGAGTTTATTGACTGAGTTCATACTTTTATAAATGTAGACGATCAGCACTTTCGAGCTGAAGTGCATCATTGTATTTTCACCAGCGATTTGGCGGCTACTACCGGTATGGTAAGAGTATTAAATGCCGTCTCCTCTATTCACACAATCTCTCCAAGATTGAAGACTTTGCAGGCGAACTTCAAGTTCAACAACATGAATGGTGTCAGGCACGCACTGGTGAGCTAAGTACATGTACATGTACTTCAGTATGTCGTACAGTGAAATGCATGCAGCAGACGATGCAGGGCAGCCCCAAAAACAGCTAAATAGGAACTAGCAATAAATAGAAAGAATTCATTTCAACGACTTTTGTTACAAGCAGTAATCAATTTTGGCATAATGCAATCCTTCGGGACATCAACCGACCTGTGATACATGTACTGTAAAAGCCATTATTCTAGCGAGGCGCGTACCGTAAAGTCGCGGATAAAAGCCGGGCTTATATAAAGACTTATAAGCACATAAGCCGCTTCCTGCATCAGGCTTCAATGCAAACCAGGCTTGTATGCAAACCATGCTTACATGTATATGCACCACTGATATTTTTGCCAGGCTTGTATGCACATCGGCCGATCCGGGCTTGCATAGAACTTAGAAGCCAGGCTTCTACGCGCGACACGCGTAGATTTACCACTGACTACCGGTATGGCGGCAGTTTTACTATGCACTGTACATAGCGCATGCACTCTTGACCTACCCGATCCGCGCTTGCATAGAAGCCAGGCTTCTACGCGCGACAGGCTTATATTATGCATTGACCCGTTTGATTTCCAGGCTTCTATCCGCGATGTGCTTGTATGCAAACCCGGCTTTTATCCGCGACTTTACGGTATAATTATAACGATTTCCCAAATTGACTAGTTTACGTGTACCAAAGGTAACGATTCTCACTCATTCTCAACGCTCAATAGGACAGTATATGTATCGATTTCTGTATAACGATATCTATTTTAACGACAGATTTCTCCTCGTTAACTCGTTAGAGTTACATGTAGCACTTCGCTATATACATGTATATAATTTATGGCTTTTACAGTACATGTATAACTAAGAGCAGCTTTCGTGACCATGGCAAGTGTATGAGGTCATGAGGTGATTGTGCTATTACTAGTACTATGTTACATGTATGTACCGTTTTATGATTCAAACATGTTTCATAGCAAATGGAGTGAAGTACATTGAACGAGTGACTCGTACTGCTACCTTCCCTCACACAAACGCCGCGAGCGAACATGCAGGTACCATTCGGATGATTGAGGTCTGCTTCTCCATTGTTGCCTTCTCGATGTAAGCGTAGAATCTCCTGCATCAAGCGAAACCATTTCAGTCTCTATACTGCTGATGCTCCAACTCCCCTATTATAACAATATTACCGGAACGTATCTGACGGATTTGTTATTGCTCCTGAAGGGCAGACGTGCTAATGAGGTGTCACCATCAAGGGCAGGATCCTGAGTTTCACGGACAGAACCACGATCGAGCCATTCATCTACCGTAGTCAATGAACTAATTACTTCACAGTGAAGTGTCAGACATGTACATGTAGGTCTCGCGTCTCTGCAACCAGCAAGGACTGGCCCTGCAATCATGTGTACTGTCGTTCAGCTGTCATTACTTTTGGTGGCATTGACAAGATCGAACTGATAATGCTATTCACGACAGCCCTAGCCCTGCAGGCGGTGGGAGCTTTTCACATTGGTTTAGAACTTTGCCAGTCACGCTCACAATCTCACATGCCATTTTCTTTTACTTGCGGCTGCTGCTATGGCATGTAACCAGGCCGGAGCCAGGACTGATCGGAATAAGTTACTTGCACAGAATGCTACTTTGAGTCACTTCCGCCTAGCGGATACAGTCACTGGTCCTCTCCACTCTCAAGTCCATTCACATGCAAATACCGTAATAAAATCGATTAGGAAAAGTTGCATTTAGATTCACCATCCTCTCTTTGGGTTTTTTGGAATGTCCACCTCACTAATATACTACATTAGTACATACAAGTACTATTCATCATTGTAATAAAATCATTCTCCTCCAGAGGAATACGCTACAGCACTGACTGTACATCCGGACATGAATGGTATCAGTCCGTTTGGATGCATGCGGTGGCACACCATGTACTATTGTACATGTCCATTGTATGGCCAACGGCAACACCTTAGCAAACTAAGCTACTTGAGTGTATGCAGGTGGGGCATGCAGTTCAGAGGGCTAATAACTTGTAAGTTGTAGGGCTGAAACGATCGGGGATTTTCACGTATCGATTACTCTTTAGCTTTAACGATCGAGTAATTGATTATAATCGTTAGCAAATAGAGTCATAATTCCGTGCAAACATTACTCTGTTTCCACAAACTATGCCTTCATAATACCAACAAATCTGCATTAGTGAAAGGGTAGCTCTGAAACATGGCAGTTTTGAAGTCAATTTAACCTCAGAACATGAACCATACCCCTGGCAACTGCATACTCCCAGCGGAAACTGATTCAAACTTCACAAAACGAGCGTTTACAGTACTTTCTGGACACAAATTAAAAACGCAAAATAATCGTAATCAGTAATCTAAACGATTGCTCGATCGTTAGAGTTATCAAACGAGTACTCGATTATTCGGTATAATCGTTTCAGCCCTACTAATAAGGCATATTTTTAAAGATGAAAGAGGGACCACTGACAAGTTTCGAATCATGCTAATCCCTATCATGGCCTATGCATTGTAGGAAGAGTAACGTTTACAAATAGAATGATTATTATAATCTTGATTGCAGGGTACGGGGTACGGACTACGTGACTGGCCCTTACCATTATACTACAACGAGTACAGTCATGATTGTACAGTCATGTACATACTCCCCCCCCCCTACACACACTATACTCACCAGGAATTGTATTAAAAAAAAACACACACAACACGGTGATTGGGGTATGCATGGCAGAATACGCATACATCTTTACGGTTCTACACGGTCGACCATCACGGCTAAATCGTAAACATTTTAGAAAAATCATGCCGTGATTGAGTAGCTGCAAACTTATTTCTCCTTCACTAGGTGGCGAGACTGGGTTGCTAAAACGCTGGACACAAGAATTAGATCTCTCGCACTCGGCAACCCGCATTATCAATCACAGGCTACTGGTGAACGGTCTACTAGCACAATCATTATAACGTTGAGCGCATGCTATGGCGTGGGCAGGCTAAGAGTAGAACTTTTTGTCAGATTGAGTGCAAAAGAGCCAAGCGTTGACCGCCTGTGTCTATCTTTTAATTCTAAAATTCTCCGGGATATTTGCAAAGGCGGTCATGTAGAGTACCAGTGATACAGTCATGTAGCAGAATGAAGCAGGTCCTTAGCAGGCCAACTTGTATTTGTACATAATGATCCTGAAACCTTGTGAAGGAGAGACATGCTAATGAGGTGTTGCCATCAAGGGCAAGATCCTAATGAGAACCGGTGTTTATGTGAACATAGTCACATACATGTACCTTCATATTCTTTGTTTCCACCGGCCGCTGCCAGGTCACGGTTCAGTTGCATTTGCTTGGCATGCAGCTTGGTTTCTGGCAATGGTGCACGACCAGCGAGGGGTGCGTCTCTCAGCCAGGCAAAGACAGTAGCGACATTTCTGGATCTGATTGGCTATTTCGCTCGTCGTGACACTCAGAAAGGCTCTGGTGAAGGATGTTGCCAAGGATCCTGCCGCTTGTAGAGTACTGATATCCCATGCAGTGCCTGCCAGGTTCAGAGCGACTGTTGTGTAATGCCGTTTGGTGTGTTGATAGCTTTCCACGCCTATATACCCCCGCAACCTGGTCATGTATGTACCAAATATTGCCTGATCCAAGTAAGCCACTTTATTCGAGGCCATACCCATTGCATTGCGGCGAATACCGTGTGCTCGAAAGCGCTGATCAACGATAACATTGAGAAGTGCACCTGATCGACGAATGAGTCTCTTGAACACAGTCCGTGTGAGTGCCTTGCCTGGGCCGTACACATCACGATCTTCATCAGTCACCAAAATGACGTTGGTAGCAACATTAGGGTGTTTCAATCACAGCATGTTGTCTCCATTGCTGTTGGTGAGGTTCTGCAGTGCGTATTTAACTGCCAGGTAACCATCCTCGATGCTTCCATTGGCCGAAAGCTGATTGATGACATGTGAAAAGGAATCGATTGTGAACACCTTCGCTCCAGCTGAGTTGGCAAATGCGCGTGGAAGAACATACCTATCGTCTCCATTCGGTAAGACAGCCCGTCCATAGCCAACTAAGGCATAGTGATTGCGCAACGTGGAGTTCACACCAATGCCTGCGTACTGCAGGTAACGCTCTAGCTGAGGAACCATGCCGCTAAGCCATTGATGGGACCTTTCCATGTTGGATGATTCATCAGCAACGATGACAATATCAGCGGCTGTGTTTCCTTCGGTGTGGATGACAGCTTTCTTCCTACCAATAGGTGAATCATCACAACCTGCATCAACACAATGACAATGACAAAATTAACAGAAAGTTCGAGGGAGAGATTTAGTGAGAGGTTGAGAGAGAGAGAGAGAGAGAGAGAGAGAGAGAGAGAGAGAGAGAGAGAGAGAGAGAGAGAGAGAGAGAGAGAGAGAGAGAGAGAGAGAGAGAGAGAGAGAGAGAGAGAGAGAGAGAGAGAGAAGAGAGAGAGATACATTGAAAGAGACATTGAGAGCAACGTTAAGAGAAAGAATCTTGAAGTAGAATATGTGGCTGCAAATGAATGCTCTGCCACTTGGTGCATACACACAGTCCTTTTGCGCAGGTATGAGTTTAATCTTCAACAGTTAAACTGGCATTCAGGAGCGGCATTCCACCATCCTTGGCTTGAAAGGTATAGTGTTTGTGAATGACAGTATAGAGATACCTTAGAGCAGTACATGATACTCTATCAAACTCTGTGTGCAAGACTGAGGCATTGCAAGTTTCTGCTTACTTGTCCCAGTGTTATCAGTGACAAACTGCCATGAAGATGTGTCAGTGAGACCTTGAGATGGAGCTCCACCATCCACACAGCTCCGCGTTCCTATGACCACTCCTGGATCCAGGGTGATAGCATACCTCTGACCCATCTTAAGCCTCTCCGGAATGAAGAATGTCAATCGGTAGTGGCTGTCATGTGTCGGGTGTCGTTCAACTATAACATCCCGGGTTGAGGGTACAACGGAAAACCGCTCAGTTGTGCTGGAGCCATTGCCGGCAACCTCCAGGATGCGAATAATGGCTTGGCTGCTTGATATGACAACCTGGGTGATACAAGATGAGGACAGTAAGCATCGCAGAGCCAATTTGGTGCTATGGATGCAGCGCAAGTTGGCGGTTTCCATGGTTCTGTTAGAGCTAGTACACCGCTGGGCTGCGACTTTGGCAAAGCATCTCAACTGATGATGTGATCGCTTTTAAAACCTCTATGGGTTTTTCACTTTTGAACAAGCGTATTCTTCATTGTGGATAGTCTGCCTACGCACATGTGTGTCAACCCATAGGTCTAGTAGATGCTATTAAAAATGAGCAATTGCCTCAAGTACTGTGAGCTGCATAACGTTCAGCCGATTGTTGGTGGCATACCCGTATTAATGTTCCCTATTTTCGAGAGAGGAGCATTGTGTGAATATTAACAGGCGTAAACGTGTACTTCAACAGTATGTGCATGTATGCTGTCTCAGTGTAGTGCTGCACGAACACACAGATGCCATTCTCAACTTCCTGGGCTGAGAAGTGGTGACATGTTAGTGCGGCAAGCGTTATGCACTCTGAAAACTAACCTTGTGTTGCGGGCAGAAATCCAGGTTTCTGACCAGGAATCGAGAAGCAAATTACATACCGGTAATGGGTATGCATACAGTCAACTTTGCGTATAACGACACTCCGGGGGCAGGGTATCAGAAAAGTGTCCTTATTTGCGAAGTGTCGTTATACCCGAAGTCTCATTATAATTATGTATACAGTTAGACGGGACTTTGCTCTGGGCATGGACATTCTGTCGTTATTCGCGAATTGCCGTTGTATCCGCAGTCGTTATTAGCAGAGTTGACTGTATGACTATTCATTCTTCACTTACTGCTGCTGGTTGAAGTCGACTGAGAATGATGGGTAGTAGTGAGGAACTGTGGCTGATGTGGCAATGCTGGGCTGCGTAGTGCCAGGAACAATCTCTGGTGAAGAAGCTGCAGGATGAGCAGGCGTGTAGCCGGAAGGGTTTGGGAACGGGTTTCCAGATGGGGGTCGGGGGTGTACCCCGGTAGGGTCAAGGGGGCAGAGCCCCTTGAGGGGGTGGTCGGGGGCAGAACCCCGCCAAAAGCTTTAGGGTATCTTCCAATTCCTAGCTCTTGAGAGGCCCAAACTGCGACTTAACATTACTACATTACTACAATTTGTTGTGGTTCATTCACATCTAAGAATTCTGCATTAACATACAAAACATGAAAGAGAACTTGTACAAGGACCGTAGTCATGGTAGTTGTCCAGCTAGTTGGTGCAGACGAAGCACTCGTGAGCATACAATGTAGTTTCACACCGCGCTCAAGTGCATGCTGCACCACACTGTCATTTTTGTACTTCCGGTGAATGCATACTGTAAAGCGTGCAATTTTCGCGGCGTTTTTAGTTCGCGTTTTCCGAATCCGGACAGGTTTGCGAGGTTTTAATTTTGCGATTGCAGAATGGCATTCTTGCTAAACCTGTGGCATTCTTGCTAAACCTTTCATGGATCTCCTTTTCGCGCTGTCTAAATTTCGCGATTTCCACGCAGTCGCGAATTTCGCAGAAATTGGACCATGGCAATAATTTCACGGTTTACATTATGCATGTATTCAGGAGAGTTCCTCAGTATACTGTAGCTTTCAAAGGTTTCGGTGTCTGCGATGCAACCGCGGATTGGGTTTCCAGGCAACCTGGAAACACTGCCGGCTACGCGCCTCATGAGAATAAAAGGGTGGAGGGTGGCGTATGCTGAGACCAATGTGATATGAATACGAGGCATAGCATCAAAAATCTACATGCGTATCTGCGTATGTTGCTGAAATGTGAGCCACTGACATGTACTGCAATATGCACAAAAACGCACACAAACAAAGCGGCACACAGGCATACATTTAAAATCTTATACATGTACACTACACAGGGGCAATCAGAGGATTGCGCCACCTCAGCCTCAAGGAGAAACGAGCATTAGAACCGCTCAACCGCACACGGAGCAGTGGACAAAAAAATGAAGCAGTGATAAGCATGTAATAGAACGGACACTTAAACTAGTGAGCTTACCGCCTGCCATGAGTGTTACACACCGTAGCTCTGTTGTCTCCCTACAGGGGAGTGTAAGATATCAGAACACGTACTAGTAGTGATATGAAGACATGGTTGGGAGAGATGTAGAGCGCATCCAGAAGCGAAAACAGGTAACATATCTGACCGGTCATAAGTCGACATTTTAAGACCTAAGCTAAACTAGGCACTCAACCGGGCTTTAACCACCATTTGCATCGGCCCTGGAAACAAAGGCCCCAAATAACTATAAACTGCGGTAGTCAAGTGGTGTGCTTCACTGTCCGAAGAGTGCTCAGTACCCATGTAGGGCAGAGCATTGTACACAAGAGAGATTGGAAGCTTTGTGGACAAAGCTTCCAATCTCTCTTGTGTATAAACTGCGGTATACATTTTGGCCTCACGATGTCAACACTTGTGGATGACATTGTATTCATACTCTGTAATACAGGAATCACGCTCTGGCAGCTGCTGAGTGGGGTTGAATTTCAAGTTTCAGTTGAATGAATCTGTGCATTTCTCTCTGTGAACCGATCTAGACGTCAGCCAACAAGCTCAAAATCACACACCATCTTCTATGTATACAAAATAGAAAGGACCAAGGAACTACAAGTTCCGCTATACTGTCCACTAACACCACCAGTCACTAAATAATCAGCTCATGTTATAACATTGCACAACATTAACCGACGGTACTGACATTCTACAACTAACTGGCTAACAGCTCTAGCACATCTTTTTATGTTATTTCTATAACTTGGAACCTTCCAAGTCGGAAGGCTGTTGGAGTGCGCGTCCAAGATGTGCTAGAGCTGTTAGCCGGTTAGTTGTAGAACGCCAGTACCGTCGGTCAGTGTAGTGCAATGTTGTAACATGAGCTGATTATTTAGTAACTGGTGGTGTTAGTGGACAGTATAGCGTAACTTGTAGTTCATTGGTCCTTTCTCTTTTGTATATATTAATCCTTGGCTTTCCATCCGAGTCTATCTTCTATGTACATGTGTATGCTGGCTTCTTACCAGTTGTGGTCGGTAGCCTGGAAGCAGAACAGGTGTGGTCCATACTGTTCCAGCGTGGGCCTCCAAGAGAGCTGCATCTTTCCAAAGTGCTCTCCATTCTCAATACCACTGACGATCCTACTTCTGTCCATGCCGACAGGCTGGGTCACCCTGAATGACGATATCCTGAGAGCACAAGTACCCTCATGGAAACAATTTATTTACACACTGAGAAAGCGGAACAGTGTTGAAACTCAGAGTTTCACACAAAGCGATCCTGCTTGGGCAATTGTAAAACAATGATAATGATAGCAGAATGGGGGAAAATCAGCTCCTTTATGTGGTGGAGGAGTGCTAGTGGCACAAATGTAGGCTCTACACACAGTGGATAGTGACGTGGCATAATCAGTTGGTAGTACGGTTCAGGTGGTTGCAACACCGGAGCTCTCCTAACCCTGGATGATTGTAGTAAGGGACACTGTTTGGAACACGGCGTTCCACCGCCGTGTGATATGCTGTCAAACTACAAACGTGGCATTACTTGCATGGCTAAGGTCGCAGGACATACGGCTCGCAGGTACACTAGCATGGTCCTGGAATAAGTAGGTTATCACAGGCCTGGTTCACTGCACTGTCAAGCCAAGTTCCGGTGAAAATGGCGTGGAATAATGAGGTGGGAGTTGTCCGACTCACGGTGAGCGGCAATATCATGGGAAGGTCCGGTGTAAGTTGTCTTTCGCTGTATAACTTACACAGCACAATATGTAGGGTCCCAGGTGGAAGGTGTGGAACAATCAGGAGGTGGTTGCTTATGGTGGGTGAAGATTCAGTATACAACTAGATGGCCAATGTGTGAGTGCTCCTACCCACATGACTGTGCAAGGAACAATTTACTTGTGGATACAATCGCTCGGTATAGCATGCTATGGAGTGTGCGTGCGTGTGTGTGTGCGTGTGTGTGTGTGCGCGCGCGCGGGCGTGCGTGTGTGCGTGCGTGTGTGTGGTGTGCCGGTGTGCATTTGCTCGGCAGCAAGATATCGCCCGCCACAAGTGCATCATGGAACGGCGTAAACCAGTTCACCAGCAAGCCAACAGCCGCCAGTGCTCCCAGTGTCACCGATGGTTTCGGAGTGCGGGTGGCATTGCAGTCCATCGCTGTGCCCAGTCCTGTTCTGCACCGCATGCTGCCAATGCCACAAGCTCTTCACCTGTACGCCTATGTATTCGGAAACCGTGCTGTACCGCTCACTGTCCCATTTGTGAACGTTGCTGTAAGTCAATCCGGGGCTTTGCTATCCACAACTGCAACTGATCCACCAGGCGCCCAACTGCTGATGAAAGGGACAAGTTCCAATTGCAATGTCCGAATTGCCAGAGGCGTTTCAAAAGGCGAAACGACTTAGCCCGTCACCAACGCTCATGTCTCCTCTCCTCTCCGTCTCGCTCAACGAGAAACACGTGACCTACATGGCAGTGTATACCAGGACCATGTGTGTGTGTGTGTGTGTGTGTGTGTGTGTGTGTGTGTGTGTGTGTGTGTGCCGGTGTGTGTGTGTGCCGGTGTGTGTGTGTGTGTGGACATGCACATACATGTATGTGTGTGTGGGGGGTCAAGGGGGGGGGGGGGTTGCATCGGTGAGAGAAGTTCTAGAAGGCCTTGTAGCATACTTACTTGTTGACTGGCGTGGCTTGCCTAGCTCTCAGCGTGACTCGATACTCGGTGCCTGAAGGGATGGGAATGCAGGTCTTGTTCTCAGGGCTTGGCTCCACAAGTTCAGGATGTGAGAAGGTTCCTGGCGGAGGGGTCTGTACATCGAGCAGGAACTGGAATGAGATTTGACTCAGAGGTGCACCGTACGGGTCACTCGGGGGGAAATCTTCCAGTACAATAGAAACCGCATGGTAGTAGCCAGGTTCCAGTGTCGGTGGAATCCACAGTGTGCAAGGAGCCTACTGACACATACACAGACACAGACACAGACACAGACACAGACACAGACACAGACACAGACACAGACATTGTCTTTAGTATTGTATCAAGATTGACTAGTCTTGGTCTTGAATTCGGAACCGGGAGTACTTAAAAGTACATTTCATACATTTGTCCCTGGTGACGTTGAAACAACACACTACAATCTATTCTATATTCGTTAGCTCAGGGTGTTCAAAAGGGAAAAAGTCCGAGTAAAATCATCGCCAGTCAATGTACTTACAGTCCATTCAGAAAAAGATGATACCGTATATTCTCTATTATAAGCACAGATCTCCATTAGCACGGTCTTGTTGGAAATCAATGCGGCATGCATGATATCTAGCATGTATTTCTTCTTGCTCTGCATGGATGTATTGGTTGAAAAAATATGAGCACGGTCTCCAAAATAAGCGCGGTCTCCAATATAAGCACGCGGTAGAGGGGTGTTGAAAAAATATATGCACGGCGCTTATAATAGAGAATATATATAGTATCCTAGCTTTTGGGCATAAACGGGTCAAATTTTGAGTTTTCGTCACAATTATTTTGGCGATCCCCCATGGAATGCTCTTCCAATTGTGTTTTTGAAGTCTATTTCTCCAAAGAGCAAGCCATAACAAGAATAGGAGTTCGGCCAGGTTTGGCCCCCGAAGCACTGAATTGGGTAAAAACCATGAAAATCCAGGCCGTTTACTCCACTTGCAGAACAGTCCATTTGCGGGTCGAACCCCAGTTGAGGTACCTTTTTTGGTCCCTTTTTCAAGTTTCGAATCTCGCGGCACTGCACAGTGTACCACAAAATCGCCACACACGGGAGCTCTCCAGAGCTCATCTTTTTCTGAATGGACTGTAGAAGTAACTCTCCCATCTATTACCCCTTTCCTTCCTTTTTCAGTTCTAATGCTATTATCATTCAATGACCTCTTCAATGATGGTCCTTTATCACTGTCGTTCTCTCGCAAAAAAAGCAAGGCTTTTTATTGTGTTTATTTTGCCCGTACAAGAGGCCTGTTCCGGGGGATTAATTCCATGTTCTGACTTTCTGTAGAATGTTGGTGATTCAATTTTCATAGAACATGAAAATCATAAGAGCCGAAATTCTTTCCTTGAAAAATAGAAATGCACGTATATTCAGCTTCCCTACCGCAATTAATTTGGCATCATGCAGTGGAGGACAGATGCCGCCACATTCATCCTGACCGTAGATGTTAGATGTGCTTCCCCATCTGCAGCGTACAATATCTCCGTCAAGATCTTCGACGAGCAATGACAGGTTGCGTTCTCGTCCAGACCAGATTTGAAAGATGGCTGTCTGATCTGTGGATGGTGCATAGTTGATTTTACCTGTGTCGGCACGCCTCATCAGATTCATTGAAGTGAGGAGAGTATAATTCTCTCCACCATACCGCCGCAAAGAATCCATCCAGCAGCAGCTACTGAGACTGCAGCAGAAAAAAAACAATTGACAGAATAACCTTTCCTGAATCCTGATGTCTTTCTACTTCATATTATGCATAATTTTCTTGAATATTACACAAAGCAAAATCAGAGTCGACAGCATACTGATATAGCCATGAAAGAGCATGATACTGATGATGCTACTCTACTGAGCAAAATTCCTTTCTGTATGCCTGAAAGTGCTTTTCTTTTTAAAAGGTGCTCAAGCTCCTCTGCAGCCAATTCATAACATGGAAACACTCAAACTATTGTCAAAGCAAGTGGCCTGCAAATCTGTACGATTTCAATCTCAAACAAATTTCTGGCCCTGGGCAGTCATCAGGATTGAGGGGAAACTCGTGAGGTGGGCCTACATGTATATCATACAACACAGGTAGGAAGAACTACGTCATGCATGACGGAACACCAGCAGTGAATGAATCATTCTAACAAATATTCCGGGTGTCTGTCTCCGTCTCTGTCTATATGTTGTCTGTCTGTCTGTCTGTCTGTCTGTCCGTCTCACTGTCTGTCTGTCTGTCTGTCTGTCTCTCTGTCTGTTTGTCTGTCTGTTTGTCTCTGTCTCTCTTTGTCTGTGCCTCCGTCTCTATCTGTCTCTGTCTCTCTGTCTCCCTTTCTCTCTGTCTCTCTCTATCTACCTGTTAGCTCCCGGCTAATGGAGTCCCCTCACACCAAAACACAAGGCCGGTTTTATAGTATTGAATTATGGAAGTACAACAGTGTAGACAAGAAGGAGAACAGGACAACGACAACTCAAGACAGCTAGAACAGAACCGGAGCATGCGCTCTTCTATGTGAGTGGCTCTCATCGCCAAGGGGAACGAGCGGGAATTACGAATAGTGAGTATGACATTGTACAGGTCGTAGCATAAATACACCTATTACACTGTGCCCCCCTAGCAAAAATTCACGTCCACGGGAATGAACGAAATACCTAGGAAACAAACAAAAGAAAACAAACCAAATAATAAACTCAGTCCAGGACATAGTCAGCTAGTCGAGCAGGTGCAGTGCGAACACGGCCAGAACGACGAGAAACAGGAGAAGAAGTACGGAACGGATCAGACGACGGCGGCTGTAGCGGCGGAACGCAGCGCGGCAAATCATCATCGGGCAGTGGCAATGTAACAGGACCGGACACAGTTACAGCTTTCTTGAGGCGATTGAAATGGACGGTACGTTGAAACCCAGGCATAGATAAGGTATACGACGTAGGACCATTCACACGAACAACACGAAACGGACCGGACCAATAACGGTGGAACTTGGCAGACTCGCCGGCATGAATCACCTTATCATGCAGCCAGACTAAATCGCCAACGACAAACGAAGCACCACTGCAGTGAGCATCATACACTGACTTCTGGTGACGATGAGCAGCAGCTAATTGATCACGAGCAAGAGAATGAGCCGGAGCTAAACGGTCACGTACGAGCTGAACATAGGCGAATGGGGAGAGCTCGGGAGGATCAGGAGGAGGAAAGACCAGATCAACAGGCAGGCGAAGCGAAGCACCATACAACAAACGGGAAGGCGTAAAACCAGTACTACTGTGTACAGCAGCACGGTAGGCGAGAAGAACAAGCGGAAGGTGAATATCCCAATGGACATCTGTTGGGCCAACAAAAGCCTTCAGGTGATGGATCAACGTACGATTGAGGCGTTCAACAAGTCCATTGCCCTCGGGGTGGTAACTGGTTCTAAAATATTCCGGGTCTCTGTCTATATGTTGTCTGTCTGTCTGTCTGTCTGTCTGTCTGTCTGTCTGTCTGTCTGTCTGTCTGTCTGTCTGTCTGTCTCTGTCTCTCTTTGTCTGTGCCTCCGTCTCTATCTACTATCTATCTCTTTCTGTCTCTAGCTCTTTGTATCTGTCTGTCTGTCTGTTTGTCTCTGTGTGTCTGTGCCTCCGTCTCTATCTGTCTCTGTCTCTCTGTCTCCCTTTCTCTCTGTCTCTCTCTATCTACCTCTGTCTCTATGTGTCGCTGTGTGTCTCACTCTGTGTCTCTGTGTTTGTGTCTCTCTGTGTCTCTCTTTTTGTCTGTGTGTCTGTGTGTCTCTTTCTGTCTCTTTCTGTATCTCTGTGTCTGTCTGTCTGTCTGTGTATAAATGTCTCTTTGTCTCTCTGTGTGTCTCTCTCTCACACATGCACATCACAAAAAGGTGGGCGAAACGTGTCTGGAAACGAGGCGTGGGGAGTGGCGGAACTGTGACAAACAGATGAGATTATGCCACTGAACTGTAATTTCTCTACGACATTGCGCTGTCCAGTATAACAATGGCGTAAGCAGTTACTTCATGTCAACAGGACAGGGTATAGGCAGCAGGAACAGCCATCTACATGTACGTCGTAATCCCACCACTCCTCAGTCCTCACACTGCCTCATTTCCAGGCGTTTTGAGTCACGTCATTGTGTGTGAGTGTGTGACAGACGCATCATTGAATGATTGTGTACTTTTGTCACGGTATGGCGTAGTTCATTCCACCTTGTGTTGGATGATATGCATGTACATGTATGTCCACCTCACGAGTTTCCCATAATACTGATCACAGCTCCTGGCTGCAAATTTGACCGAGAAATCGTACTGTTATACAGCAACATACCACTTACGTTGGTGATGCTGTGGTGTTTCCCATGATTTCAAGTCATGTACAATGTACAATGCACACACTGTATGCGTCCGGTAAAACTACTACTAGAGTTTAGACTGTACTGCAGTGTAGCTAACCTGGCGGTAAAACGAGCCGGTGACCCGTTGAAGGTGTACCGGAATATCCCGCCGCCCTGGGACCAGGTGGCACCTGGCACCGAGCTGAACTCTGTGCAGTAGTACGAGAGCTCTGCAAACGTTCCCGAGCATCCTTCCTTACAGCTCAGAACCTGTCCCTCAGTACTTGGCCCCGGCAAGCGAACCATGTTATTCCGAATCTGATCAGTGCACATTGTTTGGTTTCTTTGCCACGGAAGTCCCCAAGCGATTCGGAAACTGCATTCCACCTACAGACAAGCATAGCATGATACAGGGGCTGCAGTGCAAACTCGCAATCTGGCAATGAAGTAGTTGAAGAACATCAGCGCTCAATACTACTATTACATGTACTAGAACTATCACCAGCACTGCCCGTCACCATCATCAGTTTGTACCTGGTGCATTGTCAATGCATGCTGTGATGCATGGTGTGTGTGGCGCACGGTATGATGATTGTGATTGTATGCTTGCAGCTTGGAAATACAAGTGTGTTGGTATGGAGAGCGTGAGGGTCTACATATACATGCATTTACTGGAAAAATAATAGAAATTGCACTCTATCGGAAAGTTAAGTTGGAATGGAATCATGCGGGTCAGTGCCTCAGTGGGCTGGTTGAAAGATTCTGGTTGAAACCAGTCTTGCCCAAGTAGTTTCAGTATCCACAAACTACTGTACTTTTACATTATAATTCTTCAGGAACAGCAGCGTTCTGCAACACCAATGTTCTGCAACACCAATGTTCTGCAACACCAATGTTCTGCAACACCAATGTTCTGCAACACCAATGTTCTGCAACACCAATGTTCTGCAACACCAATGTTCTGCAACACCAATGTTCTGCAAAATGTTCTGCAATACCAATGTTCTGCAACACCAATGTTCTGCAATACCAATGTTCTGCAACACCAATGTTCTGCAACACCAATGTTCTGCAACACCAATGTTCTGCAACACCAATGTTCTGCAATACACTGCAACACGGCAATTGTGTAACACTATGGCCGATACTAGGAAGAAATCCAGAGACAGGTGCGGCGCAATTTGAGCTGGTTATAAGCTTCAGGCATCATCTTGTGCATGCATTGTTAGCATTATACATGTAGATGTTATACACACTGTTGTGAATTCCAGCAGAAATCCAAGAGAGCTCGATACCGGGAAGGTAGAGCCGTGACACACTAGTCAGAACAACAGATGGCTTGATCAGTCACAACTTAAAGTTTCATGCCATCTCAGGCACTCATCAGGTGATATGAACATCAAGAAAAATAATCCACTATTTAAAGCCCAGTATGGCGGGACAAGGATAACAGAAAGCGCTAGGGGCGCTATCAACTCATATCCGATTCGGTGTCATAGCCAGTAAGGATCGCGGTACTAAGGTGATAAAGGTGATAAAACTGAGCTGGCCTAGCTAGTGAGTTCCGCGGTGCAGAGATGATGATGGTGACAAGGCGGCAGAGAGCTATCAACTGGCCCTACTGCCTGGAGGCAGGGTGCCGAGAAGATTATGTTATCGGTGTTGACAGCATGAATTTATTTTGATGTCGACATTTGGATATCAACTCCGACCGCTTGTTGAGGCTCGATCTCCTGTCGGCAGTGATTATTCTCGCCTTCTCCTCGAGGCACAGGCTGCATCTTTTTGTTATGTTACTGTAGGCCTTGGCCTTCTGAACCACTCGCCACTTGATGTCGTGCGTCTTGCCATTATCTTTTAATTCCCACACATGCTTTGAGAGGCCCGTGGATTTGCGGTATCCAGGAAGCTTGATGGATGTCTTGTGGTTCCCGTATCGAAGCTTGAATGGAGGCTCCGTACTGCCAATGTAGGTTTTGGGCCCATCGCTGTGGCCATCACTCGACACCTCCGCCGCGTAGACTATGCTGGTTGCTTGGCACGCTCCGTTGAGAGGGCACTGGTCCTTGCGACGGCAGTTGCACGGCTTGTCCGGTTCCTGGACGCACAATTGACGCTTATTGTGGCCACTGATAATGTGGGCCATATTCGGCAAACAGGAGTAGCTCACCTTCACATTGAAGCGGTTGAAGATTTTGTTCATTTTGGACCCCTTAGGAAAATGCTTGTCGATCAGCCGGAGGAAGGTGCCGGCGATGTTGGTCCAGACACTCTTGGAGTATGGCGGGTTAAACCACACCACATTCCGTTTCCTTTTTCTTTTTTGCTTGCTGCCGTTCATTGCAGCAGGTGGCGTTGGGTCAATGTACTTGATGTTGGCAGGTAATCCGCTGGCCGCTAATGCATTGCGATATGTAGGGGCAGCATCGGCGAATACGCCGCTGTCGGCAGATATGCTTGAGACACGTCGAGCGATCATATCAGGGATGTTCCGTAGTATGGATGGTGGGTGATTGGACATGGCGTTGACGTAGAGAGGTGCGTCTCCAGGTTTACGATACGGCTGGAATTTCCCGGTGTCCAGGCTGAGCGTGACGTCTAGGAAATTCACTGTCGAAAGATTAACGTCGATAGTGATTTTTAGATCATACTGCTTGAATACTTCGATAATGGACTTCCTCGTGCGGTCGGCAACTGGCCCTGGTGCGTTTTTCAGCACGGCAAGGCCGTCGTCTCTGTAAAGTCCAATCCGGCCTCGTCGACGTGCACAGACAACTTGCTCAATAGGAAAGCACCGACGAGCTCACATATCTCTGCTCCATCGTACGATCCCATCGCCACGTCGAAGTTGCATTGTGCGTTGTTCTTTATCCATGGACGGCCGCCCTGGAACAGGGGTGACCTACGGGAGTGCATGATGATGTCGATGTCACTTAAGCAGAGCCACTCCTTCATCTGCTTTGACGTTGTTGACTTTTATCCAAGCATCACCGAGCCTCTCCTCCGGTCTGCACTGGCATTTGCTGAGCAGTTTGCCGCACTGACCCAAATGGCCACAGATGGCCACAGCGATGGGCCCAAAACCTACATTGGCAGTACGGAGCCTCCATTCAAGCTTCGATACGGGAACCACAAGACATCCATCAAGCTTCCTGGATACCGCAAATCCACGGGCCTCTCAAAGCATGTGTGGGAATTAAAAGATAATGGCAAGACGCACGATATCAAGTGGCGAGTGGTTCAGAAGGCCAAGGCCTACAGTAACATAACAAAAAGATGCAGCCTGTGCCTCGAGGAGAAGGCGAGAATAATCACTGCCGACAGGAGATCGAGCCTCAACAAGCGGTCGGAGTTGATATCCAAATGTCGACATCAAAATAAATTCATGCTGTCAACACCGATAACATAATCTTCTCGGCACCCTGCCTCCTGGCAGTAAGGCCAGTTGATAGCTCTCTGCCGCCTTGTCACCATCATCATCTTTGCACCGCGGAACTCACTAGCTAGGCCAGCTCAGTTTTATCACCTTTATCACCTTAGTACCGCGATCCTTACTGGCTATGACACTGAATCGGATATGAGTTGATAGCGCCCCTAGCGCTTTCTGTTATCCTTGTCCCGCCATACTGGGCTTTAAATAGTGGGTTATTTTTCTTGATGTTCATATCACCTGATGAGTGCCTGAGATGGCATGAAACTTTAAGTTGTGACTGATCAAGCCATCTGTTGTTCTGACTAGTGTGTAGATGGTATACATGTACATGTAGATGGATAATAATAATTATTGAAGCACACGCACAACAGACAGTGGTGGGTTGTGGTTGGCTTAGGGAAGTGAGACTGAGGGCGGAGTAACTAGAGACTGCGAGTGCGTGTGCTGGGTGTGATACCCAAACCGGGAGGCGTTGCAAAAGCACGTGACTATGGCAATGCGTTGGGTAATTAGGGTGGCACCGTGCGATAACCAGAATTTCTCGTGACGGTAAGAGAGGCTAGTAGTTACGGAGAGTGAAAGGCCCTACTCCCTACTTTACTAGTTGATTGAGTACCATAGTGTGTATAGTATAGTGTATTATGGTAGAGTGTTGGTCATGATGAAGTTCATGATGAAGTTCATCATGACCAACATGTGGGTAGCGTGGGAATTGTAACAATGGCAGGGAGAGGTGGGGAAGTGAATCCGCCCCGAGGAGACAACTTGCAACGATTTGACAATGAAGCAAGAAAGGAAAGCGCAGCAAGAAAGGCAACAGGGTATGACTGAGCTTGGGGAAAGTCCCTAACAGGGGCGTGCTCGGCCCCCCAACTAGGGGGTGCACGGGAGCCGAGGGGAGCCCCCCCCGGCAATTTTCTGCAATTTGTTTGCAACCTTTCTTGAATTTTAGAGCATATTTGCATACGATTGAAATTTTTGGGGGGGTGCACGTGCCCCCCGTGCCCATCGCCGAGCACGCGCCTGCCTAAACAGATCACATTGGCAGATAATGGGTGTGCTAGCGGTACCAGAGTACTAGTATGAGTGTAGTGCGTGTGACTTGTGAGGAATGCAGAGTTCAGGCACAGTGCGAAATGTACTGAGAGATTGGGTGTGCGTTTGTTAACACATTTAGCAGCACAGCATTACAAACACAAACTGATCATTTCCTGTTCGCCAGTCCACCCAGTTATGAAAAATTAATTTTAAGATGATAACTGTGGTAGTCATGATCTTAAAAAGAAAAGAAGGAGACACAGTCAGGAGAGGGAAAGGAAGCTGTGTTGCATCGCGGCGTTTCGAGTTATACATGTACTAGCACATGTACACGATCATCAGGCAAAGTGGCCCGAAACAGGCAGCCTGAACATAAGGAAGAGCGAAGCGAGGAAGGGAAAACAAGGTGCAGATGATAGCTCGTTAAAAAAAAATATATGACTTGTATTGGGAGGCAATCAGCAGTGCCACCCTAACTAATACTTCCTTTGTATTGCCTGTATAAAAGTGAACTGATAACAAGTAGAGGCCCCCAGGCATATTGCATGTTACATTCAGCCCCAGACGGGAGTTTGCGGACTAACCTGAACATTCCCGAAGGCATCGAATCCTCCATAGCTCTGTCGATCTGGCCAACAGCTGACACGACCGGCGAGGAAATGGGTTCCATTAGTTACCGCCACCAGCAATACCAGCCACAGTGCAGTAATGTGCAGGGCTTGGTTTACCCCACCACCCATCATCTAAATATGTTGCTAGGGAACTACAGCAAAGCACAAAGCAAATGAGCACATTCTGCACGAAATTACAAAGAGTTTAATTTCTCTTTTGGCGGCAGCTCTCAGAGCCTCACAGAAGTAGATATACTTGTAATGGCATCAGCAATTTGGACTGTGTTCGCATATCTGTGAGCGGGTTTCCTGGACAGTACTCAGCCTGTCCAAGGTATGCCATAGTAAAAGTCTCTCCCGGCGGCATGTCTCGACCATGCACTGTACACCATCCATAAACATTCCATATGTCTCATCGTTGCATCGCTGCCTTGCTGCTTTGTGCCGTCAAATGGTGTGTGTGTTTTTTGTAAAAAAAAACAAAAAAAACAAACAAAAGAACATGTCCCGTGGGCTGCAAATACCATACGGTGGGTAACAGTCTTCACATGTGGACATCAGCATCAAGCCTTCAAGGGGAAGCAAAGCATAGTAATCAACATTCGCCGTTACTACACTTTCCGTAATTATAGGGCATGCATACATCTTATACCACATGGCCTGTGAACAGCTAACAGTTTGGCTTGTGACTTGATGAAGCTAGGAAGTGCTTATCAGGCCGGAGTTTACTGCTTGAACAGCCACAAATGTCTCTATCCTGCATATAGCATAGAGCCTGTGGTGAAATCTGACAGCTGTGAATTTCACAAGCCCTGTAGAAGTCAACAAGCACCATCACAGAAAAGGAGGTAGTGATGGCTCATGTCTAATAATTAAGACACAATTAAAATTGGTTGGTTGGCAGCTGGCACCTCTATTGCTAAACAGGTGCCTGCATGGTGCACGTTTTGAAGCAAATTCATGTCATCAAGATGGTTCCATGACGCACGATGCACGATGTAATACCCAGAGGCAGTCCACAGAAAATTCCATATGCTCCTTCGTCGGACTGCTTTCTTTAGAAACCATTATTTTGCTACTGATCTGTCTTGACAGGCAGCAACGGATTTGACATGTACGGATCACAACTAGTTGCCAAACCATGCACTTTAGTACTAAGCCGGTCTGAGGCTGAGACTCTCGCACTCAGTGTGCATTATAACTAATCTAAGCGCTCCATATTGTCATGTGATAACAAAGTATTAACAAAGTACTTATTCTTTTTTAAAGGATTTGGAGAGCTTCAAATTTCAAAGGATCACGGTCGGGGAAGTGAACTGTCTGAAAAAAATGCCAAACCCACCAGGACTCGAACCCTGGACCTTTCTTGCCCGGGCTCGAGTCCTGGTGGGTCCGGCATTCTTTCTGGCAGTTTTCTCCTTTCAGGCAGTTCACTTCCCCGACTGATCCTTTGAAAGTACGTATTATGTAAAATTATGCAGTTCATTCATTGGAAGTCTCTCCTCTCACTGCTACCAAATACATGTACTACTGGTATCTCCTTACATCATGTACGTCAGTATAACCCACCCCTAAGGGATAGACAAATCTGTCCTATATCAGAGGTCAAATGACTGGAAAGGAATGAGCAGGATCTTCAGAAAAGTATGTTACACGTACTGTATATCCGGGTTACTTTATACCCCGGTAATGATGGTTCACTGTACGTCTTTCACTGTAAATGTGGGTACACTTGTTTTTACACACACGCTCTTTGCCTTCGGCGAGCCCTCTACGGACGGTGGATTAATCTCACATGGTACACTTATCGTTATGCAACTTGCATTCGCCCAGCAGATATTATGAATTTTGGGCCATAATCTCTGGGTCCAAAGCTACAAAGCTCGCGTCCAACGGTTCAATCAAATCCTCTTCCACCAACCTGGCATGCTCCCACCATCTGACTGTTATCAAATCCCCCCCCCCCCCTCGTCAACGAGGGCAGTGGAAACTTTGTCCAACCCAAAAAACTGACTTGATCTGTGCTTTTGCCACCTCCAGTATTTCGGTTCTCTCGTCGCAGCACTAGAACCTCTGACCTCAAAACGTTCTCTCTCGAAGTGTACTGCATGAATGATAATTATACCCTGCCTCCCATGCTGGTCGCAGGTACCAGAGCCTGTCTACAGTTGTGAGAAGGTGCTCGCTGCAGGCCATGGCTGCCAGGCATGATGGCAGACGAGGTTCGTGAAGTTAGTTCATATGGTCGCAAGACCGGTATCCCACCCACCGCTCCCTGGTTGCAGTCAGAAACACTACTTTCAACGCTGTGTGTGCTGCGGCTTGTGATAGGCTGTCATGTGATAAGCCTCTTGTACGGGCAAAGCAAATTAATGTGCTTACATATGACACAATATTAAAATACAAAAAAATTGATCAAAACCAAGAATCTGAAGAAAGACCCAATCCTGTGTTGCCATATCGGGAATTGAAAACCAACACAAATCTGAAGAGAATGGCAAGTACAGACAATTGGCGGTACAACAAAAATCACCAAACGTAAGCACTAACAATGTTGAAACAAACATCGTACCTGGAGCCCTGGACTATCAAACAAGTCATGTAAATAATAAATAATAACATTGTATTAAAGGATTTAGGTGTTACGTACATGTGTATAGCAGTTTGAATGTCTGGGTAAACATAACTAAGTCTTCATAAGTGTAGCACTTTTGGTAGTGTTGTGCCCAGCGCGAGCTTGCGACTACTAATACTTTTTAATAATTAGAATGATTATACATGAATATTGGGTACTAGTAGTTAGCTGGTTTGGAGGCGACGACGTTGCTAATGACCAAGGGACCACGAGGTGTTTGTCGCGCTGGAAACGGAGCGTCTCGGTGAGTTTTGTATCTCTAGCTCTGGTGATGTTTTGGCCTGGGCCTGGGCACCGCTGTAACTAGTACAATGACATGTATAATAAGACAGTGGTGTTCTTCAGGTACGATCGTTCGCAGCCTACTCAAGCTCAACAATCAGACGAGGGTGAAGTCCCCGAAACACTGTGTATTGAGTTGGGAGTGGGGCTTTCTTGCACGTAGTCGTTAATTACCGAGTCGAAGGTTCGATGGACTTCCCCTGCGCTCTGGAATCGGAGACTGGATGGCAGTCATGAGTCAGTCAGGTGTCATGTCAAGTAACCGGAAAAGCGCGAGCTCCGGCATGCAGCAACCAACTACTAATACTAGTATGTAGTCGCGCTTCCAGGGATCCGGGAGTCGTGAAAATATTTTTTCTCCCTACACGTAACTAGCTTTCTCTTACTAGTCTTAGTTCGATCATCGCTTTATGACGTGTTGGTCTTCGGCGCGGAGTCTCTGCATCTCGAGATCTCGACCGTAGTTGTGCGGTGAACCGGTGTCGACGTGATCGACAATGAAGAAAACAGCCGGCTAGCCGCTAGCCGTCATTTCGGGCTGTTTCCTTGTTACGATACAACGACGACGCCAGCACCTTGAGCACGTGCACCGGGAACTAGCCAATTCGAAGAGAATGTCCGACATGTGCAATCCCAGAGCTCGGTGGCTCCCTGAGCATGAAGTGTGCCAGTATATAACTGTGGTTCCAATTGCCGTCGAGCCTGAAGAGCCTGAAGAGCCTGAAGAGCCTGAAGAGCGACGACCAAGCCACCTAGCACATCCTCATCGGGAAAAGAATTCCACTCCGTCGACGGTGAGTTTCGCAAATTTTCGACGGCTTCACATCCCTAAAAATTTTCACCGACTTCTTGTTGACCGGGGCATATGGCATGAGTGCGTGATGACGGCTTGCGTATCATCTATGCTCCGATTTGCTGCAGTTATCTAACCCGGAGGGAAGGCGTGTGTTGAAAGACTGCCGCGGGCTTCAGCCGTGCTCACAACGGTAAGAACTAAAATCAAGACCAGTGTGGTAAGGCTCAATCCCAAACATTTGTTAGTTACCAGTACACAAGAATGTGACACGCTCGTCTGTTGAGAGACTTATCCCTTCTCTCCCGACTCAATTGTGAGGTGTGCATCAGACACTAGGATTTATGGGCGAAGTTTTGGCCCGCTTATTCGAACACCTTTGCTTGATGCGCTCCTCAACACATCCGGCCGGCCATGTGGCCGCAAATCTGGCTAACTAACTACTTCACTTGTACACTAGTGATGCACCAGTAGCAACATTATGGTGAATTTGCGTGGGCCTCTTTCATTTTCTGAAGCGGAATAGCGTATTCGAGGAGTGCTAGCACGAGCTCGTGTGAACCCGGGTGCCTCTTCTGATCTCTTTGGCTTCTTCAGGGAGAGAGTCGTGGGCGGGTCTAGTTTTCTGTGCAAACAGTGCGGGTCTTCTGTCACTTCATCTCTGCGCCAGTTTCTTTCTTGGGGTTGAACGAGGCCACTTGTATGCCAGCCAACCTTTGAAAACCTGAGACCGGGACAATGACATACCTAGGTATGAAAATGTATACAAATGGAGCTGTCAGGCATGCAACTAATGCACATTTGGGTGCCTATTACCACCCTCGATATCGGGACGGTCCCGTATTACCACGGCCTCGATATCGGGACGATCCCGACCAAACCGGAAGGGTTGGCAGGTGTGTACTTGGTACCATGCAGGCGCGGACAAGAGTCGAAAACCTTACGATGTCTAGAGAGCACAGCACACAAATATTGTAGAGACAACATAACTGCGAATTTAGAGTGAAAACAATCACCTTTGCTCTCTCGAAAGGAGTTGTGCTGTACGAAATGAATAAGACCACACGAACTCACCCTGATGCTGCCCGTGTAGTAGGCCAAACTCACCCTGATGCTGCCTGTGTAGTAGGCTAAACTCACCCTGATGCTACCTGTGTAGTAGGCTAAACTCACCCTGATGCTGCCTGTGTAGTAGGCTAAACTCACCCTGATGCTGCCTGTGTAGTAGGCTAAACTCACCCTGATGCTGCCTGTGTAGTAGGCTAAACTCACCCTGATGCTGCCTGTGTAGTAGGCTAAACTCACCCTGATGCGGCCTGTGTAGTAGGCTAAACTCACCCTGATGCTGCCTGTGTAGTAGGCTAAACTCACCCTGATGCTGCCTGTGTAGTAGGCTAAACTCACCCTGATGCTGCCTGTGTAGTAGGCTAAACTCACCCTGATGCTGCCTGTGTAGTAGGCTAAACTCACCCTGATGCTGCCTGTGTAGTAGGCTAAGAGAAACAGGCCGCCCTACTCCTGTGTTTGTGTTACGGATGTATTACTTTGCAGAGTGTGGTTTTGTATGCACTCCTATAGGCCAGCAGTAGATTCCAGATCTTGTGTGGAATGCCAAGCCTTTGGCACTGTAACCCCTTTTTGGCCGTGATAAGGATCAAGAAGCAGATGCCTCACTTTCTACTTTGAAGTATGTGGTGGTAATGGCTGGAATAGGGCTGGATTGTAGCTCAAAGCAGTCCTAGGGCTGCATGCAGTGACTTGAAGGTTGCATGCTATTCAGAGCTGTATATACACCGTCTCTGTACAGGCCCTGGGGGGATTATCGGATGCATTCCGTCACGTTTTAGGCAGAGCATGTGGAGCCAAGAATTCGGTTTTGTTACATGTAAACAGCCCAGATAGCTTTCACATTGGACGCACACACAAAGATCAGCAGGAGCAGCTGTTTGGCAGCTCGACATGATACTTTCTGCACATTGATGGCTTGAAGCCCCAATGGTTGGGCACTTCCGTGAAGGAGTGCGAGAGCCCTGGTGGAAGAAGTGCAGGCTATACTCTTGTAGCACGAGTCATACATGTAGACTGGGGACAGGCTACAGTGAGTAGGGTTTTTGCAGATATCGGTCTGACTCGCGCATGTCAAGCCTGTTCCTGCCTGTCAAGACTGCGCATACAGTACACTTGCGTGCTTCCTCCATGTCCAGACAGCGGAGTATAATCGTATTCATTGTCTGCAGTGTAGCTGTGTAGTCTATCTGAACGGCATTTCTATCCATTATGATGAGACTACGTTCCAGATATGCACGTTGCTGGAATGTTTTCAACGGTTTTTTGCTTAGCAGCTATAGCCGGGTTCAGGCCTGCTCCATTCCTGTGGTGATGGTTCTTGAAGGCTAGCATGGCAGTGATACTCACGGTTGTCTCTTTTCCGAGAAGCTGTCAGCTATTTATATACAGCTGTGGCTTGTAAGAATTCATGCTGTCGCGCATCCTCCAAGTTGCGTCATGCCAGGATCTGAAATGCTACAGTCCACTTGTGCAAGCTGCATGGCATACCCCTGCGAGGAACTGTCTCTGAGCTTGAAGTGCACAGCCATACAAACTCCGAAGTCCATAATTGTATACATCATTTATTTGGATAAGTTTTCTCGGTGCCCGCTGCACCATTGCACAGCAAGTCGCACTCAATGAGCCACACATGCTGTGTTTGTTGGTATCTTTCCTATCAACCGTCTAATATGAGTAACACGTGTAGGAGCACAGCAGATATTGTACTACTACAACTCTTTTCTAGATAGCAAAATTCGGTCTCCACAGTACAGTCTTCGATCCTGATCATCCTATTCCTTGCTGCTACATGTACATACCCGAATGACCAGCGGTGCCATGGTTCGAGAACAAGAGGATTCCAATCTGTTTTTTTTTTAAATATTAAATATTTGAGCCGAAAAGAAAACCAGCTGAACCAGGCCCCTGGGAGGATGGGTATCAGGATACAACCATTGTGTTAACTTCTCTCGACTCAAAATGCATGCATTTTGGCTGAATCAAGCCCAAGCGAAGTTGTTGACAAAATTCAACTGCACCGCACCAAGCCGCACATTGGTTGTGATCTGGGTTTCGTTTACTTGGCTCATACCGCAGGCATGCTCTTATTGGATGACTCCAAGCCAACACTCATGTGATCTGCCAAAGGTTCCACTATACCACGAATGGAGATGTAGCTCAGCTTGTTATGTTATAGCAATAGCATAATAGTCCACTGACATTGCGAGGGAACTCCAACCAGCTACTTTGCATGAGTGAGCACAATAGTGCTTCTATCCGATGATGGTGCAATCACTACTGAGTTGTGAGGCAGATGTGTTGTTTTGGTCTGAGCTATTTGGAAGCCTGGTTGGTGGACTGGTGCCGTCAGGTTATTGACATGCATGATCAGAAAGGCTATTGACATGCATATCCAGGAAGGCTCAGATAAGATGCGTCTGGGCTATGACCAACCCTCGGTTAAGATGAACAATTTCTCTACGGGTCTCGAGGACCTGCAGCATCTTTCACATCCGTGTTAACACGACTCTGACAACCTCGACAATCATCTCTCTGCTGAGACAAATCCTCGTATAACAGGATCCAAATTTGAGTCTCAAGTGGCTAAAGCTTGGTAGCCTGCGGCTTTTCGGATTCAAGCTGACGGGTACTTTTTGACTCGGATACAGTTGCAATGAACATTGCCCAGCCTATAGCTTGCATTTCAGCCGGGCACATTCTGTTCATGGAACCTCAGCTGTCATACCTTGCATATATCCTGGAGTAAGACTCCATCCTGCTCAGCAAGACACAGTGCATGGCATACAGCCACAGCCTGTCATCGCGAAATATTTACATTCATTATTATCGTTTCTTTTAGACCTCACTGCTATTCAGCTCAAGAAAGAACAGATCTCTTCGTCATGATAGACATTTGTTCAGTGCCACATGTGTGCATTAAAAAGTGATTTTTGACATGTTGCATGATGCTTTTGTTATGTGGTATAAGATGAACCTTGGATTAGAGAAAACGTTCTCTGGTGCTGAGGTATCCAATTATATTCTGCAGTACAATGCAGACGGAATTATGCACACAATAGGTTTGTAGTGCTTTGTACCTCAACGCCTTGGTCTGGGAGATTGCATGTACTGCTTGCATGTACAGTCAACTTTGCGAATAATGACATTCGGCGGGGCATCAGAAAAGTGTCCTTATTCGCAAAGTGTCCTTATATCCGAAAACCCATTTGAATGTATGTGAACGCAAACTTTGTACAGCATGACATGCATATCGAAATGAAGCTCTTTTCATGCTCTACGTCAATTTTTACTTTATTTTTTATTGCAATTGAAAGGAACTATGAAGTCAATATCCAAGGGAAATAAATTAGGCCAAAACAAAAAATAGGCTTGTTTCCGGTCGGCAACCCCTCAAAAGGAGACTCGGTCGGCCGGAATGAAACTTTTTTGGATACTTTTTTTGGTTCCTCAATCGTTGTGGTATTGATGGACAAGAGCACCTACACATGTACATTGTATTATATCATGGCAAGGATCAATGTCAAAGTTGACTGACTCACTGTTCTTGTACAGCATGTGGTGTATTCCTGTTTTCGGAAATCCTGATAAATCAAGAAAACAGTTCGAGTCCTTCCAGCTCCGTTATTCTAGCTCGTATCGACCCCGGAGGTTTTTGAGCCGACAGCGGAGAATCTCTGCTACCTTGTAGGTGTTTCGATTGTGGAATTCGGTTGAGATTTCGACTCGTTTAGTGCACTTGCACACATGCAATGGTTTGTATACATTTGGGACCAAAAAAAAGTTTCAGAATATGGGAAAAAGTGGCCCAGTCGGCCGACCGGAAACAAGGTCATTATTTGTTTGGGCCTTATATTGAAAAATTAGCCTTTTGGAGCCATCTACAGGGACATGTACATGTACATGTACATGTAGATGTATGATGATTAATGTACAATCATGTACTGTAGTTGTGCTGATCACTCCAACTATTTTGAAGCAAAATAAAGAAGAAAGAAAGAAAGAAAGCTGGGATGAGATCTGCTGGGGAGCACTGCGGCTGTGGGCAGCGTACTGCTGCAGATATGCAGGAAGTGTGGGAACCTTGGTCCTCGTTGGCCTTCCAAACAGCAGCTGGGCCGGGCTTGCTCCTCCTGCACCAGGCGTGTTACGCCACTCCAGCAACCCTTCTCTGAAGGCACTGCTGTTATAGGCGTCACCTTTGCCAATTTTCATTAATAAGTGCTTCATGGCCTTGACCGCCGCCTCAGCCGCGCCATTTGACTGAGGATTGTAAGGGCTGCTGGGGTCGTGGCAAATGTTCCACTCTGGGCAGAACGAAGCGAACGCTGAAGATCTGAATTGCGGCCCACCATCCGTCGTGAGGCGCGTAGGAACGCCAACGTCCGACATCCACTGAACGAGATGTTTGGTGACATCAGACGTGGTAGCCGACCTCCCACAACGCCCAACAAATGGCCAGCCGGAAAACTTGTCGGTGAGAACCAGGTACTCAAAGCCGCCTAGGGAGAAGAGGTCCGCCGCTGCATCTTCGAACGGTCTGGACGGACCACTGTCAGAGAGGAGCGGCTCAGAAGGTTGGGAGGGGAGCAGTGTGATGCAAGATCTGCAGGTCTGGACGACGTTCTTAACGTCATTGGAGATCTGGGGCCAGTACACTGCTTGCCTGGCCCTGCGGAGTGTGCGGGTCTGTCCCTGATGAGAAGCGTGAAGTTGCTCCAGCGTGGTCTGGCGTAACCTTCTGGGAACGACAATACGGTGGCCCAACAACACTATGCCGTCCTCAACCGACAGGTCATGCCGAACCTGCCAGTACGGGTGCAGATCGAGGTCCAGAGCAGCCTTGTCCACCGGAAAGCCGTTCTTTACGGCGTTCAACAGCTTGAGGTATTCCGGGTCCGTCGAGCCCTCCGCCCGCACCTTCGTAATGCCAAGGTCGGGGAGGACTGTATGGCCTGTTTCCTCATCCTCTTGCGACAGCTGACGGAGAACACAGCAGCAGTGCTCGATTTCTTCCTCACCAGCTTCATCGTCAGGGTCTGGTGCACTTACTGGGTGTCTCGACAGGCAATCTGCGACCTTGTGACGGCACCCGGTCTCCACTGAGCTACGAACCGAAAAGGCGTCAGCTTCTCCCGTAGTCGCACGGTTCGTGGAGACGTCAACTCATCCAGCGTCTTAGCATTCAGGATAGGAATGAGCGGCTTGTGATCGACTAGCAGCTCGAAATCAGCACCGGCCAGGAACAGTCTAGCCTTGTGGACTGCCCAGACTACTGCCAGCAGTTCAATCTCCGTTGCAGAGTACCTGGCCTCGGTCTCAGTGACGTGCCGTGAAGCACATCGCACTAGACGCCACCGCCCGTCCACTTGCTGCTGCCACAGTGCCATGCCGAGACCGTTTGACTCGAGACGAAGTGGCTGTGCAGGGTCGAAGGTAGCCAACACTCGAGGGCTTACCAGCTCTCTAGTATAGCTGTAAATGCCTGCTGCTGCGGATCCTCCCAGATAAACTCATTCTTTGGAGAGAGCAGAGAGCGGATCGGGGATAGAAGCTCCGCTAGTCGCGGCGTGAACGGGTCGAACTGCTGCACGAGTCCACAGAAGGATCGGATATCAGTGCGGTTGGTAGGGATTGGAAAGTTGTGTAGATCCTCGACCAAGCTTCGATCAGGACTGTAGCCGTCCGGCGTCACCACGAATCCGCAGTACGATGCTCTGGGTGCCGCAAAGACGAATTTGCGGCGGTTCAGTGTGATTTGGTTCTCCGAGCAAATCTTGAGCACATTGCGAACCCTCTGGGTGTGCGCCTCAAGCTCAGTGTCGTACACGATGACATCCTCTACCACTTTCTGAAGATTCGAAAACCCGGCGAACACTTCGTCTCCTCTCCGGTTGTGTTCATCACCTGCCGACACCAAGCCCATGACGTTCCACTTGAAACGGTAGGCACCCCATGGCGTCATGAACGTTGTGAGCCTGGTGCTATCGTCGTCGAGGGGTACCTGCCAGTAGCCATGGCGAGAATCTAGGGTGGTGAAGTACTGCATCCCCATTGGAATCGACGCGACGACTTCCCGAGGTACTCGGGTTGGGTATGCCGGCCTCTTGACCCATTTATTTAGACCCGTCAGGTCCACCGTGATGCGCGGCTCACTGGAATTCTTCTTAGGGACCACCACCAGTGGGTGGCACCAAGTGTATGCTTCACCGACAGGCACCTTCCCAATGACGCCCTTGCCCACCATGTCGGACAGCTGGTTCTGCACAGCGTCCCGCCACCTGAATGGGAACAGAACACTTCTGGAAACTCTTCCAGCAAGGTACGTCGGATTTCCTCAGCCGCCGTCGACGCAGTACCTACTGACGTGTCTGCGACTTCGGATGCTTGCTTCCGAGGGATGGAGATGTTTGCCACGCTTTGTGCCCTTAGACGGGAGTGAGGCCATCCATCCTCGAGAAGCCGCAACTTGATGCACGTGTCCTTGCTGAGCAGAGGTGTCTTCAGCTGCCGGAATACGTGCAGGGTCTACACGGCGGTAGTGTCGCTCAAAGACAACTGAGCCTCGAGCTTGCCCATGGAATCCAAAGCTGTACCGTTAGCTGCCTTGACATCAGCTGTGTCCGGCACTAGATTCGTCCTGAGGCTTGGGTCAATACCATCCAGGTCGGTAAGACTGATGGCGTCCACATCCGCGCCCGTGTCCGGCAGCCACCTGATAGCGCACGACGATCCTCCCTGGATCGCGACGCCAACCGTCACCAGCTTGTTCCTAGAAGGACCAGCCCGGTTGACAAACAGCGAGTCGAGAGACGTCGTTCCTGGCGAGGGCGAGGTCCGCTGTCGACAAACCCTAGCAAAGTGACCCACCTCGAGGCACAAGCGGCATGTCTGGTTATAGGCCTTGCATTGGCCCTTGGGGTGAGTCTCCCCACAAAACCTGCACGTGCCTACGTCCGACTTCAGCGCCTTTGCCTGCGCCTGCTGACGCTTGTAAGTGGACTTCGTTGCCGCCGCCAACGCCAGGTCGGGCAGCTGCTCTCCGAGGCCAGATTCCGTATCGGTAGAGGATTCGTATGCAGAGCATATCTGCATGACCCGATCGAGTGATAACTCACTGGCATACTCTGCTTCGAGCACCCGTCGTTGCATCGCTCGATCCCTTAGGCCACAGACGAGCCTGCCGCGGAGCCGGGTTTCCCAAAGTTGGGCCTCATGGCCGCACAGTGACCCACATCTGCCGCACTGCAGACTATCTGGGTAGCTGCACGCATCATGCAGCTGAGACACGAGAAGTACTGGCTGATACTCTCACCTTGTCTCTGGCTCCTGCCATGGAAGGCCTTGCGGTCCAGTAACGGGTTTCTTCGCTTTCTCAGGAAAGCTTCCAGCTTCTGGATGGCAACCCGCTCATCATCGCCGTCGGCTATGGGAACTACGCCCGCCTGCCACAGCCGCACCCAACCGTCATTGAGAGCTGTACGGAGAACTGCTTGCTGCGTAACTGTACCTGCGTCTCTGCATAGCCCAGTCAACGACACGTAGTCAGACCACTTGACTTTCCACTCGAGGAAACCAGCTAGGTCTATCGAGTCTGGACTGGGCAGGTGGGGTATTTCCGCTCTCTGGGCCCACGGCCCTACCTCTGGCTGTCTTGAGGTGGATGGTGGCGGGCCGCTGCCGGCAGGCTGGCTTGACTGCGCCATTGTGAGCCTAAGCAGAATCTGCTGCTGCTGGCGGAGGGATTGGACGATAGACTGCAGCAGGCTTCCTTCTTCTTGAGTTCCTGGCTGCATCCGCTCTGTCAACCCGTCGTTGATTGCTGCTGCTTCCTCAGCCTTGGCCTTGACAGAGGTTCGTGTCTTTCGCTGCGCCATGTTGTGTCCTGCTCAAGGCAGACCAACTCTTCGAAAGATGAGAATGAATCATCAGTAAAACGCAATGGCTTTTAATGGGAAGCTGGCTGCAAAGGCGGCTTGAAAGGTGACATGTGAATGTGTTATGCGCAAGGCGCCAGAGGTACAGCAGTGCAGGGCCTAGGGTGCGAACAGTAGCACTAGCAGCCTGAGTGCCAAGACCCATGCAGGGAAAGGTGCTACAATATCACCACAGTACCCACACACATTGCCGTTTATGAAGTTCTTCTTCTCAGCCGGTCCATTTCCGAGTTTGTAGGGATGTGTACCGTAAACATGTTTTAGAGGCAGTGAGACTGTGAGTGTATGTACGAGCACACCATTTTGCTTTCCAAGGAGAGTGTGGGTAAGCAAACAAGTAGCTACAATTATAGTTACTTCAAAATACTAGTCTTACTTACTACTCCCTTGTGGCTACAGAGGATGTGCTTGTGGTGTGAGCATGGGCTGCACCATTGAGGACGAAAATAACTTCAAGGAAGCAGTTGGATCTGAATAGGCAGCAGTTGACCAGTTGATTGTGGTTTGTACAACTACTATTTCTGTGAAGGATCCTCCAAGGTAGTGCGGGAAGTTGAATACTTGATGTCAAAATGAAAAATCCTCACGAAATAGATAGTATTTGTACATGTACATGTACATGTATTTTCTTTCTATGCCTCTGCAGATTCTGTATTCCTGGCCTTAGATGATGGGTGATGGCATAACATTCCTGCTACACAGTACACTGTGGTTGGTGTTGCTGATCACAGTGTCAGATGGCAGCCATTTCCGTGGCGGGTTCGTATCCTGTGGCCCAGATCCGAACAGTCTTGGAGGATTTGATTTCGGAGGAAATGTCAAGGTGAGTAGCAGGCATGTGAAAGAAGTTACTTGTTCGACATGTATGTGTATTTTATAACAATAATATTGAAACCCAGAGTCGATTTTCTCGTTCCAATCTTCATTCATCCTATTCATAGTAATATTGAAATGATTATCTCCACGCAGATTATTTGTTTGTTTAGCTTTATTTTACTTCACCATATTAGCACAGGCAAAATCGGTCTTCTCACTGGGCGTATTGCCACAGTTCTCACGAAATGATGAAGATCCTGATATGAGAAAAAGGAAGAGGAAAATAAATTGGTGAACAAGGTTCAAAAAAGAAGACGGAAACAAATCAATGAGGGAGTACTACAAGGAACAATTTTGAATTTTGGTGAAAAGAAGAAGGGCAAAATGTTACGAGTTATGACTAACTGTCCACCAATGTAACCTGATCTTATACAGTCAGCGAGTGCGACACAATGGCACAAAACTGACAAGGAGTACTGAGACATTTGGCGACCTGACACCTAGCTCCAACACTTTTCCAAGGCGCAAACCAACAACCTTCCAACTTGGAAGGCTCAGGTTCGGAAAGGTCCAAGAGGGTAAAGAAAGCGCAATGAAGAAGAGCACGACGGGGTCTTCGCTTAGCTTCCTCTTTCTACGTTTATTACATAAACTTGAGCCTCCCAAGTTGGGTGGTCTGTTGCTTAGCGTCGTCGAGTTGTAGTAAGGGTGGCATGTCCAATAATAGTCTTACTAGTTGCGTCATCATCCAGTAACTTTCGGCATTCTTTGTTGCCGTGATGCGTAGCTCGTGCTCTTCTTTGTTGCACTTTCCTTCCCCTCTTGGACCTTTCCGAACCTGAGCCTTCCAAGTTGGAAGGTTGTTGGTTTTAACCTTGGAGACGTGTTGGAGCTAGGTGTCAGGTCATCGAATGTCTCAGTACTCCTTGTCAGTTTTGTGCCATTTTGTCGCACTCGCTGACTGTATAAGATCTGGTTACACTGGTGGACAGTTAGTCATAACTCGTAACATTTTGTCCTTCTTCTTTTTCACCATAATTTAATTGGCTCACCATCCGAGTTGGATTTTGAATTTGATGAAATATTTCATGAAATGATGCAACGGATCCATAGGTTCCAAAGGCTCCAGGTGTTTGATGGAAAGGATGCTATAAAGGAACCTATGGCATTATGGCCTTTTTCAGTTGGATTTTCCGGATGTGCTTTTGTTAGCTGTGATATTGTTATACATAGCTGATCCGCCTTCCACTGCAATCCACTGCTTAGCGCAATTCAAGCAGGATTTTCAGTTCTAAACTTCCCAAAATGCTGACAGTGTGCCACATACATTTAATACGGGGTATACTTATGCATGTGCCACAATTGGCATATGTTCGAATTAGAGATACGGCTCCAAGAACACATTGCGCGAAATCGCGCATCTATGAGCGACATCCACATAAACTGCTGGGACCATGGTTGTGTACTCGAATCTCATTCTGAGCACCCTTTTTTCTTCCTTTTTTCAGCCGTTTTTTTGCAAAAAGTCCTCGAGCTCGATTTTTTTTGATCGATCGTTCTTCAAGGAAAGACGAGTGGACAATCGATCAACAGGGCCGAGGACGAATGCGTCTGGTTGGAGTTCTTGCGTGGCACAG